CGTCTAAATAATTAAATATAAAAAATAGATATAATATCAAGACTCTTTATCAAATATTGTTAGGGTTAAGAAAAGCAAGTAATTAGCTAAGATCTTACGCGAAGAATATAAGACTTGGATCTGTAACTACTATAGAAAAAACAGTTATAAAAAAAACTTATTGGCAGCTATATCCAGAGTTAAAGCCAGAAAGATTTAAAAACTATATTAATTATATCAATATTAATATTGCCTTTAAAGAAGAAACGCACGCCGTTTTTTAATATTATTTAGTATTGGAATTGCTATACAAATTTATATAAGAACCGGACTACCGCAAGATTATAAGAAATTACTACTAAGAATAAGAAGAACCGCTATAAGTAAGAGATTGCTACTAAAAATAAGAAGAACCGCTATAAGCGAGAGATTGCTACTAAGAAGAGGATGAGAAATATTATATATTTTAGTTGATTTTTGTTTTATATAGCTGCTTTAGCTTTATGTACGGCGCGGATTAGAAGAATATATTAGTATAGCTGAGTAATCCGGTTATATAATGTACTGTGTTGCTAAGTTGCTTTCTATGTTAATATGTTAGTTCCAACTACTAAGAGAATTAAGAATATGTTCTATACACCTCACCCCTGAGACCTCAAATTGCTGATATTCTACCTATGGTAGATGATATCCAGAAAGGTGAATGTATAATGTATTTGTTCTTCCCAGGCGTGAAATATATTTCGAAACGGTCGAAGCTAAAATGACAATTGGTAAATTCTTAATGCTAGAATCGTGTAAAGCATTGCTTGGATAGATTTCTGTAAGCAAGTCCGAAGTTAAGGACAACATTTTCATATACCATTTAGTGCACTTGGGCGAGGAACAAAGAATGGTGCGGCGTGCCTATCAAAGACCCCGTCTCGGCAAACACCATCGACGACCGGCCCCTCCCGCCCGGAAGTCATCTACCCTGCCGCCCCGATCTCCATCTTCTGGTCCATTGTATGTAACGGTTTGATCCCCATCTATCCTATTTATTCCCCCGCCTGGCCTTCATTTTATTTTACATTTTTTTATTACTCTTCCTCATCGCAGTTTGGTTATTTGACAATGTCAATGAAGGAGAAACGCTCAGGTGTCCTACACAATCTACAAGAACGGCATCTGGGGCGAGCAGTCCGGCGCCTCAGCGTTCGCCGACGAGGTCATGCTCCGCGACCGATCATACCTCTTGATTATATTTCTCTTCTTCGTGATTCGTTTAAGGTTATCGCTTACTGAGCAGCCGTTGATCTTTCCGCAATGCTGAGCCAGCCGGAACAAGCACGAAGTCATTCCGTCAAGTTAAGGTGAATTTGGATGATATGGAAGGAGACATACCAGTTCGTTTGTTGCTACCTAATGCCATAGCCCTACTTATTCATTAGAGTACTTGGTACAGGCACATACGACCACAGGGTGTGGAAAACAGGGCTTCCCGTCCGCTCAGCCGTACTTAAGCCACACGCCGGGAGGTTAGTAGTTGGGTGGGTGACCACCAGCGAATCCCTTCTGTTGTATGTTTTTGGTTGTTTTTCATCACCAGCCCCCAGCTCTGTCGAGGGACGCTGAGCTTTCTTCTATCTACTTGTATGATTGTTGTATATCCAATGCAGCGTGGGTAAAAGAAACTATTATTTTACACATAGGTTGTCGAGTCTGCCTTGAGGCTGGAAAAGGCAATCCAGGCCACAACTCCTGGCAGCATCGACCGAGCTGGAGTATTACATGAACACGCGGTTTCTGCTCGGTGGGACAAACAGCAACCAGCCAATTGATGGCCAATTAATGATATAGAATATGCCCCCAGTCACATGCCCTCGAGGGGAATCTGTGCTATCGGGAATTGGCCCAATGTTTGCTCCTCCGCTATCAGCGAGAGTTAAAGACGAAAGACCTCGAAAAACCCCGTGATGCCACCCAGGAGGCTTTGCAAATCATTCCAAACAACCACCCGGCGTACTAGTATATGGTTGGCTTCCGAGATACGCTGGATAAGCTCGATGAGAAAGATTGAAGGGGGCGTAGGAGCAGGTAGTAAGGGCTTACGTGAGTACTCCCCCTCAGGGAATGCTCGAAATCTGGGGCAAGGTTCCCTGGATAGGTCTCAGTGATCGTACGAGCAAGCTTGCGCAGTGGGATGTGTGGCTTAGAGACGCACCGGCAACCTCAGGAAATAGTGAAGCTGCAGGGGCAAGATCTCCAGCTAGGTGTCCGAGCGTGGGATGCGCTTGCAATCCGATAAAAGGAAAATTTGGGACTTATTGTTGAGTTCCTCTGCGGTCCGCGACGCGACGATATTTATAGCTGTGCAATACGCTCTTTGTGCATGCTCAAGCATGATTGAGTCTAGGAATGGAAAACGGTCTTGGATGACTATTTTCTCCAGCTTCCGGGGCGGTGCAATGTCTTGAAGATTTTGAGTCAATCGTCCGTGATGACCAGGCAATGCCCGCAGATACGACGGAAGCAGTAGTGAAAAGCAAATGATAATGCTAGATTTAAGCTTAAAACTTTGTCTCAAACCCCGTTTGTCTGGTCGGTGTAAAGTATAGTTGACGCGTCATCAAGCGCTCATCGCAGACCCGTTATATCTTTAATCTAATTAAAAAAAGAAATTGAAGTATATCAGGACTTGGAACTTGAGGACCAGAAGATATCAGAGTGGAGTCGGCCGAAGTTAATCTAAATAGAGAGCAATATTCTACTGATGTATGAACAGGCGGGTTGCTGCTACAAATCCTAGTCTGTCTCCAGTTTATGCTAGATTTAAGCTTAGAACTTTGTCTCAAACCCTGTTTGCTTGATCTCTGTAAAGTCTAGATGATGGATGCGTCATGAAGCGCCGATCGCAGACGCGTTGTCTCTTCAGTAGGCTTGGAAGAAGAGGTTATTGTCGGGACTCGGAACTCGGGGAACGGAGGGTATCAGAGTGGATTCGGCCGAAGTTACCCCAAATAGAGGGCAACATCCCACCGATGTATGGACGGGCGGGGCGCTACTCTAAAATCTAGCCTGTCTCAATACTAACATTTTTCTGCATGGGGCAAAGTCCAGTGTGAAGCCACGTGAAGGGAAATAATTGTAGTTCATGAGTGTGGCAAAGGATGAAGGATGTTCAGGTCACCGAGGAAGTTAGGGTTACTATGGATGGTACCTCAGGCATCACCCGCCCCGGTGGGTGTGAAGCCATGTTCCTGAAGACCAGCCTGATATGGGCCCTGCCAGCTGCAGATTTTCGTAGACGTAGACGGTGGAGATATGCAAGCACTTTATTTTGCTAGCGCCAGTCCTGCCGTGTGTGAGGAGAAGATATCCGCACATAGTGCTACGCGTATGCCACTACACCTTTAGAGGGCCCATCTCCGATGGACCCTGGTGATAAGAATGACTCAATTGACTGGGATACTTCTTACCTGAGACCGCTATGTGTTAGTAAGTACAATTACACTTGTTCCCAATGAATCAAAACTCCCGGCACCCCGCCGAGTCCCGCCTCCAGCCATCTACATAAAATACGCTGCCAACCTTCCCCAACTCCCTTCCAAGCCAACACAAGCAACTTCATCGATACAACCCACCTCAGCATCATGATCGCCAATACTCTGACTTTTCTCGCGCTCAACGCGTTGATTGGCCTCTCTCAGGCCGCACTCACCAATAGCACCGAGTGCGCCGACGTCCACTTCATGCTGGCTCGCGGGACCACCGAGAACTACCCCGGAACCACTTACACCATGGCGGAACTGGCGGCGGCAAACATGACTACTCTGACTACCAACTACGAGAGCATCATCTATCCCGCCGTCAGCGAAACCAGCTCGGACAGCTACTTCGTTGGGCGGGCGGCGGTCGGCAGCCAGGTCAACCGCTATGCTGCCGCGTGTCCTCGCTCCAAGATCGTCCTGATCTCCTACTCCCAGGGTGCCATGATCGTTGGAGATGCTCTTGCTGGCGGCGGCGGCGACTCGACCTTGGGCAATGCCACCGAGCCGCTGATCTCGGAGGAGGTCTCGAAGCATAGTAGGCTTACCTCCCTCCACTTCTCCCCGTGTACTCATACGAAGCCGAGATGCCCAGTAGCCACAGCACATAAACTCTGGCGTCTTAACTGTCAACTTCTGAATGCTCGTCTTCCTGTGGGGGTTTACTAACCTCGGGTGACCCCTTGCTATATAGTTGCTGCGAACGTCTACTACGGCAACCCGCGCCACGCCCCCTACCAGCCCTACAACATGGGTAACAACACCTGGAACGTCACCGGAGTAAGTTCTCATTCTCATTACATGCTTTCCTCCACCCTTCTATGGCTAATCACCACCGCAAGAGATACCCCCGCCTCGACTACCAGATCAACTACCTCCACGACCGTTACCGCCACGTCACCGCGGACTGGTGCAATAACGGTGATGGCGTCTGCTCCCCCTCCGAGGGCGCAGATAGTCTGTCGCTCCACATGGCGTACGCGAGTGACTATGATCCGATCGCTGCCGCTTGGATTGTTGAGAAGCTTGGTGCCTAGGCTTTCGTTGCTCGGGGGGAAGGTAAGGAAATTGTCCCTTGGGCAATGGCGGGTCACTTCCGAGTTTCTGTCGACACCTTTCGGTGTCTATACGAGTGCATGGTTCAAGAAAGTAGTTCCTGGCTTTGCTAGTCTTGTCCACCCATGTCCATATCTAGCTTGTATATGGGTTCCTCCGCGACCTTACTAAACAATATTGTTTCTATGATTTTGGAAGTGTAGCCAGGAGGTGGCGACTAGGGCTAAGGGGCTAGTACTCTTCCAGCTTGCACTCGTCATGTATATGGTACCGTATGTATATTGATCATTGCTTGGAAGTTGGGGAATGGTCATAGGAGATGATGTGGTTCTTGTTATCATAAAATAGTCTAAGATGATAGACAAATGTATGTTTCAGTGGTGCGGGAATTCGTCACTCGCATTTGAGCATCGAGGTCTTCTATTCACTGGTATGTGCTTATTAAATCTCAACACCGATAGACAAGACCCTGTCCTGGTATGAGGGTTGAGTCGCGGCTGTTGTCACTTCCCCGTGAGCGATACTGTCGAACGAATCACTCTCTTAAATTTCGAATTCTCTTCTGCGTCAATAGGCTAGACGACCTAAGGTCCTGAGGATTGAGGACTCCACAGAGCAGCATTGAACATGAACGCCAGGTCCATGGTCGGGAACATCGAAGTGCCCAAGATCGGTTGCAGTGGATCTTCGGGGTAGAACAGATGGTCTGGGTTCGCTGCTGATGTATTGAGATATTCGGTAAGGGAGACTGTTTCATCATTCTGGTATTGAAATGTGCTTGTGTTAGAGCGTCATGGATGGACAATAAAGAAGGGATTGGGTGGCAGAAGCGGCTTACAGCCGTGTGGCTGGAATCACCAGCGCTTTGCGGGTCGGGGACTGGCTGGTAAGCCAGCGGTGGTACGTTGTGGTCTGATCGCCGGCGATGGGGGTTGCTGTTGGTGGTGCTGCCTGAGGCATCTGGCTGCTGCTGCGACCTGGCGCGTAGATTCTGCACGAACTCTCGCGCGATATGCGAGAACTCGGCGGGTGTCGACGGCGGCAAGGAGCCTTTGTTGCTGAGATCCCACCGACTGAAAAACCCGGCTGCTATGTCCAGATAGGCAAGGTTGGTGTTGGTCTCTGCGTGGAAAGGATTGTGGATGACGAAGTCGAAAATGACAAAGACTGCGGAGATGGGAACAATGCCGAGCTCCCTGCTTAAGGCCGTCAGTGATCCGTGAGGAAGTATGGGGACAGAGTTGGGAGGGAGGAACTACCACACAGGCACATGAGCTTCATGATCGATGTGGCGGCAGTCATAGATCACGGCTCGCGCTGTCTCCATAAGTTGGCGCTTGGTTTCCTGGTCAGGCTCACCCGGTTGGGCGGCGGTGAGATGGATTCGAAGGCGACATAGGGTCATCAGCAAGGCATGATAAATGGAGCGCAATTGAAGTCCCATCTCATGCGCACATGAGTTGCTGAAATTCGCAGACCGAAATGGTTGACTGGGCTGGAATTCTGGGCTCAGGGAGGAAGCCCATGCTTCTAATTCGGCAGACATAGAACTGATGGCTGCAATTCGTTCCGCTTTGGGCATCTGAGCCGCACTCACAGAGAAGAGACGCTCATACATTCGTGACATCAACCGGCCCAGGCGGGCGGTGGTTAAGAGCCAGTCCAGCTGGCCGACCACCGCCTCGGGCACATCTGGCACAGGGCAGCCAATGTCATACTCGGGGATCATCTAAAACATGGCTTAACAATGTGTCATTCTTGTTGAAGGTTGGGATCACCTTACCGAAGCACGTCCTCGAAAGAAGCACGTTACTTGTTCCTGCCAATATATGACCCAAAACACCCTATGGCAAAGCTTTTCGTCCTCTGTCAGTATGTAGGCTGCGTTGTAGCCTAGGACTTGCACCATTCTTGCAGCCTCAGAGATTAAGGTTTCCCCTATTTGCACACAGGAAAAACTTGACGCAAACAGTGCCTAGGGCCAGCGTTAGCCCAGAAGGTCGACCACATGAACACTGATCACGAACCATAGCTGTTAAGGCCTGCTGGACGTCAGTTGATGCTTTGTTCAGGTATCCATGAGACGCACCTGAACGTTGAACAAACCTTCAGAAGGCCCAAGGAGATTGGGGAATAGTCCTAATGCCACCTGAAAATACTTCCACGCTTTCCCTTGCCCCGGCTTGAAGGAGCCACCTTCAGTATATTGACATCCTGATGCCAGAACAGTATGATATAAGGCACTGAATGGGGCACTCTCTACCAGTAGTTCCGCGAGTCGAGGTCCAAAAGCTTGTTGTTCGAATTTAGTGCGATCGAGGAAAGGCGAAATGGGATGCAGGGCTTCAAAATATGCTAGAAGACCCACCATTAATACATCCCTTCAGCCACGGTGGGGGAACCTTGACTGACCGGCTATGTAGCGAGCGGCATCATCGGGGGCAGCATAGACGGGAGATTCCGGGCTGCGGAACCTGATTCCAGCGTCATGAACATGCTGATGCATATGCTGCCCCATGCCCTCGAGAAGATCCCGTAGTCTTGTGTGACCAAGGATAGCGGTAAGGGAGCGGATGTGGCTTTCGGAGAAGAACGCCATCCCGGTACTGAGAACTACTACAGATCGTTAGCTTTTGTACGAGTGCGGACATGATGTTGACCGTTACCATGGTTCTCGTGGGTCTGTTCTGGTAAGCTTGGCACAATTGCACTGATCAAGGGAGCCGAACCTTGAAGATAGAGCATGCGCCACGGTTCCTTCCGTCCGCGCGTCGGTCAACAAGGATGTGGTCGACATACAACCGTGAGCCATCCGTAGGCGTGGAGGTAGAGAACGGAGTACGAATGCCATCGGAAGCAGACAAGCTTGCTTTCATCGAGTATACATCAGGACTCAACTTTGTGGATCTAGTTGATCACCTCCTACCTGGACTAGGCCCTGCGGCGGACTCCTTGGGTTTTAATTGCCGCCGTGTCAGACTAAAGTTACAGCGAATGTTCCGTTTCTGCGACAACAAGTTCAGTGTCCACCATAGAGAGACGCATCTACCACTGGCGTCTGCAAATAGCATAGCGTACCTGACACTGGGTGCAAAAGGCGCTTGTTGGTGGTCCTAACGCTCACATCAATATCAGATCACTGAACAGACAGGCACTTTAGAGCAGTGCATATGACGAGCGACAAAGGAGAAACTTACGTAAGCAGCGAATCTTCCTCGCCTTGCAGTTATCGCAAGACTTGGCGACTCGAGGTTGAAGTCGGTCTGGCATCTGTGGATTCAATTGTGTGCAGTTGGCCCGGGCATGGGCATCGATTGGCATTGATGGGAAGCGATGAAAGTGAGGTTGAAGACCGAGGGGCGATGAAGATAAGACGGGACGGACGGAGTTCCTCAGCTCCGCGGTCATGTGACTTCGGGTCTCGGAAGTCAAGCAAGCCCCTTCCAGCTTCTCAATTCTCGGCTCTCGATCCAACTCCGACGGTCTTTATCCACTTCAACTTCACATGCAACCAAAGAGAAAGTCCCTTCTGGAAGATGAATGCCCCTAAGTGGGCCCAGCCATCACCAGTTCCCATCTGGTGGTGTGTCGTTAGGCCCATCATTTTTCAAGCTCTTATCATTGCTCTCGCACCCCCCACTCATTTATAAACCATGGCATCCGACGCTTTATCTACCTTTCGACCTTTGTCGCGTCCTCCTCCCATCGATAGATCGTGGCACTCTCGACGAATAAACTTACTATGAGCACCCAGAACGAGACGGCAACCAATTCCGATGATGAATCGGCAGCAAACGATACGTCCTGGCCCGAGAATGGCCACGAGGAACTGAGAAAGATCGCCACTCGACAATCTACCAAATCAGCAGCTGAAGCCAAAGGCTCACATGAAGCCCAATCGGCAGCTCTTGACCCTCGAAGCCCAGGCTTTGATTATATGGCATGGACAAAGCACCAAGTGGAACAATTCGAGAGAGACAGAACCGCAAGACGAACAGGGGTGGCTTTCAGGAATGCCACTGTGCAGGGCCATGGCGCAGAAATCCAAATCCAACATACTGTCGCGTCGAATCTTCTAGCTCCAGTACAGGGAAGTCTATCGCGGCGTGGCAAACAGAAGAAAACAATTCTGCACGACGTTCACGGGAGTCTCGAGCACGGTGAGATGCTACTGGTGCTCGGTAGACCAGGAGCTGGGTGCTCGACTTTCCTGAAAACCCTGGCTGCTGAGATGGAGGGACTTGACTTGTCCGCAGATGCAGTCCTCAATTATGATGGGATCTTGCAACCGGAGATGAAGAAGTACTACAAGGGAGAGATTCTTTATAACCAAGAAGTCGAAAAACGTGAGCCGCCGCAAGCCTCTGCCTCAATTTGGCATATGTATGCTGCTAAACATTCAACCAGATTTTCCTCATCTCACCGTGAGCCAAACACTTGATTTCGCCGCAGCGGCACGCGCCCCCAAGATTCGCCCTGATGGAATGTCTCGAAATGAGTACACCACGCACATGCGGGGTGTAGTGATGGCGATATTCGGTTTATCACATACGGTCAACACGAAGGTTGGCAATGACTTTGTTCGCGGCGTCAGTGGAGGGGAGCGCAAGCGCGTATCAATTGCAGAGATGGCGCTGGCAGGCTCGCCGCTTTGCTGCTGGGACAATGCCACCCGCGGTCTGGACTCGGCGTCTTCTTTGGACTTTGTCAAGGCACTGCAGATTGGTTCCAAGGTCTTCGGAACAACGCACATAGCCACGCTCTATCAACCATCGCAGGCAATTTACCATCTCTTCGACAAGGTGGCAGTCTTGTACGAGGGACGTGAGATCTTCTTCGGCCTTGCCTCGCAAGCGAAACAGTATTTCCAGAGCATGGGCTGGCATTGCCCTGCCAGGCAGACGACTGCGGACTTCTTGACCAGTGTGACGAACCCTAACGAGCGGCAAGCTTCGACGGGCTTTGAGGATAAGGTCCCCAGGACACCTGAAGAATTTGAAGCACACTGGCGAAACAGTCAGGAATATCAGCAACTCATGCAGGAAATATCAGACTACGAAGCAAGATACACCAGCAATTCCGAATCCACCCAAGCGTTCAAAGAGAGTCATGTCATGCGTCAAGCTCGACACGCCCGTCCAAAGTCTCCCTACTTGATCACTGTCCCCATGCAGATCAAGATATGCATGGTCCGGTTCTACCAACGCGTATGGAATGATCTACCGTCCACCTTAACCCTGATGATTGGCCAGATTGTCTTCTCGCTGATTATCGGGTCCCTCTTCTATGGATTACCGTTCGGAACGCAGGACTTTAGCTCCAAAATGTCCGCGTTGTTTTTCGCGATTCTTCTCAACTCTCTACTCACGGTGTCCGAAATTCAGAATCTCTATGCGCAACGTCCAATAGTGGAGAAACATGCTTCGTACGCCTTCTATCACCCGTTCTCGGAGGCCCTAGCCGGCGTATGTGCGGATTTTCCAATCAAACTCGCAAACAGTCTGGCTTTCAATATTATTTTCTATTTTATGTGTGGACTACGCTACGATGCTGGCCCATTCTTTGTCTTCTATCTATTTGTGACAATGGCTCTATTGTGTATGAGCCAGGTCTTCCGTTCCCTGGCAGCCGTGTCGAAGGCGATCCCACAGGCACTTGCGGCGGCGGGTGTCATTCTACTCGCAACAGTGATCTATACCGGCTACCTTCTCCCGCAACCCAGCATGCACCCTTGGTTCAAATGGATCTCTTACATCAACCCGCTCCGATACGCATTCGAGGCTCTGGCTGTGAATGAGTTTCATGGTCGGAATTTCCCTTGTTCCGCCGTGATTCCCGCATACCCGGGGTTTACCAGCGGATCTGGCTCCTACTTCATCTGTGGCGAGAAGGGCGCGATTGCTGGGGAATTGTTCGTCAGCGGAGATCGGTATCTCTCCGTGAGCTACGGCTATGAGTATCAACATCTGTGGAGAAATTTCGGCATCCTCTGTGCCTTCACCATCGCCTTTCTCGCTTTCTACCTGGTGGCGACCGAACTCAACTCCCGCTCGTTTTCCGGGGCTCAGAGCCTGCTTTTCCGTCACGGCCATGTCCCCCTCGCATTTCAACAATACATCCAGGAGCCTGGGGCTTCGGTTCTCACTGCACCTCAGGACAAAGAGGAAACAGAGCCTCCATTGCCGCCGCACCGCGACACGTTCACCTGGCGTAATGTCTGCTACGATATCGAAATCCAAAAGGAAAAGCGTCGTTTGCTGGACAATGTCAGCGGATGGGTGAAGCCTGGTACTCTGACTGCGTTGATGGGCGTGTCTGGTGCGGGAAAGACCACTCTGCTCAACGTTCTGGCCGGGCGCGTTTCGGTGGGCGTGGTGATGGGAGACATACTCGTTAATGGATCGCCTCTCGGGGCGAGCGTCCAACGCAGCACGGGGTACGTGCAACAACAGGGTCTACACCTGCACACTGCCACAGTTCGTGAATCATTACAGTTCTCCGCCCTGCTCCGACAGCCCAAGTCCGTTCCCGTGGCCGAAAAGTATGAGTTCGTGGAAAAAGGTAAGCGCGCGTCCGAAAGCATGGAACCCTGGACTGCAGTTGGCTGATACAATCCTAGTTATCCGCATGCTTAACATGGAGGAGTTCGCCGAAGCGGTCGTGGGCTTTCCGGGTGAAGGGCTGAATGTTGAGCAACGCAAGCTTCTTACCATTGGCGTCGAGCTCGCTGCTAAGCCTGCTTTGCTCTTGTTTCTGGACGAACCGACCTCCGGGCTGGACAGCCAGTCCTCGTGGACCATCATAGCCTTGCTGCGTAAGCTGGCCTCCAACGGACAGGCAATCTTGTGTACGATCCATCAACCCTCGGCGATGCTGTTCCAGCAATTTGATCGCCTCCTGTTTCTGGCTAAGGGTGGTCGTACTGTCTACTTTGGTGAGATCGGGTCAGAGTCCCGGACGATGCTGGACTATTTTGAGCGCCAGGGAGCGAGGAAGTGTGATAGCGCGGAGAATCCGGCCGAGTATATCCTCGAGCTCGCGGGTGCTGGAGTCAACAGGAAAGCCTCCCAGGATTGGCCTGCATTATGGAAGGCAAGTTCCGAAGCTGTGGAGGTGATGCGCATTCTTGAGCAAGACCCGTCACGCCCTCAGAGCAGCCGAACCGAGACCGATCCAGCAACTGAGTCCGAGGAGACCGCTTTTGCCATGCCGTTCAAGGATCAGTTTGCTGCTGTTCTTCGCCGCATATTTCAACAATACTGGCGATCGCCCGAGTACATCTACAGCAAGCTGGCCTTGGGAGTGCTTTCGGCTCGTAAGTTTGATTGACTGTTGCCCACCACAAACTCCTGGTATTCACTAACCCATTCATACAGTCTTCGTCGGCTTTTCCTTCTACCTACCTGGCACCTCGGAGCAAGGGCTGCAATCGTCAATTTTCTCCGTCTTTATGATGACCGCAATCTTCACGGCGTTAGTCCAACAGATCATGCCTCAGTTCATTGTGCAGCGCGACCTCTACGAAGTCCGCGAACAGCCGTCCAAAACCTACCACTGGGCCGCATTTCTAGGCGCTAACCTACTGGCTGAAGTCCCGTGTCAGATAATAGTCGCAATTCTCGTGTACGCCAGCTTCATCTACCCGGTTTACGGGATTGTGGACTCGCAGCGCCAGGGGGTACTCCTGCTCCTGATCGTGCAGTTCTTCGTGTACGGGTCGACCTTCGCGCACGCGGTGGTGGCCGTGCTCCCGGACGCCGAGACCGCGGGCCTGATCGCCACGATGCTCTTCAACATGACCCTGGTGTTCAACGGGGTACTCGTCCCGCCAGTCGCCCTGCCGGGCTTCTGGACTTTCATGTACCGCGTCTCCCCGATGACCTACCTGGTCAACGCGATCATCGCCACCGGCGTCAGCGGTCGTCCCGTGCACTGCGCCGACAAGGAACTGAGCGTCTTCGACGTCCCGCCTACTTACAGTACCTGTGGGGAATACATGGAGGCGTATCTTCAGGCGGCAGGAGATGCCGCGGGTACACTCCTCAACCCCAACAGCACCGAGCAATGCCAGTACTGCCCCCTGCAGGCTGCGGATCAGTACCTGGAGGGCCGCGAGATATACTACAGCCAGCGGTGGCGCAACTTTGGCCTGCTGTGGGCGTACATCGCATTCAACGTGGTGTTCGCGCTCGCGGTGTATTACTTCTTCCGGGTGCGCTCCTGGAAGAGAAAGGTCTGATTCATCGCTCGGCACACCCCCGACTTGGAACACAGTGCGCAGGGACTTGGCCTGTAAATGGCGCTGCTATACAGGATCGTAAGAGGACATCTTACTCGGTTCCAACAAACTCCTCTTTAAATCAATCATTTAGTTCTATCAAACTCCCCTTCAATTCCATTTTTAATCATTGATTCTTTCCTGTCGTCGCCGGATTCCACCGGTTTCTTGTGTCTGTGGTTGGTCCATCATTACCGCCCCGGTTCCTTGTGCAGTGTGTGCTGCTTGAGAAAATACCAAACACTGCCCAGAGTTGCAATTCCTTTTTTCCATCCCATGAAGGCACTTCACAAACACATATTATGTCAACTTTCAGACTGAAGATCCGTCAGTTATATATCTCTTGAATCGTTTCATAAACCCAGACTTCAATCGCACCATGAATGTGAGTCATAGATAAACTTTCTACAATCCCCTTCATTCCTCTTCTCTGTCTCTATTACTCGTTTCTTCATAGAAAATCTATCAATGTAATCAGTTCTACGAATTTCAATATGATAATTATTATAAACACAAATATTTTCGAAAAAGATTGATTCTCCATCCCATCGACTGCGTTCTCCTACCAAGAATCGTCTCAAGTGACACCGTATAGCCAAAAATAGGATCCACGAATATTTCTAGAGTCCCAAGGGCAAATGGAGGAAAAGCCCTCCTAACATGGAACATGACTTACATCATCGGCGAAAGTTGCATGTAGCCGCGTCACGTGCCGAGCACCACGTGGATCAAGCCCCAGCAGAAGCCCTAGTGGCTCAGTCCTGTGATCCAGGTCTGGTACATGCTCGCCATATCCGCGGCCATTGCAGTCTGGCATTCCACCTGTGGACAAGCAACGGACCTAAATTGGAAGATAACAAAACACTAAAGCTGCTAGTAAAAGGGGAAAAAGGTGGCGTGATAGTCGTGGCAGGTCCCAGTCCCGACACCCGAAGGACCTTGTCAGTCACGAAAGCCGAGACCCGAGACGCTTGGCAACTGACTTCCGGTGAGGGTCGAGGTTCGCGGGGATTGAACTTACAAATATCTGGTAGCTGGCTTATCAATGACTTTTTGCTCGGTTTCGGTAGATGAGGAACTGGATGGACATTGAGAGAAGAAATGGCGAGGGGACGATTGGAGATTTATCTGGGAACAGCTTATAAATACCTTAACTCTACAGCCGCTCGTCCTTGGCGGGCAGTTGGGGTTCCACGAAAAACAACGCCCAAATACCGGAAATAACAAATTGAACACTATCACCACCACAGCCCCAACTCGTAACAGAGAAACGATGGACTCTCCGCTTGCACAGCCGTTGACCCTACCATGCGGGTTGCAAATCCCCAACCGACTTGTGAAAGCGGCGATGGCTGAGAAACTCGCCGACGGGGATGGGCTTCCCACGCCGACGCTCGAGCGAGCATATGAGAAATGGGGCGGCGGAGGGTGGGGGCTGATCTTGACGGGTCAGTATTATCTTAGCAATGAGCAGTAGCAGGCGGTCTTGGTGCTGCTTTGTTCATTGTCGCTGCCACAATTGTCGGCATCACGACACACACACACATTCAGCTAATATGATTCCTATATGAGCGCGACAGGCAACGTCCAGGTCGACTACCGATACCTCAACGGCGCAGGCGACGTGACCATGAAGCCCACCGTGAGCACACACAAGCAGCTCGCGCGCTGGCGCGCCTGGGCCAGCGCCTGCACCACACCCCGCCAGACCCCAGCGATCGTGCAACTCAACCACCCAGGCCGCCAGTCCCCCATGGGCGCAGGCAGCCGCAGCCTCTGCGCGCAGAACCTAGCCCCCAGCGCCGTACCGCTGGACTTTGGTCCCGGCCTGATAGCCCAGACGATCAGCCGACTGGTCTTCGGGGTGCCCCGCGCCATGACCCAAGCCGACATCCAGACGGCGGTGCAGCAGTTCGTGGACGCGGCGCGGTTGGCGGCGGAGGCGGGTTTCCAGGGGGTGGAAATCCACGCGGCGCACGGCTACCTCCTGGCGCAGTTTCTATCGGCGCACACGAATCACCGCACCGACGCTTATGGCGGGTCCGCTGCGCGGCGGGCCCAGTTGGTCGTCGAGATCATCCGCGCCGTTCGCGCGGCGACTCCGCCCCGGTTCTGCGTCGGGATCAAACTCAACTCGGTGGATCATCAGTCCGCTGAGGCGCTGGAGGAGTGCATTGAGCAGATGAGATTGATTGTTGCGGCTGGGGTGGACTTCGTGGAGATTAGTGGAGGGTCGTATGAGAAGCCTACTGTGAGTTGTTGATTCCCCCTATCCCTGATATGCGATGAAGAAGTGGGGGAGGAGGTGCGTTGTAGTACGGTGCCTAACATGTTAGATAGATGATGACGAGTGAAGTTATCCAAGGACACCGACCCTCGGCTCGGACTCAAGCGCGGGAGGCGTTCTTCTTGGACTTTGCTAGCGCGATTCGGAGCTCATTCCCAGAAGTGCCTCTGATGGTGACGGGGGGCTTCCGTACCCGCCAGGGGATGATCGACCCCCTGCAGAACGGGGACTGTGACATGATCGGACTCGGTCGACCCGCGGTGTTGCATCCGAGTCTTCCCGTAGAGGTTATTCTTAACGAGCGGGTGTCTGCCGACGAGGCGCGCTTGGTGACGGAACGGGCGCCGATCTCCTGGGCGAACAGGTGGACTAAGTTGCCAGTAATTGGAGCCGGAGATGAGAGCGTGAGTACATGTGCTTCCTTCGTCCTGGATGCAAAATCTGTGAACCTAGCTAACGCTGGTTGATGTAGCGGCATTACAGTAATCGGATCGCGGAGTTGGGGGCTTAGGCTAAAGGCTGGACCCTGAAGTTCATGGTTCACATCGGGATCTGCTGAAGTGAGTATTTGATCGGTTTTAGATCGAGTGAAGAGTGTGAGCAAGCTTTCTGTACAAGGGCAGTGAGAGCGGGATAGATCTACTCAGGTTAGAGCCCTGGAGCAATATAATTAGCACTATCCTGTACTTCTATAATGATTAGATTTGGGGGGCCCCGCTATCAGCCCTCGAGAGCGATGGTTATATTGTGCCAAGGCAGACAGGACTGTTTCAGGTGTTAGAAATGGAGATCAAGTGTGAGATGTGACATTCCATACTCTCCAGACATGGTCTGGGTTTAGAGACGCTGAAATTTATTGATTTCTCATTATTCTGATGCAGATTGACAAGCGTCTGTCAGGTAACTGCCCTAAGTGCCTCAGGTACCTGCGGAATTCCACTGTTTGTGGCGTGGAAGGAAGTTTCCCAGCTTCTTTCTTTCCATCACTCTGTATCAAATCCCTGATAAAAACCCGAGTTTTAGATTTCGTTCCCCTCGGATATTGTACTCCTGGAGTGATTGAGTCAAGCCTGCCGGTACCAGCTCGAAAGCTGTCGGCATTCCTTGATTCCGGCCACGTGATCCAAGGTGATTCACGCAGAGAACTTACGTAGTATGTACTGGTCAAGTCCGTACAGCATAACAACCACCACAAATCCAAGACATTGTTCCACATTGCCCTTCCCTTTGTGTCATTGTTTTCTCAACGAAGGCGAGTAGGGCAAGCGCCGTGGGAGGCCAGATGGAGACCGAATGCAAGCGTTCATTCTTTATATACTTCACTCAGCTCTACAGTGATCTTGCCCTAACTAGTCTCATCGCCGGTAGCTCGAGTCTCTCAATCTTGGGAGAATCACACTGAAACAAAATGTTCTATCAATACCACATTGTGAATGGGTAGAAAGGCTGATTTCTCCTCATTGCCAGGCAGGCTGAGCTGACAGATGCGCCGATGACGTAGCGAGCGGTGCGGGGTCGGGATCAACCCTGCAGCAAATCAAGCACGAGGGGCAATTCACCCCCAAGTCAGCATGAAGACTTATATTATTGGCTAATTGGGCAATCTTCGCATCAAGGATTCGCGAAGTGTCAGCTCTTGACGGTGTTTACTGCAGCAAGACGGCCAATAACCGCGGTGACAGCTGTCGCCGGCCACTTGGTAGGCATCCCATGGCTACCTAAGACACAGAAGGACTGCTGCTGCTGCCCATACGAGAAAGAGAGCCAAACTCCAATCATCGAGTGTCTGTAGAATCACTCTGGCTACAATGATTGAGTCACCGCGCCTGGTTGTTGCCCAGCATATGTCGATGACTAAACACCGGCAGTGAGGCGGAGGGAACTGCAACAACGCCTTGTATGCCTCATCGGGCTACACTGTCGATTATAATGGGTCCTTGTTATTGTCAATCCTCCCCAGCACTGTAAAACCTACCTTATCTTCTCTCCTGTCCCTGGGCTCAGATCCAAAACCTTACACCCACCCTTCCTTGTTTACTCGCTGTTGGTGGCTTGAACTGCCGCTCGAGCCGCTCTTTCCTCGCTCTTTTCAACGTACTTGCCAACATGCAGGTCGCCGTAGAAGATGACCTTCTCTCGTTGACCCAGTCCTTGTTACTCGACGATGTGCGAGTCACTGTCCTAGTGTCTCAACTCCAATTTGAACCATATCTTAATCCGTCGCAAGATGAAACTTTGGCTACACTTGGGGGAGTAGATGAGGAGCTTCGATCGTTCCTTCGACGCATAGTTCTGACACGGACACATATATCGCCTGCAGCTGCATACCTTGCATCACTTCTGCGAGGATGCGGCTACACTATCAACCTAGTGGAGCGGCAGCTGCGACTTTATGGCTCCAGCTACGGTGCGCGAGGTTATGTCGCCGGTCGCTGGCCTCAGGCCCTGGTGGCATTGCAGCAATACAAGGCACTTCTCCGCGAAGGGCTTCGGCTCTTCAACCCCAACAGGTAAGCATGACCTCGTGATCATCGTCCCCTATCTTCGTCTGACCCAGTCGAATCATTCAGTCTTCGCCCGCCATTCGAGGAACACCCACTCGCAAACGATATCGAGTACCAAAACACCATCATTCAACAGCTCTTACAAGACCAAGTCGAGTTCGAAGCCTCCCACTGGCATGAGGTCTACCAAAACCACGAAGAAATTGAAGTGCGCTCTGAGTACCCTCCATCCACCTATGTTACTCCTCCCAGCAGTATCAGAGATGGAGATGACCCAGACGATCCGCCGATCCCCTTGCCACAGTTCCAGCCACGCCAGACCACCCACGAGCTCACCGCAAATGCAGCTCAACAAGCCGGCGATCGCGAGCGGAGTCGCATATACGCTATTCTCAAGTCTATTTGGATCTGTGAGAGTCGAAGCCCGCAAGAGCGATCGAAATTTCTGGCCCACGCGATCCGTTCCAACAGCGTCGATGGGGTCAGCCTGCTACTCGATCTGGGAATTGGAGTGGACCAACCGTCCAACAAGGATCTGCCTCTATGCCTAGCTGCCAGACTGGGACACGATGAAATTGTGCAAATGCTCGTTGAGCGTGGTGCCACAGTGGAGAAGCGAAGCGGGTTCGGCAGCACGGCGCTCATGTCGGCGGCGGGAGCCGGGCAGACCTCCACCATCGCTTTACTGCTAGATAACAAGGCCGACATCAACGCCCAGAGCACATCCAAAGGGGCCAGCGGCTTTACACCACTGATGAAAGCTGTGCGATCGGGGCATCAGAATGCGTGTCGACTTTTGATGGATCGGGGAGCAGGCACGGGCATTCACAACGCCGCAGGCGAGTCTTTGCTGCATGTCGCCATACAGAGCGGTCGCTCGGAGATCATCGATCTCGTCCTCGAAAGCCGCGTCCAGATTGGCGTGGCAGATCAGAATGGTAACACTGAGTTGCACCTAGCTGCTAGCAAAGGACTGGTTGGGTTATCGACGATTCTCCTGCAGCGAATGAATACCATCGTCAAGATCGGTAACCACAAGCAGGAAACCCCACTACATCACGCCATTCGGACCAGGAGCCTCGAACTTGTAAAGATCTTTCTCGACCGAGGTGCCTTTCCAAATGCCCCGGACCATAAAGGGAGGACCGCGCTCCATTGTGCGATTGAGGAGGATTGCTCGAGTCTTGTTCGTCTTCTGCTTGAGCGAGAGGCAGACCCAGATTTCCGAGACAAGGATGGCAAGACACCGCTTCACTATGCAGTGAAGCGAGCTAATCGGGAGATCATTCAAACGTTACTTCACAAAGCGCCCGCGATGAACATCGAGGACACGAATAAAGAGACGCCGCTTCAGTACGCCGTCAAGTCTGGCAATCTCGCTGTCGTGCAGCTCCTGGTAGCGCAAGGTGCGGACCCAAAGTGGAGGGCCAGCGACGGCAAGTCTCTCGCTGAGTTTATCATGGAATTGTCGCCGTCGGAGGAGTTATCGAGCGGTATGCTGCGCGACCTTCTTCGCCAGCATAAGCCCGGGCAACCATTGGCTGTCACCTTCGGGTTTCCTGTCCTTTCAAAAGCGACAAGAGAAGGCCAAATTGCACTCGTGAGACTATTCTGTGACCACTACCCCGAACTTGTCAACGACAATCCACCAGCTGAGTCGGGGTTCTGCCCTCCACTGCATGAAGCCCTCCAGCTGTCCCATGAGAAAACCCACCGCCGGGAGTTGATTAGTTTCTTCTATGGGCTTCCACAAACCGACCTGAATATTCTTGATTACCAGGGAAACCTACCGTTGCACCGAGCTGTGGATACATGGCACGATGGACTGCTCACCAAGCTCATCGCTAGGGGGGCTGACAAGAACAAGCCTCATGCGACCACGGGTCTGCCACCGTTGCATTATGCAGTCCACAAGCAAAAGCTCAGGGCAGTTGAGGAGCTGCTAGCGAAGAAGGCAGATGCCGAGCAGCGGGTGAACGGGGAGCAGTGCGACTGGTGCAAAAGGCATTCACGACCAGCGGGCAGGAATGCGCGATGCGTGTTACTGGCTATCCCAGAAAAAGATCGCGGGCCGGACTGGGAGGCCATTAATGTTCAACTGTCACAAGTACTGAACCCCCGGCCTTCCCCTAGTCCGGGCTCGGATTCTAGTGGTGGTGGGAAGAAAAGGAGGAAAGTTCGTTGACATGTCTAATATGCATTTGATGTGTGTGTGTGTGTGTGGGTGGGTGGGTGTGTTTTCAGTGTGGGGTTGCGAGGATGCAGGGATTAGTCACCCAATGCATGCAAACTCACAGTGCATGTGACTCGATGTGAGGAAGGTGATTACAGGCGCTTTGGCCCTTGAGAGTGGAGGGGCTGATACCAACCTTGCAGGGAGTGGGAGTGAGTGGGAGTTAGAGATAGGGCTCGATGACAAGCGGTGAGTCTCTTACCCAATCCGGAATGCTGGTTCGTGTCAGAAGGTTGGGTGGCGTACGACTAGAATACCTACCTGGTACCTTATATCCCACCATGTCTGATATTAGGGTAGTACAATCCCTGTCAACCATCGACCACGCCTGTCATCCCTTACCTTAAGGTCATCGCGTGGTCAGCACGCGGGGGCTTTGACGCCTCTTTTCCAAAATTCTGCTTTCGCCCACAGCTCGCATGGTCCATTCCATCCACACTTGTTTGTCCCCTTGTCCGTAGCCCCTCGAGGGCGCCCCATTTCAACCATGCTCCCTATAAACACTTCAACTGCACGCCAACCAGTTCGTCCTGGTCAGTGTTCCATTACTGCTCTCTTGTTCATGTCCATTAATCAGTTTTGTAGGTTGCTATACATGCAAAGTGAGAAAGGTTCGATGCAAGTCTGAAGCGCAAGAGAGCTCATCAGACGGGCTATCTAGCTGTGCGTCTTGCAGACGACTAGGGCTGGAGTGCCGATGGAGCGCCCCGGTGGCCGGAGAACATTACAGCCCACCACCGAAACGACGGCAAACCATCGATCGGAGACGTGAGCGATCGCGTTACATCAAACCCACGGAGTTGAAGGGTGGCGATAACGAGGTATCTCGGGTGAGTGGAGGGGAGCGAAGTACCGGCTATGCAGCGACGAGCCCAGTCGTCGACGTGCCAAGGCTTACGGAACAAGGCAACGCTGCCAATGCCAATCACACCTCTTCATTGGAACTGGATGCCTGCGTTGATATGCTGGGAGACCTGCCTTTCGAACTCGAGTACGGCTTGGACTTCACCCCGGTGGATTTAAATCTCCACCACGGGACAACCCTTCTCGACCACCGCCCGCTCTCATTGTCTGCTGGGGGGCTTGCAGACCCCACGAATCTCACGGATTCGTTTCCCTCTCCACATAGCCTGGAGCTGCAGAGTACCGCTACGCAACTGTATCCCGATAAGCAAAGCACGAATGGCGATGGCTTCTTCCCCTGGGATATCTCCAACATAGGCGCCGAGGAGCAGCATTTGATCCAACACTATCTGATGACCATGACGGGCTACGCGAAAGTGGATGATGGTCCGCGGGGGGCTAGCAACTTATATACCACTGCATTCTCCCAATCGCTCTCGTTCAAGCCTCTTCTGTACGCCATTCTTGCCTTCTCCGCGTCGCATCTAGCGTTGGAAGACCGCACGTATGCTGTGAAGGCGTCGCATTTCGAGCAACTCGCGCATGACTCCTTTGAAGTGTGCAAACAGCACAACATCTCCGAGCCCGAGAGCCTTCTCTCGGCGCTGTTTGTTCGCGCAAAGAGGGTTCATCTTCTTGCGGGCGACGTGGAGGTCTTCCATGCTCTTGTCAACGAAGCCGTCCACATTACCATGTCTGAACGCGGACAGCGGGCGTTACAGAACCTGTACTCGCTGGCCCAGCGGATTGTGATTCGACTAGCTATACTAGACGCTCGCGCATCCTGCTATAGGCTTGGTGGGGGCAAGCTGATCCAGTCGCTGCGCCACATCCCGGCGATGTCGTTCATTTTCGAACGGGAATCGGATGCCGGCCCAACGGCATCATCGAACCACGGCAACAGCAATCAAAACCATGCATTGGTTAGTCTCTTGCGGGCGGACCTGCTGCGGATGAAGATCGCTGAACTGGATTTACGTCTGCGCCACCAGGCTGGAAGTGCCACCTTGACCCCTTCTCCAGTCAGTACGGAGGAGGTTCGTTCACTGCATGGCCAGGTCGTGCATGAGATCCTGCACTGGGAGCAGCAAATGCGCAACAAGGATCACGACCTGGACGAGGCTGACTGGCTTCGCACTGCACGAAGAGAAGATGCGGGAATCATGGATGCATCTGCATATGCACAGTATCTTGTTCTGGCGGCTCTTCATGCCGGGGTTTTGTATCTCTATCTTCTCTACGTAAGCCAGCCTCCTGCCCCTACGTTCTCCCTGGATTAGATAGCTAACAACACGGATTCAGCCTCTACGGTGTATTCGATGGGAGCACTCCGTCTCCCGGATCTTGCACTGCCACCTGAAGTTCCAACACGATCCCTCCCGCCGCGATTGCCCTTCTTCGCTGGCGCCGTCCTCCTTCCTGCTGGCCGGGATCTGCACCACGGACCTGATCCATCGCGACTGGGTATTAGATCGCTTTAGGAGAGGCGAGCGATGGGGGACGTTTATCCAGAAGGCACGGCAGGTTCTGGAAGCTGCTACGGCGAGGGGGTGTGACGACGATGGCGTTGACATTTGTACACTGATGGATCGGCTGCAGGGGCGGTTTTTCATTTGATCTGGGACTTAGACGTGTGTCATTTATATTGAGAACGTTTTGATTTGCTTCACATTATCGCGAAAGGGTTACCCCGAGGGCCTGCTTCTAGAAGACTAGATTTCTTCAATTCGACGCGCTCATGTGCTTGCCATTATAGAAAGATGGACTTGAACGCAGTAAAGTGCATATTACCCCGCATGGAGGTCAGGGATTGAGTGGCCTGCGAAGAAGCAAACATGTGCGTGATAGGAATGGCCAGGATATTCAATGATAGGTGCTGACAGGGGCACGGGGTAAGAGAGCAGGTTCCGTCTTTCTTTGTTTGGCAACGCCATCTTCCTCCAGGGAGCCACAAGATAGCCTTCGAGACAAAGTGTATCTTTATGAGACGTAGATACGTCTAATCAGGGTTGAGCGTGTTGCCTACTCCTGTGAACCACGGACCCTCTGATAACCATGATAATCCCACAACTAGTTACGCTCCTGCCAGAGATAAGTTGTCACCAACGAAGATAGCACCTACCATCCACGAGGATGCAAGAGTCTCACAAAGCACGAGGATGTCCCGACAGTGTCACCTGACACGCCATGTCTATCCCGACACAATCGGGCACCGGCTGAGGTCGACCGCTGCACTCCAACCCTAGTCAAACACAGGCAGCTAGCCAGGGCCCCCTTTTCTCCTCAGCGTTTCTCCCCACACCACCATCTCCAGTTAGATAAACACCTCATGCGGGGAAGAAAGCGAGGAGTCTCATAAAAAGAACCGTCTTTTCTCCACTTCTTGCTGTCATTGTGGAACTTGCTGAGCTGTCGATATACTGAGTTAGCCTTGTGTGTCAATATTTTTTCAATTATCATCGGTCTTGCTGCGAGCCCGTGTCGAAGATAACGTCCTGTTGTTAATGCCAGCTTTAGGCGTTTGTGCCGGGTCCAGTGATTACTTTGCGATATGACAGCCATGGACCGGTTGAACACCTCTCCGACCGGGGAAGAAAAGGGAAGACCCAAGGAGGACCAGTATACTTACGAAGAAGCGGAGAAAGATCCCAACATGCACAAGGGGACCGCTTCCGAGGAGGGTGACACAGATGGGGTGTTTACCTACAGTGCTGAGGAAGAGCGGTGCGTGAAGCGCAAGATCGATCTGATTCTTCTGCCCTTGCTGTGCATGTGCTACGTCTTTTCCGTGCGTCTCCCTTCCCCGTCTTTGCGAGAGGATGTGTGTTTTGTTTCCATCGGTTACTGACCTTTCCTTTCGACCCCGCCAAGTTCCTCGACAAAACCCTCCTCAACTACAACAGCATCTTCGGCATCAAGACCGCCCTCCACCTGACGGGCTCCGACTACAGCTGGCTGGGCAGTGCCTTCTACCTGGGGTATATCGTGGGCGCGCTCATGTGGGCCAAGCTGGTGCAGCGGTGGCCGCAGCACGTGGGGAAGTTCATCTCTGGCGCGGTGACCGTGTGGGCGTGCATTACTTTGTTGACGCGTGGGTTTGCCCTTCCTTCTGGGGAGCTGTCTGTTTTGGCTGGTGTGGTTTGCTGATTACTTGGTTCTTGGTTGTAGCGCTGTGCTATAACTTCGTTGGCATTCTGGTTGTGCGCTTGTTTCTGGGCTTGGTGGAGAGTATCATCGGCCCCGTGTTTGTGATTGTCACCAGTAAGTGGTGGACGCGGTCGGAGCAGGCGTTTCGCACGGCGTTTTGGTTGGGGGGGACGCCGGTGAGTTGTTTTTTTTTTTCTTACGGAGTTCAAAGGAGTGCACAGAGGACGCGTTTGTTGGGAAATTTGCCAGGCTGATATTGTCTTGTCTGATGGGGCCCTAGATTGGGAACTTCTGCGGCGGGTTGATATCCTACGGTCTGGGATCGAGTACGTCCAAGCCCTCTGTCTTCATGTGGTCCAGGCTGTGGAAAGATGTGACAGACCATAGCTAAAGCAGCGCAGTGCACCCATCCTTCCCGACGTGGAAGCTCTTCTTCGTCTTCTTCGGCGCCCTCGGCCTCGCCTACGCGGTCGTCCTCAGCCTCCTCATGCCCGACACGCAGGCCAACGCGCGCTGGCTCACCCCGAAAGAGAGACGCATCGCCGCCGACCGCGTGCGGGCCAACCACACAGGCAACTCTAATACCAACGAGTGGAAGTGGCCGCAATTCTGGGAGGCGCTGCGCGACCCGCAGACGACCATGTTCTTCGTTACGGCGGTCGGGAATACCATGCCGTCGACGTTCGCGAGTATGGTAGGTGTGCCCCCTGTTCAGTGAAGATTCTGATCAAACGGATCTACTTGCGTCCCTCACAGAAATATATCCTGATGTGAATTTGGGTGGTCTAGTTCTCCAGCCAAATCGTCTCCGGCTTCGGATTTTCGACCCTCGAAACGACCATCGTCTCCACTTGCCCGGCGGCAGTGATCCAACTGTCTACCTTCCTGGTGTTCTCGTACATCGCCTCTCACCGTCCGAATATCCGGCTCGGGTTGTCGATGCTTGTCTCGGTGCCACCCTTGATTGGGGCGTCGCTGCTGCATGCGCTGCCGTTGGAGAATCGCGCGGGCCGGTTGGCGGGGTATTATCTTACCTATACGTGCGTGCCCTTTGCCCTCTCTTCTGGTGATAATCTTCTGCAGCGAGAAAGACAAGTTTGAGCAGTTACAAACTAACAAGCCCTGAGGTGGGCAAGGAAACAGACATACGATGTCCTTCACACTCAACACCAGTCTCATGGCCTCCAACTTCGCGGGGAATACCAAAAAGGCTACAGCGAACGGAGTGATCTTCGCCGGTTGGGCGGCCGGGTTGGTTGCCGGGCCACGTTAGTGCTCCCTTCTACCCCTTGATCTGTTCCACCGGCATTGAATGCCAGGAAGCAGCGTGAGTGACATACTGACTGACTCGCGTGGGTAATAGAATTCTTCCTTGATAGCCAAGTCCCGGTATATGAGCTTGCGTTTCGGATGCTCAGTACGTTCCATCTTCCTTCTCCTGGTTACTCTGTTATCCGGCGAGTCTAGCACACCGCTTGGGAACAATGCTGACAAGAGATAGTGGGCACCTACGCACTAATGATCATCGTCCCATGCTTCCAGTTGGCGTGGTACAACTACGAGAACCGGCGGCGCGAGCGACTCTCGACAGGGCATCATCATGCTGGACAGGCTGGTGGGGAGGATGAGGATGATGATCGGACGGATTTCGAGCAGTGGGAGACATTTCGGTATGTTATGTGATTGTTCGATTGGGAAAACGATGTTGGATTATTGGGTGGGGTATTTGGTGTTGGTTTTCAATTTGTTGGGAAGTCGGGTTTTGAAGGGTATATATATCGATAGTATGAGACGTAAGTTGAGATATGTGCAGGTAGTTTCATCCTCCAGCATGAGTTACAGCCTCCATGTTGGATCTTCAGAATATGACACTTGAATTTTGTTACAAGTATAGATGGGATCGGTCCCTCCAAGCCCTAATTGCGATCGGCATGAACCTGGGGATTAATGTATGTCGGGGACAAAATCCGTCGAATGTACTCTGCTTATCTGGAACACGTCGTTTCTTGGCCATTTATTTCATAATCTGTTTTGTGGTTCTGTGAGTCGTCCCACGTTTACACGTATCATTTGCAAAGGCTACGCGTTGTGCAGGCATGCAGTCAGTGTCATGGAAGTATAGGGTGGATCCAGGGACCCTCTGATCTGGTATGAACTTATATCCTATTCACATTCCGACATATCTCCCTATAGCTAGTACAATTAGTGTATGCTGAGCCCATTCATGCGTTCCGCTCCTTCCAGAAATGCACTCGTTCCACTGTCTCGCGCCGAAGAACTTCAGCATCTTCAGGCAAAAGGAAGCTCAACTTCATTTGACGGGCGATCGCCGCCCCCGCCCGCCTGCGATATGCAGCCACCGATCCATACAGCGCCCGCAGTTCTTCCTCCGTGAACGGCCATTCTGAGCCTATGAAATTGATATACATCAATTAGCAATGGGCTTCATTTCATCCAGGGAGCAGGAGTGGTCTTGTTCAAGATAAGAAGGACATTCAACTCACCACAATACCAGTTCGGCCTCCCGCGAGGCGTCGCCGCCACGATCCTGGCCACCGGCACCTCAGTATGCAACGTCCGAACCCCATCTAATGCATTCCCAAAGCGATCGCGCACGATCTCATCTGTCTCACCAACGGTCCGAATCCACACACTATCCGGCGGCGTGAACCCGCCGTCTCCACCCTCAACAATCCACCGCCGCATCGCTTCAAACACAGCATGATACACAAACGAATTCGCAACAGTGCTCCATCTTACCCCCTCTCCCTCGCCTTTCCCAGACTCCTCCACCCCAGGGAGAGATGGCCTCTCCCCCCACCGCACCCGATCCACGGCAGAGTAATACCTCGACTCGCGATGACCCATCCCCGCCACCTCATACAGCCTATACCCCTCGCTCTGCGGCCTCCGATGCGCCGTCCTCTCCCAATGCATCTGCCCACTCACCCCACAGGGATACCGCACCGACAAGAACTCCGATTCCCCCAGCAACTCAATAATCTTACCCCCGGATACACAGTCAGGCAAAGGCGTCGTGCCGCCCGACTGACACGGCAAAAACCCATCGAACGGAGCCGTCTCCCCATCCGGCAACCTTAAATGCCCGGAGTGCGTGATGAACCGCCGAGTAAGGCCGCCAGTCTGCGAGAGGCCACTGAGCACCACCCACCGCGCCGTTAGGCCGCCCAGCAGGCCCGCGCGGAGGGCGTGCGACGCCGCCGTGAGGATCTCCGGGGACTGGGTCGTGGCGGGCCACCATTTCGCTTTGAAGGCGTCGTAGGCTTGCCAGAGTTGCTCTTTGGAGAGAGTTTCTTCCTCGCTCCCGTCCTCGACGGGAATGTTGTCCGAGAACTCATCGTAGGTCGGGCCGGGCGTGAAGGCCATGGCTGCGTAGCGCTCGGGATCGACGTTCTTGAGCTTCCCGATCGCGGAGGGGGCTTGCGAGTCGATTTCGAGCCAGGCGTGGTCTATCCCGTTCGTTCCCCCGGCAGAGGTTGTGTTAGATGCATTCTCTTCCAAGTCCATTCCATCACTCCGCGTTGCTTTCGCGTGATCAAATGGAAGCATAGGAGGACGACTCACCATGCCGCATAACCCACCGATTCACATGCCGCCAGATACTCGTCCCGCCCCACAGGTGCGAGGGCTCGGCGACCACGAACCCCGAGAACCGGGCGGGGTCCGCGGGCCGTCGGAGCAGCAGGCGCGTGCAGTACGAGTGGCCCTGCGCGGCGCCCGAGATCAGGTACTCCTGGCTGATGTAGTCGTATTCCGGGAGGAGGTCGACGTGGTAGGGTTCCAGGAGGACCGTCGGGTGGGCGGGGTCGGTCTCCGGGAGGAAGGTCACGGTTGGTTCGGGGATGGCGAAGATTTCCGTTGAAGGTCGGGATTCTTCGTCGGTCATCGTGGGTTTCTTTTGATTGCTATTGAGATCTCTTTGGTTTTGGTTATGCTGTCTTTGTGGGGTTGGGTTGTCGAGAAGAATGTGTATGGTTATCGTGTCCGGATGTACAGAGCGTTGCGCCACTTGCTCGGGGCTTTGGTGTTTGTTTGGATTCCGATGTCGACAAAACATAAAGCGATAGAAGGTCTGATTCAATCTCTTATCAAGTGCACTGGGAACCCTGCCTGGCATTCCACATTCTTACTTCCAGCACAAGCATATGCTGTCACTATACCTGGCCACCTTGCCCGATAAGGTCACGTGCCGATCGACATACTCGGTGGAGCGTCACCGGTCGCCCTCGCCCCATGACTCGTAACTTTCTTGTCGATCGGGCAAATCTCATCGTAGAACGTGGGAGGGTTCCATGCTTTTATTTTTTTCATGATGAGAGTTTGATCTCCGCTAAGACTAATAGTAAGTACCTATGGCCTGGTCGATTGTTGCAAGTCACGTGCAGAAGATCAGCCCGGCAGGGTGTCGACGATTTCAATTCACTAGACGCTGTAGATAGCATTGCTGGTCGTCATGTGAACTCTCCATAATAAGCGTACTGACAGAGGAAGAAATCCTTTCTGCAAGCCAGATACACAAAATATTATGAGCTTTGCTCCTCGATGTGCCTGTCGGCCCCTACGAAATATTTTGCCATGTTCTCTGAGCTCAACATCGCCTCGGTCAATTGAGGGATCCCGTTAGAATTCTCTCGCCCACTTCGTCTCTTTTGAAATTTACGACAGTTTGGCCACGAAAGACTCGTCCGCTTTCAATGCGAACTCTTGTTTGGTGATTTCTGAGCAAATCTACCTCGGAATGATCCCCAGATTTCCCGGTGGAATAGTTGCGCAGCCGTTGGCGGTGAAGACGTCCCGCGCTCATTGTCCAGTCTAGGATTCGAGATGGGGTGTCAGAAGATGTAATAACTGGGTAGGTACAGTAGAGAGAGGGAATACTCTAAGTAGGGAGGTCAATGTACTGTGCACCCTGCAATTGGTCCGATCTAAATCTTTCAATCTTCAAGGATACCATTTACTCCAGCAGGTCCCAAGAGAACAGACACCGTACTAGGAATCGATCACACAGTGGGCGATCCTTCACCGGGCTCAAGAGAACCGGAAAATCGGTTCCAATTATAATCTTCCGTTGATGATTTGATGGAATCTGAGACATAAAACAATTAAGCTTTATGACTGGCAGCTTAGTTGGCATTTCTTACAGGGGTTTGCTGACTGGGAGAGGGATCGAGTAGAGGTAGTGTGTGAATACGGTAAGGCACGGCTGGGCCCTGCTGATTTGAGGCTCAAAGATGGCTGTGTGCGATATATACAGTAAGTAGGTTTGAAAACTCTAGAAGGGTCTGTCCGCGGCTTCCTTTCCATAAGCATCTCTCCATCTCCGAGGTAAAGCGGGGGGACTCGGGAAGTGGAGGGTTAACCCCGAAGGGGGAGTTATCCCCGACACCGTGTTGCCCTAATGCTTTTGTTTAAGTGAAGATGTTCAGCTAGCTCTAATTATGCATACACACCAAATACAGAGCGATTATCAAGAGATTATCTCCTCAAGATAACACCGATGGTCGACCACTACAGTACATTTTCCCCGAAACTACAGAAAAGTGAAGCTAAGGGGTTAGTAGCCATGTGCGGAACGTAGTCCTCGGCTCGAGCGATGGCACGTAACAATTTAGCCCCGAGGCCAGAGTCCGATAGTGGCATTAGTTCAATTAATATAGACACACGGCACAGAACCCACATTTCCCTCAGCCTCGCAGCCTCTCAGGGGCTACACATATATCCACTGACCACACGCGAGGAAGGGATCGCACTTCATGCAAGGCAAACTATTCCTGTCGGATCGATGTTTCCACCACTGACGACTGTCAGATCTAGTCCGGGCCAAGACTAGTGTTTGCGACCGTTGGCGACTACTTCGTAACCGTGTGTGTGTGTGTGCCCCTTGCGCTGGAAAGAATGCCTCTCCCCTGTCCTGTGCTGCAGAAACGGAGAGATCATTATAGTGCCACGCTGCTGCTATCTGCCTGCAGGCAAGCTAAGAAGCTACCATGCCTGGTACTGAGATCACATTACCCACCCGACGTCGAACATATACGAGATCAAGAACGGGATGCCGCACCTGTCGGTAAGTGCTCTGCTAGGGACCGCCTTCGATGAACGGGGCCTGATTACCCAGTGCACGGCGGATTCGATGCGACGAGCAACCCGACGCGTGCAAGAATTGCACCTCCACCGGTCGGAAATGCGACTATGATCTCCATCGACTTCCCTGGGGGCGGCAAACCACCCTCCCCGGGGCCATCACGGTCCAGAGACATGAGTGGATTCTAACGTCGGATGAACAACGCTGCTTTTCGTACTTCCAGCACCGCACCGTGTCCAGTGTAGCGGAGCTGTTCGACTCCCCGCTCTGGGAGAGCCACATTCTGCGACTGAGCTTCACGGAACCGGCCGTCTGCCATGCGGTCAACATGCTGAGTGCGATCCAGCAAGCCGCGGAGACCAATCGAATGCGACTTACCGGGGCACAGTCCGATGACGATCACTTGAAATTCGCGCTGGAGCAGTCGGTGCGGGCATCAGCCTTGTTGCGCCGCCGGCAGGGATCCAACGACCCGCAGCTGATCCACACGGTTCTTATCTGCTGCCTGTTGTTTGTGATCGGAGAGCATATGCGGGGCAACTTCGACATTACCATTGTGCACGCCAAGCACGGGGTGCGCATTATGCGAGAAGCACAGTCCCGCGGGCAGAGGATCGATCCTGCGCTTGTTGATTATTTCCATCACCTTGACATGGAATCCGATCTCTATTGCCAAACGGCGCAACAGGGCGATACCAAACGCGAAGAGCCGGACTGGGTGACGAACGATCATCCGATTGTTATCCAAAGCGTGGCCGATGCCCGAGTCGCATTCATGCGGATCAGCAACCAGTCAATCGGCTTTATTGGTCACGCCTGGCAAACGCCGAAAGCCAAGATTCATGCTGAATATGACGCTTTCTGGCTCGCGCGCCAGCGGATTCTCTCACGGTACCAGCAGTTCACTCGGGCCCTCAACTCGTTCTATGAGACCCAGGCGCATACGCTGACCAGCAAAGAACACCGCGCTGTGACTTTGCTGCGTGAGCTGGAGATCGTCCAGACTCTCTCGTTGAGACTCACGCTACACGACACCAGTGACGCCAGTGACCAGGCCCGGATTCTCTCGGATTTTACTACCCTGCTGTCGAGCAGTCTCGCTGTTATAGGCACCATCGCCCGCAGCACGACGACCGTTATCATCGAACCGCTGGTCATCGGGGGTCTGCACATCGTGGCGACCCAGTGTCCGGACTTCACGTTGCGGGTTCAGGCCCTGGATGCCATGCGCTCCTGGCCCCACAGTGAGGGGCTGGTCAACTCGGAGGTCTGGGCCGCGCTCGCGACCGAGGCGCTCAGGGCCGACCTTCTGCAGCGGATAGCCCAGGACGGAGAGAACCGCACCGGGGTAGCGTATCCGATGGAGACTGATCGGTTTCTGGTCGAGGTCTTGCGATCGAGTCATACTGCGAAAGACTGGGCGCCTGTTCGTGCTAAGGATTTGGATATTGGGGGGCTGGTATCACCGGCGGATTCGGAGTCTCGTGGTGATGGTCCTGGGGTGGCGGGTCAATCGGGACGTAACAAACACAAACAAGGCGTTTCAGGATCTTGTGTGAAGCTGTTCATGGTGTGAGACTTAATGGTTCTGGCAGACCGGTATCTCTTACATTGATCACCGGGATATGTACCTATCTTGCGTCTGGTTCGCTGAGACCTCTTGCGCTGTTTTAATCCTTGTTCCATCGCCGTCTTGGACTTATCGGGATAGTCTATCTCGGAAGTATCTTCTAGGGGCTCAGCTGAAGCGGTGATCTGGAGAGCATCTCTCAGTGTAGACCCTTCGCGATACTTGCAGTCATGCATGATAGTCTCAGGCCAACGTATTGGTAGGAGTACTATATATTAGACCAGAAAGAGCTTTTTGTCAGAAGAAGAACCTGAGGTAAAGAAAGAACATAAGAACATATCCAATAAGCGTTTTGTCTAAATATCCGTATGCTGACAAGGTACCTACTGTAATAGAAAATACTTGAAATACGCCTACATACTGGTAAACCTAGAGGAGTCTCCCGACAACTTTTACTTAAGATATAAATCAACTCACGCAGTAGATAATACTTATGGAAGGCGAATGGCATATCAGACTAATAGCTTGGTAAACCTATCCCCAGCACACCCAGGCTTGCAGTGTGGCCATTGGTCTAGTGGAAAATGTCAACGTTAGGATTCACCACACCTAGCCAGACCGTTATCCACTTAAGCCGTAGCTGGCGCCCGTCGAGGGATCGGATCACGGCGAAAATAGGGAGTCGAAGGCACCTCCGCCGGTCGCCCGGGCTGTATGAAACCTGCTGCTACGTTAGTCTTCGAGGTCTACACAGCCATAGGATAGAGTCAAGACCAGCAGTGAAGGGGCCCAAACAGAAACGCGGCAAACCACTTACCAAAGACCGTCTCGGACGGAGTAGGCTTGAGATCGCTAATCCATTCGCCCAGTGTGGTATGGGCGTGGTCAGCTTGGAAAGTGACAGTGTAGATACGGCGCGCCCGCTGTCGTTTTACGTCGAGGCTCCGCGGAGGATCAGCAAACTCGATCATATGGCCGCAGAATAACAGCGTGTCCATGCGGAGATACCGGAGTGAGAGGAGATCGTGGCGAAGGTCTTCCCAAACTGCCCGCCACCGAAGTCCAATCTCTGACTTGTAGTCTTTACGCCATTGCCTTCGGTCGACATAAGGGGCGCGGTAATCCCAGGAAGAGGCGGGCGTGATAGTGTCGACTAGGCTTGCCTTGAATAAGATAAGACGCTGGAGAGTGGTTGTAGCGGAGCGGAGGAATGCTTGAAGGTCACTGCGAGTGAAATCAATGTCACGGATTTCAAGCTCCACTAGCCGCGTAAAGTGAACGCGCTGCGACAACTGGGAGAAAGTGCGTGGCGAGAGGTGCTTGAATGGGGCACAAGAGAGCGAGAAGGTGAGGGTCTGTAAGCTGGGTGCAGCGGTTTCCACCATCTCTAGTGCATCCTGCAGACGATCGTCGTTACCTTCACTGGCGGGCACTTTGTCCGCGTTACACAGGCACAGATGGAGGGCTTCGAGGTTCCGTAACAGGATTAGGAAATCTTTGTACTTCGGTTTTGTCGTCGTGAGGGCTATCAGATCCTGTGCCGACACGCCACAATGGCGACTGTCGCACATCTCGAATCTCCGGAGTTCTGGCTTTCCTATGACGATACCATTTACTATCGCCGCAAGAGCCCTTGCATGTGTATTGCCTGCCACTTTCTTTAAAGGCCCCGGGAACCTGGCAGAGGCAATTTCCATGACACAGGGTAGCTGATTACGGAGCCGGCGTATCCCTAAACAGGGGAATTCCACTGGCCGGGTCGAATCAAGTAGGACCCAGGTGGGACATGATCGCAGTCCGACAGATGCTAGATTCTCGAAGCAAGCGAGCGATTCAGAAAAGGTTCTTGCAAAGAAACCCGTGTTCAAGATGTGACGATGATCCGCCACAATAGCCTGGTAGGCGGTCGAACGGCTGCAGAGTTCAGCACCGGTCAGAGATTCCTGTCCATGTATAGCGGTCCAGACAGGTGTGCTTTTTGGCGCTCTAGATAGGTTGCGCGGGCGCGAGCTCTCTTCCTCAAGTGTTTCTTCGAATAAAATAGGGACTATGCAGATATCCTTCACGCGCGTGCGAAAATTTGCGTTCCCAGCAACCGCTGCCAAGCGGCTAAGACTCTCACTTGTCACTAGTACCCATATTGTACGGAAAGACAAGCCCGCGAAAGCTTCCAGCGATTGAAGAAAGAGTGTCTTGCAGGTCAGGCGAAGGGCGCACCAATCGGCTAGCTCCAGGTATCCACAGATTTGAATGACAAGTTCCGGGGGGAGAGTGGTGACAGACATGGTGAAATCCACGAAAGCGGTAGAAGAACTTTGGACGCTGCAAGGGTATGGTAAAAGGGTAGGTTAGCAGTAAAACAGACTGGAATCTCCAAGGTTGGACAATGTGGAGTCACTTTGCTTATGTGGCTACTAGACTAGGTACCTAGTAGTGTAAAGACCGACGATGGTCGAGGAAACGACCAGTGGGGCCGCACCTCACTGTAACTTAGTACCCAGTGGTAGTTAACATAACTACGTGACTAACGCAGTCAATGTCAGTAACCACTCCACTTAGTACTCGGCCCTGGGTGACGCGTCACCACACCCTTTTCCGCATTAAAGCCTTTTATGTGTCCTCGGGGTCTTCAGGGACGAGTCCGTGCGACCGACTGGTTGCGATTATATAATTTGATCAGAATTGACGACGATTTTGAAAGCCTCAGAGGTAGGCTGCTGGGACAAGTCTCTTGATTTTCTTGGTGAGTGGAACTAGCTACGTTCCCGCATGTAAAAAGATGAAAAGGCCTTTTGAATAATGTGGCCGGATGACTTAGCGACGCTGACAAGAATCATACCAAAAATGGTTTTTTCACATTTGTGATATGTTACAGAGCCAAGCCTCTGCTTCCAAGCAAAGCGGAGATAATTAAACATTCTGATCTGAGACATTCATGCTGGAGGAATAAACTAAAGAAGTGAATCTGCTTATGAAAAGTAGCTGCTTTCTATCCAGTATGCTTTGCCATTGTTCTATACAATTGTGTACTATACGGTATACAACACACATAATATGATCTTGATTGTTGTATTCAATCTCAATTTGGAAACACAACCTGAAAGCCACCTATCTCAAAAGCAGTTCCCGGGAAAGGGGCCTAACGCTTTAGATAGTCCCAGGGCTCCAGGAAAGGCGTGAAAAAGGTGCTTGGAGTCTCATCAGCATCCCATTCTCTCACCGCGTAGAACCACCACGCCACAGCAAAGAACACATAACATTAGTACATATGACCTGAAATATGGACGATTGCCATCGAGACAGGACATGGATAGACTTACATGTCTTATCTCCCACATGCTCATCCTGTTCCAATGTGTTGTCTGTGTTCCAAGCTGTCACCATGTGCCATAATTCGTGGAATAACGTAACACTTTGCGGCAGTACTTGGGTAAGCTGGACTTCAGATCCCACGAACTCTCCGTCAAGTTCACTCAATGAAGCAGGCTGATTCAACCCAAAGATTGTTGTAGAACACAAGACTAGCATATCCCCAAGCGCTAATTCCCCAACACGCATATCGCTTCCATCAAACGCATTGACGTCGGTGAGACTGAACTTATGGCCATAAAAGGTTGCTGCGGCCAGCTGTCCGATGCTGGTTTCTGTGCTGCAGATGCCATTCTCGTACAATCTGTCTAGGAAGAAATATCCCTTCATTTCCTTAACCCAATATGGGAACTTTCCTCTCTGCTCCTTGTAAAGTGTTTTTATACTTATTCCTTCACCATCAGTGTCAGTCAAAGCGTTTCCATCTGGCCCGAAAGCTATCGCATCCCAATCAAACTTCTGACCCGGGTCACTGCAGAACACACGAGGAGGAGTTTTCGGAGCCTGATAGGTCTTATCATCGATAAACTGTCCGTACAGGTTATTGAATTCTGCCAGAGGTTAGTGAAAGGTGCACGGAATTCGGTGGAAACCTTTCAAGGTAGGGATGCATTACTCGTCAGGGTCTCCCAGTCGTCGTGATACGCTGAACAGACAGTACCCTCAAGGAACTGAATACCGAAGTAAGTGGTGAAAAGCTTTTGAGCCACCAAAGTCTTTTCTCCATCGTCGCTATTTTCGTGCCTAAGGTCGCCGAATGCGTAGTCCTGTGCTTCAATAATGGCGTCGTAAAGAGTGATCACATCGTCCATGTGAATATCAAAGGCATCGATGTAGCTAGAACAGCTGCCAGGGTCCTGGGAAGCGGTGGCTACAGTAAACCAATCAGTAATTTCCGTGGCCAGTGTTACCTTGCTCATCAGCAAGCAGCTGATGAGCCAAGGAAAGATGTTGGATGGAACCATAGAAAATAAGAGGGGAACAGAGAGACAAAAAAGGAACACTGTAAAGACAGATAACAATGGAGCTATTCGCTTCCATTTTTCTTCCACGCACAAGGGGGAAAATGACCTATTATATGTCCACGGGCATTTCCTTACCATTCATGATGTAGCCGCAGACTTGTGGCATGCGCGTTCTACGAAGTGAACAGTAATCTTCATACTGAAAATTGGAGTATCCATTTCGCACACTAGACATTGACCAATATCAGCTCACGTCATACCATTTCTCCAATTTCAAAGCCTAGGAGCACTGATTACAAGTCTCTAGCACTAGCTGTATAGCTGCGTGTCTTGGGAGCTAAGGCTCCTTTCGAGCCGGAGAGCCGAGGAACCAGGTATTCAAATTCGTCGAGTACTTCGGGCAGCGTGAACAACAAGTCTCATAGCCAGATCAAGGAATGCCGAGGACGTTGAGGTGTCTCATCGCAACACAATCAAATTCATCCAAACGAAAGGAACAAAAATGTCGAGTAAGATTATAGGTTATCCTCGCAGCAGTAGTGACTAGATTGCTGGAGGGTCACTAACATTCCGCAGATCACAAAGAGCCTAACAGTCTGCGAGGGTAACGAGTCAACCCCTGGATAGGATATCTAAAGCTGAAATATGGTGCTAGCTTTGATCTCAATCCCACTCAATCTACTTGTAGTCTCCGTTTGACCTTGTCACCAATCGGAGTCTGTATCTCAGCAACGAAAATGCCTCACGCTAGATACCTTACTAGGCTTACTAGTCTAAGTGTCCTCATCTAGATCCTGTGCTAAGATCAAGGAGCTGATCAACGATGATTCCGTGCACACAACCATACTATGGGGGAGGTCCGGGGGGGAAGATTGTACCAAGTGAAGTCTATATTATCCAATCATCGGATGCAGCCACGTAGAAAGCCTACTACTTTTGTTTTCTTTCACAGTGTAAGTCGCACAACCGTGTCCAGTAGGGTCACAAAGCTTAGGAATACATAATCGAAAACAAACAGTTTTGATCCCGTAGATCGCATATAGTATCCGGAATAATGACCGATTACTCAACCCGTACGGAGTAGAAGTTGCTGCTGCCAATGGAGGTCTGGGGTGGAGGAATGCACACTAAGCATTGAATTGAACAATCACCCCACGTGACATTGCGAGACCTCCCGCCACAGCGCCCTGACCAGCACCAAGAACGCGTCATCGGACCAGATAAATTGTCGCATACGCTCGTGCAAGTTCGGCCACGAGAAGTGAGGATAATGGAAGGCGAGCATACCCATATACCCAAAGCGGGTTGAACCGACCGGTGCGAATGCGGCGCCGATACACAGCAGCCAAACGAGCAGATCGGCATTGGGATCGTCGTTCCATACGGCCGCATCGATGTCGTCACGCAGCCCCCGCAGGCTCACGAGGAGTTCCTTTGAGATGTGGGACTACTCGCAACAATGATGTTGGTTCAACGAGTTCGGACAATATATTCAGCAAGAGGACGTACCGGAAGCACCAACTCACACCAAATCTTACAGCACAGCGTCATAGAGCACAGGTACGCGGCTAGACGACAGCACTCCTGCAGTTGATTCAAACCCGACAGGGCCTTGAGTCGGGACTGGATGGACGCAACGTGGTTGTTGATATGGAGCATGCCCATCGCGTCGATGTGCGACGATCGCGGAATATCCCGGATGCATTGCAGGGCATGGAGGTCTTCGAGCACTGTGCTGAACTCTTCTCCAAGGATGTGTGATCGGGATTGCAAACCTGGTGGGAGACGGTAGAAATCCGGCACGAAGGCGTCCCGGGTCCAGAGGAGGGGGGCGAAAGTGGTGTGGTTGACTATGCGTTTGGACCCTACCATGAGGGATGAGTTGAGATCTTGCCTGCGCGATTATATCAGTACATCATATAAGTTGATGAAATAACAGTACGAATCATAAGAGCAGCATAAGTCGATACGACTCACTCACCAGAAGATGGCTCGCTGGATTCCCGGAGTCAGATGGATGCTCTTTCTTCGGCAGATCTTCAGAAGCTGCTGCACTGCGCCCATGTGAAGTTCAACCTGGGCTTTAAGGCCAAGGCGCGCCTATTCGGGAGTTGGTGTTATCAGCAAACAAAATGCTGGATGAGGTACTCAGATGTATCATTTCACAAAACTTACGCCTACACCCGCGATCAGCAATATAGCGCCGATAACCGCCTCCGAAGCAGCGTCATGTTCCGAGTCCATCCGCTCGCGGATATATGTGATCGCCTGACCCTGGTACCGCAGACACTCCTGATCCAGGCTTCCGCCAGTGACGGCAAATGCGAGAGTAAGCATCACGGCATTGATTAGAGCGGGGTCATGGAAGCCAGTTCGAAATACCGATCGGAAGCTCTGGAAGGCCAGTTCCTCGGCCACGCTGAAGACCGGCTCGGGGGCTTGCCTTGCCCTGTCTGGGACGCCAGACGGTCAGTGAGACATCAGTAAAAGAAGAGGTCAGATGGACGTGGAACCATTTACAATCACCAAGCAACGCGTGCAGCCTGGAGGAGTCCACGGCAAGGGTCTGGAACGGATCCAGAGCATCCGAGAGGAGTGACAAAATCGGAGCTGGTGGACTGTCTCGAGTCATGGCGCATGCCTTGGCTGTCTCAACGGGATCATTATAATCAGGATTGAGATTTGGGTCTTCAAAGGTTGTTAAAATGAAATTGGTCATAGACCGTTGCTGGTCTTTCCGCTTCCTTTCCAACGCTTTTTTGAGCGCGTGGGAGCGCGCCCGGCGCCGCGTCGCCTTATCCTTCACGGGCTCATTGACCTGTATCGCAATGAACTGAAACTCTCCGGCCATATTTCTTTGATTCAGCAACCAGTATGTCACAGGTTGTGGATGTGCTTCTCATGAATTGCACAGAACAGTATGCAAGTGTTTCGTTCAACCTTCAGCAGCCTTGCTTAGAAATCAGAAGGACAGAAACATACTATGCCTAATTAGGAAGTATCTCATTTCCCTTTCCGGAACAATCTCTTTGCCCTAATTAGATCCTTGGTCACTGCGAGATATTCTCATCAACTCCGACATCTCGGAGTAATATATCATCATTCTGAGGTAGGAAAGAACTGATTACTCTAATGGGGTCTATATATTTGTAAGCTACGGTGGTGATTGTTCTCACAAGCTCTGAAAGCAGGAAGGGGAAACTATATAAACGTGCCGGGGTTGCCACTTTCATGAGCAGTCAGGTGAAAAGCACAGAAGCTTGTTGTTTCACATTCTTTGCACTCAGTCATTCAATAGTCCACCATAATGACGGAATCACGCCTCTTCAAACCTCTCCAGATCGGCGCCATTCAAGTCCAGCACCGTATCGGAATGGCCCCATTAACGCGCCGCCGCGCCACTCCGGACCGCATCCCCACGGCCCTCATGAAAGAATACTACACCCAACGCGCCTCTGAGCCTGGCACCCTCATCATCACGGAGGGAACCCTGGTCTCCGCCACCGCATGCGGCGGCTTCTCTAACGCCCCCGGAATCTGGCGAGCAGACCAGATCGCCGCATGGAAGGAGATTACCGACGCGGTACACGCGCGGGGCAGTTTCATCTACGTGCAGCTCTTCGGGATGGGTCGGGCGGCGGACTCGGAATTGGCGGCGAGCGAAGGGATTGATATCGTGGCGCCCAGCGCGATCCCGATCCCGGCGGACGAGAACCCCGCCGCGCCGACGCCGCGGGCCATGACCCGGGCTGAGATCCGGCAGACGGTTGTCGACTTCGCGGCAGCGGCGCGGAACGCCCGCGCGGCCGGGTTCGATGGAGTCGAGGTCCACGGCGCCAATGGATACCTTTTGGACCAGTTCCTGCAGGACACGAGCAACCAGCGCGACGACGAGTATGGGGGCAGCGTGGAGAATCGGTCCCGATTGCTGCATGAGGTGCTGCAGGCGACTGTGGAAGCGATCGGCGCGGACCGCGTGGGACTCCGGTTGAGTCCCTGGTCCCGGTTCCAGGGCATGTGCATGGCTGATCCGATCCCTCAGTTTGCGGACATTATTGACCGGGCTGGTGGGTTGAGGCTTGCCTATCTTTCTCTCGTTGAGACGTGGATATACGGCGCGTGGGTCTATGACGGCAGCGTGGATGAGAGCCACGAGACGTTGGACTTTGCAATCGATCGCTGGGATGGGCCGATTCTGGTAGCTGGAGGTTATGGACTAGACAAGGCGCAGAAGTTGGTCGATGAACAATATCCAAGCAAGGATATCGTGGTGCTATTCGGACGGCATTTTATCTCGAATCCGGATCTGGTGTATCGGCTTAAGAAAGGGGTCGAGTTGTCCAAGTACCAGCGTGAGACGTTTTATCAGGTTAGCTCGGCGTTGGGATATGTGGATTATCCATTCAGCAGAGAGTACTCGGCGACTGTAGGTGCCTAAGGGCCTAGATCAAATTGAGAAGCATCTTGTATCCTAGTTGTGTTCTGCTGAATAAGACTGCGTTGATTTGACAAAACGGTTGCGACCATCACAAATAACTGCTGTAGTCTCGGTCTTGGTATGAGCCAAGGACAAGCACCAAATGCTTGAGACCTAGTGACGACAGAACAAGATGCATACAGAACAGAAGAGGTTCGCCGGTGGTCAGCCACCAATCTACTAGTCTCTCCCCGTGTGGCTTTTCTGCAGTCCGTAGTCAGGTGGATGCCTATACCAGTTGGCGACCGCGCCTCCCTCTTTGGCGTACTATCAACGGGGTATTGTCTGGCGGAAGCAGGATTAGGATCCAAGGTAGTAAAAATTAGTATAAGCAGGGTAGAAAGAGATTATAAGAATGTCCAACCCCTTCAATCCTGATGTTGGTGACATTTGACAGAGAGGCGGGTATGTATCTTAATGTTTGTATAGTAAAAAGACTCCAAAGAGATAAGAACGTCATGAGAGTAGTGTAAAATGTGACATTAGAGGTTAAAGGGTCGCAGAAATTGGGGTATTTCTAACCTTCTCCCACTAATGCAGCCCCCTCCGAGCTGGCTCATAACTGATCTGCCCTACCTACCTACTACCTGCCTGTTCATGCCGCGGGCGATATTCGAGAGAGCTGAAAACAAAAAAAAAATCTGACAGCTGATCAAATTAATATTACACAACTATTTGGTGCTATTAAAAAAGAATATAAGTACAAAAAAATAGAAGAATTTCTATCTAAAAAGCAGGTAATCGGTTATTGATATAATCAAGAAATACAATAAATCAATAATATAAATCATTTCAAATCAATCGATAAGATGGTTAGAGTTGTTAGAATGGATAAAATAGTTCTAATTGGTTTTAATATTATTCTTTAGCTTAAACTTGATCATTTTTACATGAAAACTTTTTTTTTTCTAAAAAAAAAATGCAATGCTTTATAATAATAAACTAGAAATTATTATCAGCAGTATTTATACCACACGGGTGGCAATGGCTATGTTAAAAAGGTGACCGTCTGCGCAAGCTAGAGGGATGTTTGAAAGCGCTGGAAGACACTCATTAAAAAGGTCAAAGCTCTTGCTCGCCAGCAGATGGAAAAGCCCTCCAAAGAAGACAATGTATTGAACAATCAAGTTAAACTTTGATTTAAGAAAGAAGTATCAGAGGCGTCATGCGCTATCAGAAAGTAAAGTATTTCCACTGTTTTTAGCACCTTTCAACATAAATTTAGATTCAGGAGACCATGCCCTTTTGTGATTAACAAGCTACCCCAGATTCCCGATTGTGGAAGGCTTCCTGAGACCAAAATTTCTCATATTAGTATCGCTCCATAATGAGCTGCGTCTTTAGCGAGTCGCAGGCTAGAAACCAATTTCTCCCCGGCTGAGACAAAGAAGTGATTAAGTTGCCCCTCTCAAGTGAGGCTCTCTCGCGGTCCTTTGTCTTGAAAGACGCTTCGACAATGTGCTCAGTTTCTGTGCCCTCAGAGTTGAGGAGAGGCCAGACCTCAAGATATAGCTTCAATCCATTCCACTTGCCAGTAAAGCGCTTCGCAAAGACAGGGCCAAAGATTCGTGATAAATGTAACGCGCTGGTGCCCCACCCTGTGTAATTCCAGTTGTCGAACTTCTCTGGTGCTCTATCGGTCATAATCTGACGCGATTCAGTCGTGTCTGGCAAACCAATACCATCATTCCCAGAATCATCCACGTCGACCTGGTGACTGATGGAAAGTGTCTGCGTTTGATAGCCCCATTCAACCTGCGCCTCGAATTTCGTGTCACCAGCGCGGAAACCATCCTGATTAGCTATACTGAGGACAGCGTCGATGTCATCGTCCGCGATGGCATAACGCCTCTTATATGTAAGCTCAAGGTTGTTCTTGTTCTCCATCTTGCGAATACGGGGGCTCCAGCCGGAGGTGTAGATCTCCTTGCAATTCTTATCAAGGAATTGGACATTAAGTGCAGTGATTGTCGAAACATCAAAGGCCGTTTTGACATCTTCTGCTGGTTCTTGATTGAAGCCCAAAACCTTGCCTGGGTCAAGCCGGAGTCTAACCTCGTAGTCGGGTACCATATTCATCGCGATGATCTCTCGGGAAAAGATGTGGCAAAATAGCTAGCGCGAAAAACGAGGTATGGAGTACGTGTGGATATGGGCAAAGCTAGGTAGAGGAAGACAAGTTGGCACAATAATAATCGTTGGTGATGAGACCGCCAGAACCACTTTCCCCAAATATAGTAAGGGGCGAGTGTCGGTCAATCCTATCCGAAATCTTCGATAATCAGGGCATCGCATGTCTTATATCACGCAAAAAGGTTTCAACTATAGACTGAAAACAGACCTGATCTAAGATAACCACCTCTAGCTGCGCAGATTTTCCGAACCGCTTTTTTCAGTGTCCACGGTGCAATAAAAGTTTAAGCTAGTTTAGGTTTGAAAGCGATCTAGGCCCATCCAGACCACTCTATTGGAAGGCCGAGAACTCTAAATACCATATCTGCATTCGACTACCAGTGCTGGTAGCTATGGCCCATCTTCAACAAAGAAGAAGATTACGAAATATAGATTATTGTTCTTCTCAGACCTATCTGGTCGTATTTTGGAACATGAGGAGCCTGACCATCAAACACGCATCAATAGCATGCCTTATATTCAAAATCATGGCTGACAAATCTACCGGTGCATAAGGATGCGCTCGCTCTGAGTTTTACTATCTGTCTGAGCAAATGGCTTTCTTTGTGAGAATGAATGCCACGGTAGGTATCCCTATACTTCTATATTAATTGATTCGACAACGACCCAACCGGTCTCTTCTAGAGTTTAGATAGCCTAGAACTGTCTCCCTGGGTATGTGTGTTTTTAAACAATTAGCCAATCCATAATTGAATTATACATACTACTAGTGCAACTCGTACAGTTACGAGTGCACGCAAACGGAAGTATATAGCCACAGATTATATTATACGAGAAGTAAAAGCTTCAAAGTTTCTTGCTAAAATATCTTATTATGCAAACCATCAGATCTTCTTGGTAGCACTTACGAGGAGATCTGGAATAGAGTCTAGAACAGGTCAAAAAGGTGCTTGTGATCTTGAAGAGTATGATATTTACGTCACTTGTCTATCATCTGATTATGCATGCGGAAGAAAGAGAGGTAACTAGCTGATTTACCTTAGAAGGTGGAATTCTACAACCTTCTTTTAAAAACCAGCACTTAGTATCTACATGTGAAGTACTAGCATTTGGAAACCATTTCTCTTACACAAGAGAGTACTAGCAACTTACTCCTTCTGATTGCTAAAAGTCAATATGGGTTTCGCAGATCATATACAGTCTATCCCTGATAGCTATATTGTGGTCTTGAAGCCTGAGATCAACGACCAAGCTATTACATCTCACATTGACTCGATTAAGTCTTAGACTGGCCAGGGCTCTGCGGCAACATTGCAGAAGCCGCTAGACATTGAGAAATTCTCTTTTCATACCTCAGGGGGTGCACACACCACTGCACTAGAACAGACTCCATCTACCTTAGAAGGGTATATGGGAACTTCTTCCCCTGACGTTTTACAGATGATCGGAAAATCAGCTGAGGTGATTTGGAAGCCCTTTACCCACCCTATACTTTTATTCCGTTTCTCCAGAATCTTCTTACATCTATACTATTTACTAAAGCTTTGATAGGTGGACTATATTGAATCAAACCAATACTTTCATATTCAAGATACTGTCGAGCAACCTAATCCCCCTTCATGGGGTTTATCTCGGATCTCACACCGCGGTCCGCATAATTCTGGGAATAACAAGTACACTTATGACAAGAATGAATCTGGGCAAGGCGTAACTGCCTATGTTGTTGATACTGGTATTAAGATGAATCACAACGTAAGAGTTGCCTTACATCGTAAGGCTCAGTTCTAACCTTCTGTATAGGACTTTAACACCAATGGCAGATCTCGTGCTGAATGGAGAATAACAATCCCTAGTGGCGCTAGTGATACTGACAATCAAGGACATGGCACGCATGTTGCGGGCACTATCGCCGGTACTAAATATGGTGTTGCAAAAAAAGCCACGGTTGTTGCTGTTAAAGTCTTCCCGGACGACTCGGGAACTACAGATACTTCAACGATTATCAGGGGAATCGAATGGGCCGTAAAAGATGCTCAGAATCGAGGCATTACAAAGACTGTTATGAATTTGAGCCTTGGAGGAGGAATTAGTCCGACTTTGGACTCTGCTGTAGAAGCTGCAGTTCAAGCAGGAATGGTTGTTGCGGTAGCAGCAGGTAACAATGGTGTAAGTTATACTCTCCCTGTTACTGACCGCTGAAATACTTCTCTTATACACGTCTTCTATGTCAACGAACCTCTATCTTTTGACTGACATATAAATAGACAGATGCTGGCAGTGTCTCCCCGGCCCGTTCTCCGCATGCTCTAACTACAGGGGCAATTGATCAGACGGATACAATGCCTTGGTGGTCCAACTGGGGCCAGAGTAAGATCCCACCCTGAAGAAATAATGTTCTGATCTAACAGTCGTCAGTCCTTGACTTCAATGCACCTGGGGTAAATATTGTCTCCTGTGGCATTAGCAGTACAGATGCCGAGGCAACCCTGAGTGGAACTTCTATGGGTAAGTTTTGATTTCAAACTTAACCTAAATATCTTCTAAGGGCGCACTAGCCTCGCCACATATAGCAGGACTAGCTTCCTGCCTACGCCAGGATCCTCAATACGGTAACTTTCACCGGCTTGCATATAAACTACGCCTTCGTGCGGAAGGTGGATGCAAGCCTTATGCGGGGCATGAAGTCGGAACTCCTAATCTTGCTGCTGTTAACAAAACGGTTTATTAATTAATGTCTGCCGACATTTTCCAGAAGCGGTAGGGAAAGTTGGAAAGAAAGTGAAACCAATTCTGTGTTTGCTTGCGGGCCAAAAGTATTTCCTTGGACTGTTGAGTTAAATAGTGTCTTGTCCTCTAAATTGAACACTATAGGACCTCCTACTGCCAAAAGTTATCATCATAAAAAGAAGTGGAATTGTCACAAGTATGAGGACAGGAAACAGTAAGTTCTTGTACAAGTGCGTCTCTATTCAATCCTGGTCAAGTTGTGTAGGATTGTGAGAACTGGTCACCTAGCGGCATGTCTTCAAACTTTCGCATGCATTGGTACGTGGAATTTGTCCGTAACTCTATTGTGATGAATAGTTTTGGTGATGTTGCTACATCTGGGCAGGTTTCAGGTGAACATTTGTAGCAGTTTTGGTGACCGCTAAGATATATGGTTACAGGGCCTGGATGATCTATCTTCTGGTGGTGCAACCTGACCGGGTTCCTAAGCATGATCTTGATCATGTGATCTGAGCCTCTAGTATTCTGCTTCAGCAGCACCTGTTCGGTCATTTCGGGCCGTTATCTTGTACCTTTTTATTTTCTATCACAGGTAATTAGATTACCCCTACGGCTCCTGGTCTATTGGACAATTTCGAAAAAGTGTTTGGCTGGTTTGCAGGTCTAGAAGTCAAGCAGATTCATGTGATAAGCTCTAGTCAATCTTAGAGTACTCAGTGAATCATCTCGATGTGTAAAAAATCCCTCAACAGCAGCCTAACTCTATTTCGGACTAGGCTACGGGTGCGGCGCTAGAAAAGAGCGAAAGATTTCACAAGTGTGTACTGTGTGATCCAAACTTGCAAGGCACTGTACGAGGCTACAACATCGTCGGTTGAAAGTACATCTCGGAAGGCTCCTTTACTAATTCAGATGTTTCTTTGAACTGGAAAATACTTCGTGTAAATAATACAAACAGGGTTGAAGATTAAAGACGAAGCAAGAGACCAAGCAAGACAACGTATTAAATTAATGCTGCGGTCAATGTTAAGAGATCTCCGGCATGGCTACGGACAGGTGGTGGGGCATCTTCTGCACGAAGATGACTATTACTAGCAGAAATGGAGCTTCACTAGTCCGGATTTCACAACGCCATTCAGGGACCTGGTTAGTCAGGGAAGAAGGTTGATGAAGAATCTTCAAGACAAGACCTCAAAGAATCTATTATACCCAAGATACTTGACATGGGAATCAGAGTATACATGTTAGGAGAGACTGGATGACCCTTCTTGTATTTGCTACTAATCAGCCCGAGATTAAGCCGTGCTGCGGTGAAAAAGGGTGGTTGTCACAAGGCAGACCTGCCAGGACCAGGTATAGTTGTTTATAGACCTTGCAATGGGTCGGTCTTGGGTCTTATATAAGAATCTATATTTGCAGGTAGGGTCTGAGCACTAGATCCAAAATCTGGATTTATTAATTTGTAGATTGTGGCGGCTACGGCGGCTGGTCAAAGCAATGTTATTTAACTAATTTGATGCTATTATAAAAGAGTTTGAAATATGCAAAAAAGAAGAAGAAGAGAACTTATACTTACTGAAATAAGACTATTTAACCGAGAAGTAATTTCAATTAGAAGGCGATGCTATAAGGCTATGTCGGCTACAGAAAAAATCAATACAGTTCAGTAAGCCGGCGCTGTAAATAGACTGAAGAGAGGTAAGTAGAAATAAAGATAAAGCCGCAATAATATATTATGTACTGGATTTAAATTCAGACCAATAACTACTAATGAACCACAGAAGAAATTTGCTGATGGTTATTTACTCAACTACTAATCCCCGGGCGTGTGGCTTAGGTACGGCTGAGCGGATGGGAAGCCCTGGTTTCCACACCCTGTGGTCGTATGTACCGGATATAAGTCTAGAGCGATTTATTTTTTTGCGTCCTTACTCATTGACCAGCGGTCTTGCTCGGGTCCAGAATCAGAATGCTAGAAATCATCGAGCTGCTGATTTTAGATGTGCGCAGTAAGTTCTCAACCCGATCGCAGCGTCACCGGAGATTAGGGCATGTTCGCCACCGCCCGTTATAAGCACTTGTGTCTCTACACGCTGTGGTCATACATGCTTGCACTGGCAATACTAACCGTTGAGTAGAGGTTTGAAGTAAATAAGAGACATATCCTGACGCGCAGGTTGTTGAGCAATGAGCTAACGAACTACGAGTTAGAACCAGTGATACCGAATAGCCTCATGCAAACCATGGGACGCGGCGGGAAGATAAAGAAGATCAACCCGTATCCCTGCGTCACCAACGAAGCTTGAGCTCAATGACCTCGTATTCGTGTTGTTGACTCTCCTTCGTGATTCAGAGACCTAGATGTAGATAAATGCCTTGCACCCTATGCTACGCTGCAATGGCGTCCCCTCCCCTCCGTAAGCTGCTGCTTGATTGAACACCGTCTCACCACCATGTCGCCCAGTATGTTGAATATGAGTACAATCCAGGACCTCCGGGATCAGCTGCCTGACTCGGTCGTCCTTCTCCCTGGCTCGGAAGATTATCGTGCCTCGATCAGGCGCTGGTCAGATGGCGCAGAGAAGCCCGCAGTGTGTTTACCTGCCCCACTTTCATTTGCCGACCGATAATAACCCTCTAGGCCCTCGTCATCCTCCCCAGCACCGAGAAGGACATCTCCACCGCCCTCATCTTTGCACAAACTCACGGAATGGACTTGGCCGTCGCAGGCGGGGGCCACTCCACGTCCGGCGCCGCCTCAACTGCGGGTGGACTGCTTCTCTCGCTCTCGCGCCTGCGCGGGGTCACCGTTGATCCGGAGACACGAACCGTCACCGCACAGGGTGGCGCGCTGTGGGAGGATGTCGACACGGCGCTGGGCCAGCACGGTCTCGTGACTGTCGGCGGGGTTGTCAACCACACCGGCATCGGAGGCCTCACCCTGGGCGGCGGCTACGGGTGGCTGACGGGCCTGTACGGGCTGACGATTGACAACCTCCTCGCCGCGCGGATAATCCTATCCGACGGCCGGGTTCTGGCCACCTCTGCGACCCTCCACCCAGATCTGTTCTGGGCGCTCCGCGGCGCCGGGCATAACTTCGGGGTGGTCACGGAATTCACCTTCCAGGCGTATGAGCAGAAGGATGAGGTCTTTGCAGGCTTGCTGGGCTTCACCCCGGACAAGCTGGAGCAGGTGGTCGGTTTTGCAAATGCGTTGGTCGCGGATGAAGGTCAAGGGGGCGACGGTCGATCGGCCATCTACTGCTTCCTGGCGGTGCCTCCGGGTGCGCCCCGGGGCACGGGGCCGACCATCCTCGCCGCAGTTGTGTCAATTACGAGTGAGGAAGAGGCAAGACGACGGTTCGCCCCGCTGCTCGAGCTGGATCCCGTCATGAATACCCTGTCGATGGTCCCCTACTGCCAGGTCAACGCGATGTTGAACGGGATTGCGGTGCATGGAGACCGGAAGAACACCAAGGGCTTCTCGTTCGCGATGCCGCTGCGGCCCGGGCTGGCGCGCTCGGTGCTCACGGAATTAGGGGCGATTCTCCAGGAGGCCCCGGCCTGGGTGAAGTCGTACATCGTGTTTGAATTTGGCCATCTCGGGAAAGTGGCCGCGGTCCCGCGGGGAGAGATGGCCTTTGCAAACCGGAGTCGGTGTCAGAATGGGGTCGTGCAGATCTGGTGGACGGATGAGAAGGATGATGCGCGCGCGGGGGAGAAAGGGCGACATCTCAAGGCGTTGATCACCGCTGAGGCGGAGAAAAGGGAGGGGGAGGAGGCAGCGGGTGCAGTGGTTTATTCTAACTTTGTCGAAAGTGAGTCGATGGTACCCTTTCAACATTCAATTCAACTATGCTGACTGGAAGTATAGCTGGCGACCGCAGTGTTGAGGAGCTATTTGGCGAGAATCTGGACCGGCTACGCCTGCTCAAGGCGAAGTATGACCCAACCAACTTATTCAACAAGACGCATCCACTCGCGAGTAGAAAGGATGCGGGTCAACTCGTATAGCACACCGGGTTTGAGTAGTTGTGTTTCATGTCCTGACAGATGTTCGCTCTGTTGCTGTTCAATGTGTACTTTCAGGTCAGAATTCAAGTTCATTCTGCTCCCCTATAGAACTGCTATCTCCCACTATGATGAGACGTGCACTGAAAAGGTTTACGATGCAGCTGGTTTGCGGGCCTATCATCAGGTTCACAATGGCTCATGCTTAGGGCTGATTCAAGGCCTCCTCGCGACTGTGGGCAGTGATGGACGAACAGCTCTTCTTTGACAAAAATTAGTTCCTAGATAGTAAACATCTAGAGCTTGTGTATTTTGCATTATGTTCAGTCCAGGGCTTAGGCACCACCAAGCAAACACGAGGTGCCATCTTCAACCCTCTCGGGTTGCGGGTAGGTGCCTAACATTTCCCCCAAACTAGGAATGTATAAACAGCATCAAACTATCCGAGTTCAAGCTTGCAACTTGTTGTACATATACACCTTTCTGCATTAAAACCATTAGTTCAACAATTGCTCCCCTCTAATTAAGTATAGACCAAATATTTGGACTTATGCCGATTGAGGGCCAGTCAACCTCGGTTTATTGCCAGGCTTTCAGCAGGCTCTGCCGATTGTCGTTGAGCCCCACATCGCCCCGGCCCGTGTATAACCGTGGTGGTCGTGACCCTTGATATTCCAGTGCGATATAATATCACACCTGGCCTCTAGAAGCTACTAAGAATGACAGCATAAGAAGGGCTTTCAGTGAGCTCGGAGACGTGTCTCCAGCCAAAGAGCTAGGTCCCAATGTCTCAACTGCCTCTGCCTTTGCTCTTGCCCTTACCTGACTTTGTGGCCGTCATTCAGGGTGCGGCCCCACATTCCAGAAACGAGGCTAAATTTAAATTAGCAATAATAGTCGCATTAAAGCGTGCTGGACCCTGGCCTGGCCCTGCAGCCTGCAGATCGCTCCTCGCTTAACATCTGGCGCCGGCAATTTGAAGTCGTGATAAACTGCCGACGGGACCATCTCCGCGAGTCTCCACCTCAGCCAGGCAGATTTGTTTCACGTCGTAACATCCGCACACCAAGCACACTAGTCTTCTGCCGTCGGAGTCGGAGTCTCAGGCTAAAACAGACCCTGGTTTCTCGACGGGGGCTGTGGGCACCAATGCCGAAGCTTCCTGCACAGTCTCCACCTCAGTGCCGCCGACGCTTTGCCGACAACACTTCTGCAGATTTTACCAATGATTTGCCGATTGGTCCGGCAGCAGTCAGAAAATACTGTATGCGGATTTGATTGAGGTACATGGCCTAGATCACTGCTGCTGGCGTTTATTTATCCACTTTAGCCTGCCAGAGAGGGGCTCTACCCTACAGCGACGTACGATGATGTTGCAGGGCCAAGCAGTGCAACGTTTAAATCGAAATCAGACGCAGGCTTACGCTAAACTAGATGTCTATCCCCAGATTGCTCTCACACGGCTACACTTGCTGATCGGGGAGTACCCTGCAGGCTAGCTCTGAAGCGAGCGTCCCGCGTTTGAAGAACCACTCGGGAGGTATTTGCCTACGCTCGGGCCATATGGGGCGCTTCAAAGTCATGGTTACATCGGTCAATGCTCTTCTGGCAGAATTCCCCAAGGACTCTTCATGATACAGCCTAAGTCTGATATCCCCCGCTAGAATCACATTATTCGGCACGGGCTGATCGCCTCCGTACCCAAATCTCCGACGGGTGGGCCCAAAGGGTCCAAGATCCTCATCTTTGATACACTAGCTTCGGACTCGATTTGCCAAATGTGCCAATTGTCTCGTACTTCTGGCAGTGGACATGCATCACATTCAAGCTGTGTCTCCTGCTGTAGTCTGCATATCCAAGCTATAAATTCGGCTCAGAACCACCATCTCAGAAGCCAGCATCTCATCCCCGATCAAACATCACAGCAAGTATTTCCCATCATCGAAAATGAAGGCCTTCTACTTCCTCGCATCTCTCGCCGGTGCCGCTGTCGCCCAACAGACCCAGCTCTGCGATCAATACGCTACCTACACCGGTAGCGTGTACACCATCAACAACAATCTGTGGGGCAAAGACGCCGGCTCCGGCTCGCAATGCACCACCGTGAACTCCGCCTCCAGCGCGGGCACATCTTGGTCGACGAAATGGAACTGGTCCGGCGGGGAGAACTCGGTTAAGAGCTACGCCAACTCCGGCTTGAGCTTTAACAAGAAGCTCGTCAGCCAGATCAGCCGGATCCCCACCGCCGCCCAGTGGAGCTATGACAACACGGGCATCCGCGCGGACGTGGCCTACGATCTCTTCACCGCGGCGGATATCAACCATGTCACCTGGAGTGGGGACTATGAGCTCATGATCTGGTATGTACCCTCCTCTGGAAACCAAGCGCGCCCAGGAAGCTCAGCGGCATGCGAACCGAGCCCACCATCTCACCCCTCTTTTCCGTTAAAATAGGCTTGCTCGTTACGGCGGCGTCCAGCCCCTAGGGTCCAAGATCGCGACCGCCACGGTCGAGGGCCAGACCTGGGAGCTTTGGTACGGCGTCAACGGCGCGCAGAAGACCTACAGCTTTGTGGCTCCGACCCCGATCACCTCGTTTCAGGGCGACGTCAACGATTTCTTCAAGTACCTGACGCAGAACCACGGCTTCCCCGCCAGTAGCCAGTATCTCATCAGTAAGCCATTTCAACCTCTCCTCCCTCCACTTTCCCGAGCACTATCTGTGGGAGAGCTTTGTTCTAATGGAAATTACCTGCTAGCGCTCCAATTCGGCACCGAGCCTTTCACGGGTGGTCCCGCCACGCTCACTGTCTCGGACTGGTCTGCCAGCGTACAGTAGGTTGGTACTGTTCGAGATCTGGATGCGATGACTGCAACGGGGCACTAGGGCTCTCATCGAAATTTGCGGTTGTGTTGCCACGGCGGTCTAGTCTCTTTCACACCTGACATGCTTTAAGGATTCCGACAGTATAGGTCATACGTACATCCTGTTCTTTTGAGACACGACCCAATGATTGAAAACCATTTGCCGTAGTACATGACGTCGTACAGATGACCATATACCCATTATGATTTCCACTCCTGTATCTTGAACACACTGTCTACCAATTGACGAATAGCTATACTAGAGTTCCACTCGACTGGTTAGGTTATCGGGAAGCACCCACGTTATAACCGTACTCTCGTCATGACATCCACTCGGACTCAGGCCTCGTTGGAATCAGAAGCGCACAATCCGTTCACCGGAAGGTTCGGATTCTACCCCGTTGTATGTACATACATCCGCCCACGTCATTTCAATCCCAACATAAGATGCCAACCCGCCTCCTTCTACCCCTCTCACCGAGCAGAAGCCTTCGGCCAACTCGTCCGCCGCTTAGCCGTGACATAGAAATTCAACGGCCGAATCAGCTGGAACTCAGGGTCGTACTCGACGGCCTCCAGCCCCTCACGAGTGAACTCATACCGATACACCAGCTCCGACAGCAGGACCTTGACCTCAAGCAAGGCAAAATTAAACCCGATGCAGCCGCGCGGGCCCGTCGCGAAGGGGATGTACGCGCAGCGATGGCGGTGTTTGACCTCCTCAGTATCCCAACGGTCCGGGTCGAAGCGGAAGGGATCCCGCCAGACGTCTGGGTTTGTATGAATGGCGTAGAGTGCGGGGATGATCACGCTGTCCGGGGGCAGGCGGTATCCTCCCGGAAGCACGACGTCAGTCTTGGTGGTGCGGCCGGGCTGGAAGGAGGCGTTGTGCAGGCGCTGGGTCTCCTTGACGAAGTTGTCGAGGTAGGGCAGGCTATGTGCCAGCTCGGGGGACCAGGTGGTCTCGTGGGAGATGTTGTGGTCGACGAGCTCCTGGAGGAGCCGGTCCTGGGTGTGTGGGTAGGTGACCAGGCTGTAGATGAGCCAGGACAGCAGCGCGGAGGTGGTGGTGAAGCCCGCGCCGGTGACGATCATCATGTTGGCGAGGATGAGCGGGGTCGGGAAGTGCTCGCCTTTGTCGTCGACGCCGTTGAGCAGGTAGTCGACGACGCACGAGGCTTTCAGGGCGGCTTCGTTGAGCGGGAGGTCCTTGATCCCGGACTCGGCCGCTTGGTCGATGTAGTCCTGTAGCAGGGTGTAGCAGGTCCGGCGGACCTCGCGGAGCCGGGCTGGGTCGCCGAAGGGCAGGGAGCGGTACCAGTTGCCCCGGGCCGTGACCTTCTTGTTCAGGGAAAGGAGGTCGGCGATGTTGGTCACGATCGGGTGCAGCGGGGCGTCGACGCGGGTGAAGTGCTCGAAGTCGGCGTTGAGCGAGAACTTGCCGATGGTTTGGGAGGCGAGCTTGAGCATGTACTGGTACACGTTGAACGAGCTGCCCTGGGCGTCGAGGGCGTCGAAGACGGAGAACGAACTGCGGACGCACTCCTGCATCAGCGGGGTGTAGTGGCGCACGGCTTTAGGGCCCATGGCCGGCGGGAGGAAGCGGTGGGCGAGACGCCAATTCTCCGTCTCGGTGTCCCCGATGAAGATGGCGGTGTTGTCCTTGACTCCGTAGAGGGGGTGATTTTCGTTGATGTTCTTGGTGAAGTAGATCGACTCCTGAAGTGCGATGCTCGCTACCTCGGGGTCGTCGGTTAGGTAGGTAGTTTTGCCCATGTTAGTCGTCTTGATCACCGAGCCGTATTTGCGAAACAGTCGATAGTGGTTGCCTAGATGATCGGGAAAGATCTCGTAGAAGCTGCCCACCAAAGGCAGGCCCTCTGGTCCTTGGGGGAGCTGCACAGCCCGGCCATTGATGCGGATTCCGATGTTGAGGGGTGTTGATAGCACGTCGCTGACTGTTTCGAGGGTCTGAATGTCGGCAAGCGGGTGGAATGTGATACCTGAAGTTCCATGTTAGCGCAGCTGAGTATAATCTGGAGGTTCATCTGCAACGACTTGCCCAGCGGTTGAACTATATGTAGGGCGAGGCCCACTGCTCTTTTGAGGTCTTCAATTTTCCATGAAGGCTGCACAGCTACATCCTGCGCCGAGGTATTGTCACCGATTAGATAGAATGTCTTGAGCGACATATCCATAGGCTGCTTTAAAGATCTTGTGAATAGGGTCAGTCAAAAGGGGATTGTGATTAGGTGTTTGCAAAGGTGAAGCCAGGATTGTGCCGAAATGAAAACGGGAGCATTGATTCTTCATCTTTTATATAGAGGCAGTGCCATGTCATTGTGTGTACGCTGCTGGGAGTTCGGAACACATACATACACCATACTGTCCACATCAACCTCGAATGTCTGAAGCTATGCGTAAAGCAATGAGCGAACAATTTACTTGGCATTGCCACCATTCCGATTGGTGACTGCAGTGGAGACGCGCAATCAGTCACGGCCGAGGTTCGCACGAGGTTCGTACGAAGTACTCACGAAGCCCGTTCGGTATCCACTGTCGCGATTTCCTGACAGTGGCAATCGGCAACATTCCTATTTGTCGAGCGAGGAGATTGTTGAATGACTGACACTGTTATAATCGATATATGAGCAACGGAACCTCGTGTTCCTCACGCCATGAACACACTTGATTATTTCTTCCTCTTACCGTCTGCTACCGCAATTATCAACCTTCCCCGGTCAGCCCTCATGGCGTCAACCACATATACCCTTGAGCAGGTTAAAATTCATAACAAGAAAGACGATGTCTGGATTGTTTTGCACAATAAAGGTATCAATGCCCTCGTCATGTAGCTGTTGATAATCCCAGTACTCACACGTTTAGTCTACAACATCACTACCTACCTCGATGATCACCCAGGTGGTGTTCCTGTCTTGTTAGAAGTGGCTGGCTTAGATGCCACCGAGGCCTTCGAGGAGATCGGACACTCGGACGAAGCCCGCGAACTTCTCGAGCCGTATCTGATCGGGGACCTTGCAGCTGAGGTATATTTCTTTCACATCAAGTCAACCATGCGCGCACAGAATTGACTAACCGAAACCGCAGGACCAAGCTGAAGTCATCGAGGTATATCGTCCGACCTTCGAGAAAGTCTCCCAGGTCGCTGCAGTCGACGTGCGCAAGCTACAAGGCTCCACCCTTAGGCGTCTACGCAAATCGCTCCTCGCGGCCGTTCCTCTCGGCCTGGCTGCTGGATTAGGGTATAGTGTATACAGCAACGGACTCGAGATACTGCGCCAGCCTCAACTGTTCCTCCCGCATCTCCTCCAAGAAATCTACCTTCCCTCTGGAACAACCTCTAAATCCTCCTTCTGGTCCGGGGTGGGCATTGGCAGCGCTCTCCAAATCAGTCTGACCGGTGCTCTCACCGTCTGGCTCTCCACCAAGCTCGACGTCCAGGAGAGCTTCGCATCCCACAAGCCCTACCGCCCCTCCCGCTCCGACACCCTAATTCTCAAATCCGCTTTCAAATCCACTTGCACTCTTCCCGAGATCACGACCTCCACCACCACAGCCATGCAACCCCTCGACCCCAAACAATGGCGCAAGTTCCAACTCATCCGCAAGGACCTTATCGCCCCGAAGGTCTACCACATTGCCTTCGCCCTGCCCCACCCAGACGACCGCCTCGGCCTCCCGACAGGCCAGCACATCGCCCTCCGCGCCACGATCAACGGGAAGAGCGTCTCCCGCTCCTACACCCCGGTCTCCAACAACAGCGACCTGGGCCGCGTCGAGCTCCTGATCAAGGTCTACAACCAAGGGCTGATGACCCAGCACCTTGCCTCAATGGCACTAGGCCAGGAGATCGAGATTCGCGGACCCAAGGGCGCGATGAAGTTCACGCCGGACTTCGCCCGGCACATCGGCATGATCGCCGGCGGCACGGGCATCACACCCATGTACCAGATCATCCGCGCGTCGCTGGATGACCCGAGCAACAACATCCAAATTACCTTGCTGTATGCGAACAACACGGAGGGGGATATCCTGCTCCGCAGGGAGCTCGACACCTATGCCGCACGGTTCCCCGGGCGGTTCCGCGTGGAGTATGTGCTCTCGCGGCCGGAGAGCAAGTGGGACGGGAGGAGGGGGTTCGTGACGCAGGAACTGATCCAGGAGGCGTTCCCGGCGCCGGCGGCCGACACTCGGGTGTTTCTCTGTGGGCCGCCGCCGATGATTGAGGCGATGAAGAAGAATTTGGTTGGGCTGGGGTATCAGCAGCCTGGTGCTATGTCGAAGGCGATGGATCAGGTGTTTTTGTTTTGATGCGGCGTGCTGCATTGATTGTAGGGTTTGTTGTTTGTTGTTGGTGTCTGCTATGGCTCTGGCAATCTGCCCTTGGATATTGTTGGGGTTTGATTTTGGGAATAGGTTGAAAGAGTAGGGTTTGTGCTAGGAAGGGATGTTTGATGCAATCTCTGATGGTGTTTTTGAATGACTGGTCTTGCTCCTCATGAAGCTTGTACTCTTCTTCGTTGTTCTCTCTGACCGGCTTGAGTATGTTTGAAATAGTCAATCTAAGGGTATATACGCGGGTTCAGTTTTCTTGGTATACCCAAACTCGGATGTATGCGCTGTCTTTTCTTCTCTGAAGACTGATCACAAAAGATAAAGGATTCAGAAGTTATAATCCGTTGGGCAGTACCAAAGTACTCTACACATTGCTTCAGGTATTGACGGATAAATGTCGTTCAGTATGCCCTTGTCATGTGACCCGAGTCGCTCCAAATCCGCCCCGGCTGCGCCCGAGCCAATCGGAGCTCAGCGGAGGTGACCGGAGCCCACCGGCCGAAACCAAACAACGAACAGCCATGAATGAATGCTCGTGGAACCCGACCCTTCACTTCCACAAAGATTCTTCACTTGGAGCACAATCAACAGACAATGACCGAGGCAGAATACCCCTACGACACGAGGCTGGTGAGCGAGTTGCTCCGGGACAAACGCCGGACCCGCAGCATCCGCTCGTGCTTCCCCTGCCGCCACCGCAAGGTCCGGTGCAACGGTCAGACGCCCTGCAGCAGCTGCGTCAAGCGCAGCCACCCGGAGCTCTGCCGCATGCCGACTACCTCTGCACCTGCACGATCAGCCATCAGAGAACCAGAGGGCCAAAGTAGTCCGAGACCCTCCGAGCCCGAGCCGGGAGTTGTACCCGCCGCGTGGCATCCGGCGGCGGCCATTGCGCGGCTGGAAGCTATCGAGCGGCAGATCGGGGAGCTGAAAGCAAGCTTTCAGCACATTGCAGCCACAGGGTCCGAGTCGTATCCGGGTTCGTCGTCGTCACCGCTCGTAGTTGAGACATCAAGTCCGGCTGAATCGGAAAGCCGGCCCCGGAAAGCTCCAGGACAACAAGTCGTCGAGGAGGCCACCGGCGCCACGATCTTTCTGGGACGACATGCGGACTTTCCTCGGGTATTGGGGTGTCGGGAGCCGCAGATGGCTCAGGAGCAGCTGCTGCAGGATGCGATGATGGATGACGGGGGCGTGCCCCGCGCGTATCCGTTCACGGGGCTCTGGGGACTACAGGCGACCACCCGAGATGTCTGCGAGACGTTGCCGGATGATGAGGATATTCTTCGGTGGGCATGACTACCATGCATTCGGAGTTTAGTTGTGTGATGCACGACGGCTAACAGAAGTAGGTACTGGCAAACGTACCAGACCACCGCGTACCCATTTTACCCGGTTCTGGTGTCGATCGACGAATTCGGGGCGGCCCTGATGGACTTCCTGCAGCAACGCACACGGCTTGACCCCTCGGACAAAGCCAAGCCGGATGAGGAGCCGGGGTCTTCCTGGCTGGCACTGCTGTTTGCTGTGCTAGCGTGCGCGGTGCAGTTCGCCGACGATCCCATTCAAGAACGCGATCTACGTTCTAGAGTCTTCTGTGAGTCTGAATCCCACCCAGTAAGCTTGTCCTAACGGATGGGATTGCAGTGTGCTCATCCTTCCATTGCCTGCGTCTGTCCAATTTCTTCAGCCAGACCAACCTGGAGCAGATCCAGGCCATGGCGCTGATCGGGCATTGTCTACGCAATAACCTTGACACCAACAGCGCCTGGATCCTGATGGGTAGGTTGCCCACTGTGCGCCTTACTTCACAAAGCCAGGACTAACGAAAGCAGGCGCAACCATGCGCCTCGCGCAAAGCATTGGCTTACACGACGTCCCAGTTTCTGTTCCACCTGCCGAAAGACCGCGATGGAGTAGACTATGGTAACTCTCACCGCAAGCGTTCCCCCCGCTCACACCCCGCTGACCACTGGGCCCAAAAAGGTGGACCCTAATCCAACAAGACTGTTTCCTCTCCTTCACCTACGACCGCCCGCCCAGCGCCCTCCCAGCCACCAGGACCACAACCCCACTCCCGTGCCTCAACCACCAAGCCCCCAAGCAAGGCGGCCTAACCTTCCAATCCAGCAGCCTCCGCATCTGCCAACTGGTCCTCAACCAACAACCCGTAACAACACCCGCGCAAGCCCTAACCGCCAAGGACCAATTCCTCGCGCTCCAAAATTCCGCCGCCCGTTTCCTCACCGACAAACAACACTGCACCAGCCTCCAGCAACACCTCGAGCGCCTCGCTTTTCAGATCCACCTCGGCTACGTCATCTGCCGCATGTACCGGCTCCATCTGGACCTGTCCGCAGCCCACGATCCAGCGATTGTGAAAGAGTGCACGGCGACGGCCGCGCGGGTCGTCGCCGCGTTTCTGGATCTGTATCGGTTGTCGAAGGCGGTGTGTCGGTCGTGGGCGTTTGTGCATAATGCGGTGAGTTGTGCGGTCACGCTACGGGGGTTGGGGGTGCATCGGGGTCAAGCTGAAGTGGATGGAGAGTCGGAGGCAGCGGACGATTTGGTGCAGCGGCTCGTGGGGATGTTGCAGCTGGAGGCAAGAGGGTCGGAGTGGTGCGATGAGGATACGAATCGGAGGCATTTCGGGCCGTATTCGCGGGCGTTGAGGGCTTTGTTGGAGGTTGAGGGGGGGCGGGAGGGAGATAGGGGAGAGAGGATGGGATTTGAGTGAGTTGGGTCACTTCGACACAAAGCCTTGGGATTGGACTATCATCATCCAGTTATACTGTGCAGTAGAATGAGTGGCTGGCTAGTTTGGCCTTGTGGTAGCGTACCTAGTAGTGCTGGTCGCCAAGGACATTGAAGATTGGCCGGGCAAAACAATGCCCTAATTTGATACTTTCTTCATTCACTGGATGCATCGCGTGAAATTCGCATGAGGTAGCTTCCTCGCTGTAACTTCTTTCAACAAGGTGGCATACTAAGCGTCAAGTTATGATATCACTGGAGGGTATGCGAAAAGTTGGAGATTAGGCCAAGACCAAGACAGCCCAAGCACTTTCATGCTATAGAATTGTCATACTAGCAGTCCTCACTTGTACCCGCAATCGGTGTAAATCACGTCTCACCCGCCCGTCGATCTGGCTTCGGCAAACCGGCTGGGCCACTGCGGAGCGGGAATGTTCACAATTTCTCCGAGCAGCTCCGAGCGTTTCCGAGGTGTATCCGTTATCAGTCCGATCAGATCTGAGCAGGTCGAAACCAAGTTTGAGATCGGATATGTGCGGATAAGACTGGTCATTGCGATCAGGTTTGCCTTGACGACATTGATTAATTCACTAGAATATGGCACAAATGACGAAAACCCCCTTAAGCATTGCTGTGCAGTATATAAGTACCCGTGCGGCGACAAATGGGCGTTTCAATCCATTTGCTACAGAGTCAAGATCATACTCCCTGAAATATGTCACAATCCTCCAAGACACGCCCAATCACCATCCTAGGCGCCGGCGTCCTGGGCAGCCGCATCGCCTCCGCCCTCCTCGCCGGCGGCCACCGCGTGCACATCCGCGACCTCTCCCCTGATGCCCTCACCACTGCAGCCACCTACATCGACGCCCACCGAGCGGAGTTCGAAGCCCTCCTCCCAGCCCCAATCTCAGCAGGTCCCGGAGACTACCAGGTGTTCACCTCTCTCCCCGACGCCGTCCGCGACGCCTGGCTCGTCATCGAAGCGATCCCCGAACGCCTCGACCTCAAGATCGCCACCTTCGCCGAGCTCGACGCCCATACCCCGGACGACTGCATCCTCGTCTCCAACAGCAGCAGCTTTAAGTCGCGACTGATGATTCCGCAGATCAGACCAGCGCGCCGCGCCCGTGTGCTGAACATGCACTTCACGATGCCGCCGACGATCCGCTCAGTGGAGCTCATGAGCTGCGGGGAGACTGACCTGGGACACTTCGAGCAGTTGAGCGAGGTGCTGCGCGGATGCGGGCTGATCCCGGTGACGGCGCGGCGGGAGTCGACCGGGTTCGTTTCCCCTCCGATCCTCATCCTCATCCTACATGGTATCAAACCCCGCTGACATGAGATAGATTCATCTTCAACCGCCTCTGGGCAGCCATCAAGCGCGAGATTCTGCTCATCCTAGCCGAAGACATCAGCACGGCGGGGGAGATCGACACCCTGTGGACTGAGATGTTCCAGCAACCGCACAGCCAGCCGCCGTGTCGGCTGATGGACCAGATCGGCCTGGACACGGTCGCCTTCATCGAGGACAACTACATCGGCGAGCGGGGGCTCGACGGGTTGATGACGGTCGACTGGCTGCGGGAGCACTACCTGTCGAAAGGGCGGTTAGGGCTCAAGAGCGCAAGCGGCGGGCTGTACGAACCCGCACCAGCACCTCCCGCCGGCGCCCTCCGGCCAGGCCCCGAGCAACCGCAACCCCTCTACGTGCTAGACGTAGGCCTAGGCGCCAACGTCCCCGCAACCACCCCCCTCGCGCAAGCCGGACGCATCCTCTCCTTCAACCCCACCACCAAGAAAATGCACCCCCTGATAACAGGCCAGTCCCTCCCGGACGGCATCGCTTACTCGCGCACCGCCGGGCGCATCTTCTGGACCAACATGGGCGCAGCGACCTCCACGCGCGACGGATCCGTGCACTCCGCCAACGCCGACGGAAGCGACATCCGCACCCTCATCCGCGCGGGAAACGTCCACACGCCCAAGCAGCTCACCCTCGACGAGACGGCCGAGAAACTCTACTTCTGCGATCGCGAGGGCATGGGCATGCACCGGTGCAACTTTGATGGCTCCGGGCATGAGATCCTGGTCCGGGCCGGCTCGGAGGCGCAGACGGGGGACATGACGCGGTGGTGCGTTGGGGTGGCGCTCGATGTGGCGGCGGGGTATGTGTACTGGACGCAGAAGGGGCCTAGCAAGGGGAATCGGGGCCGGATTTGTAGGGCTGGGATGGAGATCCCCGCGGGCCAGACGGCGGAAAGCCGGGGGGATGTCGAGGTGCTGTTGGAGGGGTTGCCGGAGCCGATTGATTTGGAGGTTGATGCAGGCGCAAAACGGTTGTATTGGACGGATCGTGGGGAGCATCCGGTTGGGTGTTCGTTGAATGTGTTGGATCTTGGGGATATGGGGGCCGGGAAGAAGGTGTTGGCTACGCATTTTCATGAGCCAATTGGGTTGTGCTTGGGGGAGGAGGGGGAGGTCATTGTGGCGGATTTGGGGGGGAGTGTGTATTCAGTGAAAGGGGGGCGGAAGACGGTGCTGTGGCGGGATGAGGGATGTTATACTGGGGTTGCGAGGAGTTGAGGGGGTTGAGGGGGTTGATTAGTGGTATGGCGTCGTTATGTGTACTGTAGATGGTGATAGACAGTTTGCTTTGAGCCTTGTTGGAATTTCATTTGCTGTCGGACTCTAACTTGTTTTGAGAGGGGTTTGCACCGTGGAATAGAAAGGATATAGGAACACCAAATCTTGTAGGCCTTGGTGGTATAGTGCTTGCACGGGTGCGACGAATGTGAGGTAAGATGGGTCCGCACTGTAGAAAAAAAGTAGGAACAAACTGTTTCCTGTGTAAACATGCAATTCATTGACTGCGCTACCAGATTCAAAAGCCCCAGCCTTTACTTCTTGCATTCTCGCTGGACCTAGCACTACCCCGAAAGTCAATGGCGGGTAGGCAGTAGGCAGTCCACGCCCACCGCGTCACGAAGTCTAACCTTAATTTACGATCAGCAAGAGTGAAGTTCCTTTGAACTCACCGAATCACTCCAGTCACAATGGCTCCGACCATGGGCAATCCAGGTCATCCTTGTGCTTATAACGGTGGGCGCATACAGTTAGAGTGTATGGCGGTTCGTATATCCAAGACCGGATCTCTGGATCCAACCTTAACCGGGGATCTGGGCCGGTCTACCCCACACTTTCCACTGATTTTCCTTTCATGTAGCACAATCTGATCGAGTGTAGACTCATCATGCCACCGCTTCACCTCGTATACACCGCGATCCTTGCAAAAGGGCTTGGAACTTCGTAGTCATGATTACTTGACTTGTCCTGCAGTCTTGAAGCGACGGCGGTGCTTATAAAAAGCCATCCACCTCTCCCTCTACCCACCAAAACCAAAACCCCCATCAACTACAACACCATACCACCGCAAACCCAATCAATCCACATCCAACCCCAACTCCACAAAAACAAAAAAAATGATCCCCCAAAAAACCACAGCCTACATCACCCGCACCCAAAACTGGGACCCAGCCCGGGCGCACCCCGCCCTGGCGTGGATGGAAAAATGCACGCACGCCTGGGACACGCGGCAGAGCTGGACAACGCCCTACACGGACTGGGTGACGCCGGACTTTGTGTTCGTCAAACCCAACGGCGAGCGGTGCGAGGGCGGGCTCCCCGCGTGGGAGGCGATGCGGCAGGAGTACGCGGCGTTTGCGCGGTCGCACCACGAGCCCAGCTGGGTGTGCGTGGTGGACTGTGACGATGACGAGGGCGGGGGATGGGAGTTTGTCGGCGAGGGGCAATTGTTTATTGATCTACCAGACGGGAAAATTCCCGGGGAGAAGAAGGCAAAGGATCTGGATGGGCAGGAGTGGGATCTGGGCGTGGAGAGTATGTTTCGGTTCCGGTTTGTGCACACCTCAGATGAGCTGAATGAGGGGATTCGGATCAAGCGGTTCCAGTTTTATAGTGATAGTGGGCCGGTGGTGGCGGAGATGGTGAGGAGGGGGATCGTGAGGGTGGAGGATTTATTTGGGTAGGCGTTGGGGATCTTTGGGGTGAACTTGGAAGGGAGGGGTGGGCTTTGAATGGGGATGATTTGTGGAATTACTTTTTCTTTTTGGGGTTTGTTATGGTGTTTTCAGTAAATGCTTATGTGGCCTGGTTTTGTACATTTGTTGCGTCTGAATTGTTGCACTCATTGCTTGGTCTGCAAGATTACCTAATGATGAGGGTAAAGTTCATCTTATATAATGATCTGTATAAGCCGGATGTATACAGATTTCTTCATGTCATACTCAACTTGCCATTCTAGAAAGACTCGTGCTAAATCATATTAGCGTATGCTAGACTACAAGAACCACCAGATCATCGAGCCGAACGGCTGCAAATCATCAAGGCTTGGCGTCGGATAAAGATTCACCGAGTGGAACCCCTTTTGTGGGGAAGGTCAAAGGACTAGCCTAGCACTCGGTAAGACACAGTGGAGTGCGCAATCAAAACGATCCGCAGCAGGCGGAGGGGGATATTTACTGGAATATGGGAGTAAGACATCGGGCGTCGTTGTGAGCCTCTTAAGAGTGTCTAATAAGGCGCATACGTCATCTGCGGCTGGCGACGGCGGTAGAGGCATCTCCCTGTGTGACGTCTACTGTACCAGAGCATGTCGCCTGCATCTATGCAAGCATCAGGCTGCGGTACACACGTGTCGATCAACACCTTTAACCTCGACAACAATGACCCAACCAACCAGTTGTTCAAGTACAGCCAAGCTAGCGCCCCTCCGAGCAGGGGATAATCAGAATCACGTGACCAACAAGGCTGACAGATACGAGCGCCCCTCTCACACGCCCTCCAATCCACCAAACATCCCCAAACCTCCCACCCAAAGTGAACAACCAACAAGAAAAAATGAATATGCCCTCCGGATCCCCAACGCAGCACACCCTCAACACCCCCGAGCTCCTCGAGCTCATCCTCTCCCAACTCGACCCGCGCACCCTCCTCACCGCCGCCCAACTAACCTGCCGCACTTGGCGCACCCTCATCCAAACCTCCCACCCGCTCCAGGAAGCCCTATTCTTCCGGCCCGCCCGAGCAATCCCCACCACCCCCGCCCCTGCTACCAAGAAGTTCAACCCGCTGCTGGCGTGGGCATTCCCCGGATTTTTCCCGCGACCCCCCGGCTGCAGCAGCGCGTCGGAGGCAGCCCCCTTCGCCAGCCACGCGGTTTTCCACTGGCACACTCTCGACTTCGTCGTGCGCCCGGACAAATGCCCCGCCTATTTCCGGAAGGAGGCCAGCTGGCGCCGGATGCTGGTGCACCAGCAGCAGCAACAGCATGCGCCTCCGCAGTCGGTGGGAGTGATGACCGCGTGCAGTGGGATCAGTGGGGAGGAGATCTGTTTGGAGAGTTGGGTATGTTTGTCCCCCTTTTTTTCTGTCTTTGTTTGTGTGTGCAACTCAAAGTAACGCTATTGCAGACATCCCCGCAGACGGGAAATGCTTTGGAAGATGGCCTCCGGATGGAGACGTTCTTCGAGCTGCTGTTCTTCAATGAGCTGCTGCGGTACAGTTGGTACGTCGCGGTGGTGTGGCGGGATGAGCGCCGGGCTCCGGAGCATGTAGTCGAGGCGTATCGGGGCCGGCTGGGGAAGCCGGACAACCAGGAGGTGGTGGTTTGCGTGTTTGCGTCGGTGGGGTGCGAGGAGTCGGATGACGAGGATGAGGAGTCGGAGGTTAGGGCGGTGCAGGGGGTTGTGGTTGGGGGATACAATAAGGAGGGGCTGCGGACTGCGCCTTTTACTGGGGAGGAGGGCGGGTGGGTGAAGGGGGAGGTGATGAAGGCTTCGGGGTGGTGGGATTAGAATTAGGGCTGGTTTGGGTGGGGTTGGAAGGTGGTGTGGCGTGGGGGGGGAGTACGGGTTGATGGGTGCATGTTGAGTGTGTTAGGCATGGGTATCGGATGGTAGAGCTTGTTTAGATCATACTCGGACTGAAGTATGCTACACTATACAAAACATACACGACAGTAATGGCGCAGCTGAACTCTGCGATTAACCTGATCCTCAAGCGAACTTGCACGCCTCCCCCACAACACTAACCGTCGTCGTCACCGTCTCCACCACCACGTCGCCCCCCTCTGCACTCGGCGCAGCAGTCACCACCGCCGTCGTCAGGCCTGTCGACACCTCTACCACCGCTGCCGTGGGCGTGGGCACATTGCTGAGGGTCACAGGGTGGGCATAGTCTGAACACCAACCAATAGTCTTAGGCACGATTCCAGGTTTCACGGTTTTGGAGGTCACGACGGGGACAACAGCAACGGGGATGGCGGGGGTAGCAGCGGGGAGGACATTTGAAGGAGAGTGATGATGGTGGTGGTCATGATGATCGGTGTGGTGGTGATGAGGCAAGACAGAGCTGGAACCGGTGGGGCTCACCGTGACATAAACGGTCTGCGTGGCCGGGGCCGGGCAGGTGGGGCCGGCCACCGGGGTGCGCGAGGGAGACGGCAGCCCCGGGAGAGACGAGGGTTTCGGGTCAGAGCAAGGCTGCACCGGCGGCGCGACGGTGAACTTCTCGCTCTGCGCGTAGATGATGTACACGTTGGTGCCGTTGATGCCGCTAATCTGGTAGCCCCACTCCGGGTCGGTGTCGCAGGGGATCTGCACGCGATGCGTCAGGTCGGAGGTCGGGATGTCCAGGGCCAGTGGCACGTAGGTCGGCGGCCACGAGACGAAGTTCCAGAGATACAGGCTGAAGTAGCTGGGGTCGGTGTCGACGCTCGTCCAGTTCACGGTCAGGGTGGAGCCGGCCGGGTAGGTTGCGTTGAGACCCGGCTTGGTGATGCTGATCGCCGAGGCGAGGGATGTCAGCGACACCAGCAGTGCGGGGATGGATAGACGCATGGTGTTGCGGTGGATTGCAGTTCTGGTGCGGGAGTGCGGTTCAAGCGGGTTATAGAAAGGGGTATATGCAAAGAATGCTCAAGATGGCGACAAGAGCGTTAGTCAGGAAATATGAGGATAGAATCGGAGGTAAACGAGTGACTGGATTCTGTATTCTGTAAAGAATGACTGGTAGTTGGAATGGCTGGTGGAAGCGATGGAAGCAAGGGGCGAGGGGGGATTATAAGGTGAGGAGGTTTGTCGCATCACCGGAGATTAACGGTCAGCCTCGTGAACCCAACATTCCCCGCGCTAGTGGGAATAGTGCGTGCCGTAGACCTTTTTAGGGTGTTTTCATTGCGGGGCGCCGTCTTGATTTGTGCTGTTTGAGGTCGGTTGGGACCGTGCACCGACAATGTCTTGGCCATGTCTTGGCCATCAACACTTGATTGGTCTGGGATGCACGGTTCCTGGGAATCCAATTTAACTACTCGTAGAGATCCCACTTATTTACCTTATCCAGTGCTGCTAATCATAAGTTTGCTGTCGCTGTCTTTAAAAACAGGTGAGATCCAGGGCCCGCGTGGATAAATGAGAGAAGGACCCATAAGGCGAATAGTGATTCGCACTCAGCGATCTAGTCCTTTACAGCGATAGGTCAGTTTCAGGCACCACAGGTGAACTAAACCACGATGTCATGTCCGGTCTTACTGTCCTTCCAGATTAGCCGGAAATTGCCTCGGCTTGGACTCAGTGCACGTATCCAGAGATCATCTCGATTCGAAGTTCATGTTAGCAAAACAATCTTCAAACTTATGCAACAGTGCGGTGATACAAGGATGGAACCAAGCCGTAGCCAAGTTGTGTTTTTATAGATACCTTCCCGCGGATCGGTCTTACAACGAAAACATTATTGACCGTATTATTTCCTTCTCTCCCAAAGAAACATAAAGATAGCTCCGGGTTGAGCTGGTTCAATGCCGGCCATAAGCAGAGTAACAAGCTCCATTGTGCCAATCATTTGTCCGTGAAGAATACTCGACCGTCTTCTATCTATCTCCAGAGAAAAGAGAAATCTGAATTCTCAATTGTATGGACAGGAGAGCATTCATTGGAGTGCGTTTTGTCGGGCGTCCTCTTTTTTGCTGCGGAAAACGAGGGCAGCGATGTAGTGGGTGAAGGGAGCCACGAATTTAGGCTAAACGCTTGCCAAGAAAATGTCACATGCATTTTAAAATCTGTTGTAGATATCTTCTATTGTTGCACTCAGTATCTTGTGCTTCTGCACGCATTGTAAGTGTTGATGTGCGGTCCTCGTGGCTTGTGCAGGTAGGGACGAGTGTTTACTGAAATTGGCGACACTGGGTTCCAAGTTGTTTGTCTCCTTCGCCGGATGTCGAAAGTTGACATCCCAAATCTGGTAAATTCAGTCCCGATGGCAACAGGCTGGAACATATTGCAATGACTGAGATGGTCCGAATGGCGGCTCATTCTGAGAAGTCTTAAATAAGAGTCTCTCAAAAGATCCATGTTTCTTGGCAAAATGCGTTTTCTACGTACTCTCCAGATAGTTCCTGATTAAGTATCGTAGCTTGAACAGATTTTACTCTCGACCGCAGTCTGGAATCAAGCAGTGTAATTACCAGACACTAGCTTTGATGATGCATTGTATCTCGGTCGAAACATACTATGCCCTGGGAAGAGAACTGGGTATATGAATGTACCCATTTTATCGTATATCCTTGATACGATGGAACTTTGCTCCGTGTTTCCTTTGACTTGAGGGAATTTTTCCAAAATTTTCTCGGGCCCTAGTGATTGACCGATCGGCATCGCACTCGATCTCTAGTTTGATTAGGGCATGATAAAACAGGGTCCTCATCCAGTGTTGTTGAAATAAAGATCAACATGTCCGAGATGTCTCTTGTCTTTTTCTTATTCTGTCTAGGTAAATCATCCTAAGCTTTGTCGGTACTTCATAACCCGTTTGAAGTGGAAATAAGCAGAGTTCATTCTTCTTTCTACTTGTTCTTGCATAGCTCCCAAGTTTTCCCTTTGCGGTGGTCTCCTGGCTCGAGATGTTTGATTCTTTACCGTGCCGATGCTATCCAGATATATTTAGGGTTCGGGAGTAACCATGATCGACCGGGTTCGTTTATTCTTGAGTACCCACTTCCTATAATTGTCAAACAGAACTTTGGAATCGAAATAATGTTTCGTGACAAAGGTAGCTCTGAAGCAATATAATCTAGTCCTAGTTTTATGCTCTCATGCGATCAGTTAGAAAGTGCTGTACCTACAAGAGCCCGTACTTACACCTTTCTAAGCACTTTTCTGGGCCCTTATTGGAGCCCCTGTTTGAGTACTTATGTGTATTGATATTAGAACTACGGAGAAGAATGCGTGCATTGAAGCAGTCCTACGGTCTCGACCTCTCAGTGAGCCCCCTTGAAGTTGTCATACTCGAGTATCCCGCAGAAACACTCATGTCATGTGACTACTTTTACAAAGGGCCAATCAAGGCACTTTGTCTCGAGAGAATTGCAGCCAATCAGCGCGGCGTCTGTCATGCTTGGCAAAGTTGACTCACCGCTCTCGGGGCAGAATTCTTGACCATGCCGAGATTTCTCTCTGACACGTTTTGACTCCACCCCGAGATGATCGAGATGACCGAGATGACCTGCTAAACAATTCTAGAAAGCTTCCATTTTGCTTTACGATTACCTCCAAGCTCCTGGCTCTTCGCTGGGGACAGGCGACTGGTTTGAGCGCCGTAATGACCGACAAAGCCGTAGCAGCTCATCAAGACGACTTGAATTACCTCGACATGCTTGGAGAATGAAAGGCATTGTACTGACTTCCTTTTTCTTTTCCCTTTTCTTTTTTCTAATTTCATAAGAAACTCGCGCATCGCATTGTCAAACCTTTGGAGAACATGTGCCCTTTCCTGTGCGATTCAACGGCGGGCACAATCTTGTGTGGCAATCGGGACATGCAATTCGGGAGCACCGGGATCTCACTTTCCGACCCTGTGTGCTATACATACGCTCACCTGAGAAGTCTCTTACTCGTCTGACCTTGATCCGCAAAATGGTGCATTCCTATTGAGTTCGTAAGACTGGAGATATGATGTCTCGTTCAACGAGCTTCATAGAGGATATGAAGAAGAATCGGGCTGGCATTCGAAGTGAAAAGAATCGTGTCCGCCGTGGACCCACTTCCAGCCCGAACCCGGCCCGTCATCACGACAAGCAGACTCGGCCGTCTTCCCATGCTATCTGCACAGTCTCTCACACGGGATGATCGGGCCCAGATAGCTTGTATAGCTAGACCGGGGGCCCTCAAAAACTGTTGGGTCTCCAGGGTAATACGAGGCAATAGCACACAAACCTGATTCTCGGCGAAAGTCCCCTCCGTGTATGAAAGGCTGTTCGGTTATCTGATTACCCGCTCACAAAACTCTTTTCCATATGATCTAACTACTGAATGGCCCGGCGCCATCCGAGCTAGACCGTAGGATCTAGAGGAAGGTGGAAGCTGATTGGGACGTGGACATCCACTTTATCTTCTCGCATACGGCATGGAGCTTAGTCTACCTCGTATACTCTACAGCCCGCGTGAACCGTCCTAGGCTCAAGCTTCTCACAGAATGCTTGGTGGATGCAAGAGACCGGGAAGAGAGCCGACGTGTATTAATACGAGCTGTCCTTGAACAAAAGCTTTCAGGAGTTGCAGATTGTGGTTAGCAAGGCGCGCGTCTCGGACAGGATTACATAAATCAATTGACTCTCAGAGGGTTGTGTGAAGCAAGAGGCAGCTTGTATGTACCTATGTTGGCATAACTCTGACCCACAGACGAGTATCCAGGGACTTTAGCTCATGATAGCCGTTGTGCGATCTTTATTGTTGAGGGGACTGAGTAAGTCCTGAGTAAGTGATTATGAAATTCTGATAAAGCGACCCCACAACACCCTATCCAAGTTTTACGCCACGAGGTGGGGCCGCCTACTGGACGCCGATTCGCCCGGCAGCCCGGGAGGCACCGGTCACCCTCGGTCATCATTAGCTGATTCTTCGACAATGAACGCATCAACCCTGTTGGGGAAAATAAATTTTCTTCTAGAGAAAAAGATATATAAACCCCGGGATCTGTCAAGGATGCATATTTCCACCAGTCACAGATCATCCACCAAGATCTTCCGCCATGCACGCCTTCTGGACTGCGACCACGCTGCTGGCTTCAGCCGGAGCCCTGTTGGGCGCCCAGGCCCGCCCGACTGACGGTAAGAACCACACGGTCCAGTCGGGATACGACTACATTGTTGTTGGAGGCGGTCCGTCCGGCATCATCACGGCGGAGCGTCTGGCTGAAGCCAACAAGACTGTGCTGCTGTTGGAGCGCAGCACGGCCGGCCCGACAGTTGGAACCGGCTCCAACTACACCCTGTCGTGGAACGATACCCTGACGGCCATCGACGTGCCGGGCCTGTCCTTTGATGTCGGCAACTTCCCACAGTGGTCCGAGTACATCTGTACCGACACCGACGGTACGGCGGCCTGCATCCTGGGCGGCGGTGTGACGGTGAACTACATGGTCTTCGTGCACCCCCCGGACCACGACTTCAACGATAAATGGCCGGTGGGCTGGAAGTGGGCGAACGTGACTGCAGGAGCCGATCGCCTTTACGCTCGCAACCCGGGCAGCAGCGTGCCCTCGGCCGATGGCAAGCTCTACGACCAGACCCTGTTCACCACCCTGTCGACCTTCTTCAACAACCTCAACTGGACCGCCACCGACATGAGCGCCCAGCGCAACGAGAAGTTCCAGACCTACAGCCATCCCGTCTGGAACATCAAGGACTACAAGCGTGCCGGCCCCGTCCGCACCTACCTCCCGCTCGCCCTGCAGTACCCCAACTTCTCCCTCCGCATGGGCGCCCTCGCCACCCGGGTTGTCCGCAGCGGCAGTCTGGTGACCGGAGTCGAGATCGTGAATGCGGCGAGCAACCAGACCGAAACCATCCCTCTCGCCCCCGGCGGCCGCGTGGTCCTCTCCTCCGGCGCGCTGCACTCGCCGCGCATCCTGTTCAACTCCGGTATCGGCCCGCGGGCGCAGATCGAAACGGCCCAGAAGAGCGGGATCGCCGTGCCCCCGGCCAGGGAGTGGATCCACCTGCCCGTCGGCGAGAGCCTGATGGACCACCCGATCTTCTCGATCGTCATTCAGACTGACAAGGACTTCAACGAACTGGACGCGGCCGCGATCCTCAACGGCACCGCGACCAGCGAGATCACCGCGTACGAGGAGCAGAACGACGGGGTGCTCACGCAGGGCAAGCACCGGCTGATTTTCTTCAGCTCCAACGTCGCCAGCGACGGCCACACCCGGTACTACCAGGGCTCCTGCACCCCGACGGCCGAGGGCGAGGTCACCATCACCACCTACATGACGCACGGCCTGACCTCCAAGGGTGTCCTGGGGCTGGATGCGGACCAGCGCACCGTCATCGAGAAGTCCCCCTACCTGCAGACGGCCGGCGACCGCGAGGCCGCCACCATGTTCATCCAGTCCATGGTCGATGCCATCAACGCCCCTGGCTCGGGCTTCCAGTTGGTCGAGTACACCAACACCTCCGCCATTCTTGGTTCGCTTACCGCGGGTATCCACTACGCCGGCACCACCAAGATGGGCACCGATGACGGCCGCTTCAACGGTACTGCTGTTGTTGATACTAACACCAAGGTGTACGGTACGGATAATCTGGTATGTCTTCCTTCACTTCCCAAATTTCAGAAAAGGTTGCTGAGGCAGTTTGATAGTACATTGTGGACGGTGGTATCCACCCCGATCTGGCTTCCGGAAACAACCAGGCGACCATCATGGTCGTTGCGGAGAACGCTGTGGAGCGTATTCTGGCTCATTAGACGGGTTTGCCCTTTTCAGAGGGGAGAGTGTTGAAACTAGTATTCTGTATTTTACGTGTAAAGTAACGACTTTTTGAACCTTATAATGAGTTCGGTCGTGAGTACTAGCTTAGTAGTCATGTACTCAGCCGAGCAGGTAATTGATTTCTTTTTAGACCACAGCCGATGCGTTGATTGGTATCTTCACAATCTTCCTCCCTGTACGTTGAGCGCGCGTGACGGTGGGTCACTACTTTATGTACTAGATTCTCACCTCGTGAGCGACGGTCTGTCTTTGTCTTGCGCGCAAGTTGCTGAGAAGACGGTAAATCACATAGACCAGTGACGATGCCTGGAAAGAAACCCGCACCACAGATTCCTTTTACTTTGCGGGTTCCTCTGACTCGCCGCTCCGCATTGTTTCCTTGTAACGGTTGTTGAACGCAGAAATCCTTCCAAATCCGGAGGTTCTCCTATTTATTAACATCATCTTGGTACCAACTAGCGTATAGCCCGCCAGCCTGGATCGTGACAGTTTGAGGTTCTGAAAAACTCACATTCCCCGCTGTTACTGCAGCGTCAGCGGCTATCCACCCTAGCCGAGCACAAGTGCCTGGACCCTGGAATCCAGCCACTCCACTTAAGGAAACTGACTTTCCATCATGCACACTCCTGCTCCTGGGTGCGTCATTCTCTGAATGGGAAATGATCTTCCACCACTGTCTCAACGTACTCCTTCAATGCCCCTTTTCCCTGGCATGTGAGAATAAATGACATTACAGATACATCCACAATATCGCAGTAAGCACTATGAAAGCATCATATATGAAATCATGCCTCTGAGTAAACTGTAATCTCGGTAAGTCAGGGACCAAGCCCTGTAATCTCCGCCCCCGGCCGCTGGTGACTACGTACAGTACACTATACGCACTAGGAAGAAAAAGGGTCTTGGATCCTGCACCCTTTCCCCGATGCGGGCTTAGGACCCAATTGCACGACTACTCGATATGATCGACCGAGTCGTTATACCAATGCACCGGTCCACGCGATCCTGTGGTGTCCTGGCACAGTGAGCTTGAGGTAATATCCGAAGTCGGCAGCAAGCGACGGGGGATAGCGGCCGCGGCATCCGACCAGGGCAGATTGCCCGACTGGGGTTGGTGGCGCGACATGGCGAACTCACACTCCCCGATCGCATCGCTCGTCCTTTGCTCCGTTGCGGCCGCTGGTTCATCCGGACCATCAATCTTGCACAGCACCGCCTTGCAGTACGCCGCTGCCACCGCCGCGGCGTACCGATGCCACCCGTCCTGCTTGTGCGTATCCGCGTAGTCACAGATCCCGCGGATTACGAGGCAGGGGATCTCGTCCACGATACCGGCGGCCTCCATTTCGTAGCAGATGGCGTCGTCATAGCCGCGGCGGAGAAGGTCTCGATGCTCGGGGCTTTTCACTACGCCACCACCAGACAGTATCAGGCCGCGATGCACGACCGGGTATTCCGGTTTCGTGGCCCGCACTCCGCGGGCGACCACCTTGCGCTCCGAGGACCCCTCACACCCGCGACAATCCGCCCCCTTGTTAACATGGTGAAAGGTCGGATCGTATAGCACATCCGATGCAGCGGCGTCGGGGTGCCCATACCCGGGCATCCTGGTGATGGACCTCAGAATCCTCCGGAGTGAACTCCGCCCCATGATCTCCTCCTCCTCCAGACACCCGTCCGCGCTGACTAGTAGCGGGTGGGGCTTGTTGGAGACCCCCTTGGATGCAAATGCACCGCCGGCTTCCTCGCCCAGATCATACTCCACCACCCCCGGATGATTCTCTCTCGGCACCCCAACCGCAACATCCCCCAACCGGATATCCCGCTGGCCGGGAATCCCCGCCCCGATGCCCACCATCAGTGCGAACCGCACGCTCGGGAACAGCTGGCCCACCGCCGCGGCGCAGAGCGCTGCCTTAACGGGGCCGATTTGATGCGGCCGCGCGAGCACGACCTTGTGCTCGCCGATGCGCCCGTAGCTAAAGATGTATTTGGTTTGCGGGTTGTATCGCGGGCGGCAGTGGAATTCTTCGTCGAGGGCGTAGCGCACGGCTACTGACTCCAGCGGGAGGGCGCAGAAGATCGCGACGGTGATTTCTTCGGGGGATATGCTGGCAAGCGGGCTTTCTTCGGAAGAGTCGGAGTCGCTTGGTTCGGGGTGCGTCTGTTGCATGTCGTCCATTGTGTGCTTGAGTTGTGGAATTCTGTGCGGGGTTTGGGGCTTGAAGTACTCGTCGGCTTTTAGCCCACTCCGGTCTTGAGTCAAGCAGGATCGAGTGATTAACATAAGAGGCAGCCTTGGTTATATGGCTGTGACGGTGTAGGCCAACATTGAGCCTCATGGAGAACGCCGGCGGCAAGCCCGCCAATGATGCCCGTTTCTTTGGTGCGCGCAGTGCCCACTGCGGACGTCAGACTAACCACGTTGAGCCGAAGCATGCGGGGCATTATCCATAGCATGATTAGCGTGGATATTGATCACCCGCAAGCGATGATCTTGGTGCGAAGATTGGCGAGATGTTGCTGGCCTTTGCAATTTTTTTCATATCCAGGACTGAAGTCCAAATCTAGCATAACCTTAACCGGTCCCCCCCCCCCTCCCCCCAACGGTCGCACGGTCCAATTCTACACAAGGCTTGGCATTCGTCGAATGGCATGTGCGTGAAGGAATAAGCTATAAGGCGTTTACTACCTGTTTGAATGCTGCACAATCTGAGAAACCTGTTTACTGCCCTCAAAGATCCATTCAAATGGGATTGTTGATTGGATGCCAATCTTGTACGCAAATAACGACTCGGTGATCCAACCTTTCCTCAAAGACGCCAAGAGCGGAATGAGACAGCTCCGCCGGCGTCCCATGACTCCTCTGGTATTGAGTTGGTCTACAATACCACACCCACTCAGGTATGCAGACCTGCGAGTCGATGATTAAGCCAAGGGAGGCAGTGCCATGCCGAGAGAAGGGAAGTCTGGGTGTCCCGGGGATCGGGTCCTGTTGCCGCTGCTATACATCTGTCTCGGAATCATACTGTCAACAACCTCTCTGCCACCTCTCTTCACAGCCTCTTTCGAACTCGAGATTTTGGAAAGGTTGATCATGTATACCATCCACTCGCACCCTGATATACAGTCGTCTATACCTCCTATCCCGAATCCGGTTTTGCTCTTCCAACACCCCCCCCTCAAAGCAGAGATCGAATTAGGGTTCCCCCACCCCCCGATCCGAGCAACGAACCACGGCTCAAGTCCGGGGTACAACAGCACAGCCCCCAACCTTGTTCAAAAGCATGACGAAACCGACAGCGACATAGTCTGCATAAATGTATGACGATGAATCAGTAGCATTTCACCACGACCACCCAACTCCACCATCGACGAAACAAGATGACCACGACTATAGACGGCAAACCCACGCAAACACCACTCCCAACCTCCCACCGGCCCCCCTCGCCCTCACCCTCCTCCTCACCCACCCCCTTTGCCTTCACCCCAACACAGCTAACCACCCTCTTCAACCCGAAATCCCTACCCCAGTACCTCGAACTAGGCGGCCTGCAAGGCCTCGAACACGGCCTCCGCACCAACCTAACGACCGGCCTGACCACCACCGAAACCACCCTCACCGGAACCATCACCCGCCAACAAGCCCACCACCACGCCATCTCCATCTCCCAAACCAAAAGCACAAGCACAAACACAAGCACTTCCCCCCTCCTCGCCCACCCCACCACTCCGAAACAGAACCCCACGATCCCCCCGGATCAGTTCGTGGATCGCATCAAAGTCTACGGCCGCAACATCCTCCCGGAACCCCCCCGCAAATCCTTCGGCCGGCTACTCTGGGACGCGTACAACGACAAGATCATCCTCCTGCTGACCGCGGCAGCCGTCGTGTCGCTGTCGCTGGGCATCTACGAGGCGGTCAGCGGGCAGTCGCGCGTGGACTGGATCGAGGGGGTGGCGGTGTGCGTGGCGATCGGGATCGTGGTCGCGGCGACGGCGGGGAATGACTGGCAAAAGGAGCGGCAGTTTCGGCGGTTGGGGCGGTTGGTACGTTTCCCGCGGCGCTTTCCTGGTATTCCCGGTGGGGTATGGGGATTGGGGCGTGGGGTGCAGTTGTGAGTATTGGGTTCGGCGAACCGTGCTGATGTTGGTTGCTGGGATAGAAAGTCGACCGCGAGGTGCGGGTCATCCGCTCCGGGCAGCAGGTCATGGTGCACATCCACGACCTCACCGTCGGGGATCTCGTGCACCTCGAGCCCGGGGACTGTGCGCCTGCGGACGGGGTCGTCGTCACCAACTACGGGCTGCGGTGCGATGAGTCCCTCGCCACTGGGGAGGCGGATCAGATTGAGAAGGTCGGTGGGGCGGAGGCGTGGGAGCGGTTGGTGGCCGGAAAGCATAAGGCAGATGAGGGGGTGTTTTGCGAGGAGAAGGTGATTCAGAAACTGGAGGAGGAGAATCTCGACCCGTTTATCATCTCCGGGAGTAAGATTCTGGAAGGCCTTGGGACCTACCTTGTGCTTAGCGTGGGTCCGCATTCCACCCATGGGCGGATCATGGTGTCCCTCGGTACGGAGAGTGATCCGACCCCGTTGCAGGTGAAGTTAAGCCGGTTGGCGAGCTGGATCGGGTGGTTCGGGCTGGGGTATGCTGTTCCATGTTCTTGTTCTTGCTCCGTTGGGTTATGTGACTGGAAGTTTACATGCTGATGTGTGGTGGGTTAGGGCTGCGCTACTTCTCTTCTTCGTCCTCCTCTTCCGCTTCCTGGCGCAGCTGCCCGATAACCCGGCGCCGTCGACGGTCAAGGGGCAGATCTTCATGGACATTCTGATTGTTACGGTTACAGTCATTGTGGTGGCCATACCTGGTATGTGCTGGCTTTGAGCGGAAGAAAATATGATTTTTGGACTGACGTGTGCAGAGGGCCTCCCCCTCGCGGTCACCCTGGCACTAGCCTTCGCGACGGGTCGGATGCTGAAAGAACATAACCTGGTGCGACAGCTGCGCGCCTGCGAGACAATGGGCAACGCCACCGTCATCTGCTCGGATAAGACGGGCACCCTGACGCAAAACAAGATGACGGCGGTGGTCGGGTTCTTTGGGGTGTCCGAGTCCTTCGGCCACATGCCCACCGACACTTCTCCAGCTGCTTGTCCGGTGCAGGTTCCAGAAGCTGCTGCAAGGTTCCCCGCCTCGTTCCGGGATCTGCTGGTGAAAAGCATCGTCGCCAACTCGACTGCTTTCGAGGAACGAAGAGAGCACGGGGCCGAGCTGGTTGGCAACAAGACGGAGATTGCGCTGCTGCAGTTGGCGCAGAAGCATCTGGACGTGCCGGATCTTGCTGCGGAGCGGGCTGGGGTCGACGTTCTGCAGGTGTATCCGTTTGACTCGGCGCGGAAGGCGATGGCCTTGGTTTATCACGTGCGTCCAGATACGTACCGGGTGCTGGTCAAGGGAGCAGCGGAGGTGGTCTTGCGGGCGTGCAGGACGGTTGTCCTCGCTGATGATGATGTGGACGAGGTGCCCGTTGGCCAGTTGGCTGACAGCGATGTAGACACGATGGAGCGAAGCATCAACACTTATGCCTCGGCCGCTCTGCGCACCATCGGGCTGGCGTATCGTGATCTCCCTGCTGGGGTTGCCGGAGGCAGTAGGGGAAGCGAAAAGGGTCTTCCTCGCTTTGAGGAGATATTCACCGACATGACCTGGATTGGGTTGTTTGGGATTCACGACCCGTTGAGACCGGAGGTGACGGAGGCAATTCGACAGTGCCATTCGGCGGGGGTGAAAGTGAAGATGGTCACCGGTGAGTTTGGCTCTCCTTGAGCGCTCGTTCGCGTTACTGACGTTGCAGGCGACAATATCAACACCGCATTATCTATCGCCGCCGCATGCGGCATCAAGACCGACGAGGGCATCGCAATAGAAGCGCCTGAGCTGCGAAAGCTAAGCGAGGAGGAACTAGACGCAATCCTGCCGCGTCTCCAGGTCCTGGCGCGCTCCTCCCCGAGCGACAAGCAACTCCTAGTGCAGCACCTGAAGAAGCTCGGGGAGATCGTCGCCGTGACCGGAGACGGGACGAACGACGGGCCCGCCCTTAAGTCGGCGGATGTGGGCTTCTCCATGGGCCTGAGCGGGACGGAAGTGGCACGCGAAGCCAGTTCGATCATCCTACTCGACGACAACTTCCGTTCGATCGTCACAGCCATTGCATGGGGGCGTTGCGTCAACGACGCGGTAGCCAAGTTCCTGCAGGTGCGCACCTCCCTGACATTGTTCCTCGCAAAGCCAATCACTGATGAATGTACTGAAGTTCCAAATCACCGTCAACATCACCGCCGTCTGCCTAACGGTAGTAACAGCCATCTACAACAGCTCCAACGAAAGCGTCTTCAAAGCCGTGCAACTCCTCTGGCTGAACCTGATCATGGACACATTCGCAGCATTGGCCCTGTAATCTCCCCTCCCCCGCCTTCCCTTCCTCTACTCCTACTCCACCAACTAACAACCATCAGAGCCACCGACCCCCCGACCCCCTCCATCCTCTCCCGCCCCCCAACGCCCCGCCACGCGCCCCTCTTCACGACCACGATGTGGAAACTGATGCTCGGCCAATCCCTCTACAAACTCGCCCTCTGTTTCACGCTGTACTTCGCCGGCGACCGGATCTTCAATCTCAACCCCACCGGGGACGCCCACGACCGCGTGCTCCTCGACACGATCATCTTCAACACCTTCGTGTGGATGCAGATCTTCAACGAGTTCAACTGCCGTCGGCTGGACAACAAGCTCAACATCTTCCAGGGCCTCACCAAGAATGCGTGGTTCATGGTGATCAACGTGCTGATGGTGGGCGGGCAGACTCTCATTATCTTTGTGGGTGGGGAGGCGTTCGGCGTGACGCGGCTGAGTGGCGCGCAGTGGGGGTATTGCTTGGGGTTCGCGGTGGTGTGTGTGCCTTGGGCGGCGGTGTTGAAGTTCGTGCCGGATCGGTATGTTGCGTGGGGACTTGGGTGGGTGGGGGTCGGGGTGAAGATGCTGGTAGTACGGCCTTTGGGGGCTGTGGGGTCCTGGGGTAAGCGGGTGGCTGGGAGGTGTAAGGGGAAGAGGGGCTTAGGGCGTGGGGATGAGGAGATGGGGGTGGAGCGGTGATATGCGATCGGATTAGGTTATGGTGTTGTCTATAGCTGTTGGTAGTCGGTTGGTGATGCGGCCGCAAGTAGAGACTCTTGTTGACGATGTACACAGTATGTTAGCCCTAAATGCATTCCTCTGAGCCCGCTCAGTGCTAATCCCTCGTGATGGCTTACGCAGTCTAGACCCAAAGTTAGTAATGTCTTATCATACGGTCATTGTGGGGTAAGACCAACCACCACTAGCATATATTCACTTTATAATGATGTATCCTCCACTCGCTGCTAACAATAGCCCCCACCCCCCAAAACCTACACCAACCGCCTCAGCAGAACCATCTCGGTCGTCAACCCAGGCCCAAAACTGACGGCCACCACCTCTTTCCTCAAGCTCCGCCCCTCCCACCCCCTCAACCGATCCAACACCGCCAACACCGCCACACTCGAACTATTCCCCCTCGACTCATAAACCTCGCGACTCGCCCGGATCGCCTCATCCGACAACCCCAACGCCAGCTGCGCGCCCCTGAGAACCGTCAATCCCCCTGGATGAACCGCCCACTCCAACTCCCCCGGACCAGCCGACGCCATCCCATTCGCCTGTATCAACTCCCCAAACAACCCCCGCAAAGACGCAACCGCCAGCGCCGGAACCTCGCGCGCCAGCGTCAGCTGAAACCCATACTCCGTCGTCCGATAGGACATAGCCTCATGCGTCTCCGGGGTAATCGCAGTCCGATAATCCACCACCGCGAACCGTCTGGGCATCTCCCCGGTGAGCGCGAGCGCATTGCACAGCACCAGCGCGGCAGCACCGTCACTAAACAGCGCCGGTCCGATACTGATATCCTCCCCTCCGCTCAACCCCACCTTCTTCGCAGTGGCGTGCAGCTCCGCCGCCAGATGGATACTACACACCTCGCACGCAAGCACCAACACCCTCGCGGGCTTCCGTTGCAGCGTGGCCGCCCGCGCAAGCGAGCTCCCCACTCGCAGGGCTGCAAGTCCCCCGGCGCAGCCGATCCCGCTCAGCAGCACGCGTTCCGCCCCCGGGGAGATGCCCACATCCCGGAACACGGCTTGGTCGTAGCCTGGCGCTCCCGCGTTGGTGACGGTCACGGCGACGGTGTGCGTGATGGCCGACGCCGGGAGGTGGCTGTCGGTTAGGGCGGCGCGGACGGCGCGGGCGGCGAGCCTGACGCCGTGGCGGTGGAATTCGGAGGAGACTTGTTTCGCGGTCGGCGGGGTGGACTGGTTTCTGGGGTCGTACCAGAGGGGGTTGTTGTTGAAGCCGATCAGAGCGCGGGAGGCGATGCCGCTGCGGGCGTTGATTTTGAGGAGCGTTTGGACCCTGCAGTGGTTATGGGTTGAGTCGTGGGGGTATCTAGAAACGGGAAGGGGAGGAGAGGTACCTACCACGCTGCGTCTGCGGGATGATGGCGGAGGAGGTACTGGCGGAAGTCGTCGGAGGTGACGATCTGCGACGGCCATTCCGTGCCAAGGCCCGTGATGATCAGCTCGGGCTCCTCCCCCGCGTCCGCTGCCCCGCGTGGGGGGTGGGCGTCGCTGCCAGACGAGAATGCGGCGCCCATTATGTCTCAGATGGGGTTGGAAGTTGGAGAAGAGTCGATAGAAAGGTTAAGGTTGGAAGTAGGCGAGGCTGTATGCTTTTGATGTGTTCTTTCCGTGCCTGTCCCATTGCATGTGTTCCTTCCATCAATTTGTCAGAATTCTTGCAATCAGGGACGGAATACGAGCGTGGCGGTCATGCAGCGAGCTTGGCGGTGTCGCTTGGACCCCTGGACCAGACTACCTTACTTGTTAGCAGAGTGTGATCTCATGCATAATTGGGGTGTTGCATGCAGGGCCAAGTACTGCGAGTCTCTCGTTGACGTTGTGAATTGGGTCTCTAATACACGGCTACGTCACACATCCAACAAAAACGAATCGAGCGCAGCATCGAAAGTCATGCAGCGCACGCTAAACTCTGTGTCTCATGATCTCGGGATCGTCCAGTCTTTGGATGTGTCTGGTTCGGACGGGTCTCCCGAAGTCGCCTTAGTTGGCGGTGGCCGCGGACGTTCATGGTATAGATCGCTTACTTCCTTTCCCACACTGACCGGCTTGCTTGGCTTCATAGAAAGATACTCTGTCAACTGGCGACTTCCGGAATCGATCAGAAATCGCGGAGGATGACCTGGTCGGGATTGTTGGGATTCGCTGTTCATCTGGCCATGATTGAGTGAGGCTCCCAGGTAGCCTGTCATGCAGCTCAAAACCTAGTATTCTTCGCCTTAAAACATGAGTCTCTTGAATCAGCATCTGTACGGCTTGGTTCTTGTGGTAGTTCTCGCTGAATGCCGCCTGTTCCTCGAGTTTTCGGGGGCAGCGTAATCGCTTGTCGCGAAGAAATCGCTGGCCTAAGTATGTCGCGATCGCTGTCTTTCTACTGCACACATTGGATTGTCCTTTCTCTTGGTCTTCCGATCTGTCCTAGATAGTGGTCAGGCGATTTGATGGGAAGGGAGGCGGGGGGAAGAGGAGGTTCTCTGGCCACCCACTGCAATTGAGCATGATTATCGGGTACAGTATCTATCCTCGTCCGTGCACCTGTCCACTTTGGCTTGGCTTGACAGATTCCGGGGACTGTCAAATCACCAGATCTGAAAAAGGTGGGCAGTGCATGATGTTTCGAATTAAGTTTTGGTCTGACGAGTACTCTAATTGCCACTTCACGCTGCAAACGGAAGGGATACGGGGAGCGGGAGCGGGAGTGGGTCGGGAATGCGGGACAGCCATGGGATGTAGAGAGATTTAGCAAAGTGGTCCATCATAAGAGCAAACCTAACAACAGCCTAGACTGAGATACCTCCGATCATGCAGGGCCTAGACGCTGGTCATGCTATCTCGTCTAAGTTGAGAATGAATGCTGCAGTCTTTGGCCATACAAAGTCCCTCGCTCATCGACTATAAATGCGTTGCTCTTCACTCTCTGATCTGTCACTCACCAACGCTGCACTGTCCCAGAAAGTCCCCTATCCAAAGCCATCATCTCAATCCACAATGAAAGCCTCACACTTCATTGCATTTCTCCCCACCGCCGGACTGGTCGCAGGGATGCCCCATCACGCCCGCGACCTCTGCGCCGGCTTGCCCACCAGCGGCATCCTCAGCGCCGCCACCAACCTGCTCTGCGAGAAAATCACCTTGACCAACACGGGCTGTTCAGTGCGGGTGAAGTTCCCCTGGGATGTACCGACTAGCTCCTTCACCCTCAACGATGATACCTCGAAAACCTTCCTCGCTCAGCGCGGCCAGACGCTCCAGTTGGACGCCCAACCGAGATCCGACCACTCCGCCGCCACCTGGACAGGGACCAACGGTGGAACCAATCCCACTACTTACAAAGTACCCCTGGTGGGCGACCTCCCTGGTATCAAGGTGTCGTGTCCCGAGACCTGCGTGGCGACGGACAAGATTTGCGATATTGATAATCCAGGGATGTGTTGCTCGCTGACTTGTGGGGTTAAGCCTCAGATTGGGTCGGGTTATTTCTGTTACTAGCTTGGGAAGGGGATGCATTTCGGGGAAAGGGGGGTAAAAGAGTACTTACTCCTTAGCATAGGTAGCACCAGGAGAGGTTCCATGGTTGTATTGTGAGAATAGTAATTGTCAAATAATATTCATTTGTGTTGTTGTCATCGCCATGCATAGTTGATCCCATTGTTCCTCTAACCTACCAATGAGAAACCCGAAATTAAATGCTGACGCCCAGCCCCAATGACGATTTCTGCTCATCTCAAGTATCACCTTATAGAGAGACTGGTAGAGTGAATAATAGTACACTTTCATTTCTACCCTCATGAATTGCAATTTTTTTATCCTGTTATAGTCTCCCTGGTCGTGGTTCTGCTCTCGTGGTACTGTATTCAAGATGCTAGTCTTGATATAAGTGGTGTCGGAGTTGGTCTTTCGGGCTGATACAATTTAGGGCATTATGAGAAACACATCGCCGGTGAATGGGCGATAGAGCACATACGAAGCATAGGTAGTGATGTCCTACAATCGAGCTCAAAAGCATGTAATCCCTCGGATTAGGAGGAAAAGCATTCTCTTCTCATAGTAAAGCATCGTCACCGCCTTCCAGAGGCATGACTATATCTGGGAAATTCTCTCAAATCTCGTGGGTGCAGACAGAGCACTTCCCGACGTTTCGATACGAGATCGCTCATCAGCTCAGATCAGAGTTCTTGATTGAATATGCTGAAGCTAGAAATCAACAGCAGTTTCGATCAACGAGCGAAGTTTTTGCATCATGAGCATCGATGGCAAGATGGCCGGTATGATATATAGCGGAACGGGCAATTTCACTATAGTGCCATATGCACTGTTTTCGAAGCAGCAACCGCCGCAGGTGAGACAGGATAACAAAGAGGCTTGTACTATACCTCACTTTATCAAAGACCGTCATTCCCTAATACCGACCATGGACATTCAACTCCGCTGTGCCTGGCACTGCTCAGGGTCGAAAGTGTAGACCGCCTCCCACACCATTTACCACTTCGGGATACTGCCGGCATTAACCCTCAGAATAGGGTAAGCCAAGCCACCTACAGTAAGCGGTCAGGAAGCGACAACTGAACCGTCCATCTCGTATAGCATCTAAAACAGGTTTAGCGCCACTATATTTCGAGTGGGTTTCAATCAAAGCTTGTACGAGGTGGAAGCTTCGGCAAGAGAGCTTCGAACCAGGGGGAATAGCGAATCTCATTATAAGATAGTCGAACTGCCGTCATCCCTGCGGAGACACCCCGGCTGCCGCACATCTACCACTACCGATAATCCAGCCCTAGCCAGCTCCCAGCCGCCACTCCGCCGCCAATGGACGCGACAGAAGCCAAGCCGACGATCCAGCCCTTTACGGGGCGGATCGGAGGCAACCAGACGCTGGTGGTGGACCGGCACGACCCGGACAACGCGGCGCTGCTGAAGCGGGTGCCGGACGCGGCGCCGATGATGAGCATCAAGGAGGGGCTGCAACCGGGGGGGTTCGGGGAGTTGGATCTGTGGAAGTTCGGCTTCATTGAATGTATTGGTCTGCAGCGGCCCCCGGTGCCTTCTCACAACCACCCCAACTAACGTCCCCCGCGCAGGAACAATGCTCAACGTCTTCATAACAGCCTGGGCCTCCATCAAACCCCTCCCGTCCACCACCACCACCCCCACAACACCCGCCGGCGTCTACGCAACAACCACCTTCCTCGGCCCCACCATCGGCAGCCTGGTCAACTGGCTCACCCTCACCCTCTGCATCTTCACCTTCTCCAACGTCACCGGCAGCCACCTGAACCCGACCATCACCCTCGCCACCTTCTTCGCCCGCCTCATCACCCTCCCCCGCGCCGTCATCTACCTCGCCGCCCAAACGCTGGGCGGCACCCTCGCCGGCCTCATCCTGCGCGCCGCCTACGGATCCCCCGCCTTCGCTGTCGGAGGCTGCACCGTCGACACATCCCTCGTGCCCGTGCGCGAGGCCTTCCTCCTCGAATTCGTGTTCTGTCTGCTCCTCGTGTTCTGGTCCTTCGGGGTCGGGCTGGATCCCCGCCAGGGGAGGTTGTTCGGGGCGGCGCTGTCGCCGTTCTTGGTGGGGATGGCGCTGGGGACGGTGAGTTGGGCGTCGGCGTTCACGAGGGTGGGGTTTGGGGGAGCAGGTGCGTTTTTCCCTTTCTTTCGTGGTGGTTGGTTGGGGTGTTGGGTGGCTGGGGTAGGGCTAATTTGTTTACTCCGGCGGTAGGGTTGAATCCCGCGAGGTGTTTTGCCGTGTATGTCGCTACAGGGTTTCCGGGGTACCATTGGATCCATTGGGTGAGTTGGGCTTTTTTCTGTGCAATGCAATGGGTGTGGGGATTAGACGGGGTGGGGAGGTTGTTGGGTGTGGTGCTGATGCTGATGCTGTGCGTGTGTTGTGTAGGTTGCTGCGCTGGCTGCTGCGGTGGGGCATGGGGTGGTGTATTTCTGTGTGCCGCCGTGGAGGGCGTCGGATGAGGGCATTTGAGGCTTCGGTCTGGGGGTGTCACCGGTGGCTGAGTGTGAGCCTTGCTCATGGATGGGATGGGATGGTAAGAAGATTAAAGCTTGTCTTGGCCCACGGCTTCTGGTACGTGGGTGGCTTGCTGTTCTGAGAAGGTGGTGGATTGATGGATAACCAGATCTGGAATTCTACAACTATTGATAGAATCACTGTATGTCATTGCTGTTAGAAGATAGATCAACAGCACTTCCCGCATGACTCGTCATTCCTTTCAATAACCCCCCCCAGCTCCGCTCTCATTTCCAATAACTCCCAATCTCCCTCAAATCCTCCACCAACGCCACCGGATTATCCAACCCGGGGAAATGACCCCCGCGTTTGTGGTCTACACCCACGATAATTAGCATTCATCTCAAAGCCTGACAACACCGCAGATATCTCAAAGAGGGAAAGAACGTACTGCGATACAGCACCAGATTTCCCGTCTGCGCAACCAGCGCCGGCGGCCAGAAGCCCACATTGTACTTGAACGCGCTGAACAGCAGCGGCGCGTCGGTGTGCGCCTTGCTATACACTGTGCTGAAGCCGTTGGGGTTCTGCGCGTAGATGACTACGGAGGAGGCAAAGGTCTCCGTCAGGTAGTAGAGCGAGACGTGGCGCAGGATCTCGTTGTGGGTGAGCACCGAGGGGCTGGTTCCGGCGTTGGGGTCGGACCCTTTTCGGTTGTTAGGTTGGCCTTTGGGGAAATGGGAAAGGTGGGGGGCTGCCTTACAGTTCAGGAATTTCTCGCCGATCCAGGCGAGTTGGCCAACCGGGTTGTCTTGGAGGGCGAGGCCGATTGTGTTGGGCTGGAGGGGTATATGGTGTTAGCTCTTCGGGGGGGGGGGGGGGGTTTGTTGGGGTTCTCTCGGGGGGGGGGGGGGGTGCTATCGGCTTGAGATTTCTGGAGGCAACATACCTTGGTGGTCTGCTCGTTGAAGTAACCCTCCCCGGTGTTACTCCACTCCATCGTCTCGGCCTCCTCGAAGGCCTCCAGCGAGGACAGCGTGATGTCCTGTGCCGCCAGCGCTTCCGGGGTTAACGGGAAGAAGGGCAGGAAAGCCAGGTGGCCCGCGCGGACGGTCGAGTTGTACTGGTCGTACAGGTTGTAGGCGATGCCTGCGCCCCAGTCCGTCCCGAAGACCGCGTAGGTCTCGTAGTGCAGGACCTGGGTGAGCAAGGTGTTGAAAACGCGCGCCGTGTCGGCGATGGTCCAGTTGACGCGGGGCACCGAGGAGAAGGCGAACCCGGGCAGGGAGGGCACGATCACGTCGAAAGCGACCTTCTTGCCCGTGGCGGTCGTCGCCTGCGCGGTCAGCTCGTCGATGATGGGGGCGAACTCCAAAAAGGAGCCGGGCCAGCCGTGCAGCAGCAGCAACGGAATGGCGTCGGAGCTGTTGGACTTCTCATGGACGAAGTGGATGGTCAGATCTTCGATGGTGGTCGTGTACTGGTTGAATCTGCTGATAATCAGCATCGAACAAGCATCGGCCTGGTGAGATCTCACTTGTTGATCTTCTTCTGCTCGGTCTTCCAGTCAAAGTCTTTCAGCCATTCCTGCTGGAATGATTTCAGATCGTCCAAGGTGATCCCGTGCGCATTGCCGGTGTTGACGTACACCGGCTGCGCGGGCAGCTTCGTGCTGCGAATCTGCTCCAGCATGCGCGGCACCCTCGCCGCCAGGTCGACGTGGAACGGCTGCACCTGCGATGCATTTCGCGATCGCACGGGACTTGTTTGACCAGTCCCTAAAAGGGAGCCGAGGGCAAACACTTGCGCCCACAACACTCGCATTGTGACTTCTGCTTGCGCTGTAACTGTGAGTCTGGGCAGCTACATATGCACGGCCAGACCCGGGCGCATTGACTCTTCTTATACCCCTCATCCCTCTCCCGCGAGCCTCTCGGGAAATTCAACGTGGAAGCCAAATGCACAATTGCTAAGCTCCCATTACCAATCACATTATCAGTTGCATCGCGCCATCGAGAAGCGCACTGCAGCTGAGGCGGAATACCTCGTATACGGGCCCCGCTATTGATGAAGAACAATAAGCGCTAAGCCGTCCCGCTAGCTTATTTCCGCAACCCCGAGCCACCGTATTAGCTGGATTTTTGATCCGCTAGATGATTAGAGTATAGTCCTTCAGCCGCGTCCCCTGCAGAGACTCTTAGTGTCGCGAGAGGGCTCAATCTCTGGGCGAAGCCTCTTTGGTTAAATCGCCCGGGCAGATGCAGGGCTCTCTTCCTTCCTGGTTGGCTTTCGTGCAAGAGAGCAGTCAAATAAGCTCTTAAGAGCCTCTGATGCTTTAATCTCTCTATGTGATCCTAGTATAGTGCTCAAAGAGGCGGATGCGGTGTTGAACTTGACCTCACAAGAAGAAGGCTGACAGGGGTGACCGGTAAAAAAACAGTCATGATTATAATCATATCAGCTTAAGAAATACTGCCTGTAGAAATCTGGTTCGACGGATTGAAACTCATAGCTTAGTTTACTGGGCCACTCAAAGACCCGTCGTTTGTCGAGAACGTGCCTGCAACAAAGCCATACCAAACCCATAATCCATTCACCAGGAACAAAGATACACCTGTTCGTTGTCCATGAAGGTTGCTAGTCATAGCTCATTATAGTTACCAAGAGGGATGCCACCACACAGTCTTTCTCTACCAGCCGACCAGACGATCCCAATAGTCCAATTAAATATGCCTATCGAATTCAGAGACGGATGACAGAGATAAAATTGCCGCCACTTGACCACAAACATACTCTCACAAGAGGCAACAACAAGACAAAGTATGGGGAGAACAGAAGGAAGAACGAGATCGTGCACACCAGTTTCATGCAACTCAAGTCCCAGCTAGTCCTAGCGCCCTTGTTCACTATCGGGGACTACCAATCAGTTTCATACACCGAGCTAGGCAACTGTTTTCAAAGGTATGAGATGGACGCCTCGGTCATAGGTATTACCGAGTTGACGGATTTCGTCGGGGCCGAAATGTATCGAGTTTCGAACGAGCGTAGTTCGACGGTGGTCCTGAGAAGATCGGGAAGCTCAGCGGGTCGAGCTGGCTGAAGCTGGTTAGGAAGTCTTCCGGCAGTATATCCCGATCCGAGAAATATACCTCAAGTCCCGGAATTTCTTTGCCCACCCCGCATTTTCCATAGGCTAGCTGGACTCGTCTGGCTTGAATATGATGTGCGGACAAAAATGGAGGGAAGATTAAGCATGGATCACAGGAGGGCTACTTGCATCTAACACAAAAGAATACCTTGAATTACTGGTCATTTAACTTTGCTAGGCTTAAGGTTAGCACTAGAGTCTAAGAATTCTTCTAATTGGCCGGGCTTCGATTTTGTGTTTCAAATATTGGTACTAGGTAAGGTTAGATACTGTATCTGATCAGCCATACAGGTTACTAAGATGAAGATACATCTATCTCCTCCACAATCTGGCGGACAACCTGTCAAATGATGTAAGTCCTCGAGAGAATGTGGAAACACAAGGCATCTCATTTGGCTGATGCTACGAGTTGCCAGATCGGAAAGCGTCAGCACATTTTGGCAAGAATGCTCCGCTTCCGGTCAGCCTTGCATGTCACCATGCATCCTAACGCCGTCAGCACACCATAACTCTGCAAAACATGTCGCCTTGGGGGGTGCCTCGCAGACGCGGGGCCTTATAAATCCTGACCTCCTTGGCATTTTGCCAACACCAGTAGCACAATCCTTCAATGTGATCCACATTTACCCATAACAGTCATGTCAGGATTAGCCCTGGGCTCTCAAGGTATTCATATCTCCTTTGGCGCACTTATCGCTACTCTGTGGACCTTTACTGCTCTATCTTGTTGCTCTATCATTTTCCGTCTATACGTTCGACTCTTGACTTATCGAAGACTTTTCCTTGACGATGTTCTTGTCGTGTTGGCCTGGGCGATGATGCTGGCAACGACGGTGATGTGGCAGGTCGAGGGGCCCGTCTTGTATCAGTACTCGCCCGTGTTCAGTGGCGAGACACTCCCGACCCTAGAGTTCCTAGATGCTTATACGCAGCTGCAAGGATACATGGTTGCCTGGCTCGTCTTGTTCTACTCCGGACTGTGGTTGGTGAAACTGTCTTTGTTGACCTTCTTCTACACTCTCGGGACCAAGATCCGGAGCCACCGTGTGTGGTGGTGGATCGTCTTTGGCATCACAATAGCGTCGTGGATTATTTGCATCGGAATTATCGATTATCGCTGCACCATCAACAGCACCGCCTACATCATGGGTGAGTCCCGATCAACCTGGCCCCTGAATGCACCTGTTGACCTTCGCATCCTGCAGCACACTGTGGCTCCATCGAACATGTGCATCATGACAATCAGATCATCTATGGCAGCTGCGCCGGCGATATCTTGACGGATACCCTCAGTCAGTTCCCATCACTTTCCTTCACTCTGGAATTGTGATTAATTTCGAGCATAGTCCTGTCCGTTCCGATCTTCGTCCTCTGGAACTCACAGCTTTCGCTGCGCCAGAAGATGGTCTTGTTCGCCTTCTTTTTTGTGACGGTGGTCATTATGGCGGTCGCCATTGTGCGAGTGGCTGTGGGCATCGACTACGCACAGACGATGGACATCTCGTGGGTCTACTTCTGGTCCTCCATCGAGATGGGAACGGGTACGTGATATCTTTGTGAGCCTCTGCTTATCCTGACTGACATCTGGCGTTCTTGGCGAATGACAGCGGTGATGGTTGCCTGCGCCGCATCTTTTCGGCAGCTCTATATCACGCGCAACCGACATTTCTTTGGTAAAGGGCCCAAGGTGAAACAGGGACCCGCTGGGCAGGTCGATTCGGGTCATCGCCGTCTCCTCCAGCTTCGGGACACGAAGTTGAGTATGGTTCGTGACTCGGAGGAGCCCTCCACCAACTCGACGGAGCATATTCTGATAGGTAGGTTAGCGGACAGAAGTCTGGAGGCTAGTATTTCTGTCTAGAAACAATCTTCTTTCTTGATTTCTGTTTGATATGTTTCTCCTTTGAATGGCGGATCAAGCTGCTTGTCACGTTGTCAACAACCCCTTTCCCCCCCAATTTTCTGAAAAACAAGAAACCAGCTCTGTCCCCTGCAGCGATCGGCCCCCACGTCTCAATAGCAAATCAAAGAACAGCAGATTGATTGAGAAGGGTGGCGAAGGGGTGGGGGCTACCCCTCACTTATCATTTCAGACCTTTAGCTTAGCTCAGTCCGTCAGCAAGCGCATAAGCACTAAAACTGCACCCCCCTCCCAATCAGCTTCATCTCCATAAAGATTGGCGGAATGACAAGCAATAACATTTGCTGTCATTCAGCCTGAACACATCATCAGCTAAATGTGTACATGAAAAGATGTGCGTGTTGGTTGCTAAAATGAAAAGCCCCTGTCGGGGCGATAATCTACGAATTCCCGTGGAAATATGACACTGACAGGTATTTATGGCAGACGACATGGATAGTCAGCACTCACAGGTCAACAAACCTACCCAGACTGAAGCTGAGTGGCCGACGTTGCTTCCAATAATGATCATTTCAGAAACTTCTATCAAACCGAGATTAAATGCTAGAAACTCTTGGAGACTGGTAATCAAGCTAAGATCGACAACTTTCAGCAATTGGCAGTGGCAGGATCGATTAGCGCCCCCGCGAGGCTGGCCCGTGCTGGTCGGGGAATTTCGATATGCCGAGAAAAGGAACAGAGTAAAAGGCCGGTTGCGGTCACCACCATGGCAAACTTGCCACAACACATGCAGCGATTGTAGGCAAGGATAGGTTTGTAGGTCGAAGCTGACCCCACATTAGATACGGAAAAGGGAAGAAAGAATACTGACTGGCTATCAGGCCAGGAAAAAGAGGGTCAAAGATTGCCTCCAACTAACATAGTAGTTTGAGCGGCCATATTCATCTGAGTGGTCAATAAAGCAAAACTATTTTCAGTCAAAGTAGTCTTGGCAAGTAACAAAGGCTTATAATTGTAATCATATCGATTGAAATTCTATCAAATAAGCTTGTCAAAATATAAAACATCCCAGATTAATAAGCAGCATTCTGGACAATATGAACAAAACTCTTGTTTTTCTTTAGTTGTTAATTTCCTTTAGAACAGACTACTAAGCTAGACTGTTTAAAACAGTAATAGTAGTAACCGAATTGAAAAAAGCCAGATCCTTAATATCTGTAATAATTGCTTTCGCGGATCCATTAGAATCAGAATTAGAATAAGAGGGAGTTCTATTAACTGCTTAGAGATATCTGACATTTTATAGAGCTAATAGCCCAAGGAAAAAAAATTTAAGAACTAGGTTTGTCGGAATTCTAGAGAGGGAATATAATATGAAAAGAAGTCCCCATGCTCCAAGTCTATCTCAACTATGTAAGCCCGCAGACCCATTGATATCTTGTGAGCCTCACCAACAGGAATGTACGTCGCGAGTGAAATACCTATTCGTACCCGGCTCACAGTGAATAATTTATGAATATAGGAAAGAGGTGTATACTGCAGCTGCTACATATGCTGCTGTCTTGATAGTTTCTGCTGCTAAGTGGCGACTAACGATAACAAGATATCTAAGACAGGCAGCGGGAGAGTATGAGAGGAAGAGCTTATACTGTCTTTGGTGCAGTTTCGTACGACAAGTGTTGATTGTTTGATCGATTGATATGGATCGTTTTAGATATGCAGGCCTTTCCAAGAACGTGTTGTAGGGACATTATGGTGGCCAGGAGTCTGCTCCAACTCATTTACGTTCTGATAGAACTGGATGCTTAGTACACGAGCACAAGCACCTTTTTGCACAGTGTTTACTTTGGTTTCCAATACGGTGGGCAGTAGAGTTAGAATCATAATGTCAGTTCTATTTGTCCAGGAGAGGCACACATGGGGTTGACCATGTCAAGATGCTTAGATAAAGACTGATCGGTCCGTAAAAGATTGAGGTTCTGTCAGAACCCATTGAGGAACCTCGTAGATTCCTCAATTATCCTCCATCAAATCCTAACTTGGGCCCTGAGCGGTTGAACCTTGGAGACTAGCAAGCATCACTAGGGGTTGTTCATAGCATCTTGATACTTGGCGGTCACATTATCCAGCTCTTTAAATGTCTCTTAACAAGACTTCATCCTCTGCTCTAGCCTTCCCTGGTATTATGCAAGCCCGCGTAAGTCTGTGTCTAGCAGATCAGACACACGGGTTTTGACCAACATGCTCAGCTTCCGACCATCTTTCATAGTATCGTCTGAATGTCCCCGTTCAGGAAGCAGTTCAGCTATATCCCAGCTCCTCACAAGTTGCAAGTAAAAGGGGCGACCTTCCACAGGCGTCCTTATTATGCACCGAAGCCCCGTTCTGCAGCAGAAGCTCGACGATCTCCCGAGTGCCAACTTCGCTAGCCAGGATGAGAGCTGTGACTCTCACTGGTCCGCGGGCATGTAGATCTGCATTTCAAGCCAGAAGAGTCTTTATCTTCTCGATATCCTGACGACAAATACAAGCGTGGGGCGGATGGATTCCGTCGCGTTAGGGTGAGTTTGGATCGAGCCCTTTGCTCATGAAAGATTCTATCATTCTGTGATCACCATAGAAGGCGGAATGGATCAAAAGCCCAGTTCCGTGAAGATCTTGGTAAACGTCGGCTAATTGTGTGACCAGGTATTTAAACAGCTCAAAGGTCTTACTCGTAATGGCGCGAGTCAAAGCCGTTCTCCTATAGCAGCATTGTGTGTGATGTCTGCACCAGATGCGACCCACCGAGCCATGCCTACTGCCAACTCTGGCCACCTCGTTTACTTTCCAGCTCAAAGGTTCACAAGGATATCATAACCTCCAGTACCTGGCATCTTATTGGACCTGTTAGCGCATATTACCAATAGACCGCTCACTGAGTACGGAGTACAATACGGAAATCCGAAGCAATCGCCCTTGACAATCCAATTCCAAAGGCAAGCCGCTGTCAGACATCGTTGGCTGACACCTAACCCGGAGGATCAGCTCGCGATGATCTGGGGGAATCTATAAGACTCGAGGTTTAGAAACCAGACGTAAGGGGATAGAAATTGGGTGGGGTTCAAAAACCACGGCTTTCTAACGATGAACTCACGTCTCTAGACTAAAAGCTCATTTAGAAATAATTCCACGGATTCCATTCACTACGAGCCACAGGGCACTGGTGATGGGTCGCCTTTGGCCTGAAGACCGCACCGGCCGGGAAACCATCTCCCCTCAAGCTATGGAGGGCCCAGGTACTCAAGTCAATTACCGAGCCAGTGACTATTTCTGTCTGGACACGGTTGCATAGTTAGTGTAAACAGACTCAATTGGAATTCAGGTGACTGTAGACCTTCCTAGACCACAATTTCCAAATCGCTTTTATTCAACCTTCCGCCTTTGCTAGTTCGCCCATGAAATTGTCCATTTTAGCAGCTTTGCGTTTCTCCTTTCTTTTTCAAGCTCCCGCGCACTGAGTCATATGGCGTGGTTCTCATCCACGCAGACCAAATTTTTAATCACCGCAAATGCATCTGCAGCAGAGATTTGGAACCATTCTCGATGCTCACTCAAACACCCTGTACAATCAACCTGGACTTGATCATCAACCAATTCCGCATGGCATAATTCCTCAACCCGCCAGGCATTCGGCACTGAATTCCCGAACTCAGGGGAAGTAGGGAACAGCACTTTCATTTCCCTGTTGCACCCAAATATGAACGATCGGAGGTGCTCGAGAACAGGTCCAGTCGTATATCCTATTTTGATATATCCTGGGTCACTCTTTGCTTGAAAAGCATAAATATTTCCGCTTATCCCATGCCGGGAACGCAGATCTCGGCGGACTTTTTCTTGGAAATAGTCGTTCAGGGTTTTTGTGCCTCGCCTGTTCGTTCTCGGAAGGATTTGAAAGGGGGTAGTGTCAAACCCCTCCAGCAAAACCAAGGCTGAATCTTCCGGTATTCCCAAGCTTGATTTTTGTTGACCCTGAAAGGAGGACCCGTCGCAGTGCTCGGTAAATTCTGAACCTAACGATTTGCATTCAGGTTCATTGGGTGCCTCAGACCGAGTTGGCAGTCCCACACTGAAGCCTGCCGTTGTGCAAATCCCCAGGATTTTGGACTTGGAACAATCCCCTCTGTTAAAATGTGTGTTGAGCTCGTGAGCGGAGCAGTACATGTTCTTCTTTAGAATTCTGAGATAGTGTTCAATACTTGAGACTCTGTGGCACGTACTGAGTCTCACGATTTCGTCATGATTCTCTGGAGATTTTGAACCATTCGGCCTCCGATCTTGTTCGGACATAAATCTGACTCTGTTTTTGCACCGCATATAGTAAAAGGAGACCCAAGTAATTCTGTGACCTGCACCTCGACATAACGCACGTCACTAGGCCGCGCCGGAAAAGCAGCCATCCATTTTGCCTTTCGGGCATCTTCTGGATCTTTGCGTCGGTGGGAATGACAATTCGCGAGCGCGCTAAGCTCTTCCATCTTCGAGATCAGTCCCGTAGATGCCTGACAGAGGAGAACCATGGACGTAATCAAAGTCTCGATTTGGTCTCGATTCTTTTTGGTTATCGACTTAGTGCATGCTGTTCCTGTCGATGTGCAGCGCTGCCCACACTTCCGATATCGAAGACCAAGGCGAGTTCTTAAAGTACACGTTTTCCCCAAGGGTTGGCATGTTGGGGGCGGTTGTTCTTGACAATTTGACTTGTATAAATCGCTACCAGCGCTGCTGGGGGCAGGGCAGTGCACCAGGGTAAAGCGGGCTGGTGTACGAAAAGGGACAATTGATGGACCGGGGCAAGCTGGACACATTCTGATTTATGACTGTATTCAGACCGCTCGGCAGGGCAGCCAAATACGCATCACCAGGTAGAGCCAAGGATGATGGAGGACTTCAAGGCTCTAAGAGAGATGTTGAGCTTCATTGTCTCATTAATAGGAAATTCAAAAAGCCGAGCGGGATACTCTAGACCACAAACGTATATAGATAAGGCGTTGAGGGCCAATTCGCCAACCCCGCATTTCAGGGCTAGAGACGTTTATTTACGGGGACATGGTCAGGTGTTTTGATTGGACATGTTACAGTGCGCGACTACACGCTTATCGTCTTTGGTACTTATTCTCTTAGCGCTTTCACCCGTAAATACAAGTCTAGCCTCTTCATTCTCCGAAGAGGCATGATAAGTTGAAGTTCTCAAAATCATGTTGACTCTCCCGTAGCAGTGGAAAGGCGGCCATTTCTGGCGCCAAAGGATGACAGAAAGTGATTGGGAAAGAGGGTGTAAAGTTACATTTGAAAATAGGGCACATACTTCATATATGATACGTAAATGTTAAAATCTGTTTCACAGCGGATGTAGAAGATAAAAGCCGCGTTTATGAGGAGCGCTTTTCAATATTTAATACATGGTTCTATGCTTTAATGTATCTATCTACTACTTGAATATATCTCGAATTATATATAGTGATATTGCTCTGACTTTTATGTTTTCTGAGAAGCATATTCGATCTTAGATATATTGAGGAATCTTCTTGAGACATGATGAAACTTCTAAGGTTCACCCAAGGAATAAAGGCTTCTAAAAGACAATAATATTCGTTAAAAAGCTGTATTCAGGTCTGAGAGTACATCTTCAGCACACTTATTTTGAAAATATGTAAGGATTGGAAGATAATCATATAAACGTCTCAAGACAAGAGCATACGAAGACAACATCTTGTGCTGTTGTTTCCAGTTCGTTACCATGCTTTCAACATTGTAGTGTATTTACGGGCGTCACTTTATTCTCCTGTCATGACGAACCTCACCCTTGAGTATATGGTCAAGATACTCCCAATGTCTCGAGGGATAAGAGAGAAAGCATGCCATGCGTACTGTTGTCCCTTATAGCGACAAGACTCGCGGTGATACAACCATTATCTACTCTGTCTGCAATAGCCTTTCTCTCAATCATACGTCCGAAACCGATGCGGCAACTCTCCGCTCCCACCCGCCATAGTCACCTCCCAATACTCGCCCATCAGCTCGCGCTTGAACAGCTTCTTCCCGGGCGGCTTGGCCACCAGCCTATCCAACGTCTCGACCACCTGCGCGACCCAGTCGATCCTCTTCCCCACCTCCCGCGCCAGCATATTGCACCGCACCATGACCTGCCAGCATCGCGTCAGGTAGTCGCGCAACTCCGCGCGGTTGGCCCGGTGCAGCGGATTGTGCGGGACCGGCAGTCGTCGCGCATGCTGAGCATCGTACTCCGCCAGTGCCATGATATACTCCACCAACTCCTGCGGGAGACCCCCGCACACTCGCAGATAGGCCTCGACGCGCGCGACGTCCGTCAGCTGCGGTCGATAGGCCGCCTTCTCCCCGCAGTTCAGGAATACCTCGAACGGCACCTGGCCGTAGGGGAAGGTCTGGTTGGTCAGAACCAGAGTAAGACCGGAGACAGCCGTCTCCCTCGGGCAGTCGGCATCGTTCAACCACCCCAGCCTCGCACCCCGGACGTCGTTGGTGGCCTCCAACAGCGGCAGGAAGCCGGGCTCTCGAAGGTAGCGGGTGACCCGGGTCTCCCAGTGGAAGTGGCCGTCGAGGCCGAAAAACCGGCGGTGGAGGTACTGGGCGACCTCGTTGGAGGAGCTCTCGAAGGTCCAGCGCCGCAGCGTGCGCTGGTAGATCCGGGTGTTGCGGTATCCGTCGGACTTCTTCTTATTGGCAGCCTGGCGCGAGGCCGGGTCCCAGAGTTCGGGGATGTTGTAGAGGATGTTCAGGGTTAGGTACATCTGCAGGGCGCCGGCGAAGAGCTTGTCCCAGCCGCGGTCGGGGGGCTGTTGCTGCATTAGTACTTGCTTGTTCCCATTGTCTGTATGCATTTTTGGTGACGTTGGCTGTACGTACCATGCAATTACATTCGTACATCTCCATCCACTCCGCCAGATCGTTGTCTGGGGTGGCGGCCAGCCGTAGCACAGGGTCCATCTCCCCGAGGAGCATGAGACTGCTCACTACCTGCATGTTGTAGAACGCTTCGGCGTTAATGTCCATGAATCTGTAGCAGTCGTTGCGTCGGTAGCGGCGCAGAAAGGCCGATCCCAGCCGCTCGCTGTAGGGTAACGGGCATCCGCAACGATCCACGGGCCTTTCGGCTCTCCTGCTGTCACTGCTGCTGTCACTGCTGCTGCTGTTGCCTTTGATACTACTGCTGCTACTCTGCCGCACGTTGCAGCCACTGGTGTAGTCGCGATGCGGGCACAACTTAGGGCTTTCCGCCTTAACAGCCGTTCTGTAAGGCCACTTGTGGTCCTTGTAAGCTGTGCACCACTTGTACGCTAAAGGCCGGAGTTTCTCCGCGACACGATCATTTAAAACCAAATCATCTGGTTGGATGCGATCAGATTGCGCCGGGTACTTCCGCCGCTCGGTGTGAGTATGCTTCTCGATGGCGCGGGCGAAGGACTCGGCAAAGTAGCCGATTTCCTTGCCCTGGGCGGGCCGAAACCGGAAGTACAGATCCGAGACGAGGTGGGGGGCGTTCGGGGAGGCTGGGGCCGATCGGTGGTGGAGGTTCTGGGCGAGGATGTTCCAGCTGATGCTGTGGGCTTGATGAGCCATCTCGCAGTATGGGAAATGGTTTGTGGGGTAGGGGTTATGCTGTGGGAAGAGGAAAGATGCAAAGCATTCAGGGATGTAAGATTTGCAACGCTAATTTTGCGGGTGGGCCCACTTGTGACTCACGGTGCACATCTGCAAACTAGCAGTTAGATCCATATCTTTCGATCTATCCGCAAGGAAAAAACATCTCCGCTCAGTTAATAGTTGAGAGACAGGGAATTTATTCACCTGGTCCATCATGGATCAAGGGTATCTATACATAGAGCCAGAAATACCTTCAATCGAGAGTGAACTCACATGCTATCAGCAGACGAAGCAAAATTTAAATATAATGTATATCCCTATTAGATCTTCTGCAATGTAGCTCCATGCTTGATGACTTTCGACTTCTCAGCCTCACCCCGAAATTTTCCGCGAATAAGCAGGTAGGCTTGGCGTCACCCCGCATTTTAGTAAGGCTACTTGACCTCCTTTGCAAACATACTTTTACTGTCTCGTTGGAGTTTTCTTCATTTCTGTCTACACCATCCCCACTTGTTGAGTGCCTACCTACCTTCTACTAGAATCACCCAAATCTCTAACCATGACTTTCCCACCCACCCCGACCAGTGAAACCAGCTCCCACGCTGGGAACTGCCACTGCGGCGCGGTGCAGTTCCACTTCGCCCTGTCTCCGCCGCTGCCCGAGTACCCGACTGCCAGCTGCAATTGCTCCATCTGCTCGAAGAACGGCTACCTGCTCGTCTACCCCTTCCAGAAGGACTTGGTCATCGACCAGGGCGCCGAGGTGCTCAAAGACTACCGCTTTGGCGACCGCAAGGCGACCCACCAGTTTTGCAGCTCGTGCGGCAGCAGTTGCTTCATCTGGCCGCCCCCCATGGGAGGTGAACCGATCACGGCTGTCAATGTAAGTGGCAAGGGGCACGTGCTGAATGCTGAGGTCTTGTATACATGCTGGATGGGTGAGACTAACCAGAAGCTCGGTGTAGGTGCGCCTGCTCAAGGACTTTGACCCAGAGATCCTGAAGATCAACAAGGTCGATGGGAAGTCATTCCCACCGGAGTACAAGGTCTAAACTCACAGGACTATGTGGTCCGATATGGGGACGTGCAAGGCTGGCGTTGCTTGCTCTGATTTTCTCCCTTGTCATTTTGTATACTACCTGTATCTTTCTTTCTGCATCAGATAAAATCTCTTCTCCTCACAGTCGCTTTCCTTGGGCTGTTTGTCCTGAGTTTGATCGAGATAACATCAGGTCGGTTTTTTTCTTATCCCTGGGGCCCGATTTCCGATGGAAAGCAAAGTATGGTCGGTCGGAATGTCGAGGATCTTGTACCGTGCTTTTGCGGGACTAGGATTCATTCTTGTACATATCACCACCCGCGATCGGAACTATATGATTTACCTCTTAGAGCGATAAATACGAAGTCATGTTTATTGGAGGTCTATGATTTCCACAAAGATCTATCTGTAATGTGAATCTTGTCTTTGACATCAGAGATAATCAATTTAAGAGTCATAATTGCAAGAACGTTGTTCCATTATCTCCCAGCTGTCAGATCTACAGTCATCCTGGGAGGGTGAGCCAACTATACTCTGTAAGATTTTGATCACTCGTAAACTCTTGCATAATAACTTATAGGGCACGGGTATTGCTGGGAAGAAGGCACCACCTTGACAGAGTTACCATTAGGCCGTCTCTGCCTTTATTCCGAGCATCGATATTCCCGGGCTCAAAATAAGACTGTGAGAGGTATGGCCCAACTGGTATAGCATCCAGAGCTGTGTCACGTAATGTGACAGCCGTGTGGTGTTGCAGACGTTGGCACAGCCTGATTTACACTGACCGAGTCCGTTCTTCGACTACCTAGACAATGGCCAAGTAGACACTTCGCACCAGGTGGTGTTGGCTTTGATACTCAAAAGAACAAGGCAATTATCCTACGCCATTCAATTTACCTGACACTTACTCTACCGACGAATGCGCGACTCCTTCTTGAATACAAAGGCTATTGGACCTTTTCTCCTATTGCACCTTTGTTGCATTGCTGCCTCAATGTGAGCCTCGCGCGAATCGCCTTCTAAATCACAGTGCCTTTGTCTTTGCTGGGAAGGGAAAATGGCATCAACACGATATAAATAGAGCAACAAGCCCGTCAGATCTGTGATATCCTTCTGTAGCACAACCCCCGTCCCAGGAATCTTGTGTATGTTTGAGGTTTGATTCCCATCCCAGGAAAAGGCAGCGTGTGATTCACATTCTCACTGCCTCCAAGCCTTCTCTACCACACCTGCGAAGACCTATCGCAACCGCATTCCTGACCCGTCATTTCTCGAGTGGCGTGAGACACAAGACAGACATCATGCCTGCCAGGAAGAGCCAGCCCCAGTCCCTCAAGAGACCCAGCCCCCGAAGCAGGGCCAGTCCCCGAAGAAGGGCCAGTCCCCCAGGGAGACCCAACCCACCAAGCAGCGCCACCCCCCCAAGCAGTGGTCGATGTACCGCGCCCTGCACGGGCGAGCGCAATCGCTCCTCGCGGACGCGGGCCTGGGCCACTTCACCTTCCATCCGCATGACATCAACATCGGCAAGGCCCGGGACTACGACACGACGATCATGGGCCGATTCGTCTGCCACAACCCCACCTGCCAGAGCGGTGGGTGGTCGAGCAAGGCCATCGCCATCAGGATCCGCATGTGGCGCGACGGCAAGTACAACGCGCGGGTCTACCACCAGCGCTGTCGGGGCTGCAATGCCCTCATCCGCCCGGTCGTCAACGCATCCTCCTACGCCGAGCGCATCGCCTACCGGCTCAAGAAATGGAATGGCATCCAGATGACCCCGCCCGCTTATGGGCGCGCGGCCAAGGCCCCCCATGAGAAGGAGCTGGGCGAGAGCAGCAAGGTAGATCACCGCGTTGTGGGCGAGCGCTCCCGCGGTGGGAATGGGGATGTCGAGGAGTTGTGTACGTCCATTGCGGCGTTGTGATTGGGGAGTCAAGTGTTCCCTGAAGGGGTGAGATCTGGTGATGGTCCTTTTTATGATGATCCATCACTAGTACCATAGTTTAACATCAATAAAGAAGATTCTTTAACTCAATCCAGATTCGTGGAGCATTATCTGCAAACCTGAATAGTCGCTGCGATTGAATTGTTGATGCCGCATGCTATCGTAGGGCAAATAAGCCACTAGCAAAGCAGATATCGGAAATCAATACTTCCAAGAACAGAATGGTCAGTGTGGCAGCGACTTTTTATTTGTACTCTGTGTTTACTACCTCTGTTTAGGTTTTACTACCAGTACCCATGTCATTTCTACCGAGGACATCGACCCTTCGGTGTCCTTGAGAAATTCTAATAATTCAGCAAAGTACGCACTTTAATTGATTACATCTCACCAGCCCTAGTGCGAGTTCTAGCGTCTAACTAAAACCACTTCCATGGCCTTGATGCGAAGCTGCACATAGAATCAGAAAATCTTACTCGGAAATCTCACCTGAGTGACACATGACTTGAAAAATAACCCAAAAAAATAAGATGCGACCGCGGACATGTCAAAGCCAAGCCGTTCCCCCCTTTCCAACCCTGGGGACGTCTCAGTCCATGCTAGCCCTATGCCATACCACCCACGCCAGCAGTAAAAGGCCACACAGCACGCCAAACACTCGAAGCCCCAACCCTAAGCTTCTACCAACGGTTCTACCACGAAGCAGGCCTCGAGTCCATTCAGGAAGAATAACCGCAAACCCCAACGAACAGTCCGTTTCAGCCTCAGGCCCGACCGCGCAGAGATTGAAGATCTGATCGAGCGACCTTTCCACCAACAGTCCAACCATACGCTTGTTCTCCCCGTCATCCTGAATCGTCTTCGCCCGGAGCGCCTGCTCCCGCCGATCCAGCTGCTCCCGCTCCGCCTGTATGTTGTCCAACTGACAAGCAAGATTCGCTTCCAGCAGACTCTTATTCGACTCCAGAATTGTGGTTTTCTCCTGCAAGTCACGATGCAAATCATCCAGCTGCGCGGTGCGCAGCGCGTCGCCCAGCGTCGCGGCCAGTTTGACGGCGACAGCTACGAGGTCGCAGACCCCCTGTGCCGTCGTGGGGAGGCGATGCACCGCAGTGTGCCGAATCTTCACGACCGTCGCGAGCATCGTCTCCAGCGCGAGGTCCGACGGACGGAGCGTGCCATCGGGCAGCTGCGACGCCCATGGGCCCAGGAGCCGCGTCCACTTGCTCAGTTCGACTGCCGCCGCGCAGTCCCAGCCCCGGCGGGCGAGCTCGTCTGGCAGCCACTTCTGGCAGAAGTCGAAGATGCACTCCTCCAGGACCTTTTGGACGGTGGTTAGGATGTGATGCTGGGTGTGGTAGGGCAGATATAGCGGGAAGAGCGGGGCGGGCGGTCGCTCGGCGGACAGGGTCTGATCTGTGGGTGTTGGATTGTGGTCAGTGAAAGAACAGCAACGAGCTGAGTAAATCTGGGTAGAGCAAGCTCAAGATGGCTGATATGGTGCTGTACCTGATGTATTTGCCCACACGTGCTCTGCGACTGCACCGGAATTGACAGCGATCGGTATCGAGGCCATGGCAGGCTCTGGTACGGGACCACCGCTTCCTTTCTTGTTCTCTTCCTCCTCTTGACACTGCTGTGCCTCGTACGTCTCCGTCACCTCCTGGAGAACCTGTGCAGCGGAACGCGATGCCTCTTGTTCAAGCGCAGCATGCTGCGTTTGCCGGACGGAACACGGCTCCAGGAGCCCGGGAAACTCCACCTGAGCTTTGCTGTTTGACTGGAACAGGCCCTTTTCCAAGAAACACTTGACCACAGGCAGGGCGCGCCAGACGTTGTAGCTGGGGATCAGCGCTTGCAGTGATTCATGGTGGTTTTCTAGGTGGGCGCGGATGGTCTTCGTCTTTCGGATGTTGGCGTTTGTGCCGCTGAAGATCGCACGACACGCGAGGAAGATCTGGCGTCGTTCTGCGCTGGGGACTGTCTCCATGCCTCGGTAGTTCTTTTTTCCCTGATTTTGGCTCTGAGGTTGGGGATGGAAAGTGCTCTTGAATGGTTGTGTGATGAACGGGCGGTAGTGGTATAATAAGTGGTAGCGATGCAAACGCAAAGGACAAATATTTGTTGTGGATATTGCTCTTTATTATATACCCCTGCCCCATAAGTCTATTGTTCACTTTTTCATGAGAATAGTACGATTAGTGGTGCTCAGGCTAACTGAACCAAGCGTCTACCTGTGGCTGTAAACCGCACAAGGCTGGCCCGCTACAACCGGAGTGAGCACGCTACTTCTAATTGTTGGCAGCTTTGGAGCCATTACTACCCGCCTTAGTCATTGCATCGGCCCACCTTCGAGGAAGCAGTTGACATCGATTGGATGAGAAGTGCCTGTTCTCATGTCGGGAGTCGCAGCGGACCGCAGATGCAAGTGTACTGTGCCGTAGCGCCGGCGGCAAACCGGCTGGGAAGCGTGTGCACAGCCACACGGGGGGGAGGGGGGGTTCAGCTGTGGTGGCTGTATTCACTCTACCATGCTGTCATCGATCTTAATCATAATAGAAAATGGAAGCCATTGATAGAATTGCTTTGCCAGCTGTTGCGGTGTGTCAAGCTACTTTACTCACTACTGGACTCGCATCCTTACATGTTCATTCCGCAGTCGAAACGATAAGAGCAGTCCCGCTACTGTTTTTGTCTTGCGGTAGCCTACAGATACAATGCTCATACTAACCCTGGCATTTACTTTCTTGCTTGATGTCGCCTTTCTCTGACATCAGTGTGGGATTTATCTTTATCTACCACTTCTGCTCGCGGATGTACCCATCAAGTCAGGGATCTTCTTTCTGTACCTTCAGAACTGCATGCGCCATATGCGCCGCACCCCACCGGCTGCCCGCACAGAACGGCGCAGCTATCTTGCATAAAACCACAACGTCCACCCACTACCCACTGACTAGAAGGCAGTGCAAACCTGTCCCCGATCGGCCGTCGCAGCCTTGCTTGCAGGGGTACGAGCTGCACCTGTTATTTCAATGAGCCTATTGATCCAGCCGAAATAACCACTGCCGTGTGGGCTGAAAGCTCACCAGAAGCACCGAATGTTCCCGAGCCGCGAACCCGTTGCTGCCCAGACATAACAATTCGTGGAGCGCACATAATGAAACGGCCTAGAGATAGATATGAATATTCCATTGATTAAATGCAAAGTCTGCTGATGCTACCAGAAAGACATGAACTATAGTCCTTACCACCTTTCATAATGTCAACATATCCAGCACACTCCCCACACACCCACACCCCCCGAAAAAAGCATCAGAACAACCCTACCCCTCCAACGCCTCAATCTCCGCCTCATATAGCCCCAGACTCTGCATCCGCGCGACACTCTGCTTCTCGATGTACAGAAACGGCTTCTCCTCGCTGGCCACAAACACCCGCCCCATGCCCAACCGCACACACTCATGAACCCGCGCGTTCACCTTCTCCACATAGGGCCTGAGACTCTCGACCTCAAACTCTGATGCCGCCATTTCCTCCACCAACTGCACCGGCAGCACCGGCTTGGCCCGCCCATGGCCCCCGATCAACGCCGCCTTGACAGCAGGATGGGCCGTGATCTCCGGCTCCAGCGATGAGGCATGCAGCCCATTACTATGCGAGAGGGGCACGTAGTCGTCCGTGCGGCCGACGATTTGCCACAGGTCCCTGTGGACGGGGTGCGGGCGCCAGAGGTCGTGGGTCTCGAACCGCGTGAGATGCGGGTAAGTCTAGAAGATGACGGGTTCGTCGTCTGTATCTATATCCTTATCCTTCGCGATTGTGGCGGGATCATCGCGGACGAACACCAGCTCGTGCAGCCCGTCGGCGATGAGGGGCTCGAACATTGCACCCTTCTGCTGCGCGAATGATAGCCACAGGTACGCGTCGGCGTCATCGCGGTGCTCGTGGTGCGTCGCGAAGTATCCCCCTGCTTCGGTGGTGCCCACTCCGTTGATCACCACCGGGATGTAGGGGGTCAGCAGCGCGGCGGATTTGGCGGCTAGCGGGGCCCCGGTGTACATCAGGAAGCTGAGACTGCGGAGAGCGGCTAGTCCGGCTTCTGACAGGCAGAGGCCGTCGATTAGGGCTGGTGGGAGGAGGGTGCCGTCTATGTGGGTGTTTTGGAAGACGGAGATCACGGTGGCGGGGGTGAGGGCTGTGGAGGGGCCGAGGACAGCGGTCATGTTTACGTAGGATGTTGTGGCGATAATGAGCATCATTCCTGTTAGCTTTGGGGTTGTTAGTGGGGTCACATGGTGGTAGTGTTGTAGGGGTGAATGGTGGGGTGAATGGGGGGACATACGTGGAGTGAGGGGGTCGGGGTGAAGAGTCGGTGGTTGGCGGCACGGTGGACCATGCTGTCCTTGATGTTCGGGGCGGCTGCCATCATGTCAATCGAGGCCATCATCCAGTGCGTCCAGGTCACCGGCTTAGGGTTTCCGGTCGTCCCCGAGGTGTGGAACACCAGCCACGGGTCGTTTTTGCCCTCGTCCCATGTTTTACTGTATGTGACAGGCTCTGATTCGGTCTCATGGAGGAACTGTTCAAGGTCTGGGATGTTGATTGTCTGGATATGAGGTGCATCATGCAGAATTGCATCTACTTCAGCTTTCATGGCCGATGGACGCAGGTACACGGTGCACTTTTGTGACTCCAGAATGCGGCGTTGTGCTTCCGCCGTTACCAGCGGGGAGGGGAGGATAAGCTAGTGTTATATCAGCGGGGAGATTATTTACCTATAGATGTATGACTCGACACGTACCACCTTTTGCAGTTTCGCGGCGGCGACTGCCAGGATTGGTTAGCGGAGGTCTTTCGGTCCAGCATAGGCGAATTTCTGGAATGGCTCCGAGGTCTCGGGGAGGTTTTGTCGGAGCCAGTGAGCGGCGTGGTTGGCTGCATTATTGAAAGTTCGAAAAGAAATGTCTTTGAAGCCCAGTGACATGTTCTCCTCATCAACGGGAAGGGACACCCAGGGAGCGTCATCGTCCTTTTTCGCTCTCGCCTCAATCACAGAAGCGATGATGCGCTTGACGTGCTGCACTCCAGGGAGAGGGAAGATACCTTGCGTGATAGTCATGGTGATAAGATGTCGAGGAAAAGGAGGAAGAAAATGGCTAGTGAACTGGCTTTCATAAGTTATATTGGAGGCAGTCAGATCCGACAGAAGCATCATGGTCTTAAATAATCGCAACCGGCAGTGCCTACCACTTGGTCCCTAGTAAGCATGCCCGTGTCTGTTGAGGTGGAGAACAGGAGCTAAATCTACGATCTGCCAGAAGCGATATAATTAGTGAACTCGTCTACCAGATGGAGAATAGCGTGACAGGATGGGGATGGAACAAGGAAAATCAAGCACTTGATGCGCTATCCGGTGTGGCTAATAAACTAGGGCTGACTCCTCCAAAGATCGGCCGGTCGCGTTGGCGAATGAGAGCTCAATAGGGCCCGCAAGGATGATAAGAGTGACCAGCTCCGCGATGTCGCTGTTGGTCTTCTCGACGCTATAGCCGGCTCAACGGCATAAGCAGCTGTAAGCGCTAGTCAAAATGTAGGTAAAATGTTCGGGGATCCTAGCGTAGAGTTGGTCTCAGCGTTGATCAACCCACTGGGCTGGCTGGCAAGAGATTCTAGTAAGAGCCTTCATGTTAGCGCAGCGGCATATCCTGGATTCTTCTGGATTACAGCTCTGATTACGAGCGCTCATTTTTTGCGAATATAATTTGGACAAGTCCTGCTCCTTATAGGCCGGCATCTTGGAAGAGATCCATCTCCGTGTTGATTACCCGACCGAGCAGAATAAGTTAGCCCTAACGCGTCAACTTCGAACTTGCATTCACTAACGTTAGTGCTTATATCCAAGCCACAAATAGACTCCGCTATGAGCTACCAGTCTACTTTGACATCCAAACAAAGAAATTGCGCTTGCACCAACTCACCCATCACAATCTCGTGCACTAAAACGGAAAACCATCACGGAGCAATACCTTCCAACATTGACGGCAATCCAAGATTTGACACGGTTTGAACCTAAAATTGTGTGGAGACCGAGATTCAGATAAAGGTGATGAACATCAGGTATTACTATTGAACATGACTTGTTCGTTGTAACTAGAGCCAATACATCTATCACACCAGGGCCAACGAGGTATTACCCACCGCTACCCTGCCTTCGTAAGATGGCACCTCAATTTTAAAGGGGGAAGTGAGAGAACACACAGAGGAAGTAAATCCTCGAAACACACACCCATGAGACCAATGTGTCATACTGATCGTTTGAATCGGTGCGTGGCTCACACAGAAAGAATCATCCTAGCATCAACGCAGAATTCAAAGAGTCTCCGCTCAGCTACCCCCACCTCCAATGCACAACCCCACTCCGCCTGCATCGACCTCTTCCACACCAAGATGTGACCACATGACCCGCGCGAGAGGCAGTCTTACCTCTCACGAGCCCTACTGCGAAACCCTCGGGGGTCTGTGCGAAGGGATTCCGACTTTGAGATATGAGAACACTGGGTCGTTGCCCGGTCGGTACCCGGAGGGTGGGCGGAGCATGCCGGATCTGCGCCAAGAGGCAGCCCCACTGCGACCACTATCTTAATATCTACCCGAGATCATGCCGCCCACTCGGGTGAATATGGAATGCAGGGTAACCTCGATCAAAAAAGGGTCACGAGGGGTGAATTAATGACACAGTATCGGGTTAAACAAGTCCATTACCAAAAATAGATCGTCACGGATGGAAAAATCGAAATAAGAAAGGGAAGAGGAAAGGGTGTCCCGGGTGAACCGCGACGACATATGAATAAGATAATCAATTGCGTTGCTTCTCGACAAGCCAAGAATGGTGGCAACAAATCTGCGCATGTGCGGTCATCATGATCCGTTTTTGCTCTCCAGCCCTTCTATGCCCCGCCGGACATGATACAGTCCGCGCCGCATGCAATTGAGCCTCTTCCACCGAGACCTGATGTAACGTCCTCGGGCGGGACTAAGCCAGCCACTCATGAGATTTCTCCGGCGAATGGATCACTTACTGGGACGAGATCTAATCTATGGGCGTGGCGGATCAATTTTATGGAGTAATGCGCGATATACGCTGGGTGATAGATTCGAGCAGCAGTATCGAACGTCACGATTGGGGTTCCCTGTTCCGAAAGAAGAGGTGTATTGCCCCACTCGACAAATCTTGCTGTATATAATAGTTAGCTGGAACTTCGAATACCTAGACGAGGTCCAATCTTCTTCTTCTCTTTGAAGTAACCTTTTAACCACAACTACTTTCCCATCGGCCATTGAAAACAGTACCTGCTCTGGAAGAACCAATAGAACCGATCGTGTAGCCTCTCGAGCCTCCGCTTTGGAAACATTCATCCCAGGACACAGTCAATCCATACTACTGAAGGCTCAACCGAAGACACCGTCATGAACGACCAAGACAATATATTTACCCGCGACGAGGTGCGTTCTCCCCATCCGCAACCGTCTATTGTTCTGTGAACTAGATCTAGACTCAACTCATTCATTCTCCCGTCTAGCCTCTCTCCGAGCAAGAACACACGATCCTAGCCAACTACGCCACCGAACCGCGCTACAGCCACGGTATGAATAAGGCACACAAGCCAAAAGTTGTCAGCTCCTGCTCCGTTTCTACAGCGTATAGAAGCACTCGCTGACGGCAGACATCAGCAACGGACGTATTTTGACACCCCCAAATGGGTCTTGAACTCCGGCCATCAAGAACCGAACCAGGGCGCCGACCAACCCGGGGGCCCCCGCTCATTGCGCCAGGATGCATCCAGACTGTATGCCCCATTCCCTGAGGGTAGTAATGTGGGTGATGGTGCCAATCACGAGCAAGAGCAAAATCGCTCGCTGGGGTAGAAGATGAGTAGTAGTCCTTTGGGAAGAGGAAATGACTTTGATTTTGTTAATTCGACAATCCACGATGAGGGATACAGGTTTTGTGGGGGTCTGGGGGGTCTGGGGTAGTAAATGTAAGTGAGAATAGGCTGGGGGGGGGGGGGGGGTTGATGAATCAGACTATGGACTGTCAAGCAATTTGTTGAAATTGGTGTGGAAGCTAGGGCTGATTGAGTGTTCCAGGTGCAGGGTAGGGAGCAGGGAGGCGGTGGATCTTAGGCATTCGTGTCACAGATGTCATAGGTCGAAGACGTTCGTGTCAATGCAATAGCCGCACTCAGATTTGCATTAGTGGAGATAATTTTGACAAGTAGGCCTTGCAGCAGAGGATGGACACTCTTTTTATGGAGAGGTCTACACTGAAGTGGAGGCACCGGAGTCTATGTATCACCGTCCAAGTCTGGGGATCAACTGTACCGGACATCGTGATTTCATCTGTCCTCCTTGCTTAAAATAGTAGCTATGCCGCTATCTCCCGATGCTATCTGCAGGCAGTACCTCACTACACTTGGCATGTGACGTCTACCGTGTCAAGAACCGTGTCGAACGCACACATCACACCGGAAAGTGTCCAGGTTTCGAGTGTCCGCCGGAATTCCGGACTCGGGGTTCTGCAGTAAACATGATGCTTACGGGTCAGATCCCAAAGTCCCGTCTGGTAGTAAGGTCTTGCAGTCTGCAGAACCGGTGCGAAATAGCCTGGAAATAATTGAACGATGCTATGCTATCCCCTGGTACGGCAGCCCGAAATGGCAAGGCTTGATGACTCAGCGGTATTTGAGGCTTGGCGCAGTCGAGCCTGTTCCAACTGTGGAGAAACGAGACACAGAAATCAGGTGCCTGTGGGAGTAAATTGAGGCCTTGAATAGGTTTTGGTGGAAAGGTGGACCTCTTGCACCATTGTGGATGCCGATATTTGAGTGGGAGGGCACTCGGTGCCCTCCAGACCATTTCTGAGTTCCGTTAGGGTATTGCTCTACGTAAATAAGACCCCGACTGTGGCACTAAAGGCCTTCGAGATGTTCTTAGGATTGCGGGTTTCTGGAACTGCAAAGATCGAGAGGAAAGTAAGTCAAACCAGAGAAATAGCATATTACCCAATTCGCTATTTTATACACGCCAGAAGGCAAGATCATGCCGAGAGCTTGGTCATGGTGCTTTCGCTCGATAACGGCGTGGCCAAGATTGTGTGCAGATAACGAGGTGCACCTCCCAGGAGCCAGGATAGGCGAGCCAAGAGGATAGGTGAGCCGGAGCATGCAATGGCCATTCATAGAAGCGCGCAGAGATAGATAAGCATGTCCCACGATTGACAGTTCTTGCCTCAATGAAGGAGAATTACAACTCCGTTAAGGCAACAAGATTGCTGACTAGACCCACAATATGCCTTGGTCTAGACGGTGGCATCGGAGGTTGGCCGGTTTAGCGTAGATGCCGATTAAGACCTTGCGGATCGCTTCACCCACCCTCTGCGCAGCGTGCCTTCCCAATCGAATCGTCCGTGATGAGTGAATGAAACTTTCTTCCGACATTTTCCCCTGGTGAGCAGGTATAAATTCAGCGTCTTCGCCGGCTGCCAAAGCCTTCCCATCACTACAATCCATCCCACTCCCAGAACCCTGACTCCCAGAACTCCGCACAAGACATCCGTCAGAATGCATCTCAACTCCCTCTTTATCCTCTTCGCGACCGCAGCCCTAACAGTCACGGCGCACCCCGGCCCGCACAAACCACTTCCCCCCGCAGCCCTCCACCGCCGGACCGAGCTCCTCAAGCGCTGCCCCGGCCACGCCGCCACCTTCAACCAGCGACGCATGGCCGCGCGCGACGCCCTCACCAAACGTTGGGGCGACGAGCACAATCACAACGCAACCTACGAGATCCAGACCGAAGCCCCCTTCTATGAAACCATCCAGAACAAGACCTGCGTGCTGATCCCGGAGGTGACCCGGGGTCCCTACGTCTGGCCGCGCTCGCAGACCCTCCGCCAGGACATCACAAAGGACCAGGTCGGCGTGCCGCTGTGGCTGGACGTCGGCGTGCTGGACATGGCCACGTGCGCGCCGCTGCCCAACGCGCTCATGGACTTCTGGCACTGCAACGCGACGGGCTCGTACTCTAGTTTCACGGGTCTGTCGCCGAACACTCCTTCTGAGGAGTTGTTTCATGAGCCCAGCGTCACGAACTATGACCTGGGGACGACCGATCTGCATACTGATGACACCACGTGGTTGCGCGGGATGTGGCCGACCGATGAGCGGGGGTCTTGGAGATGAAGACAGTTTTTCCAGCTGAGATTCCCACATACCCCTCCTCTTTTCGACTCCATCTTTTGAAATTGCGGGGATTACCGCTAATGTTTTGGTTTTTGGGCAGGCATCTACGTCCAACGCGCGATACACATCCATTTCCAGGTGCACACGGACTGGACGTTGCGCGAGAACGGGACCATCACCTCCAGCCACACGGTGAGCACGGGCCAGATCTACTTTGCTGAGGAGCTTGAGCGCGAGATCATGGCGCTCGAGCAGTATGGTTCGCACACGCAGATCAACCGCACTACCAATGCGGAGGACTCCATCTTCTCGCAGGATACTACCAGCGGGTATAACCCGGTGGTTTCGGTAGTGCCGGCTGACGGCAAGGAAGTGAGGAACGGGATGATCGGTATTTCACGATCGGAGTTGATACTTCAGCAATTGAGTGGTTTAGCAAAGGGAATGTGGATTATGGATTGTGAGGCTGGAAGTTCAGGAGAGAGGGTTGGGGGCTGAGTTAGAGTTGCTCGGTGAAGAGAAAAGTGGATCGACGTATTGTTTTACTTCGTAGATTTTAAAGATAGGTAGCCGGAAGATTTGAGGCGACCGGTTATACACCGTGCTCAGTACGATAGAGCAAGATCATATGCAAGAGATTACCCTTCACGGCGGTACCCTGCCTTTTGTCGTCTAGGGCACGGTGTCGGTCATGTGATCCATCTGGAACAAAAGATGTCGCTTCTTTGGGAAGCTCAGAGTATTCGGCGATTTCCGACGACTGCAATGTAGCAACCGCTTCTGTGTCGCTTTAATAAAGCGCCCACACAAGGAAGTACCTTTGACCCTGCTGGATCTCGTATTGCGGCAATGTCATTATCCACGAGCACAGAGTCCTACGTGGATGCCACGCCAAGCAGGATATAAAACCACCCTTTGCCCACAGAGCCAAGCCCTGAGCTCCAGTCCCCCGAGAAGGATCTCTCTGCGAAACTGCCACCCTGCCACGATGCCCCCCCAAACCCCCTACCAACTAGGCTTCGAGTTCGTGGTCCGCGAGCACCACCCACCCAGCCAGACCCCGGCAGACTTCGAGTTCAACGAGTCCAAGGACCCGCTGCCCGGCCGCTTCGGCGAGAAGGAGCTGCGCCTGCGCGTGTGCAAGGGCCTGCGCGTGGGATCCGGGTACTCGGCACAGGTGGCTGTGGTGCAGGAGGTGCTGAGCGGGCGTCCTCCCAAACACGCTGGGTCGCTGCACCGGGACCCGGACGAGCTGGGGCCCAAAATGGTGGCCAAGCTGTACGACGCGCGGTACCTGGGCTCGGCCTCGAGGACGCGGGTGCAGGCGGTGCGGTTCATGGACGAGCAGTACGTGCGCGAGTCCGCGGCGTACCGCCACCTGCTGCACCACCAGCTACACCGGTACATCCCCGAGTACTACGGGTCGTGGTCCACGCACACCCCGGACCCAGCCAGCAAGCAGTCTTGTGAGGTGCGCCTCATCCTGACGGAGCTGGTCGAGGGCACGGACATGAGGCAGCTGCGGCCGGAGTCGTTCTCGCTAGCCGACCGCCAGGCGATCATGCGGCGGATCGTCAAGATCGAGTCGGCGTTCTACGCGTGTGACCTCCAGCACCGGGATGTGTACCCGCGGAACGTCATCCTCACCAGGCCGGATCCGCGCGCGGAGAAGAAGGCCGGCAAGGCGGGCGGCGGCCCGCCGCGCGTCACGGTCATCGACTTCGGGCTCGCGCGGATCGGCCGCTCGTGGGTGGATGTCAAATCGCCCCACTGCGCCAAAGCCGATCTTCTCCCGGGCACCTATATCAGTCCCATCCTGCGCTGGTGGCAGGTGGACAACGCGCAGGATACATGGTTTGACTGGGTCACTTGGGATTGGAATCGGTGGTTGTCGGAGACCTTCCGCGCGGATATTCCGCACATCACCCCTGACATGCTCAAGTGGGTGGGTCCGCAGGAAAGAGAGGACCCATTTTTTCAACAGTTTGAGAAGGGTGGTTCTTGTAATGTGTGCTGAAACTCGTCACGCAGGTGGGCAGATTGCTAGAGCCATTGTAGAGATTCGATTTAATCCGTGATGGCACAATATATTTATGATTATGTAACGTATCAGGGGCGCAAAATAACACGTAAAATTGATTGGTATATGTTGGTCAATGTCCACTGCCCGGTGATGACACGAGTGCCCTTCGGGTTATGCACTTTGCATTACGGTAAGTTAGACGGTCCCTATCAAAGTCAAACATCAGCCATAGTAAGTGAGCCAGGGGTATGAACCTTAAGATCGAGAGCTGAAATCAAGGGGAGAGTACTTCGAGATGCAACATTGGCGCGCAATGCCAATCCTTGTACCCATTGTGTAACAAAAGAGCAACACGCCGATCTACACTGTAATTATTTGAGAATATACGGAAGGGGGTGACTTGCTTGGAGAAGTCCTTAAGCAGCCGCTCGCACGGTAAAATTCCTTGCACTATCAGATTTTCTTGGTGAATTAGTATTGAAGTCCCAACTAAAGTCCCTGCTGACCTAATTATGCTTCAATTCAAAATATGGTTCAAATGGAAGGAAGTCCATGTATCATCGGTTCGCTCTAGAGCCTAACCATTATCCCAGGCAACAACCGTCGCATGGGCTCTCATCGAAATTTAATTCTTCTCCCTATCTTTTTCTACGATGGATCACTCATTTTAATTTGAGATAAGTCCAAGTCTGCTAGCAAAATGTCTATCATCCCTCCAAGCACCAGTAGAGGCACCCTGCTTCTCCTAAACCTCTGCCCCAGGAAATCTTACTAATAGCGTCGGACAAGATGCACTCAGCTATAATCATTTAGTGCCGAAGGTCATAAATTTTCGATAATTCGAGTCTCACATTCTTTGAGATTGGGTGAAGTGCCCAACCCTTCACGAAAGTGACTGCTCTCTCGGGCTCCAGTGCAAGGTCTTTGCCCTAGCCAACAAGTATTCATCTCTGTCTATGTACATCCACCGGCCCCCCCAGAATCCACAGCCATGCATTACCAACCCAAGATCAGATTACTCAACGAGGACCCAGTTACTTCCGACAAACCACCTCCGCACTGGGAATGGCAATCCACGCATCCCGATCCTCACCCCACTCCCTCCACACCCCGGAAATCTCCGTCAGCTCCTCCTCCGACGCCAACCCATTCTCCAGCGCCCCCTTCGCAAACGCCGACTTGACCGCCCGCTCCTGCCACGTCCCACTCCACCAGCTCACCTCTTCGGGTGTCGCAAAGCACCACGCACTGACCTTACACTCCACACCCAAGAAGCCCGCCCTCTTAGCCCAAACATGCAAGAACCGCCCTGCATTCGGCTCGCCCCCATTCTTCCGCGCCACAGCGTCATACAGGCTCTGCCACCGCCGCAGCCCCGGCAGCTCGGGGTACCACATGAAGGCGGAGTAATCGGCCTCGCGGGCGGCGACGATGCCTCCCGGTTTACACACGCGGCGCATCTCGGCCAGCACGGCGACCGGGTCGGCGACGTGCTGCAGGACCTGGTGGCAGAAGACGACATCGAAGGTGTTGTCGCCGTAGGTGAGGGCGTTGGCGTCCCCCGTCACGAAGTCGATGTTGGGGAGGTTGCGGGATGCGGCCAGCGCGCGGGCGTCCGGGAGGATGGTGTCCACCATGTCGAGGCCCGTCACGTGGCCCTCGGGGACGTGCGTGGCCAGGTCGACGGTGATGGTGCCGGGTCCGCAGCCGATGTCTAGGATCTTGTGGTGCGGCTGCAGGTGGGGGAGCAGGAACTGCGCGGAGTTTTGGGCGGTGCGTTGGCCGTGGCTGCGGAGCACGCTGGCGTGGTGGCCGTGCGTGTAGGTTGCTTTTTCGGTCATGTTTTGGGGGGGGGGTTGCTTTGTGTGGTTGATGTGCAAATAAGTATTGGTATGAGTGAGTGGGGTGGGAGAGAAAAGAAATGGTCGTGGTTGTGGTTGTGAGTGTGATGGGCGTATGGAGGGTGGGTTTATATAGAGCTTCTGTTGATGTAGATCGAGGGCCGATATCGGCGTCGGCCGGCCTGTGCTAAAATACACGGGGTAGTGGAAATGCATGTAATGCATGCCGATTGCTCGGTCTATGCAAGCTTACGTGACTTATGCCAGTCAGTCACCGACCGCCCCCGCAGTGGTCTTCCGTAGTCTTCAGAACACCCAAAACAGCAGCCGTTCGAAATGCAAACCTCCTCCAGAATGAGTCATGTTTGTGCCAAAAATACGCTGACTGGTATATATATGCATGCTTCGCACAATAGGATCTGTGGGAAATCGCAGATGAGGGATCGGATAGTGGCGCACTGCGCACTCATCCGACCCCGCACAAACGCGACCTTCCATGATCTGAATACGTTCCTTGCACGGTACCCTCAATATCGAACACCAGAGCCTACCCTCGACCTAGAAGATGCAAAATACCTACTGTGTGAGCTTCATTCTGCTCTTGTAGCGTCTCGCCGCTTGAATGAGAATAATCCGGCCACGGACAGCTTCGAGCTTCGGAGACTGCGGCGTGTATTCGCAGTGAAGGACGATGTGTCTGCCCGAGTACATCCCAGGCGTAAGCGGTGCTATAGGTTCCCAAGCATGATTGCGTTTGAGAACTACTCGATCTTACGGAGAGGTCAGTGTCAGCTGCAACCGATCGGATATCTTTACTTGCTCCAGACACTAGGACGTTGATAGCAAAATCGAGAAATGCAACAAGAAATCCATCCAAGCAAGAGCCAAAGCTTACTACATGGGCGCCACCAATGGAATAGATTCCATTGTTCTTGTTCGTATCACTGAGGCATCGGTGATTAAACAAAACGGGAACAGTGCAGCACGCTTGATGTCATCTTACGAGGAGACTGATGATCAACGTCGCGATAGTTCACCATCGTTGTCCCACGTAAATTGATATGGTTGTTCAGCCCACCTTGCAAGCCTAATCTTGAACTGATATCCCAGCCTGCGAGCTCCCTGCTTCGAGCCACTACAGAGAATAAGAGACTCCACCAATCCTCGTGCGTGCAGACCCGGCCGAGAGTGGCGATGTGGGCAGACATGAAACGACCATTTGGGTGACATAGAGATGAGGGTCTGGCTCTCAAGAGACCATCACATGCGTCAATGGCCGGTTCCGCCCCAAACTTTCGATTGCGGCTCTTGAATGCAGGGTTCCCACAATCCTCAGACCCGCTTAAACATACCTTGATCAGGTATGGTTCCGACCCGGCAGTCAAGGCATAGCATATAAGAAATAAGATTGCCAGCTATCTTCTACCAATTTCAGATGTGTTGCATGGTTTGGCGAGTCGCGAACTGTGCCCAGTGCCCCTCGATCCGCTTTCTCTTCCCTTGCAGTAATGTACAGTCCCTCGAGAAATATCTATGTGCCCGCCAGCGCCCAGGCCTCACGGAGCATTATTGAACATTCCTCCTACACAACGACACCGAGCCAGTCCCCGGGGACCACGCCGCCTCCCTGCGGAGAGATCATCTACAAACAGTCTTTGGCGACGGCCGAAACAATCGATGACAAATTGATCCTCAAGAAACTATCGGCCACCGCGAAGGGATTCATACTTCCGAACGATGCGGGTCTAGACGCCGGGCCGCGTGGGAAGGACCTGAATGGTGGGCTGGATGATCCCTCTGTAGCATCAGAGACCGAAGGCGAAATGTGCTGACAGTCATGGGAGCATTTTGAGCTTTTCTCTTCTTGTCTGTGGTTTCAATTGATTGGCCGGGGTGACAATGATGAATCAACGAGTAACATGCCATACAATGTCTCTGTATGGCCCGATCAGCAACTCGCCCAGGGTCACGTAGGTGGACAAGCAGCTCATTCTGTCTGTGTCTCGGAAAAAATAGCGATTCTTTGGTGTCCTTCTGGCGCGAGACAAGTCGGTTTCGCTGACGCTGACGCTATTGTGGTGTCTTTTCGTCTTTCCTCTGCCTAATTACTCTCTGTTGAAAGCTAGTTGTGTGTAGCCCGTGGTTACGATCTGCCCGACCGTACGTTCTCAAAAAGGCAAATTGAGATGCTGAAGGGTGTGCAAGAATGTAAGGATACCACACTTTGCGCTGAAAATTGTGGTTTTTGGGTTCGTTACATTGAGCTTTGAATTTCTGTTCCGGCTCACTGAGTAAGCTCTCATTTCGAGTATATAGGCTGCGTCTGGCAATAGAGCCCTATCAATTTAATGGAGCAGCTAAGCTAAATCAGCCTTTTCCTCCCCTCCCACCCAGGCCCGCTTCCCAACGGAATAAGCGCACGAATTCGAGACAAGGCCGGACTCCAACCCGTTTCTCGACGACTGTAGCCTTCAAGCGATCCGGCTTCTCCGAAGTGAGCTTCCGACGGTCAGGGGGCGATCAATGGACAGAGTTGTAAGAGGTTCACGACACTGCCTGATCGATGAGAGCATCGAGACATCTCAGATCATATCAGCGCTGGCATGAGATGCCGTGGCGTATCGGCCGGGTGTCGGGTCGTGGGTGTGCAGTGCTCGACGACGGTCACACTCAGAGAGTAGCCAGCCTTCCTGGTGTGCACATGGGTCCATCGGTTGGTTCTCGCAACATCGAATACCACCGCCAGGTCGTAGTCCTTTTCGGTGAACACCACCGCCCAGTCACTGCCCACGCCGACTTCCTCGCGCGTCCCATACTGGACCGACCGCACGTTCGGGTCGAGCCTGGCCAGCTCCACGAAGGCAGCACGCAGGCCATCGATCTTCTGTTGGGCGTGCTCCTGCGGACTGAGATTCACACCTAGAGGTAGATATCGCTTAGTGATATACGTCCCTGTCGGATGGAAGCATAGCTGACTCTTGTAGTAGAAGTTCTGCTTGTAGGTTACCTCGTGATGTACTTGGGACATTCTGCAGCGATATTGCAAGGGTATGTGGAAGTGGAAACTAGTAGATAAGCTATCGAGTCCAGGTTGGCTGTTTGGCCCCATTGACCTTCTGTAGGAACGCGCTCTCCTATTTAAGATATAATTGGGTACGCTAAACTGGGGGAAGAAATCCAGGTATCCCCAGATCACGAAGAACGGGTGATGGTCGCGAGACTTGGATCTGGAGATTGTGGCGTTTGAGTGACAAGATGCGCTTCTTTGGATATGGAACAAAGAAAGTCAAACTTTCCACCCTCGTACATACCTACTATTATTATCGGCGCCCGGACCCGTCCACCAAGTCACTTACCTTGTAGATGGATATTATACTCGTACTCGTGTCATTTCTCGGCGAAGAAAATGTGACTTCTTCTTCAACGCTCCCAACCAACAACTTGGGCTATCCATCACTTTTGCATGAGACACGATATTTTCCTTTCGATTTTTTTTATTATTTTTTCTTTCTTTTCGAGATTCCCTATCGCCCTGCTCAGCGCCAACTGGCTATCCGTGCGGGTAATTCCCAGTAGAAGCGCCTCAGCCAAGCCCGATAATAACAGTCATTACCAGAGTCTAAAAACATTATCCACCCGCTCACTCCCCGATCGCAGCATCTCGTGCTTTCTTTGCTCGACTCTAGCTTTACAATAGGGAAGATTAATGTAAACGCTGTCTACTTTATGCAAAATCAAAAGCTTCGCACCAAACCGAGAGGTCCCCCACCCCGGGGTCCGAAGAGGGAGACACAATCGCTAGCAATCTTCCGCATGGTACTGCAACTTTTCGACCGTATACCTCTGGATCAGGACGGTACTGCTCGTATTAGTATGGAGAGTGGGTCGCAAAACTCAATCCCGGCACAACGCCGACAGGGCGAAGCGAGATTCGACCCGCAACCGTACAGGAAGCATTTCGCTGCGGTTTGATGGCTATCTTCAGCCCGAGCTGACGAACTTGATACGAGCCAAAATGAACAAGAAGAAACTCAATCTCTTTAGACGGTTCGAGTCGGTTGGGGGTCGTACGATCGGGGACCGGACCGGGGGGGAGGGGGTTGGCAGGGGATTAAAACACCACGGCAGCATGAGACTTCATAAAGCGAGCTTTTGGCCGGCATGCAGCCGAGTCGCTTCAGATCATTTTCGATGCTATCTTGCCTATGAAGCTCGCCGTCCTTGCTGAGATCTTGCAACAGTAGACGGCCTTGCTTGAGGTGGCCGCTAGCAGGGTGTGATTGTCGGACTGATCTGTTAAAAATGCTGTTCCTGCTGAGTACATGCCCTATGGTAATGCATACAATGGTCAAATTGTCGTGGACACTTGAACACTACCACGCCAAGTCGTGGCATTGGTGATGAGTGGTATGGGACAGAAGAAAGCTTCCAAGATCAGAGTCCAAAAGGAAGACTTCCAATCCTTCACCATGAGCAAGAATCCTAATCTTGTGGCGAACAACTTCGTAGTATCAGTGCATCTTACCACGCCATCTAATCCTTGAGCCTATTTCTTGTACACAAAAATCAGCAAGGTCATGATGCACATGAGGCGACAGCCTTCGCCGGTCAGAGCGGTATCTCTCAATACGGTGCTGTGTCTATCTTCCGAGGTCGTTGGCCATGTCCGATGATCAGATCACCGCGCACCAAAGAGTCCATTATGATACAGAAGATTGTCATCCGCGTGGTAGTCGCGAACCTTCCAAGAAGCAAGATGGATGGAAGTGATATTCAAACGCCCTAGAGCAAAGACACCATCCGCCTCTGCTATGGAGTTGCCGGTTGATACAGGTCTCGCTATGTAATCTATTGCTCATCATCTAGTCTCCAACTAGTGTGTTCGTAATCCAGCGCATAAGCCGGGAAGACATGTAGCCGAGCATCTGGAGCCCGCGTGTCAATCCTCCCCGACGAAGCAGAGACATCTGGTGAGGACGAGAGGGCAAAGCAGAGAGAAGGGAAGCAGTTGAGCAGCCCCGCAAGAAGGACAGTTTGACCACGCTCGCCCCGTGTACAATGCACACGAGCCCGTTTCATTCACTAAACGGCAGATCAAAACACGGCCCAGGCTTCTGTCTCCGCGTCGCCGACCTTTCCACCTGCGAAAGCTCCCGCGCGAGCTGGTCCATTCGCTCCTCCTCTTGTTTCACCCCTTCTTCCCCCAGCCCTCCCATCGCAGCAGCAGCATCCCCAACCTGCCCCTGCCCCGTCCCCGCCGAACTCCCCTCTTCCTCCCGATCCCGCTCCCCCTCACTCCTCTCGCCCACCTCCCCCTTCTCCTTCTCAATCGCCAACCTCCCCGCCACAGCAGCCGCCACCTTCTCCTGCCACTCCCTCTCCCCCTTCTCCTTGGCCAAAACAGCATAATGCGCCCTCCGATACACCCCGACCGTACTCCCGAGCAACCCCAACACCTCAAACCCAAACAGCACGGGCAATGCATACCCAAGCTGGGGATTACAGCCGCGGGACCACACATCGACGAGCACCTGAAACACCGCATGCGCAGGCAAGGCATACCCCCACCGATAGAACGCGGGCGCCAGCTCAAACGGCAGCAGGATGGAGGTGACGTTGGCCACGATCCACGAGATGAACGCCATCGGCACGAAGGGCGGGGGGATCCAGATGGTGAAGAGGTCCAAGACCAAAAAGTTCAAGTGCGCGAAGAGCCACAGCGCGAGCCAGGTGAGCACGAATTGTCCCCCGGAGACGCGCCACCCGAACCGGAACGCCCAGACGGCGCCGGTGGTGGACAGCGAGCCGAGCAGTGTGTAGGTTCCCGCGAGCAGTTGCCGGATGATGGCGATGCGGTGCGGGGAGACGGTTGTGTACAGGTGGAATTGTTGGTAGACGCTGTTGATGTAGCCTAGGTAGAAGAATTCTTGGATCATGATGAGGATGATGACCAGGGTGTTGTAGATGAGGCGCGAGCCTTGGGTGGTGGGTTGGAGGTTTGTGGAGGTTAAGGTCCAGGGTTGGGAGAGGGTGGTGAGGGTGGTGTTGCTGACGGTGTTGGTGGGCGTGTTAGTGAGAGTGTTTGGGGGCAGGGTGCCGGTGTAAGCGATGCGGGCGGCGTTGGAAAGGGTCTGCATGCTGGTGTAGATGGCCGAGTCGACCACGGTGGAGTAGCGCGCCTCGTTCCACACCAGGGTGAGCACCTCGTCGGGGGAGTGCGGTGCGCCGCTGGCGAGGGCGGCGGCCAGCTCGTTCGATGCGTTCGGGGCAATGTACAGCCCGCCCCAGTAGTCGATGTGGCACACAGCAGCGGTGATCGCGTCGGACTGGGGATACTGCGCCGTGGCGTGCTCGGTTAGGGTTGGGAAGCCCGGGCCCTGCAGCTGCTCGTACGCGGCGCGGACAGCCGCCCCGATCGCCCCGCCGTCGTAGTCCACGAACACCACGTTCAGATTGTGCACATGCGTCGTCTGCTGGAACAGCGAGCCGAACAGGTAGCAGAACAGCCCCAGGAACAGCAGCTGCAGCACCAGCAGGTTGATCCCCGCCGCTTTGAGCACCGCCAAGCGCAGCGACCGCACCGCCGGGTCGTGGATGCTCGCGTGCTTTTGCCTTCGGGCGCGCGCGTAGAAGGTCATCGGGTCGGTCCGAGCGCAAGCTGGCCAAGCTGTCAAGCTGTATTTCTGAACAAGCTGGATTTGCCGTCGAAAAGGTTCCCCCCGGGTGGTTCAGCAGTTCCTAATAACTGACTGCACTGCACTGCACCACGGCAATGGTGGGGCGGAAGTCGGGCTCCTCGTCACTCGGTGCTTATATGAATACGAGCGCGCCACCAACCAGCGTTTCGCTAGGAGAAGCGGTGTTGCAATCCCGGCATCATTTGTTCCAGTCTACGGGCGAGATTGCCCGTCATATTGGATCTGCCCGCAGCTCGCCTCAGCTCATCTCTACAAACCAGTTGCCCTTTCGGGTTCGCTGCGAGTCACGTGTGCACCGATTGATGTATGTTCGGGCTACACCTAATTGGTCAATGATCTAAATTGCGTATAGTGGAGTGAACACGAGCTTTTACTAACCACTGCATGCGTAGGTAGTGACACTGAGGCCCCTTTTATCCGTAGCAGCCATTCCGTTTCGAGCATTGTGCGTACAGCTTCCAGCTAGATGGGAAAGAGTGCCTAATAATGGGAAGCCTACCGACCACTTTCATCACTTCAAGAATGCGCCAAGCTCGACTCCCGCACTGCAGTATGTGTGTCGCGCATTATTTATATTGAACGACCTTGCTTATATCGTAACACAGTGGCACCCAACCGCTCTCGTGCAGTTGATTGAAGCGTACGCTTGCAGCAAAGATATATCAACTCTGACACATTCAATACCAAACTCACCTCCATGTCATGTCCATCCTCACCAACTTACATCCACGGACCCGAAACAAAACCAACAACCTCAGCCCTAACTCACCTCATTCCCAACAACCGCATACCCATCCTTCATCCGCATCCCGCCACCCTCACCCTCAGCCTCACCTCCCACAGCCATCTGGCCCTCCCCCCCCTTTTCCCCCTCCAATCCCACCGAGCTGGGCACCATCCCCTCCGGATCATCCCCCCTCCACACCCCCCACCCCATGTACGCCGCGCGATGCAGACTCAACGTCTCCTCCACCGCCCACTGCTCCCGCATATACCGCCGCCGCCCGTTGCCCTTGCCCCGTAGCCAGCCCACCACCGAATCCACGCTCAGCCCGACCACGATGATCAGCCCGCACACGCCGACCGTCAGCGCCAGCCCCAGCACCGAGAAGTTGGCGTACCCGGCGGCATTGTGCACGAGCTGGTTGGTGCACTGCACGCGCGCGTAGCGATTCAGCGGCGCCGTCACGTTCCACCCGACCGACGACTGGTCGAGCAGCGAGGTCGCCGGGAAGTTCTTGGGCGCGGTCGCCCACTCCACCGCCCAGGCTTGTTCTTTGGCCAGCGAGGTGGCGAACCAGGTGGCTACTTCCGTTTGCCATTGCGTGGGCGGGATGTAGAATTGGATGTTGCTGTAGGCGATTGAGGAGGCTGCGGTTGGTCTGTTAGTTGGGGTGGGGGATTGGGGGTGGGGTGGAGGTGCACAGGCTACTCACCGTTTAACGCTGCGCCGCCGCGGCCGTTGACGTTGGAGTACATGCTCCGGTCGTTGTTCCCGGACAGGAACCGGCCGATCGTCGCGATTTGGTACACGTTGAACCCGAGGAACTTGGTCGGGTCGACGGTGAAGGTGGACAGTGATGTACTCAAGATCCCACCGAGTTCGGTGCACCCGTCCGGCCCGGGCCGGTTGGGGTTGCAGATCTGGTACTGGTCGGTGCATACCATCAGATTCACCTCGTAGCTCTTGGTCCACATCGACGAGGTGACGTTCGTCCCCTCGATGCTGTAGTTCTGCTGTTCGAGCGCCGTCATCCACGGGTCGTAGCTGGGTTGCAGGTAGTTGATGTTGTTCTGGTTGAGCATCATCATCGTGATGTCCGCGTCGCTTTGGTTGATCGCGTCGGACGGCTTCCATGACTCGAGGCCGTTCAGAAGTCCGCTGGGGTCGGATTTGGCGAAGACGGCGCTATGGTCGATCAGAGGGGGGTTCTTTGGTGTGGGTGAGGCACTCACCTTAGTGTGTAGCCCACTCCATCGACGCTGGGGATCGGAGTGTACGAGAATGTGTAGTTCAGGTACGGCTCACCCATGTAATACTGATATCCGGCATTGATGTAGACGATCTGGCCCCACGTTGAGTCGTTCTGAACGCTCCCTAGCCCCGACCCGTGCTTGACTGGGGCACAGGTGGTGACTCGCCGGTATTTGATTCGGTTGCGCGGGGGTGCGTTGATCCCAAAGTCCTCGTGCGAATCCAGCAGACCCGTGTCCATTTGCAGGGCCGAGTTGCCGTTGTACGCGCACAGATCAGGAGAGTATGGGCAAGATGCATTCGGGTTCGTGGTAAATGGCAGGCTGGGCCGGACGTAGGTGCTGCAGTCGAGTTCACTCGCGTTCTCCAGGTAGCACCGGCGGACGTACGTGGCAGCGTCGTAGGTGTCCTGCAGACTCTTGGTGTTGCTGACGGTCACATCCGTGGCGTTGAACGAGTAGCCTCCACAGCCTGGGCCGATGATGAGCGTCGACTGGCCGGCCGCCTTGGTGATGTAACTGGTGAACAGACCAGATACTCCGAACAGGATGAGAACGAGGATGGGTAGCAGGGCCAGTGGTAGCGATCGCCCCACAGCCCTGAGCTTTGACGCAGTTCGCCCGCTCTCAAATGGTAACTTGATTAATGCCCAGGCCGCGGCGGCTGCACCTTTGTTGCGCAGAATGACCTGTCGCTGGTAGTGAAGAGCATCCCGCCGCCGATCGGGAGCTGTGGTCCCCGTCTGATGAAGTGCAAAGCTCAGAATGCTCCAGAACAGACTGCCTGCCAGGGACACAAGTATAGCTAGAAAGGCGCTCAGAATGCCGGAGTCGGTCTGCGACAAAGTCAAGGTGGCTCCCCGGATCGCTCCCTCGGACCAGTTGATCCAGACTCCCGTGTAGGTGTAGAGCGCGGCAGACATAGCTCTTACGAGGGCTCGAAAACCAAAGGACGAGAAATTTCCCAGCAATGATGCAAGCTGGGGTCAAGGTACAGGTTGTGAGTTATAAATGCCCAGCTGCTGGGATTTGGACTTTCCCAAAGAGCCTCCTCTCCTCTGCGTCCCGACGCCATTAGGCAGCCGGGGTAAGACTTACGGCATTTTGGGTGGCTTCTCAGGCTATGGCAGCGAAGGCTTGAGCAGACACCTACTCTGACCAGGGTGTTGGACCTCAAGTCCAATCGCTTGCAGATGCATCTTTCGCTAGAATGATATATTTACATCATAGCGCGTGCAGATGGCTGATGCCACTAAATGAAAAATGCCGATCGATGCGGTTGGGAATCGGAAACAATTGGCCACTTGACGGGGCTGCAGGGTCTCTGCTCGTGTTCGTGCATGATACGAGGCTGACGCTTTCAACAATGATTCGCTGGGCGCCCGGGTTCTCTCATGCGATACCCCGGCCACAACCAGGGGTAAAAGCGCTCTGTCACTACACCACAGTGAAGTCAAAGCGTGGGTGTCGTGTGTTGTCGCTGCCATTACCTGAAAGTGAGGAGCCTAGGTAGTGCAATCCCAAGCGCACTATTCAGTGCGAGGCATCTACAAGACCAGATTTGTACCATGGTGTTGCATCGAGGCCGACATGCCTCATGTTTCCCCCGTTCCACTGTGTTCAGTACCTGTTCCGGTCCGCGGCTGTGGCTGAGCTCCTGGGTCGCACTGCGGCCCAGAAACAACCATGATGTGTTTCATGCGAAAGGACGATGTTTCTCCGTGCCTAAAAACAGGCTCCCACGAACTCAAGATCTGGAGTCAGAGCCTTATCGTGAATCCGATTCCGATGCCCCACTCCCCACATCGAGCCTAGACGATGGGAAGCTGCCATGCTTTCATCCTTCCATGCTTTAGGGATGCGTTGCGCGCCGCTCGAGGGACCTAGGGCAATTAGCTTAACGCATGTACCGAAAGGTGAATCCATGATGCAATTTTAATGTTCTATGCCGCAACCACTGAGAAAGCCTTTCCAGTACTCCCAGAAGTGCGAGTCTGACCCGTCAGTTGACCTTGAAGGGTCGCTGATCCTTCTTGGGTACTGTTATACGAGATGTGGCGTTGCCGGCAAACGAAGCCAGGTATGCTGCCCCTGGCTTTGTGATGATGGGGCATCTCACCACCAGTCTCCTTCTGACTAGCATATTGAACCCGAAAAGGCTGTCAACGATCTGCTGTTTTGGGAAGCCATGACATACGGTGAGTTGTAGCAGAGTAAGCTCAGGCGCCGACCGTACAGAAAAGAAGAAGCAGTTTTGCTCACTTTCTGCATGCCAATTGTCGAGGTTGTATTCCGCGCACAGCAACTGCTGAGGTTGAGAGAAATGTTTGCATGCATCAACGGCGATGTATTGGCGCTGTGCGTGTTGTATGTGTCATAGCCTTGTCTATCACTTGGGAATCAGGTAGCCTTGCGAGAGGCACGCTTGTGGGCAGCTGAATGCGACCGTTCCCGATTCGCACGTAGGGTGCACAGACCAGTCTGTGTGCCCTGTGACTCGCATGATGTGGCTTGAGTACTTTGCCAGACCGAAGCGGAGAGCGCCCTCTTCGCGATGAGTGGATGATGGCTTGTGGTTGTGGTTGTGTTTGATGCAGAGGAAGTTGTGGAAGCAGACTGCAGTGTCCTCCAAATAACTTGGCAGGCCTTGGTGCCTTGGTACCTTAGTGCCTGAGAAATCAGCGAGCCGAGGCGGTCAAATTACTGCCGCATCCGCCATCGTTTTGGTCCCCCCAGGAAGGGGGAACTTACCACCAACTTTCCACCACTGTCAACATCGGCGCTCCCTTGAGAAGTTCATGGTTCTAATGTGCTGTCCATCCATCGGCTCCTAGATTCCAGACAGGCTAGACTTACTTGAACATCGAGTCATCTTTGCATGCTGTCATCTCCGATTCTCTGATACTTAACGTAGTGTTCCTTCAAACCCGACTAGTGACGTGATGCCCCCCCCCCCAGTCGAACAAGAATAAGATATGTCGGCATCATGCTTGTGCTCGATCATGAGCGGCAATAAGAAATCTCACATATCCATGCAGTGATTAACAGGATTTGTGATCATGGAACCTAAGTCGCAGTGTCCAGCAGCACACCACCAACTTCAACGTCCAGGGCGGTGTTGGATCATCCAGGCACCAACTAAGCCGTTAGCTTCACACTAATGCTTGTCGCCTCAGTCGAACTCCTGACTAGTGCCTCATCCATGTCGACTTCTTACCCCTCGCAGAGCTCGCTGTGGTCGCGTCTCCTTCACATCGACGCGTTCCCGCCACATAATCACTCCAAAGGCAACGAGCATGCTCTCACATGCTCCCCACAACATGTCCTCACAACCTGCAAAAAAGCGCCGCTTCGGTGGCAAGCGATCGAAGACGGGCTGCCGCACATGCAGAATTCGACGAATCAAATGTGATGAGGCACCCGAGAAGTGCCGGAACTGTACGTCCACCGGACGCCTCTGTGACGGGTACGAAGCCTATCGCCTACCCGTGGCAGCCAAGCGCGGGAAGAACCTTTCCTTCTCGCTTTCTACCCCGGTCAACACCCAGATACGCTGGGTTGTAACATCCGATCAACGTCGCTGCTTTTCATTCTTTTGCGACCGCACCATCACCGATGCTCTGGGGTATTATGATTCCCAGCTATGGGAGCAGTTTGTCTTCCAGATGGCGAATATCGAGCCTGCAGTGTGCCACGCCGCCGTCGCCCTGGGGGCCGCTCACCAAGAAGTGGTTTTTCAGGGCATCAATTTCCCCGGCAATGGTAAAGCGGGACGAGGCGTTTGGTATTTCTACGCGCTGGAGGAGTCCGCTCGCGCTTTTGAGCTCCTCCGTCGGCGCAATCCTCAGGACCCGCAGATGCGGCAAGTCACGCTTCTCTGCTGTCTACTCTTCGTGTATTTGAGCCTCTTGCAACGAGACTATGACACTGCGTTCCGACATCTGCAAGCTGGCTTGCGGGTTTCCCAAGAGCTGAGATTAGGCCGCTGCAATCCCCTCTTTGGATCTTCACTCGTGGGCGGCGGAATGAACCCGCATCTCCTCGCGGCCTTCGCCCAGCTCGAAACCCAGTCGACGCATTTCAACCCTCGTGGGTGCTCCCAGCTCTGGGCCAACCAGCCGCCACGGGCGCATATCCGCCTCAGCAACGACTGCGACCGCGACTGCGGCCTACTCGGGCAAAGCATCGACGACTTACGCCTGGCCATGCAGCCCCTCGATAGTGCCATCAACCATTTCTTCCAGCGGTTAGGCACCGCGTCCGCAGAGGAAATCGTGGCCCACTACTCAGACTTCAAGGCGGCCCAAACCCACCTGCTCGCAGACCTTGAGCACGCCACACACTTCCTCGACAACTTTTGTGCCCTCAAATATGCCAGCCTCTCTCCGAAACACAAGCGCGGCGCCGACCTGCTGCGACTGCATCTGATGACCTACTCCGTGGGTCTCCGGATGTCCTTGATAGCGCAGCTCCCGCCCGCCCAGGCTCAGGCATTCTCAGCCGACCACGCGGCCATCCTCTCGTTGGCCCGCACGATCGTCGCCCAGTTCCCCGACCGGCCCACGATCATGGTGGACTCGGGCGTGATCCTGCCGCTGCAGGTCGTCGCCGACTCCTGTCCGGACCTGCACGTGCGCTGGCAGGCCATCCAGGAGCTCCGGGCCTGGCCGCACTACGAGGGCCCGTACGATTCCGTCCTCGCGAGCATCGTCTCCGGCGCCCGCTGCCGGCTCGAACTTCGGGCGCGCATCCGTGCGGAGCTGCGCAGTTCATTTGATACCGATGGCACGGTGGTAGGGAAGGAGCTCTTCGACAGGATGGTGGACGAAGAGCTGCGGGAGCGGGTGAGGATACTTGCTGTTCCTGGGGGCGATGATGAAGGCTTCCCCCAGGCAAGCGATCAAGCGGATGCGGAGCTCGCGCAGATCATGGCGTCGGCGTCCCTCGATAACTGGACGTGTATTCTTCACTTGAGGCGACTCATGAAATGAGATATTGTTAGCACCTTCGTATGAGGACACGATCATAGCGGGTTCTCCTGAGGTCGACAAGACTGTTTATCGACCAGGGGGAGGCAGTCCCGTCATGTGACTTGTCCACGCCCTGACGCCTGCCAGACTGATATGCAGACAGCAGCAAACTTTCAGGCATACATCCCACATAACCAAGCCTCGGTGCTCATCATCAATGTAATCATTGTCGGGTCTGTGTCGATGTCCCAGTAATTATGAATTGTCTCCAAGGCACGCTGCGCGGATGCACACCCACTCGTCGCATTTGGGCAGCTGCCCTCAAGAAGTAGGTCAAGAGAAGCTCCGATTGATAACTGAATGGAATAAGTGCGGCCTGTAACCGTTCGACCCCTGCAAAAACCACTTCCCGTCTCACCACGTACATGGCGTGTTTGAAAGACAACTGAACGGCCGTGCTTTGATATACCCGAGCGGAACTATTCCTCGGCAGTAGAAGCACAATATCGACAGAAATCATAGAAAGAGATCTCTAGAATAACTTTCGGTAGTGTACACGAGCAGAAATCATTCAAACCGTATGTTGACCAGGACAATCCAGCGGGGGACTTGTCGAGACCATCTGCGGTGGCCATGTCCACCGCATTGGACCCTCATTTTTGGCGCTCGGCACTTTTGCACCCCATTCAAATGGGAGGGGTGCAAATGTCTCTGACCATGACTAGCAGGCCGTCGTTAGCTTACGGGAACGGAATCAACAGTCAACGGGTCCATCACCATGGTGAAACACAAACACCAGGAGTGAATACGAGCCGGTCGGACATGGTCCGAACGGACAAACCCGGTGTCAACACCGGCTAGCCCTACTTTAGACGGGAGGCTGTTGACAGGATCTCCTATGCTCAACGCAGCAATGCCCTGGCAGCGTCGGAGATTACCACGCGTATCGAGCTCTGAGGGGCTCGAGCTAGACGTGTAAATTCGCACAAATCATGTTCGCAATACCACGGCCTGCTAAGCACTTTAAGGGTCTTGGCGTGCAACTTGGCCGCCATTAGTAAGCACAGTCACTCTTCATCCCGGTCTTTCTACTGAAGCTTATATTTAGAATTCTCGATCTTCACAACAAGCTTTGGCAATCTATCGCAGGACGAGCTCGAGGAACTAGATCACACTATCTCAATAGGACAGGTAAGTAAGGCGTTTGTGAATAATTGCTCGCCCAACGGGCCTGCAAAATCCAGTTGTTGTGTGAAACGCAGTGGAGCAGACAGTGGGGAGGGTGCGTGGGTAGTGGGTACACCCAAAACGTTCAGTGGAATCACGATTGGGATCGTGTCCCACTTCACAAAGCATGATTCATGACATGTAGTCTAAGTAAAATTAAGTGTTCAACTCTAGCTCGGTCTGAGTCTAAGCTAAAGGAGAGGGGGGGGGGGGGCAAAAGCCTGCAGGAGTGACACCAGGGATGAGAAATTCCACGTGTCGACGACTGCCAATCTCCACCCCTGGCAAACTGAAACGATGCTCAGGCCTTGCACTCCTGCAACCGTTGCACACTACAAGGAGCAAAATCCAGACTCATATAGACGGATTCGCCGTCTCATGATTGCCCCCGTCTCCGGTCCTCCCCCTCTCGCTTTCTTTCCTCCCCCCCCCCCCCCCCCCTGCAGGTTCGCCCTCGAAATTCTTTCTCCTTCGCCAATGTAATCCGTCTTCTCCAATTCCTTCTTGGAACCTTCCCTCGCCTTTCTCTTCTCCGTCCGGTCTCTCCTTTTGCATCTTTTCCCGACGGTTAGCTGGTCTTCCCGCCCTCCATGGAAGAGATCTGGGAGAGAGATCTCTCGCCGGAGCGGATCGCCTACCTGGCGCAGTCCCGAATCCCTGGCATCATCGCATGCAACACGATTCTCCTCGTGTTCGCGACGGGAGGGCTGCTGGTGCGGCTGTTTGTGCGCGTCCGATATCTGACGGGGATCAATCTGGATGATGTGCTGTGTATAACCAGCTGGGTGGGTAGCCTGTCTTCTGGGCATCGCGATCCCCTACCGTCGATCACTAACGTCACTCTACTCGAAATCGTCTAGATCTTCACGTTCGCCCTATGCTTTACCACGATGTGGAGTAAGTACACATGTACCTCCCCGAGCAAGAAAGACAGTACGATCGCATGCTAACCGCGCCGGCCCTCCCGCAGTGACCAGATACGGCTTCGGCAAGCATATCGGCACGGTGACGAGCTTCAGCGCTCGATCCATGTTCCTCAAGGTAGGATTCCTGCCTTCCAATCTCGCTCGGAATTGCGACCAACCATACCTAACAACCACTATTCTTTTCCATCAGCTCGACTTCGTCACGATGCTCACCTACGTCCTCGCCCTGGGCGCCATCAAGATCTCCTTCTGCGTGCTGTACCTGCAGATCTTCCCGGGCCGGAAATTCCGGATCGCGTGCTGGTGCCTGCTGGCGATCCTGATCGGCGAGACGGTCGCGGAGACGTTCGTGGTGATCTTCCAGTGCATCCCCGTGCACAAGGCGTGGGACGCGACGGGGCTGGTGGAGGGCTACTGCGTGAACATGACGGCGCTGTACTACTCGAACTTCGCGATCAAGCTGGCGACGGACCTGGCGATCTTCATCATGCCGATCCCGAAGCTGTGGCAGCTGAAGATGACGCGCGGGAAGCGGATGGGGCTGGTGGTGATGTTTAGTTTGGGGTTGTTGTATGTTCCTCTCCGTTGCTTTTGGGCTATGTTCCCCGGTATCGATGCAAGCAACTGACCAATATTGATGGATACGGCAGGGTCTGCGTCACAAGCATCATCCGCGTCTCGTACATGAACTCCTTCGCCGTCGACCACACCTGTACTTATCCCCCCAACCCAGCACTCTCATCCATATCGCAACTGCTAACAAGGCAAAGGGTCAATGGTCAACACCGAACTCTGGTCCTGCGTCGAAGTCGCCGTCGCCCTCTTCATCGCCTGCATCCCCAGCTTCAAGACCATCATCACCCACCGCTTCCCCGTGCTGCAGCGCCTGCTGGGCCTCTCCAGCGAGGGCGACTCCGCCGGCCCGTCCAAGATGTACGGCACCGCCTCGCGCCGCACCTTCCCGGGCCACGGGCCCTCGATGAGCATCAAACTCCACAATGTGACGGGGCCGGGCCACAGCAGCAGCAGCAGTCGCGCCGAGGCGGACACGGGCAACGAGTCGCAGGAGCGCTTCATGTTCCCCGAGGGGATCCACGTGGTGACGAAAGTTAGTGTTAATGAGACGGTCTGATTCCTTTTCCATTTTCGGAGATCATTGTCGTAGACACGGCTGGTGGGGCGTTTGGGTGGGTGATAATAGATTACTGTACGATTTGGCGCTGGCTGTTCACTAGTGGGTAGTCGTAGATCTAGCCAGTTGGCTGTGGGAGTGTTCGTTCCGTTCCCGTGTCGAGGCCTGTCCGAAGTAGTCCTGTCCTCGGAGCACGGAGGTACAGCGGTAGATAGATAGGGCTTTCGTCCATCGGACCAGTCCTGGTCGGTGTTCGGTGGATGCTGCGGAGTGGGTCCTCTGCCAAGAAACAATTCAAAATTGATTTTCACTCGTAGAATCCTAGACTACCCCTTGGCTAGCGGCCATGAATTTGATGGCATTTTTCCACGACCCGTGGATCCTTGGGGCTCACGGGGGGCCCGGACAATATACTCTAATCAGGTTAACATCCGCGCTAGTGGCCTTGCGGACCTTGTCGGGATGGGCTGATGGGCTGATGGGTTCGAGGACTTTGGGATCCCGCTCTATGCTATGGGAGCTGTTAGTCAATGAAATGGCGCTTGTTTCCCTTGCATTGGGCAAGCTGGGTTTGTCTTGACGGGTGGATGCTCCAGTGTTTAAGTTGGTATTATTTGTTCAAGCTAACCAGTTATCAATAGATTTTTGGGGGCGAAAGGATGCAGGGCCTTGACTTGTCGTTCTGGACTGTTGATTGCCACTACTGCACGTCTTGCAAGCTCTGGGCAACTGACTGAGTGGCAAGCACTGCAAGACAACTAGACTGTAAAGATGGAGTTAATCTACATCAAGCACGCTAGTGCCGCACCAGGCGAAAGTCTAATTGGGCGTGTGTCCCGTCTTGGCAGGGATCGGCCGTCGGTCCAAGGCTGGCTGGCAAGTTCAGTGCCTTGGTGCCTGCCTGGTACTTACATAGTAATCTTGCTACAAGATAGATCCAATGTGTGGGCTGGAGCTAGTTGGCCTTATATCGAGAAGTCAGTCTACTGCGCTGGCTTAGGGAGAACTGTACTCCGCAGTTTATCCCGCATTTGCCGCTGTTTCTTCACTTGTGGGACAGGTCGTGTGCGCGAACCCTGTTATTGGGAACCCCTAAAGCATCGGTTGTCCTTACAAGCTGTGTATAGCACAATGCATACCGCACAGGCATTGCGCGGCGATGGAACTCACAGTTCCCAGTCCTCCCTCTGCACAGTCTGGTCCAGCGAGATCAGGTTTACATGCATACGTCATAGCACCAGGAACAGAGCATCAGAGACCCCACTACTTTAGAAAAATCGACAAGGGTCACCCCCAATGAGACAATTCAATGATCAACAATCTCTCGATTGCGTCAGCCTCGCGCAATCGCCCACACCGGCGCAAACAGGTATAATATACCATATAATATAGTCCTGCCTCGAGCACCGACGGATCCTGCCCAAGGAACAATGGTTAGTGCCGTAGTGGACGCGTTGCGCTTGGCCTGACTTTCTGCGGGGGGCGCGCGTCGGTCACCGAGGCTACAGGGAATCTGAGTCACGGCAAGGAAGGCACGGAACAGATCGCGGTCCCAACCTCCCTGGCCTACGAACCATACCCATCGGGTTTTCTTTCCCTTTGATCTCAACGACTCTATTCTGCTGTATTGGGGTGGTTATAGTGCGAGTCCCGAACGGAGCGCACATCCCATGTATTGCGCAACTCAGAGGCTAATAGATCGGATTTCAGTGTGCTACAGCACCAGCTTGATGAAGGTACATTAATTCAGCGGAGGGCTGCAGGGGTGAATGAACTCTTCAGCACGAATGGACGCCTCTACCGAGAGATTCTTTGGTAGATGCTGACCACGTCCGTGTAACGCGCCTCTAGCGTCAGCGCTGCTCGCGATGCTTCTCGTTCCCGCTGTGGAACAACGTCTGTGTCTATCGGCAACGGGAGATGAAGTCTGAGGACATGAGCAACGTCTAGCCATTCTTGGAGAATATTGGTGCAAGGTGTTCGTTGGTCTACGGCTGTTGCTGCTGCTGCTATCAGGCTAGAAGCGTCTTGTGGCCACAAACAGCGAATGAACCCGGCAAGGTATAGTTTTATGTCTGAGGCGGGAGGCTGCGCCCAGTCGGAGGATAAGTAGGTGTCACGGTCATGGACTACATCTCCATTTACAAGTCTTGACCCACAGTGCGCAACCATCAAGCCTTCCGCAAGGCCGGAACTACCCTCGGGTAAGAAGCAGATCGAGTAACGTCCACAAATCCATACTGTGTATCAGCCAAAGTCTAACAGCTCACAAGAGTGAGAACACTCCACGCTCGATCAAAACCCATATACAATGCACCCGAGACTCTACATTATCCACAAAGGACAAAGCCAAAACTCACAATCCCAATGCGCAGTGTCTCATAACGAGTTCAAAAACTGCGCCACCAGCTCGTACGCCTCCTGCTTGGCCGCCGCCCCCGTCGTGCCCTCCTTGGCCCGCTTGTCCCACCCATGCGGACAGTGCTCCATGCGCTTGAGCACGACATTCCGGCCGGGCAGCGCCTCGACCGCCGCGGCGATGCGCTCCATCTCCGGCGCGTAGGGATCCTGCGCGGCGGTGATGGCGGCCAGGTTGCGGGGGAAGCGCTCGGGGGCCGCGAACGCAGGCGAGATGCGGGGGTCGTCGGCGTCGCCGTCCCCGTCCGGAAAGTAGCAGCGATGAAAGAACCGCGACAGGCCGGCGGGCATCTTGAGGCGGGTGCCGTCGTCCGGGGCGGCCTTGTCGGCGAAGTCCTCGGCCAGGTCGCACGAGGGGTAGAAGGCGATCGTGGCGTGGATGGCGGCCTCCGGCGGGAAGTCGCGCACCGCCGACACGGCCAGCGCCAGGTTGGCCCCCGCGCTGAAGCCGGAGAGCGCCACGCGGCCCACGTCGAAGGTCGCCGGGTCCTGCTGGACGTGCTGGATCACGTCCTCCACGTCGTGGAACGCCGCCGGGAACGGGTGCTCCGGCGCCAGCCGGTACTGCACGTCCACCACCGTGTACCCCGTGTGCGTGGCGATGAACCGGCAGTACTCGTCGTCCGTGCCGTGACCGGCCAGGATGAATCCGCTGCCGCACATGTTGATCAGCACGGGGCTGGGGCTGGGGCTGGGTGTCGTGGGCTGAGTGTCCGGGGACGGCCGGTAGATGTGCACCTTGATCGTGCGACCCGCGTCGCGCGATGGCCATTTCGCCGTTTCGTCCGGGTGCGAGCGCGTGAGGGTGCCCATCGCCGCGCGGCCGACGCCGCGGAGTAGCTTGGCTGCCCAGGTCTGGGAGGTGCCTGTCAGACCCATTTTTTTCTTCGGAGGCAGAGAATGTGTGGACTCTAGGTGGGCTCTCCAGGTGTATGTTTTCCAGAACAAGGAAGATTTCTCCGAGATAGTGGGAGATGCACTGATGCAGGGACGATGACTAATGGGCGTATGTTCAGTTTTACTGAGTGCAGTGACTGAACGGGAAATCCGGATTCCAGCAGGCGGGGTGCGCTCGATGACGTCGCTTCCTCCCCGGCTCGGGGATTTCGGCTGCGGAGAGCTTATCTTACCGCCCACCTTATCTTATCCGACACCACGGCACAGCCCCGGAGACGAGATCGTTGATGTCATCCTCCGCCCTCGGCGATTCATGAGTTTATCATCAGAAAGCAATTTGTTTACTAGATGAAGGGTGTTTGTCGGGTTGTTTGGCTGTGATGCTATACACCTGCGGAGTATAATGTATTCAGGACTATCTTTACATGCTGTCTTAGGTACCAATATCCCTATGTATATTCTGGAATGTACTAGTCTGCTAGCGACTGGGCCTGTGCAGACTGCGTGACTGGAAATGACTACAACAGGTGGCAATCTTGCCCTACCAGCTCGACCTAAACGAACGAAATGTATCGAGATGAGCTCGAAATACGGATAGACATCTGCAATCTATAATGTCCCAAGCCGAACAGGATTGAACCCGTCAACCTGAGAAACCAAACACGCATCAGACAAAATCAAAGAATGCACTGTACTTAGTATTATGTTCACTCTGGGAACGCATTCACTCAAACCACCACCCACCAAATCCGCATCCACCACACAGCCCCTCAAAGCCCCCTCGCACTCAGCGCCGCCTTCATCGTCTTCTGGAACCCAAACACATTCTCCGGCGAGATCATCGTGTAATGCGACCCCTGCACCTCATGGAACCGCGGCTCCGACCGGGTAAAGTCCCGCCAGAGACTGATGAACTCGTTGAACCACTGCTCCTTGCCCGACGCCACCTCCTTGATCGGATTACAGTAGAAGACGTCCATGCTCGCCACCGAAGGCGAGGGCTCGTAGTTCACCGCGAGATGGTGCAGGTTCTGCCCGACCTGGGCCCAGTTCGCCAAGGCGGCGGGGGAGAGGGCCAGCTCTGCGAACCGCTCCTGATCGATCTCTCCAAGCACACGAGCCAGGATCTTGTCCCTGTCCGAGATCTCCTGGAACTCGCTGCCCAGATCCACGCGTTGACGCTCCGACAGCAACTCCAGGAAATTGCACAGATCCAGCAGCGCCGTCTTCCAGTCCACCTGGCGCATCCGCTCCTTGATGTGCGGCGGCAGGTTGAACGAGCCCAGGAATTTGACCGTGTCGCCGGTGCGCTCCAGCAGCTTGGCTAGCTCGAATGCCACCATCCCCCCGTATGAGTACCCGGCCAGTGCGTAGGGGCCCTGCGGCTGGTGGCGTTTGATTGCGCCGTGGTATTGCTGGACCATGTCGGGCAGGGAGGTTGCCAGAGCTTCGCCGTCGTTGAACCCCGCTGCGCGCAGGGCGTAGATGGGCCGGTCGGTGAAGTACTTGGCTAGGTTCATGAAGGCCATCACCTCGCCGATGCCGGGATGGGCGAGCCAGATGGGGAGTTTGGATCCGCGGCGTTGCAGGGGGACGACGGGGTCGTATGTTGAGTTTGGTGCTGAGGAGGTGGAGGCGGAGGTGGACCCGCGGAGCACTTTGGCCAGATCCCGGACGGTGGTGTTGCGCATCAGCGTGCTCAGTGGGATGCTGCCTGGCTGGATGCAGGTGAGGTCTCTCTCCACGTGGCGCTTCAGCTTGATCAGCTCGATCGAGGTGATCCCCAGATCGAGGATGGAGGTCTGCACCCCGAACTCCTCTTCCGTGGCGTGGTCGACCGAGTGAATGAAGATGGCGAGCAGTTGGCGTTCCAACTCGTCTCGGGGTTCTTGATCCGTGATCTTGCGGAACAGGGCGAATCGCTCCGCGCTTTCCTCGGCCGCGCTCCGGTACTCGCCCCGCTCATATGCTGCCTTGATCTGTGCGCGTGGCAGCTTGCCCAGCGAGGACTTCGCGACGCTGGTGCGACTCAGCGGCAGGACTTGGGGCCGAGAACCGGTCATCTCCAGGCATGCTTGTCGGATGGCAAGGACCGTTCGCACATGGGCCTCGAGATCCTCGCGCTCGTACGATGGGAGGTAGACGATGACGATCTCCTCCGTGTGTCCGTCCGATGGGAGGGAGGAGAAGCAGCACGCCGAGCCGTAGGTCAGCTGCGGGACCGCCTCATACAGCCCGGCCTCGATATCGGTCGGGTTATATTTGATTGCATTGATGTTGAGGACATCTTTCACCCGGCCTTTGAGGAGCAGATGACCATCCTCAGTCTCGTCGATCATCGCCAGATCCCCCGTGACGAACCACCCGTCACTCGTAAAAGAGGATCGTGTGGCTTCTTCGTTGCGGAAATAGCTCCGGAACACCACCGGACCGCTCACTTCCAGATGGCCCAGTGTCCCCGCTGGAACGGGGACGTTGGTCCCGGTGCCATCGGTGACTCGAACCCGAATGCCAGCCATGCACCGCCCCAGTGACGCGATCGCGTAGCCATGGCGCTGGTCGTGCTCGGGGAATCGGGTATTGAAAATCGCACCAGCGCAGGTCTCGGTCATCCCGAAGCCGGGGACAATCACATTGCGTGGTGCCCCGTAACGAGAAAGCAGGTTGGCGACTTCTTCGCACATCTGGGTGGTGTTGGCCTCCCCGCCGGAGGTGAGGTATTGCAGAGAGCTCAGGTCCCAGCCACCACTTGCGTGGCTTTTCCCCCCTGGCGTCTGCTGCTGCAGCGTAGCATGCATTCGCGCGAGGAAGAAGTTGGGAGCGAATGTCCAAGCCACGCGATGTCGCTCGACAAGGCTGAGCAAGTGTCCAGGGTTCATCAGGACATCTGGTGCCTCGACGAGGACTTGACTGTGCCCTGTGAAGATGGCTTGGAGATGGATCTCGACTAGCCCGGCCACGTGGTCTAGTCCGACCCAGCTCAGAAATGTCGTGGACGGAGCGATGGGCATGATACCATGTTTGCCAGCGACGGCCGCAGTGATCTGCTCGTGGGTGAGGGCAACCGCTTTGCAGCTCCCTGAACTTCCGGACGTGAGCATCAGCACGGCGGTCGCATCCGGATGAGGGCTTTGGGCAGTAGCCCTAACTGCATCATCCGAGATGTGTATATTGCTGTCTTCAACGTGCAGCTTGTCAACACAGGTCGGCACAATCGACTCTTGGCCCTCAAATGCAGGCAGCATTCTGGTCGAGGTCAAGCATGCTGGGGAGCTGAGGAGCTCAGACAGATGTTCCAAGTGGGTCAGCCGTCGGTTGGTGTTGTCGGGGAAGGGCGTCGACATCACGGGAATATACCCGGCCAGCAGCGACGCCCAGAGCCATAGTACCCGGTCCCAGTGGTTATCGAAATGCAGCAGGACGATGGACCCGGGTTTGAACTGCAGAGCAGAGCCGGCCTGCCGTGCTAGACGTAGCAGCCGGGCATAGGATATCATCACCGGCTCGTCTGGGTTCCCAAGCGGGTAGATAAACAGCGCCCCGCCATCTGGACTGGCAGCAGCAGCCTCCAAAGCTTGTTGAAGTGTCTGTATCATCATCGCTGAGGAATAATACTAAATACTTAGCTAGACTGAATGATGAGGTTAAACCTAGGACAGGTGCTTACTTAAGTGCTTCAATTGGTTGATTTGTTAGATAGTGAATAATCCTTGGATGGGAGACGGGCTAAAAAGAAACTCTGCTAGACAAGCTTTTGCACAGATAACGATGGAGGTGGAGCGTCAAGAAACTATGCCAAGTGCACATCGGTGGAATTTGAATCCTTGATATACCTTGGTACATACGCATAACAAGCCGATATCCGCAACCCCATTGGGTTTTCTACATACTAGAAATCGCCATGACGTCTGGGTACTAGGGTATTCTTCCCTACGAATTCTCGTGATGTTACCTCTAGAAGCACAAAGACAAGGCTTCTATCGTATTCGATTACAAATCCACACTATCGAAAGACCAAAAAGCCCCGATGTTACGACCATTTCAGCCGCATGTGCAACCGTTCGATTGCGAGTATCCGAGTATCCCGAGTTGGTTGGATGCTGCACACGCCTCGGTCAGAGAGGAGTCACGCGGCCGTCTGAATCGTGCACCACGGTGAGAAACGATATAAGACTAGCGGTCAGAGCAGGACGAGCTAGAGGCGTTTAGCCCGCCTAAAGGTGGCGATAGTGATACTATTTTCTGGCATCTCTTCACAGCCTCACCCTCTTCACCAGTCTGATAAGTGCTGCTACTGAGGCACCATGTCCGTCTCCGATCACGATCTCATTCGCAATGCCATCGCTCACTGGCCACTGGCTCTGGACCAAGCAGATCCCCGCCTGTTGAGCGAATCCTTCACACCGGACGCCGTGATTTACTACCCACCGCCTGTGGGCACACTCCAGGGCATCGACGGGTTGAAGGGCCTAATGGAAGCACACTTCCAGGGCGTCACGACGTACCATTGCTCGGGCACGCAGGTCATCCAGTTGCAAAGTCCCGTCACGGCTACCGCCCGGACCTACGCCATCGGCATACATTTCTTCCCGGGGGAACTTGGCAGGACACCGCGGAGGATCTATGGGTACTACGATGATCGTCTGGTGAAGGGCGCGGAGGGATGGCGGATTGCGGAGCGGAGGGTTGTAGAGCACCTACCCATCAATGCCTTCTGAGGGTGACTTGGGGGGAGGAGGAGGGTTGCCAGATTGCGACATGCAATGGAGAGTAAGATTTGATATCGTCCGGCTCAGCTGTTGGTAGGGTGTTGTGTCCGGGATTCGCCGCTGTCATGTTGGGCGCCTATTCACTCAGCGTCGTGGATTATACTCTGAGAATGAACCTGATATAGCACCAGCCCAACGTGTGTAACCTCCTCCGTAAAAATTGCAGGGTGTATCCCTGCGCATGATACTTGCCACTTAGCCTGAGGGATATGTCTATCTCGAGCGATTTGTCTAGCAGAGCCCGATGTGATACCAACCTGTGAGCACATACGAGAAATTCTTCCGTGCGTTCCTCGATAACCTTGCAAAACCATATTTCGCCAGTGAGTCGTCGGGATATATGTAGTCAATTGGAAGATAGCCACATCCGGTCAATGCAGTCTTCAAGTGAATCTGGTAACGTGGTACGACGAAGAGACTCTCGTATAATTTGTAAGCATCAATGTGGAGAAGGCAGGGGTACCCCAGCACCGCAAAGCTTATCTTCCGTCAGCGACAGCATGTACTTACGGAGTTGCTCCACTCCGGCTGTGTCATCCAGCGATTTCGAATCCTGGGGGTGAGTGTTGTATGCGTCAGGTGCGGCTCTGCGATGTACTTGACTCCTCCGTAAAAGGTTCTCTACCTTGTGAGCTACACAAGACGCAGGACTGGACGTAAAGTCTTCCAAAGTAGGATGGATATTGTCATAGGCAAGGAACTTGGACATGAAAGCTAAGAAAAAAAAAACTGCCGTATGAGAGGCTCTCAAATATGGTCAACTTGATAAATCAGCAGGGTCAATATTCAACCTAATGTAGCTATCTATAGCCCGTAGATAGAGATTAATAGGAAAACCGATACCCACAACCTGGAGCGCTGAAAGCAAGGCCTCACTAGTCTCAACCACCGCGAGTGGCTTCGAACGTGGTGACAAACCCCGGAGTCAGAAATCAGACAGTGCCTTTGCAATCTGGGCAGGTAATATGACCCCGCATCGCAGGACTCTCAGCACTGTGAAGAACCCATTCACCTGTACCTTGTAACACTTTTCGTTTGCGATGACTAGCAAGAGCGTCAGAACACGAGCATCGTGTCTGTCAAATATGCTAGTTTTTTACTGTCTGGGAAGGAAATGGAATGTATTCGCTTAACAGAACTCGAATCTCAGGTGTTGTGTTGGCCACCAAAAAACGGCAACGCTGTTGTCATCAGCAGGGGGCTTTCTGTCTACGTGAAGGTTGTTTTAGTCTTTTGTAGCATTACCTACTACGACTTCCAGTATATCACAAGCTCACTAAAAGTGGCATCGGGTCAAACGGGCTATTGTGCAACTAGAGGCGGGAGAAGGCCACGGTTATAGAATGGATATGCATACAACTGTATAGATGAATCTTTCTGCCTGCAATCGAATGCTAGACATGGACCTTCTGCCACCGACACAAACTGTAAACTGTCTTGCTAGAGCCCCTGCACAAGCGATGGTACAATAGAATATATCTTGTGTTCGCAAATTTTGCTTGAATGAAATATAAGACTTCCACACATATCAGATGCTAGCTCACGCTGGTCCCTCCCCTGCCTAGGATATTTAAACAACACGTATCCATTGGTGACCTGGCTTTCCGAAGCCATTGATCTGAACCTATCTCCAAAGAAGTCATCTCCCCTCAACGAAGCAAGACAAAACCGCAGCGCATAACAGGATGTGTCAAAAAGCGACAATAAGCATACTACCCTTCCTAACGCCAATGCCCCCGGACGAGATCTTCGACCTGAATCGTGCCTACGCCAAGGACGATAGCCCACGCAAGGTGAATCTCAGTCTAGGAGCCTATCGCACGGACGACAGCGAGCCTTGGCCTCTGCCAGTTGTACAGGAAGCCGAGAAGCGTCACTTGGCAGAGGTCGACCGATCTCGGCATGAATACACGTCCATTCAAGGCGACGTAACCTTCCTTGAGCTGGCCAGGGACTTGCTATTTGGCTTCAGCAGCCACTCCTCATATAGCGAGAAGCAAAATGCAATCAAATTGCGCATTGCCTCCGTGCAGACTATCGCAGGCACTGGTGCGAATCACCTCGGGGCCCTATTCCTGGCATCACACCTGAAACCCCGAGCCGTCTGGCTCTCGGATCCCTCGTGGGACAATCACCAAAGAATATGGGAGCTGGTCGGCGTCCCCTGCAAGAGCTACCCTTACTACTCGTCTTCCACTCGTTCGCTCGATTTCGCGGGGATGATGTCCACTCTCGAATCCGAGGCGCAGGAGCACGATGTTATCCTTCTCCAAGCCTGCGCCCACAACCCGACCGGGCTGGATCCCAGCAAAGAGCAATGGAAACCCCTGGCAAACTTGATCGAGTCCAAGCGTCTGTTCCCTTTCTTTGATTCTGCGTACCAGGGCCTGGTCTCTGGATCCGCGTACAAGGACAGCTGGCCGATTCGGCACTTCCTGGCCGAGAAGCCCAACATAGACTTCTGCGTTGCACAAAGTCTGTCCAAGAACTTTGGCCTATACGGGCAGCGAGTCGGCGCGTTCCATTATGTTCTTGGGGAAGGGATACGGAATGCCCCTGATGTCATCGTCAACAACCTTTGTCATCTCATCCGCAGCGAGTATTCGGTCGCCCCCACAGCGGGCAGTAGACTTGTCAAGACGATATTGTCTAATTCTGGAATGAACGTGCAGTGGAAAAGCAATATGAGGACGATGAGTCAGCGTCTGACAGCCATGCGACAAGCCTTATACGATGAGCTGATCCGGCTCGATGCACCAGGCTCGTGGCGGCATATCGTTGAACAGGTTTGAGTCCCGATCTTGATTTATCCCGACACACGAGCTCTGACTAACCTCCTGTACCTTGTAGAACGGCATGTTCTGCTACACGGGCCTGAACCCGGCGCAGGTCGAGGTTCTGAAGATCAAATACCACATCTATTTGCTGAAATCTGGGAGGATATCGATCAGTGGCTGTAAGTTACACTGCGCCCGAGTCATCTCTCCTGTCCGATCACGAGCACGTCTTGCGACCCTTGATTTCCACGAGTTTTCTAATTTTTTCGAGGGCAGTGAGCACCAAGAACGTCGAATACGTCGCTAGAGCAATCGACCAAGTGGTGAGGACTGTTGAGAGGGTTTAAAGCTTGCAGGTTACCGCAGCATGGTTCGCGGGCGCTTCTCTCCTCGTCATCGTCATATTGATCCACTCAGCTCACACGAGATCCTGTTTCACGACTGACTAGAGTCGGATTTAGAACCGAGTGTGTGCAACGTCAACATGAGAATGCTCGAGTGAAAGGGATCAAGGGTCTGGAAAACGTGTTGGGAGGCGGAGGGGTACATATATACGAGCGGTGCGACGTATGTTGACTGGATGCAAAAAGCAATATGAAAAAGTGGCCCGATTCGAAATAGATGGCATGACACGATGGGCACGGTGGAGTATTGTCCGGAAGAATCGTGCTATCTCGGCTCGGCCATTCCGATCGCTACTTGACACTCGTTGCTTCTGTTAGATTCGTATGCCATTGCCCTGCCATACCTGACTTCTACCTACACGTGGGATCCCCTGAGACCCTGCATACAATGTCATACCGCTCCTTTTCTTTTCGGAATTACTCGTTCTTCCTACTATTACCCTTTTCTATCTTGCATATTTTGTCGTGGTTGCATGGAAACATTTATTCGGGGAGCCCTATCGTTGTAGATGCGCTTGACAAAACGCTAATATCCCATAAGTTCCAGGAAGCTGAGTGAATACTCCGAGAGCTGAGTTAGACCCAGCCAGCCCAATCTTTCAACTCGTTTATATGAAAGCACCATTGGCTGGCCCGTTCACGAGGATAAATTACTACGCTTGGCAAGAGAACAGGGTAAGCTCAGGTAGACCGATGACATTCATAATATCGTGAGATGGAGCTGAAGATTAATGCTTCAGACTGGAAGTATCTGGCTGTGCGTAGATGATATAAACTGCTTCATATCTGCCGCACAACATACAGGTCGGTGACCCGCATCGTGCGATCTGTCAACATATCTCGATTATTTTCACAACTCGGTAGCATACTTCCACAGCATGGCAACCATGGCGCAAGGCAGTCTACCCACCGCACCATCTCCATACATCTCTCTCAGTCAGTCCCTACTCTTCCACACCCAGGATGAGCATGACTGGTGGCACCGTGCGGCGCCCGTTCTCGCCCGAATGCTGCAGAACGCCGACTACGAGATCCACAAACAGTACCAGTACCTGGCCTTCTTCGCCCAACATGTCGTTCCCGCGCTGGGTCCATCTCCGGCCAACCCGCGCCCCAACCTCTACCGGGGTGTCTTCAACCTCGAGTTCAGCCAGAACTTTCAGGAGTCAGGCTGCATCACCCGCCTGGCCTTTCTCCCCGTGAACTACCTCGCCGGGGTCCCCGGCAAAGACCCGTTCAACCGACTCTCCACCCCCGAGGTGCTCGCCCGATACGCTCAGATTGACGGCATCGATCTCGACCTTCAGCTCTACCAGCAACTCGTCAGCGACCTCACTCTGAACAAAAAGGAAGAAAACCACTTGCTGTCCAAGGAAGGCCCCTTGCCGCCGGTCTTCAAAACCCAGACCGGCATCGCCCTGGACCTAAGCAAGGAGGGCAAGATGACCGTCAAGCTGTACACCTTCGTCGTCGGCAAATCTATGGCGACGGCCACGCCGGCGTCGACGTTGGCCCTCGACGCCGTCCGCACGGTGGACCAGGGTGCCGCCAGCCGTTTCGAAGCAGGCATGCAGCCCATCCAGGCCTTCCTAGACGAGAAGCAGGGCACCCCGGACGCGATGATACCCGCGTCCCCGACGTCCTTCCACCCGCGCGGCATGATCCAGTTCGGCTGCGACCTAGTGGATCTCGCGCGTACGCGCTTCAAGTTCTACATCCACGACTACATCGTGAATACGGACCGACTGGCGGAGCTGTGGACGCTGGGTGGCAGGTTGCGGGAGCGCGACTGTCCCGGCATCGAGAAAGGGCTGAGGATCCTGCACGAGCTGTGGTCGATCCTCCAGGTCCGCGAGGGGTATCATCTGCCGTTTGCCTGTGCGCCGAAGGCGGGTGAGCGGGGGTCGGTCGTGACTCCCGATCCAGCCAGGATGATTGCTACTAGTAGTCCTACTACATCCAAGCCACAATTCTACTACGACCAGCAGTTCCTGATCGTCAACTACGAGATCCACCCTGGCGACCCCTGGCCCGTGCCCAAGGTGTACTTCCCGCTGTTTGGCATGACGGAGGATGCGGTCATCGACGCGGTGGTCGCGTTCTTTGAGCGGCTGGGGTGGGCGCAGCAGGCGCGCGTGTATCGGGAGAATATGGTCGCTTGCTTGTGAGCTATCCTTTTCTTCTCTTTGGGTACCGTTTGTTGGCTATTTGTGGTAACCCGATACTGCTGGTAAGAGACAAGAATGACGTACTGACATCGTCTTGCACGCAGCTCGACTCGCGACTTGGAGAAGACGACGGATATCCAGGTCTGGCTCTCATTCTCCTATTCCCCTAAGAAGGGGCCGTATACTACTGTGTATTACCGAAGCCTGTGAGCGCCGAGGATGGTTGGAAGGGTGGATGGTTGAGCGTTTAATTGCAGTCTGGATTGTTACCTTTCAGCTGGCTATGTGTGTACTTTCGGTTTTATGATTTAATAATGAAGAATGTACTTCGATTCCGTAGTTCGTGGCCGCATCGGATTTACTAAATCTCGCTAGGAATCATGAACTTGTAGTGTTATGGTTTTGCAATCAGTAGTGGGCGGGGAATCTCAGGATTTGTTCTCTCCTAGCTACAGCCTGCCTTTCATTAAATGGAAGGGCTTAACTCTAGGTCCCAATTCGTCCGAGGGTCTCCGAAAAAGTCCTTTGTTCATCATCAACTGATTGTATCACTTCGAGCAATGACTTCGGTTAATTTTTTTATGACAAGCTGTGGAACATCCTGCACGAGATAGACTACACTAAATCGTGACTCACAACAGAGAGACGAGTGGAGGACTAAGTAATTCTAGCTACAAAAATACTCAGATCGTAGCAAGCTTAGTCAACCTAGGGTTTGAATGTCCGCATCTAGTCTACTGTCCTGCCTCGAAAAATACGGAGGAGTGAGTCGGCAAGCGTCGCGTCACGCAACCTGCGTCATCGTCCATATCAGTTCAGAATATCTCGTAATCAAGCCCAACCATCACACAAAAGTCTACACCCGACAGATTCCCTCCTCATCCCAATCCTCACTCCCGACTCCCATCCGCACAATGAACAACCCATCGGGGTCCCACCTCTGCTTGACCGCATACAACCGTTCGTAGTTGTCTCCCCAAAATGCTCGCCGGGAGTCTGGCTGCTCGATATCGACAACATTGTAGTATACCCCTAGCGAGGGTACCTGCAGAGCCCTCACAAATGGCAATTGACTATTGACCATCGTCTTCGTCAAGGATGTTGGTGGCAGCGTCCGTCGAATCGTCAGCAACAGCTCAGCCTCGCGCCACCCAGGGAGCAAGGCGCTCTCGATGACGTCCTTGTTGGCTTTGACCTGCCCACCGACTGACATCAGGATCTCCACTGAGTCTCCCACTATATACTCCAGATGGGACAGCACGTTCATTATATGAGAGGTCCCATTGGGAGAGAAGAAGAGATCCTCGGAGATCAGCACCGATCCTTCGACGAGTCCGTAGCCGCCCCCGTTAAGCTGGCGCGGGATGTTGAGCCAGGCGGACATCTCCGGGTACACGGTCAATTCGGAAGTGTACGCCGAGGATAGACCCTGAGCCTCGAGAGCATCATGCATCATGTCGAGGCGTTGTTCGATCGGCCCTGTATCGCTGGTGTTGACGAAGAGTACGTGGGCCTCCAGCACCGCGCGATCCTCCAGGAATCGCGGCACGATGATGGCGCTGGTCTTGTTGTCCAGGCGCTTTAGCGCGGGCAGCAGGTTGGTGAGCTCGGCGGTGATGGCCCAGATGGCTTGATCCCCACTGCCAGTGGTTCCATTCTGTTGCCGGGGAAGATTGGCCGTCAGGAGGAAATGCACGGCTGGGACGTCGGGGTACGTACGGATCGTGGTACGGACTACCACTCCGAACGTGCCCCCGCCTCCTCCGCGCAGGGCCCAGAAAAGGTCTTCGTTCTGGTATTCATTCGCCACCACCAGATCGCCCTAGCATGTAAACAGTGGTTAGCAATCACGCACAGCAACAGCACCATGGAGCTAGAAACAAGGGGTAGGGGGGAAGGCACCTCAGCAGTAACAACCTCAAACTCCAGCACATTATCCGACCCAATCCCATACGCAGGCCCCAGGAATCCCAGTCCGCCGCCCTGCACAAACCCGCCCGATGCTGCGACAGAACTACAAGTGCCGGTCACCATATTCACCCCTTCCTTCTTGCCGGCGGCTAGGGCTTCGAGCCCTAACACCCCGGCCCCGAGGGTGAGCGCCGACCCACGAGACGTCCCTCCACCCTGTGGAATGAAGTCTGACGCAAAGTCCATCTTCTTCAGAAGACTCACGTTGATCTGGAAGGAGCCCAGCCCACTCGATCGGCCGATCCCATCGTGGCCCGTGTTGCGGATGGCGACGTGCAGGTTGTGTTGGCGTGCGAACCGCACCGCCTTCTGGATGTCCTGGGCGGAGTGCGCCAGTATTCCGTACAGAGGGATTCGGCCCTGGCTGCAGGAAGTGGGGCGGGGGGTGTCGACGAAGCAGCTTCCGTTGTCGTATCGCTGGGTTTCCCAGGTGACTGATTGGAGGGCGCCTGCAGAGGATTGTTGTGTTAGTGGATACGCCTCTCAATCCATGTCAATCGCTATGCAGTAGTATAAGCTATGAAAAGATATGCTTACCTGCTTCGGCGATGCGCCAAAGCGAGTCATGCGTGGAGTTTCTGGCGAAAGCGCATCCCGCTGGGTTGTAGTCTCTACCATGGCAGACCGAACCAACCGGTCGGAACCGGACCAGATGCCCGTTTACGGTGCGGTTGAACGCATTCCATTCTCGGGATGAAGGCCAGCAGGGGTCATTTGGCATACAGCGGCAGTCCTGCGAACCACGACCGGTTGGAGTGGAAATCGTCTCTCTGGCTGCTATCAATAGCAGTAGCCAGACAACGACAATAGCAGAAGATGAGATAAACATCGTAGCTCTATGAAAGTTCTATGCTCGCTCATAGATCTCCCGTCGCCGAACTGCGGTATGGGACGCTCATAAGTAAAGTATTTCCCTGATCAGGCTGCCAATCCATCCATGCGATTTTACATCGGTGAAGTGAAGCCCTTCACATGATTCTCCCACTGGACGGCAGTTACTATCTCGCGCAGGGAAACCCATACTTTGCTCGAGCTTAGCTCATTGTCTGATGGTCGTGACTTGTGGCTCCCAGGGCTATGCTGGTTAAAATGTGGAAGACGGAATACGAACTAGTGAAGTCATCACCGGGCCAATCACGAGATTCCAGCATTCTGCTGACTATATTTGCAACCTGGCACCCAAAGGCAGAATATAGATTCTCACGGAACACTGGACCGGAGTATACCTCTTTCACGAATTATACGATGTATTGCTATTCTGGATGGTTCTATTCGTGCGAGGCCGCCGTGCAAGCCCAGATCTCTGTACGACGGTAACGCGCATGCATCTCGTGTTCCAAAACCAGTGTTGGCTCTTCCCCCCGGAATTATCCTTTCTGGTTTCTAGGCGAAAAGTCAGATTATGAGAGTTGGAAATACAGGGAGGCTTAGCCACAATGTCAAAATGGGTTGCAACTGTTCTGGGTTTTGGGTGGCAGTCGCATCACCGCGACGGAATGTTAATGTTATCTCTGGTTAGCAATTTGTAGAGTGCCTCATCAATCATCATTCCTCATGAGTGGTTAGCTCTAAACTACCAATTCGGTTGACATAGTACCTGTTTTTTCTGGTGATACAAATTCTTTCCCATCCCTAGTTGGCTCTCGTAATCGTTGATTCTAGACGTGATGGGCGATGTGACCTCTTTGAAGTGCTAGGATCCGGTCTCAGGGCATCTAGTTATTTCGGGGCTCGTGGTTATGGGCGACTCCGCGTTTAGCCTCGATCAATTGCTTTCAGCAGGCTGGCTGGACAGGTGCTGAGACAATTACTCAGTGCATAGACCCTGCAGAGGTTTTCATACTACCATACAGCAAAACCTAGTAGGACCTATACGTGTTTTTCGTGTTTTTTCCAATCCCATCAGGATGCCAGAAATTCGACAAAAGCTTTTTATCTTAGATCAGATTTCAGCAACCACGTACGGCTCACGTCTGGAGTGTTGAGAGAGCGTTCGATAGCAAAGAATCCCAACCAAAAGTCAGCATAGCATAGACCCCCAACGAAGTACCCAATTTGAGTGTCTCCTCGCCTGGACCCGGGGATACCAACCGACAAACATGCATACCCACCTGGAAGAAGCTCCATTGCAAGGCCCCTCTCCCGAGACAATCGTATACCCCTAATAGACTCGGGTAGCCACACGCCAGGCCCTCCGCCTCTGCCCGCCACAGCGCGCCTCCGTACACCAGCTGGGAACGCAAAGGCAGCCGCGCACACACGAAGCGATCCATGAACGATCGCCCCGACCATCCGCGCCACAAAGTGGTGGCGGCAGCGATACCCTTTTTGTGATCGCAGGGGTGGAAGGCGATCAACGTGCCGAGCAGATCAGTATCAGAGACATAGAGGGGCGCGGAGTGTGCATCTGCATCAAAGCCCTTGGGGGTTGCTTCGCTCGAGACGCCTTCTCCTGCATTCAGGTAGCTCATGACGTGGAAATATAAGCCTGGGTCCAGTGGTTGAACTGCAAGTCGCTGAGAATCTTCGAGACTCGTGCGATATGAAGGTGAGTGCAGATGCAGCGAGTCGGGTAAAAGGGCTGCAGGAGCAGTGTACACCACCTCGAGTGGCTTGGGGTAGGTAGCAACACATTCAATCAGGTACTGGCGAAAGAACCACTCTAGGACCCTAGATATATAGTGAGAAATTGGAGAGAAATATTCAGGAACAATGGACGCTGAGCTAACCCTAAGCCACAGAACGTGGGGCAACGTACCTCTCTCCCCCGGTGGCACGCCGCGACTCGCTCCCCGGTCGAATAGCTTGCCGCGACCTCATCAACAACTTCCCGGAGAGGTGCAGGCGTAGCGCCTGATAGATGATTCTCGGAGTCGTAAGCGTCACTGGCATCGTCCAACGGACAAGCAAGCTGGCTATTTGCCATGGAGTGGCTTGGGTTGGGTCGAGCGGGGCTTCGTCGCAGGAAAGGCGCGTTATCATCTTCGGCTGGCCTGTCGGGCTCACGCTGGTCGTCAGGCCCATTGACCTCTTCTCGGACCAGGATGCAGAGTTAAGGGGGTCCAGGAACTGAGTCAAGATGGACCCTTCAACTTTTTCGAAGGGCGAGGCGAAAATGTGTTTCTTCCACGTGCCCCTGTATACCTTTGACTCTGTGAGGGGGGCCAGAGCTTGAATGGTTTGCCACTGGTCCAAGTGCATGGCTTCAGTAGACATGGTGGTATTACTGGCGGGTTTTGATTCTATGCATGTTCCCGAGTATCTGACTCGGAATAGGATATTTCGTTTCTCGTCAAAGGAGTTGTTGATCTCCATGATCACGGCATCCAGCTCGCGGGTTGGAGAGTAAAGGTACCACCACGAGACCACGCTTCGATCCCACCAGAGGAACCTTGGAAGGCTGAGGAGGTATGCATACGGCCATTGACGGGGATCTTCGCCCTAGGGCCTATATTAGCTCTGTAAGTCCCTTATTCTGGGCGCAATGCTCATAGAGCTCCCAATGATTACCTGGGCCCGCAGGAATTTATCCAATTTCGCCTGAAGACCCATGTTCTCATCGCCGCGATGCAGATAGCGCTCAGAATCAAAGGTCAACCAACTTGGAATCACGTGAAGAATTCTGTCAATCCATTTTTGGGAACAGGGTCCGTCGGTGGAGGAACTGCCATCTGCATCGGCGTCAATTGTTAACAATTTGCCGATCCGACAGCTGAGCCCCACGGGCACACCGACTAACAGTACTTGATGGCTGAATCGATTCTTAATAGGAGCGAGTCGATTGTGAGTCAACCGTACAGAGAATAACAGCGGCCTTCCCAGGATGGTTCTGTTGCTAGCTGACCCTGGAACAAGAGTTCGCCGATAAACCGATGCTAGTACCAATAGCCCGAAGAGACCAGCGAAAGCGGTCCCAAGGAGTGAGGGAATTCCTATAGTCATGACATACTTCAAACACCCGCTCAGAGCCCCTTTAGTGTGTGACTGGAAGAGTAGAACGAGTAGGGCATGCCGCAGGAGCTGATTGGCGCCCTTGTCAAACGCCTGCAGAGACATGTTCTAGTACTCAGAGAGTTGTGATAGATTTATCCAAGGTATGGGGAAAGATTGAGCAAGCAGTATGCGATTTCTCACGTCATCTCGAGTGTTCTTCTCACTTCTGGACATTAGACCGGTAAAGTTCTTTGAGCAATTATGGCCTAAGATATACCTATATCTACTTCGTTCGGGGGTAATTTCAAGGTTTGCACCCCCTCGTGCCTTTTAATGTGTCACTGGCTCAGCAGTAGGACGAGATGTCGTCACTGCGTAAGCGGCGTCACTGCATCACGTATAAGATAAGCAAGATCATGTCCCTTGCATATTAACTCAACTCCAGCTGTTCGAACAATGACAGAGCCGCAATAAGCCTGCTGTTCTCGTGGTAGGTTTGATTGGCTTGAGTGACGTGAGATCTTGGTTAAGGTTTTGTCTCACGCAGCGCGGGTTTCCTACTCTTGAAAAGGTCATGCGCCGGTAGCCATCACTGAGGCAGGTATCTTGATGCGTCTAAGCCCACGCGGTTCGCAATATAACGTCATCAGACAATTCTGAATGACCTTTTGTGGCGGATCGGCACTTTAATGGCGCTAGGAAAGCTTCCGGGTTTCCCTGCGCCTCTTTTAGCTTCAGATAAATTCGTCATTGACTTCAACTTTGGTAAGCAGGAGATGGGCACCCTGTGGATAGATGTGAGAAAGATAAAACTGGGCCGGGGGCAATTCGGGATTAGGATCTAAAGAGATCAAACAAGCTTCATCCACGCTGAGACTACTAGATTCACCATGGCTCTCCCGTCTAAACCGGCTACAACGGTTATCATCATCGGCGCCGGGTTTTCCGGAGTGGCTATGGGATGTCAACTGACACGCAACTATCATCTGGAAGACTATTGTATCTACGACCGCTGCTCTGGGATCGGAGGTACCTGGTAGTCCAACAGATGTTTGTTCACCACCAAACCCTGCTGCTTTGACACATTTGTTAGCAGTTCACCGCTCCACAAGGCACAGTACTAATCCTTACCGCTAGACCCAGGCTGCGGTGTAGATATCCCCGCAATAAGCTACAGCCTCTCCTTTGCGAAGAATTCTTCGTACACAAAATTGTTTCCTGAGCAGTCCGAGGTTTTGGACTACATTTCTGGCGTGGCCCGGACTTATGGAGTGGACCGTCACTTCGTTGGGAACGTGGAGTGGAAAGGTGCCACCTGGAAGGAGGATACCCAGACCTGGCTCTTGCAATTCGAGGACCTGCAGACTGGCCGCCATTTCATGCAAGCCTGCCGTATTTTGATCTCCGCCGTTGGCGGGGTGGTCAATCCTCATCCTTTCACGGTGCCAGGCGTCGAAAGATTCAAAGGTCCTATTGTGCACACTGCTGAGTGGAGGTCGGACATCGACCTCCGATATAAGCACGTAGCCGTCATCGGCAATGAAAGTGAGTTTCTTCTCATTTGTGCTATCGGCGTTTTCTTTCTCGTTGAACGAGACGGCACTGACACCTCAAGGCTCGTCCATATAGTTGGTACCAGCAATCATTGATGAAGTTAAGACCATTACACATTTCATGAGGGTATGAACGTTCCCATTCTGCCTGTTGGGCGAGGATGCACCCAGATCATGAAGCACATACTAACGTTGTAGAATCCTAGACACCCCATTACCTGATCCCCACCGAAAACCATGACATCCCTCCATTATGGCGCAGGCTTCTTTGCTATGTCCCGGGACTGCTGTGACTCCTCCGCGCACTCATGTTCTTATACATGGAGACAGCATGGCCCCAGTTTAACAAGACCCGTTGGGGAAGCAGGACCCGCCAGAAATCCGTACAACGCAGTTTGAACTATGTCCAAACGACCGCACCTCTTATGACAATCCCTGCGGGCATCTAGCCTCGTAGCGCACAAATACTCATGATGGGGCTAGGTCGATACTGGGATCTGTTAAACCCCTCATACGAGTTTGGGTGCAAGGTGAGCGACCACGGCAGCAGACGCCACGGATTGAGAAGAATCAAACGAAGGAAATACAAAAAGGAAATGATCTCTGCTAAGCTGAAAGATCTCAAACCACAGAGGCGCGTCTTCGACCAAGGGTACTTGCCCTGCCTACAGCGAGATAACATCCGCCTTACCGACGACCCAATTGTCGAGATCCTACCAACCTCGATCAGAACCCAGTCCGGTGCTCAGATATCTACTGATGTCATAGTATGTTACACCATTGGTGTTATACCTAGCTGTCCTCATCCCCGGCCTAACCATTATCAAAAGAGGCCCTGAAAAAACAGCATCTAACATCAGTCCACTCAGATCATCGCCACCGGCTTCAGCTTGATACAGTATGACACTCCGCTCTATGGCCGCGAAAGTATATCCCGCCAGCAGCATTGGCAGGAGCTTGGTTCCAAGATGGCTTTTGAGTCTGTCGCGATGCACGGCTTTCCGAATTTCTTCTACATCCTGGGTCCTAATTCGGGACGCGCACACACGTCGATTTTATTCTCTATCGAAAAGTAAGTTCTCCCCTCTTTTAGTCTTTTACACAGGATCCCTTACCGCCCGCCCCCCGCCTATAATTTCGAGGCCGCCTTGAACATATTGATTGAGTCATGCCCTACCAGCCATGTGGACCTGGTAATCTCGGTAATCGCGCTGATCATCCAGAACAAGGCGTCAGCGGTGAAGTTGGATGCAAAGAGCGAGCGAAGGTACTACAGCCTCCTCCGCGCCGCTCTGCAAAATACCGTCCACGATGGGTCCTGCTCCAGCGTACGTATGCCACTTACCCTTGGTCTAGTCACCGATAAAGGTGTGGATAAAAAGGCTGAAACGAGCCTCCGTTTTTCTTCCCAGTATATCGTCGACAAGGAAACAGGCACGAATTGGTTTAGTTATCCCTGGAGCTCGCTGTGGCAATGGATCTCAACACACTGGGTTAGGGGTGGGGATTGGCACTATGCATAGGGCCCAAGGCGGGACACTTTCCTCAGCGAAGAGTTTCGACAACGACTGTCCTTTTTGCTTTTTGTTCTGACTTCTGATCTGGGACTGATGCTTGTCGCATGCTCGAAGCGAAGGTTTAGCGTCAATGTTGAGTTCTTTTCATCCGACCAGACAGAACATGGCCAAGAACCACAACCCAAGACATAGAACAGTAAGTGGATATATGTCTAAACGAGCCCTATGCTACATAATAATCTATTTCTCACAGGTTCATTGATCATGCACAGCAATTGCCTGATGTGGAGCCCAAGTACGTCTGTATTGAGCACTACAAGTGAAATATGGTCCCGAAAGGTCGGTACGTCGCCAAGGGTGCAGTGGCAATGCAGCTCCATCTGTTGCCTATTGGTCGAGCCTATCTGGATCAGTCGATGATCCTTCTTTGAGCGAATCACCTGCCACCAATAGATACATACCACGGCCGTTACCTGCATCTGACTACGAGCGGTACTTACGGGGACCCTTGCATTACCCAGATCCCAGCAGGCTTGCGCCACATTCTTGTCGGTGGGCACTTATGAAGAGTTTCGAATTGGCGGTAACGGCCATGGGAAACCTGTTTTATACATGCACGATTCGTATGTGCTTCATCATAAAAGTAGATCCTTTCCGCAGATCTCGATATGATCTCCACCTCGCCTATTAAAAGTGGCCGCGTGACCCGAGTCATATTTCTGGGCGAATGTTCGTTCTCTGGGGTCCTTCACGCAATGCAACCCCTTTCAGGACGCCTCGCATTATTGAGATTGGTGTCTTCTGGGAAGATGGGCGACATGCGACATGTACGGAGTTCTTTTCCCGTAAAGGATAGTTCTGATGTAACATCACAGTATATGAACACGATCAGAAAAGGGTATAGTTCAAAATATGGGCCCCTTTGCATGGGACGACGTGTAGGCACGCTTGACAAGCCAGACCATCGCACTGAAAGTTCGCCGATCTTGTACTATGTACTATTCTGCTTTGGTGAGACGATAGGGATGTAGGTACGGTGATGATCTGGGCCTCACTGCTCCAGTCAGTCTGGCGTGACAAACCGCAATCCGTAGCCTGGTGTCGCATACTATATCGAAACAGCCGGTACCCTTTTTATTAGAGTAAAGAAAGCTTGTTAGGTTTGTGGTAAAGCAGTGATAGCAGAAAGGGGAGTTATTGGTTACGATTTGGCATGTTGATCTTAGCCAACGGTCATACTATCAATCAGCAGATACCATTAAAACCACATAGATACACTTTGATAGAACCAATCCTCTCTCAGAACTCATAAATAGTACAGATCTATAGAGAAGATACATTGCGCGAGGGAAAGAATCATGACAATCCAATACACTCCAAACCCTTAGGGCATCTTCCAACATGTGAGCAAATTGCTCCCCTACATCTCAATGGCATCCAGGTCCTTCGAATTACCCACATAATAAACATCCGCCTCGTCAATCGAGCGAATTAAGGCCTCGTGGTCTGCGCTACGCGGTTTCACCTGGATGTCGAAAGGTGCCGGACGGCTGATGGTCCCTGGCTAAAAGTCCACCAAGGGCTCAATCTCCCGCCCATCTGATGTCGTCTGCTTGCGAATACAAAAGACAGCCAAGGAGTGAGCGATCATTAGATACACACTGGATTCTGCGAGGAATCGCCCGGGACAGATGCGACGACCGGTCCCGAAGCAAAAGCGTCGCGGGTCCGGCTCCGGGGTTCGTCCCTCGCCGGCGAGATATCGGTCCGGGTTGAAGGACATTGGATCCTTGTATGCTTGAGGATCATGCAGCCAGCCCCTGTGTTGTGTGATTGGGAGTAGTTGTCAGTCTCTGGGGAAAGGTGATTGGGACACAAAGGTAAGACGTTCGAAGGGACAATCCAACTGGACCTACCAGATGTTAGGGATCAGGAAAGCCCCGCGCGGAATGCGGTATCCCCCGTAGACATCTTCCTCGGCGGCCTCGCGAGGTAAAGCTAGCGGCGCCACTTGATGCCAGCGGAGAACCTCTTGGACTATGGCATCCAGGTACGGGAGTTAGTCTCGGTCCTCGAGAGTCGGGAAACGCGCCCCGACGACACGATCCAACTCCTCTTGCGCTTTTTCCTGGATATCCGGATTCAGGGCCATGGCCAGAAAGAATTCCGAGATTGAGGAAACTCTCTGGTGAGTGAGGTCAGTTTAGTCCAGTACAGGTACAGAAACCCACCCGGGGTCTGAGGTCCTCGGCTTGCACATGCTGTGTCTGTACCGCCACTATAGAGGTCGGCGGCGGACCATTGAATAAGGTACTCATCATGAGGGGTGAGCTTTGAGCCGAAGGTAGCCAGATGTCGCGCTACGTGGCTGGTCTTGTCAACACCACGAGAATAGTTCTTCTTGGCAAAAGTGTAGGGCTTCCCTCCCAACGCGGTCAACACCCCATCCCATTCTTTGGCTAATCGCTGAAATTCGGCACCTGGGAACCAAGAGGGGACGTATTTTACTTGGAGGGGAATTAGCTTCGTCACGGTTCATGCCAAGGAAGGCGGGATCTTCGATCAATCCTAGATTCCTTACATATAGGGAGTGTGTCCACAAGCCATTTTCCGGGCTCTGTTGCCTTGGCAAACTGGCTGCCGGATAGATCGGCCAGCTCGATGAAGGCATCTCGCCCTTTAGGCTCGACGACATAGCCATAGGTCAATTTTAGGATTACCGCTCCAGCTTCGCTGCAGATTTAGGTAAAGCACCCAGCGAGGCTAGCTGGTGTTGCAGATTTGAGAAGGAAAGAAGTCCATCACCCACCGACGAATATGGTCCAGCAGCTCCTGTGGCTGCTGCAGTGTTCGCCACAGGAACCGCCGAACCTCAAGCTCCTGCACCGTGGATGAGGACTCGATTGCACGGTTCGAGCCAATCAGGCTGCTTATCAACTTTCGTTTCTCGCGGACCTCTTTCAGATTCCCCTGTAACGCGAGGAGACGGTCCCACTTCATCCTATCTCGCATCGTTAGTCGTAGTGATCACAGTGAGGTGAATGGATTAGCGCAGAGGCAGTCACTGCAATGGGGCTTACAGGTCTTTGCAGAAAGCAGCATGCGGTCGGGCAGAGTAGTTCTTCGAGCGTTTCTCAAAGAGCTCAACAGCAATTTCAGGGTCATTCAAGATAATAATTGTCTGGTTCGGCGCAACGACGGAACTGATGGGTCCTTTGATTGGATGTTAGCGCATTCCAAAAGCCTCAAAAATTGGGTATCCGGAGCAAAATTGGAGGGAAGGCCGACTTACCGTATAGTGCTTTGTGCTTATACCAATGCTCCCATTGCTTGCAGCCGTGTTTTGGGAGATCACGTAGATTACCCAGAAAGAGTTTGCGCGGGGGGCCTGGGGGAAGAGGAAGGCGGATGCGACCTTTCCAGGTCCTTCGCATACCCCAGGTTCCCACAGCGACCATTAGTGCTATAATCGCACTGTATACGACGATCATTGTTGCTGCTGAAAGTCTACTGAGGTTGAGAGTGTGTGAAGGTGGCGAGATTCGCACCCGATTGTTCACACACAACGGGGTGTGTAGGTTGTGTGTTTTTTCAATCGACGCAGGACGATTTATATCTGAATGCCCATGAGTATTCCAGACCCCAAGATTGGTTTTCCAAGCTTGCCATTCCAGAGTCTCTGTTCATATCGTATGACGCAAAGTATTTGGCAAGTTATGTGAATGATCGTCATGCTTGCTATGACTGAAATGCCATTCAACCGCTTTTACCTTGGGACTGTAACATCTACTTCAGACTTTGTGATCAGGCTCTTGCATCCAACACCACGTGGAAGAAGCCTTCCATAGACATTTATTTGTCTGCCAAGTATCCTCCCGATCCACAGTACGAAGACAATCCACCATTTACAATCTATAACCGCCATCCACCACCAAAGCGGCACCGTACATGTAACTACTCATTGAGGAGGCCAAAAACACGATAGCGTTTGCAATCTCTTTTAGCTCTGCCATTCTTCCTACCGCCGACGACTGAGTCTCCTCCACAATCTTCCCTGTCTCATAGGCGTCTTTGATCATCGGCGTGTTGACCCATCTGGAACGCTGTCAGGCCTTTTGCTTGGCTTAGAAAGACTGGCTCTTTCGTGTGCATTGACTCACCCTGGACAGACAGCGTTGATCCTGATGTCATGAGGAGCATAGTACCTGGCATCCTGGAAGGGTGTCCGGTCAAATTTTTGATATGTCTCTTCGGAGCAAGAAACAAATCCCAACCCTTGACTTCTGATCTCTAAAATCGGACCCTGTATTGCCCAGTGAGACGTGCCACTCCTATCTAGAATTAGAGAAGAAACGAGCAGGATATCGCACCTACCAACCTGACAATCATGCTATTACTCTGTTTGATCTTTAAAACCGGCTACCACCTTGCAAAAACGCATATTCCAGTATCCGGTGTATAGGCCCAACGAGCGTCAACTAAGGCACCCCTTGCCGTAGTCCGGATTGTAATGAGAAGGAATGAAAAGCTATACCAGCACACTTCAACGATGCAAAACAGCCCTGTACCGTATCTTCCCACTCTTGAGCATCTGCATCGCTTCTTCTATCCCCGCTTGTGTCAGCGGAAACTCCATGATGGTGGGGTAGATCTTCTTCCGAGCGGCAAACCCCAGCAGATCCAGCACGACCTGGCGGGAGGCAATAAAGGACGACTGAATGCATATTCCATGCTGGATCAGGGGCGCGAAAGAGACCTCGATCGGTTCGAGGGCCGCTGTGATAAAGAACATGGTGCTATTATTGGCCATCAACGGGACCAATCTGGTTGGATGGGATACGGATAGCCGGTCAGCGGAAAGGCCTTCTGCGTGTCGGTATGTGTCAACAAAGCAAGGGAAGAAACTCACGTATCCAGACTCTTCCCCGGTTGCCCGCATACCAGAAGATGCTGTACCGGTTCGAAGCTCTCATCAAGCGCATGATCACCTCCAAAAGGTGGAATTCCGCGGCCCCAAAATCCAGGGCTTCCTGTCGTTTGCCCTCGGTGCGCGAGAACACCACCACGTGGCATCCGATCGCGTTTGCCAGCTTGATGGCCATGTGGCCGACGCCGCCGATGCCGAGGACGCCGACGCGCTGGCCGGGTCGGATGTTGTACTGCGTCAGACAGGTCCAGACGGTGGCGCCGGCGCAGAGCAGTGGCGCGGCGTAGGCGGAATCGTACCCGTCCGGGATAGGGAAGACCCAGTCGGCGTCCCAGACTGTGCCATGGCTGAGGGACCCGAGGTCGTGGTCGTGCGTCAGGTACATGCGTCCGTCGGGGCAGTACTGGGACCAGCCTGTATCGGGTCGTGACGTTAGCCGTGCTGCCCAGGGAGGAAGGGTGTGGTAACGAGCAAACCGCGATATCAACCAGGGTGGGAGCAGATGTTCATACCCGTAAGACACTGGTTACATGCACGGCACGTCTTTCGCACATATCCAAATCCGACTCGGTCTCCAACGCGAACGGAGGTGACCTCCGGGCCGACGTGCTTCACGATCCCGATTCCTTCGTGTCCAAGCACCAGACCATTGTGCATAAAGTGCTCGTCCGTACCGCAGAGCCCTGAATGGGTGGTTTCGATGTACACCTCGTTGGCTCCGAGTTTTCGATTAGTCGTGTCTGGGATGATCCTCTGGTTGGCGGACCCCCGGAAGACGGGAAATGTGAGCTCCATGTTATTGGTATTCGCCAATTTAGATCGAAATGGTTAGAAGAAAGCACGAGAATTGTCTCGGAAGTGTTGGTATATATGTATGAGTTTCTTGTCAGTGAGAATAAGTATGCTGTGTAGATACTTACAAGAAAGTCGGATGGTAAGCCCGATAGAAGATAGTGAATATTTATCAGTTTCTTCATGGTGAAGGATCGATCGGGGTGCAGTGTTAGGGCGATCTATATGATGTCAATGAATGCAGGGTGCTGGATCTGACTGTTTGCAGGGAACTAATCATCCCTGGGCCGATGATTGTGGTACACAAATGACGATTGCTCTGTTCATCCTTGCTTCTGGGGTCGATGGTGTAGCAGAGGCCGCGCCCGCATATAGACTGCATGCAGCTTGTGTAGTACCACCCCGAACAAAAGTAGTCCACTCATCCACGCAAGAGGAGATCAAGCTAGTATACTACGTAAACTTGATCCTTCAATCTGATATACTACCATGCCACATCCATAAGCGTATGAAAGTTCTAAACCTCAACTTTGTGGTAGAACACTCATGTGCATCGCATGATTGCCAATAGCCGGACGGCGGAGCGGTGACGAAGTTGCCCTTATTTCCAGGCGAAGCAGGAATCATATAATAACCGATCCCTGAGGATTCATTTGCATAGTGTCAACCCCACTTGTCACCCGTGCTCTTTTCTCAAATATTGAACCCCGCTGCATAGTAGTTACAGTCGGCTTCTGGATTCACACGTAATATATGATTTACTCAGTGACAAGGACAATCACATACGACCACAGGGTGTGGAAAACAGGGCTTCCCGTCCGCTCAGCCGTACTTAAGCCACACGCCGGGAGGTTAGTAGTTGGGTGGGTGACCACCAGCGAATCCCTTCTGTTGTATGTTTTTGGTTGTTGGGTCTATTTGCTCAATTTGTCCTTGCCATGAATATGTACTCCGTAGAGCAATCGGTTATCCGTTGGGCGAATGAAACGGATATTGGAGACGATCTGAACGCCACAACAAAAGCGACAGATAGAGAGGTAGAGGTGCTAAGAACATTGAGGCTTTTTGTTTTCCTTCCAAATCACCCCAACTCACTTCACGCATGAGCCTCCTTGTTCTTCTCGCTCATAGCAGCGCTGATTGAGGAACCGTAGTACCCGGCTTCTTTTAAATCTTTGTCTGTATTATCGACTCTGATCAGCTTTTCGGTCTGTTCTGTTTGAAAGGCGGAGGGAGTGGTGGTGGTGGTGGTAAAAGCGCAAGGGCCGAGAACGACGCCAACCTACAAATTTCGAAGCCGTACTCAATAACAACCTCTACGTATTCCAACTGTACGCCCTTAGTCTCTCTATACTGCAGAGCTCCAAATAGATAGTTTCAATATACATTTTGTTGCGTCTCGACTTCTAAATAATTATATGGACAATGATTCTCTAATTGGCAGAATGTTATAAAACAGAAAATATAAGCTTTATTGCGCTAGTGGCCGTGTTCATTAATTCAAATCGAAATAATACAGTGACTATAACAAATAAAAAAAGATAACAGTTGACCCAGAGAACTAGTATACATATGTAAAATCTTTATTCATTCAAAACATTGTGTTGAGAAAATAATAATGGACAAGTTAAATAACTAATTTAATAGAACTAAAATATACTTATATATTTTCTTCAAATGAACTATCAAACAACAAGTAGTCTTAAATTGAGATGTATGATATCAATCCATGCAGAGGGCCAGATCTGGCATTATAGAACCATACAATCATCCCTGGACCATCAGTTATAGTACAAATATGACGAGTGGTCTCTTTAGTGTTGCTTGTGGGGTTGCTCATGTCTTAGTATGAGCCGCGCCTGCACATGGACTGCATGCAGCTTGTATAACGTACATCCGACCGGCTCTTCAATACTGTTTTCCGATATTGCAACTCCGCCTTACTTGAACTTCAAGCCCTGACCCCCTGACAGAGCATTCGTATGAATTGAACGTTTGTTGATCGATGGAGAGTAGGGCGCTGACAAAGGTGCCCTAATCAGTTGGGCAACAGCGAATTCCTAAGACTGTGTTAAGCATCGATAGCTCCTACCTATTAGATGTTAGCCCTGCCCTCTACCCAATCTTCCACAGATTCCTTTCAGGTATTCAAAGCATGCCTGCATCCTTGGATGTAGATCCAGCACGGCCATGCGGGTCCACCCATGATGCCAACTCTCAAAACCTACACTGCATGGACGAACTGCAAGTTGCCGCAGCTGATCGAGGGCATAACTAAGCTACAACCATAAGGGAAGAGGGCAAAGACAAAGTTAAAGCCAGAAGGTCATGAGAGAGATAACGGAAACGTTGTCGCACTCACGAGGTCGCATAAAGTCACATCTAGATCCCATTCGACTAGCTTCCAAGCTTCTCACTCAGCCTTTGCACCGTAGCTGACAAGCAACCGACAGGCAGCATCATGCCCTTCCGCCAGGGATAGCAAGCTTCTACCCAGCAAATCTCGAGTATTGACGTCAGCTCCATGCTTGAGTAAAAGGTCTAGAATTTCTGTCTTTCCTTCGAATGCCGCGTAGCAGATTGATGTGTCGCTTAATCTATCTCTGAGAGTGAGATCCACCCCGCTCTCCAGGAAAGCCTTTACTATTTCCACATGCCCATTTATGACAGCTAGTCGCAGTGGAATGGCCCAAGATTCACTGCTGGAAGTGACATCAACGGCATGCTCTAGAATCATTTGAACCAGATTTACGTCTCCTTCCTCGGCGCGGCTCGCCAGGAATGTGCGGCCCGTGAGGCTTGGAGGCCCAACACCGGCCTTTTCGACCTTGATCAGATATTCAACCACAGATTGGAGGTCAGACTGAAAAGCGAAGTCGAGAGCCGCATGGCTGTCGGAAGAACAGAGCTGCCGCGCTAAGGGTGTAACGGGGTCCTCGTAGGTGATCGTACATGAACTAAAATGCCTCGCCCAGTTCTGTGTGGCATATTCCTCGAGTTAAGTCGAATTCCTTGTGTTTCTCGGATGCAAGATACCGTACGCTGACCTCGGCTAATAGTCGATTCGCGTCCTGGATGTTGACGGGGCCTTTCCAAGCGGTCGTCGTATCAGTGGCCTCCAACCGAGGCGCAGGTTCCGCTCGCACCAAGAACTCCCTGGCTGTTTGATGGAGCAAGTACACTTGGGAGTGAATCACAACCACAAACAGACCACATATTTGTCGGAGTGTCTTTTTGAACTCATCCGGCGACTCTAGATAGTCTTCAAGATCCACAGATTGTTTGAAGGCCTGGTCGCAGGCGACCACCAGGCTCATTTCGCTCACGGATAGCGGTCGCTCTGCGGCAAGAATAGTATGCAAGACTGTTTTCGCTCGCTCAGGCGCCGGGCTTCGACGTAGGATTTTCTCGTAGGCGTCGTCAACCGTGGAAGGAAGTTGACTGAATGCTGCCCGGATATTCCCCTTGGTAAAGCCGGGAGTAGTTCGGATGACATCCATGGTCAGGGTGACCCAGAGATAAGTACGGTCGACCACTGGCATGAGCTCGTCGAGTAACATCTGGCATTGCTCGGAGGTGAGACCACGTTCGCGAGCAATGTCCTCGACCCGTTTCTGAGTGACAAGATTGATCTCCTTCGATATTTGATCTATCTCCTCCTCGCCGTCACCGCTGAGATGAATCATTGACAGGTCCCCTTGAGCACCTTGAAACTCTCGGTAGATATCGAGATATGGCCTGCTGGTGACGAGGAACTTCACATTGCCAGTTCCCAAGCCTCCCCGGGAAGAACGGACAACGCCTTCTATCAAACGGCCACGGCTCACCTTCTCGCATTCATCGAGGGCGTCCAAGATGCAAATCATCCCACCGAAACTCGGGTCCGCCACCACACTGGTAAATATAGACCAGAGATCATTGAGGGACTTGGTCAACCTATCGCCGTCCGTGCCGAACTTGGCCAGTATGGGTTCCCGCAGCAGCTGTGGGTTGGACAAGAAGATCTGACGCAAAATTGCACTGACTGCACTGACCGCAGTGTTCTGATCCGAGAAATCATCCTTGAAGAAGAAGTAGCAAATTGTGGCTTCCTTCCTGGCGGAGAGAAAGTCATCCACGAGGTACCTGGCCAACACAGATTTGCCGCAGCCTGGATCGGCCGACACCCAGAGCAGACTTGAACCCTCGGCCTGATGCCACTGCTTGAACAGGGAATGCTGTGTGAACCATTCGCATGTGCCGGGCACTCGGTCATCGTTTCGGTCTTTTCGGTCTTTGTATGGACAGGTATACAGAGCACGCAGGAGTTTCATGGCCTTTTTGTCACGATCAATTAAGATCTGACGCGTGGCTTCGTACTGTTGCGTGCTTTGGATTGCCCTGAGTCGCTGTTCCACATCGGCAGCCCCGATTATCTGAGCGTCCTTCTCCGTATTGACTTCGAGAGACTTGATGTTTTGCAACACACCATCCCATCCTTCGTGTTCGAAAGCGTCGCCGAGCAGCCGTACTATACTGCGTTTTCCCAGGTAATGCATTGCACGGGCTTGGAACTCGAGGATAGCAGCGTATAGGTCGGTCAAATGGTCTTCAAACTTCTTCAGCAGATCGGCTTCGTGCCCTCGTGGAGAATCCGAGGCATTCTTGCCGGAGCGGTAAACATCTTCCATCACCTGGAAGCGACACATCAAAGTCGAGGTATAGTCTAATGTTTGAAGAAGAACTGCCTGTTGACTGGTTGCTTGCAAAGCGAACATGAATACGACCGACAGCCCAGCACATGCCAGTGCTGCTGGGGGGCTTGCGCTGGCAGCCGTATCAACAAGTCCCTTTACCACCAACACCTTTTCGAAGAGACCATTCACCAAGTCCTGGACCACCACCAATTGATCACCGAATTGTATCTTCCATTTCTGCTTCTCCAACGCGTTCACTCGTTTCTGAAACAGCCTGTCTAACTGGACCTGACGGCCGGCAGTGCCAATCGGTTGCAGCTCCTCACCTAACTCCTCAGCCAGCGTCTCATATACTACTTGAAGGAGTAGCTGCTTATCCAGGTCGCTATTCAAGTGATCCTCTGCTCTCTGCCAGAGATTCGGGTTTGGGCTTCGGACGTTGACCGCCGTCTGGTATTGTGGAAACGGGGTCTTCTGGGTGGACTTCTCTGCGCCTCGTGCGGGTGCATTTTTAAGGGGGGATGTGCTTTTGCGAGGGTATGTTTTGACTGACGAAAGAACAATCTCCGCAGCTTAGCTCTAAGCATTCGAAAGTGCATCTTCATTGCCATCGTCTACGGGCGCGAAAAGAGGCGATATGGGCGTATCAGTCGGCGCCTGTGTGCAAAGGCTGTCCACACCGTGATTTTTGAAAACTTCCTGGATGTAGGCGAACGAACCTCTGGCAACGATGCAGCGTTATGTAGATCCTAATTTTCGGAAACTTTTCAAGGTGGGACTTGTCAAGATGGCTTGCGTGGAATTCATAATTGCTTTTTTTCGGTCCCTCATTCGTTGCTGGTGTCCGGGCTCCTTTGGCTTCAGCTTTCCCAACTTGGTCAACCTATTGTGCAAAGTGCGCCTGCAAAGCCTTTGATTCTTATTTCCGATGGACCTGCTCAGTAGAGAATGAGAAAGAATATTGGGATAAGACCATGGCCCTGGTTTCGACTCGGTTTTTGAGGATTATCAGTCTGATCCCGATTGTCTCCACCCACATCAGCGCTAAAGCCACCGGACTCGCATTGGTGCAGGCAGGGCTACGACCGTCGGCCCAATCACCGATTCAGCTCGGGCTGTGACACGAGAATGAATGCGCCAGCGCATAGAACTGTTTCTCCATCTTCCTACAGTCCCCCACGTCAACCTGCCGTTCGCTTAACACAATAATGAGGGGGGTGTGGGGAGCTGAGAAATTAGCTGTGGCGGATCCAACCGCACCCGGAGCATCAACCATGCGCTGCCACCTGAAATCCAGCCATCCTTTTCAGGCTTGAGGACCCCGTCTTTTCAAAATCACAAGACAGAGTTCCCAATCCTTGGGCTCGACACCTAGTATGTCCGTCATGCCTGTCTCCATAGCAGAATCAACATTTGTGCCTGTCACCTCGCGACAAGCTCAGATCCGGAACGGCGCCAACCCTACAACGATCTCCCAATTCATCATCCCCCTGCTACAATGGAGTCGTGATCATTTACCCCTTTCCGACGCTGCACTTCTCTTGGAGGTCTCGGCCTCCTCAGTGATCCAATGGATCCGTGAAGAACGCTTGCGCCTCCTCCCTGCTGAAACGACTTCTTATGACAAGGTGGTAGAATGGGCCCAGGTCCTCGTTCAGAGGCTAGACGCAGTAGAGAAGGTCGTCGGCTCATTTGTGGCCGATATCTACCTTGCCACTAGTCTTGCTTATGGCTACTTTGCCGTCGTACTCGAGGTTTGATTTCCTGCAACCCAGCTCGCGTCATTAGTCTGTCGTGTCCACGTCAATCTCTTTGAGGATGATAGGTAACCGCTTTCAGCTCGCAGCAGAGAACGCCACACCTCTCAAACATATCTTTGTCGTTGCTCTTGACATCTCAACCCCGTTCCAAAGTATACTGCGCGCAACAGACCTTGGCGTTAGCGAAGAGATCGTGGAACAACTCGCTTTGGCTCTAGTCGACTTGGTGGCTCTCATCTCTTCCTTGTTCGCCCAGCTTTACAAAGCTATTCTGGGACTAGGTGATGGGTTCTTCGTTCTCAACGACATCCACAATCAATATGCTAGCCAGATCGACACATTTCAGAATCGCTGCGAGAGGGTCAGAGTGGCCATCTCAAGGCATCGGTTGCAGGGAGCAGCTCAGGGCCTTGTGAAAGATACAGACTTCTATGGCTGGTTTGAATCTTTTGAATCGCTCCGAGAATTGACAGAGTAATCAAATTCACATTTCCAACAGGTGATGACTTCGACGCAATCCGTTTCTGGCTAGCACCTGGTGATCCTGTATTGGCGCGTCTCGACGAAAATGTAACAAGTCGCTCCTTGGATCAAGTAGAGATGACTTTTCTGTGGATGTCCCGTCATGTTTGGCGATGGCGAATGGATCAGAGCACTCATATTCACCTGATCGGCCGTTCGGGCTCGGGGAAGACTGTTCTAACCCACGTGATTCGGGGGTATTTACAGGGAAAATCCGCTGCCGCCTCTCCCCTGACTCTGTCTCTGTCCATCAGTAAGTATATGACGCCGCGCAGTAGCTGCCCAATATGCCGTTGTCTAACCGACTCTCGACAGGTACCAGAATCCCAGCAGAGGGCACCATGCGTTCCATTGCCCGGAGCCTCTTGCATCAATTGTTCACTCAATCCATCGGTCACACTCCACTGCTGGTAGTGCTGAGTGAGTCATTCGAGCATAGTCAGCAAACTGCAGACAGCAATGCTTATGACAATCTGTTGTGGGATACCCTGAAGCGCGCACTGACATGTCTCGACCTCGACAACCAGGTATTCCTGGTCGTAGATGGTGTCGACGAGGCCCTGTGCGAGGAAATGACCTTGCTGCGCAAACTGATCTCGATTATCCCAGAGACGGCGAATGTGAAACTAATCACACCCGGAACCCAAAATCCTCCGACAGGCAGTGGTCAGACCCTCTCAGGTCAGGTCCTCTTAGAAGTGACGGAACATCTGGTTTCCGCCGATATCTCCACCGTGGTTGAAAACTCTTTGGTGGGTGGTGCTATTTTCCCCAAGCTCCCTAGCAACGATAAAGAGACTATTATCACCGATCTCACTGCGATCAGCGAGGGCTCTTTCCTGTGGGCAAAGCTTGCCTGCCGGCACATTCGTCACCAGGAAAGCCCCGATCAACTTTGCGAGGCCATGGATCTTCTACGCACCGCCAAGCCCAGTGTTTCCGACTTCATTCATCTTTGTTTGAACAGGCAAGATGTGAGCATGGAAACCAGAAGAATGCTGGTCATGCTTGCCGTCGCCCAGCGTCCTTTGCGCGTAGCAGAGCTCCAGACCCTGGCCTCAATCCTCGTTGAGCAGCAAAAGGTTCCTGCTAGTGAAACCAAAGAAGAAAGTTCTGTTCTGTGCAGACTACACGGCCTCAACCACTTGATTTCATTGTCGAGCAATACGCTTTCCCTGCAACATTCCCTGCTCAAAGACGCAGTATTGAAGCTCGTGTCCCCCGGTAGCCCGGTCCACCCCAACGTGGATCCCGCCATCGACTTTCTGACACGGCTTTTCATCTGCCTCAAATGCTCGATCGGAGAGTCGAGCGAGCCAGTCCTCACGCCCCTTGATCAAGACACGGCCACAAGCTTGTAACACAGCCAGGACCTCCTTCCATACGCTTGGCGGTACTGGCCGGTCCATTACCAAAACCTGTCCGCCATACCCCACGACCATACCTCCCGGCTTGCAGAGCGGCTCACCCCCTACTTGCCCGTGTCGACAGCCTGCATTCGACTCCAGAGTACGCTCTGGGCCGGGCTCCCGCTGCCGGACTGCCTCCGCTATCACGAGCTCACAACCGATCTCTACCGCACGGCCATGGGACCCAACCACGTGGCCACCCTGCAATGCACGATCCTCCTGGCCGGGCTGTACGATCGACTTCAGTATGTCGACCAAGCCAGCCGGATGTTTTATGATGCAGCGATGAGAAGCCGGGCGTCATTGACGGCGCGGCATCCGTTAACGCTGCAGTTGGCCGGCAAACTCCTGGAGCTGACCGCAGGCCCAGAGGTCACCGATTGCCAGTCCGAAACCATGCATTGGAGAGGAGAATGCTTGGCCCTCTCCGTCGAATGCCTCGAGCTTCAGCATGGAGAGACGTCGGACGAGGCGGGTGCGGCGAGGAGACTTCTGGCTGAGCATCAACATCAAACGCTGGGTGAATAGCCTCTTACAAAATAAGGTCTGACCTTCTCACACACATGATCTGGGACAATGCATTGAGAGCCCTGTGGAGGGGGCACTACGCGAGATGACTACACAATTTTATCCAGTACATTTTACACGATATAATTCGGGGGCCTGTTTCCAGGCTTGCCCCAGTATCTGAAAGCGAAGGGGGACGGGAAGGGTGGCTTTTAATACCTTCCTAGAATGTCCAACGGCTTTCCAAAGAAAAAACATAGAACAGTATACGTGAGATCGTAAAGACCGGGATTTCACCCTATCTTCCCTTTAATAACATACGGATAAGTTGCCACCACTCCGACCCGTGGGTGAAATAATGTACAGCGAAGGGACATGGATCTTCGGCCGGCTTATGGCTCAGAAATAGACAGCCGCAAATTCACACGGCTGAAGTGCCCCGAGGGAATGCCAGAAAACGAGCTATAATTTACCATACATCTTCATTATTCTGTCTCGGGTGTTAAAACTGTCCAACTTCCACTGATCTACGTATAATTCAGCCTGGTGTGCCTAGGTAACAACCATTTCCGGAGGCGGCTTTTCACCGTCACGGGTCACTCTGACTCCTCGCAGATGACTAATCATCTTGGCCTTAGGTGGAAGATATGGTGTTGCCTTACCAGGAGGCATCAGGATTGACTCCCTTTCGGGTTGAATGGAGGAAGCCTAAATCATGTCTTTCCGACGAAGTCATCATATATACACACACAAAGATATATACGATCTCCAACCATCCTAGTCCGCCGGTAGCAGTTTCGTTCCTCCGTCTCACTCGAGCTCCTCACATCTCGGAAAGGTCATATCAGCTTTGCCCTAACTTCTAAATAGCCATCGAAAGTCACACCTCGCATTCAACACGAAAGATTTCACACACAATGTGCGTCACTGAAATCGGTGTCATGGGCGTCAAGCCTTGCCTCGACGTCATGAACGACGACACTCCAGAGGGCCGGATCTTGAGCAAGCTATATAACTATGTTGTTGCCGCACCCGGGGGCCCACTTCGAGTATATTGGGGCCTCGAGGCTGAAGATCCGTCCTACCTCTGGGCATTCTTTGACTGGGACTCGCTGGAGGCCCACCATAACTTTGCTAAGACGTAAGTAAAGGCCTCTCTCCATTCGTCCCAGCTCCCTCTCTGACAACAGTACCATAGACTGGGCCAAGAAGCTGTCAAGGATCTGCCGAAGATCTTGACGCGTGGCGGGTTCACCAAGCACATTACCGCCACGCCCTCTCTGCCAGCCACCCTGCAGTCCGCCGTCACGCAGGTCATCTTGGCGTACTTTGCGTCGGATCGGCCACCCACTGTAGCAGACGCAGCCATTGCGCATTTCGAGAACTGGCGGGAGAATGAGATCGAAAACGTCTCGGGCATTGAAGCTCTGAGCTACGGATGGGGCATGGAGAAGGACTTTCCAATCAGGGGCGGCTCTCCAGACCAGAGAGCATCGATCTGCCTATCCGTGTTTGGGTTCATTGACATTGCTGCGCAAAAAAGCTTCAGGGAGTCGTTGGCACTTGGGAAACTGCTGGGGTGGATCCGGGGCATGGAGGGATGCGTCAAGCTGGAGGTTTTCTCAATCTGTTTCCGGTCCACGAGTAGGGACAACGAGGGAGACTCCCGGGGAATGTAAGAGTTTCTCGCAAGATGGGTATCACGTGTGAGAGCGCAAATGCCAGTAAAGGCTACACAGTATGAGTTCTTCCGGTTAGGCACAGCACGTTTGGTAGGTTGTATCAGGTTCATTAGTACGGTTCTGAGAGAGCGCTCTGGTTCGAAGGGGCCTATTAATCCATTAGCCCAGTGGAGAGATGTTGCAAATATCGGCCGGACAGGTTCTCATATATCTCGTAGGGCTAGGTACTACTCTGATTTCGGGTTTTTATAACGGGAAGTTTAACGTCTCTACATATGGCTTGGCATATTCCACTGAAAAGGAGAGGAGAATACAAAGACAAAGAGAATCAGGAGGATTTGAAATGACACATTCTAGGATAACCCCCAAACTTACATATATCAATGAAGCTCTTCGTCTCTGAAGACACCTGTGTATCTTAAGAAAGCAAAAAGCAAGAGAAGAGACAAAGAGAGAAGGAAAATACTTCTCTTTGGCCTCTGTGATTTATCTCCAGAGCGGTATTCTTCGGCTGTTGCTCCTGCCGATCATTAGATGCAAATACCCAATCTCTAAACGACAAGGCCTATATATATTACCATGCCTCAATGTTGGTATGCTGTGATAGTAACCTCAACGGGTCATAGTAGCAAACACAACACTCGCCACCACAGCTCACAAGCCCGTTTCACTGACCTTGTCCAGCCTCAGGTTTCCCGACCCCTTCGTCAAGAACTATCCAGCACCATGCTCGCCCTGGAGGACCTCGCCATTCTCTGCATGTCATGCAGCGTCTCCTACTGCAGCTGGTACTTCTCCAATGGCCCACTTCGTCGCTGGGCCCGCAACACGCCCCATGGCCCGCGACTCTTGCTGATCTACGGCAGCGTTCTCGTGAGCATCGCCTCGAACCAACTGTGGTCGAGCTACATGGCTGACCAGCGGCTCCCGCTGGTTCTCCGAGCCTACCGTCTCCAGCAGCAGACTGCGCTGGGCAATACGTCGATTCCTTTGAACGTCACCGAGGCGCTGATTGCCCTGGGTGACGTGGAGATGCTCATCGGGAACCCGGAGCTGGCGGCGTGGCTGCTCAATCCGTGGTCCTTGCTGGTGATGAATATCCTGTGGGTCAGTCTCTTGATCGCGGGTTTTTTCGCTCTGGAACTGGCGCTGACGGTTGTCTGGCTTCCCGGTGTTGCCGATGATGAGTAGATCAGGGACCTTGTGGATTACCTGCACAGGCAGAGCAAACGATGTAGTTTGATGTGCTTGTGATACTTCCAGGAAAACTCTTTGACTTGACATTAGGCATGGATCGCTATCATAGTGAGTCTTTCCCTCTGTGTGCTTTTTGTCGCACTTGTCTAGTTTGCTGTTGATATTTTTGAGTTATCAAACACATTAAACTTTTTTAATCTCGAAAGAAAATGTAAAAAGAGAATATGTTTCAGATAAGCCGGCTACTACACTATGTCATATTAATTTCAATATTCCTTTCACAAATCAACATTAAGATCTGGGTCCATCCTAATTAACTCACCCGGAGTACCTCGTCGGGACTCTTATGAAAGTGTGCTGGGCCGCTCATAGTATCCTTCTGCCTTAATCACAGTGGTTTAGAATAAATAGCTTTGTAGGAGTTAGTGGATGTTTCTGTAAACCTCTTCTGAGATCCAACTGCTTCAGCATGCAATATTGATTCTCTGTGTTTACCTTTTTAGTCTGCCGGGTATTTTCCGACGAGCTAAGAGTCGATGAGATATCTGCACCCAAAGCCTAAAGTGTAGCCCGTTTCACTGAGCGAAATAGGAGAGCATCACCATGGTGAGTAGATATAGAAACAGGACGGGCAAGCCAGCAAACCGGAAAGGCTCCTCATAGGTTTCAGACGATCGACCGGGAACGGACCTTTTCACTACTGATTGTCAATAGCAAGGCCCAGAGAGACATATTTTGAAGATAAGAGAAAAGCTCCTGAGGGCTTTCTTCACCATCACTATCTCTGCAGGCGGGTGGGTCCTTTCACCATACAGCTATACCCCCGAGCAGAGAATCAAATCAATTGAACCTTCTAAATAACCGGCTACCACCATCACAACATCCTCATCAAACCACGAACCATATATTACACAACATTTTCGAACAAAACAACAAATAAGATCAGACATAATCATCTGTCACCCACCCCCTTCCCTTCCTCGAAGAAAACATCGTTTTAATACACCATTCACAACAGCGAACCATCATCGCCATCATGTACGATCTGCCCGACGCCCTCATCCTCCCCATCGTCACCAAAATCCACCCGCTCAACTACATGCTTCTAGCCAACCTTGACATTCCCAAAGCCAACCGCGCCCAGCTGCGTGGTTCCCGCACCAGCACCCTCATCGTTCCGGTAATCAGCACCGTAGGCTTGGTGCATCTATGCAGCTGCGCCATCTCCTTCCAGCAGACGAGCAGACACACCGACCTGGCGCTGGCAGCCCATCACCCTTCGCAACTAGATCGCCACGGTATCCGAATTTATCACACTGAACACTACCGAGGTGAGTTCCGCTTTACCCATTTTGATGAAGGGTGTGCGCTTGGACAAAGATATATTGGATTGGAGGGTATGTGGGCACCTTTTTATCTTTCCCAACGAGAGGATGAAGAGCTCATTAGCAAGGAATGATGAAGTATGACTGGGCGGGATCAACAGAATTAAATGTGTAGAGGAACGGGTTGTGGATGACAGTATCGGCCCCTGAAAGACATGTTCTATTTGCATTTCGCTGAGCAGACCTAGTGACGTTGATAGAGGAATTGCTGAGGCCCAGGAGGGTAGGTGCACTGGCTTAAGAATATTAAGTCTCTCGCCGGTGACCTCTATTTCCATGTCTTCTCAGCAGAGAATAAGCCGCATCCGAGGCATCTTGGTTCTGCGAGAGCAGACAAGCCAAAGCAAAAAAGAATGACCAGACTGGGGCTCGATCCCAGGACCTTATCGGTGTTAACGATACGTGATAACCAACTACACCATCCGGCCAATTGATATTAAACAATCTGCGTTGGTGCATTCTATACCTACAAGGGCTATAATCACATGCTTGCTCTCATTTACTCGCATCTGTCCTCGACACCTCGCATATGCCGCCTCTATGCAGAATGCAGATATTCACAAGGTGACAAGCCACCCGCAAGACCCACTTGCCCGAGCGAGTGTCCACCCTCTCAATTCGACAGCAATCACAACAGTAAATCCAGACAGCAACAGCACGCGAACGCTGAAAGTAACCCTGCGCAGCATTCCTCCTCTCCGCTTATGTTTTTCTGTGTGGCTGGAGCAGGCTGTTGCGGCGGCAGCGGAGCCGAGTACTGCATGGACTGTGGCGGTGCAGCTCCAGCCGGATAACCCGAGGCCGGGGGGTAATAAGTGTTGTTGGGCGGACCGGGCGGTGGCGGTGCCGAAGGCGGTGCGCTGTATTCAGGGTGGCTCGGAGGCGGCCCGGGCTGTATTAGGATGTTATGGTCAATTCAAGCACTTGTAGGGCTGTAGTACGGCGCGAACGGAAGCTTACTGGTGGTTGATAACGAGTCTCGGTTGACATGGTGTGTGGGATTGGACGACTTGACGCTGGTTAAGGTATGACAAGACTTTGTCGCTACGTTGCAGAGGCAGAAATGGTAGGCATATATACTTGAATGGCGGTGCCGATATTTAAGGCTATAGAACCTTAGTGACTAACGAAGTAAAGTCTAGATATCTCTCTGCATGCGCCAGGCGTCATTCTCAGTCTCCTGAACTTCCGGAATCCTGCGGAATTCCCTCCGATAGGAACATCGGTGCCTGGGACTCCATAATAATGACCTATTCGCTCCCCAAGGGGAACAATAAGGGGATCGGCCGCCACTAACAGCATAAGCTTTGCGGAAGCACCGTGCCGATATTCTTGGCTCGGGTTAGGCAGCCATTAAATATGATGTCATGTAGGGAGTAACCCTTTTCCGCCCAGTATATATTGTCGGCCTCTACCCCACCATCGTCTCGGTCTCATCTCATCTCACCAAAGAACTCCACAATCAGAAAAAAATGCCACCACCACCAATGCCTCGTGTGCCTGAGGGCTGGCGCCCTCAGTTCGATGACAGATACCAGGAATGGTGCGACCACCTTGCCGCAAAGAAAATTCGCGCTTCCAGATACTCGCAGAATACTAATGGCCTAATCCTACAGGTACTATGTCAACCTGCACACAGGACAGTCACAATGGGAACGTCCCGACCGACCAGCCCAGCCAAACGGGCCAGCACCACCTCCCAACGGCCCACCCCCCAGCTACGATGTCAGTACAGGTCGCAGGACCCCGAACAATGACAGAGGCTCCCCGTGGCCACCGAACCGCGACAGCCGAAGCCCCTATCCACCGCAGCCGGGCTACGGCTACAACAACAACAATCCGTACCCGCCCCAAAACTACAACACCCCGCCTCCACAGCCCAACCCCTACAACCAGTATCCCAACCAGTACCCCAACCAATACAACAATCCTTACCCAAACCAATATCAGAACTCCTATCCGAACCAGTACCCCGCGCAATACGCTCAGCCGCCCATGCAGCAGCAACCGCAGCCTCAGCCGGAGCAGAAGAAGAAAAAGCGGGGGCTGGGGATGGGCGGCGCCGCGGCCCTGGGAATCGGGGGTGGCTTGCTGGGAGGATTGCTTCTGGGCGAGGGGATCGAGCATCTGGAGCACGACTTTGATGGCCCGCCGCCTGGGGATTTTGGCCCGGGGCCGGACTTCGGTCCGGGGCCAGATGATGGGTTCTGGTGAGGGTGCTGCATTGATGGGTTGTATAGCGAATCCTTTTCCCGGATAGGATAATGATTGTGGATAGGGGATCACATTACACATACAGGTTTGGGGTTCGTCACGGGATTTATGAACTATGTTTATGAAATGTTAATGATATTTCTGATGAAAATGGAGACCATCAAATGTGAAGAACCTACAGTGATCACTACCGTGAAGCATTCTTCTAGGCGATGTTTACTATTCTTGTAGACGTTTTATTCCCGCGTAAATTTATGTCTATTATTGTTATCTTTCAATCTTACCAAATCTTCCAAGATAGTAATGAGTGTAAGATATTCAGAAAGACATAATTACTACCTAGTATCATAGAACCCTTCGAGTGTAGCGCTTTTCTCCACATGATACCAGTCCTCATTGTCCTCCTGTATGCATAGACCCTCCTTGATGATTCTCTTCTTTTGTGTTTGTTTCTGATCTTCTTCTACAGTTTGTATTTTCAGGGCAGCCTTCATCTTAGCGCTGGCTCTACGATTACACACTTGGGGGTCTTTGAACGGTGGTTACATTACAACCTTTTGCGGAAGACAATTCCGGGGCATCAGAGTAGTATGTCATAAATTCCGCACAATCTGAGTCATTGATCACCTGTAGTAATGTAAATTAGTACAACTCCCCATCAAGCCAACGGCATTCCCCCAAGTCGACTAGCATGCCCTTCGCGACGCCATGGATAATCCAAGCTCCCTGACTATGGGCCTCTTTGAACCGATCTCCAAACCCGTCCCAAGCGATCTGATACAAAATTTACATCGAATGGCTCACAGGACCTTCCGTATCCCCGAGATCCTCGAAAAGATCCTGCTGGGCCTGGACATGAAGACCCTGCTCCTTTCGACGCGAGTCTGTCGCGCGTGGAACGCCCTCATCCGATCCTCCCCCAGCATCCAGAAGGCACTATTCTTCCGTGCAGCCGATCCTGTCCCCGGCCAGGCCAAAGCCAAGAACCCCCTCGTGGAGGAAAAGGTCTGGCACGACTTTCTGCACCCGCGCCTCTTCTCGCGTCTCGTAGGTGCCGCCTACTTCTCCGCCTATCCGCTGATCGAATCGGAAGAGATCGACAAGGCCTATCTCCGCCCCGAGGCAAGCTGGCGCCGGATGCTGCTCCAGCAGCCCCGACCTCCTTCGTGTATGATCGGAATCTCGTCAAATTATACTTGCCCCGCGACCGCAATTCGGATCCTGGAGGCATTGCTTGCATCCCGGCCGGGGACATTGTTCGACTGCAGCATGTGGCGGCCTATATTCTTTCCGGGTTCCTGTTCCCCGGCGTATATCCGTCGATGTTCTGGGCAGATGGTCCAGCCGTGCCGTCGGTTCGTCGCACGGTGGAAGCCGGCTTTTTTTTCTGGCACTACCAGGAGCATGACTTCGTTGTCATCACGCAAAGCCTGTTCTGGGCTCGTCACCCGTCTGTAGTTCTTCCGCCTTTGGACCGGGTGGCGTTACGTTCGCCGGGTGTTTGGAAGCGGGTGATGAGCCCTGCTCAGCAGCACTGACCCGTAGGGATGCAGGTGTAGAGATGCCCGATGGCTGACTCTTTAGATTCTTTCGTAGAATCCTTGCTCGGAAAAAGAAGTTTGACTTGTTAAGTTTTTGCTTCGCAGGGGAGAGTACTTTCTTTTAGCTTGGATGACATTCTCTGTAGAGGCCAATGCATTCAGTTTGTTATCTTTCTATTCTGCGCGGATACATGTTGGACTCCTGATTTTGTAGTTATACCTCCTTTGTCTTTACCATGACACAATGATCCCCACGCCCCGAATAATATCTCTCGGTAAAAATATGCTGGACGCTATTGCGAAGCAGGCAGCATAGGCTAAGCACATAGAGTACCCGGGCTCTCTGGTATGTCCACTCGATGTCCTCATAGGGGTTTGCCAGCTATCACTTAAGCTTTATAAACCGGTAGATTGCTTCTACCTGGGTGTCGCTAAAATATGACGTCTGGGCCTCGTCAATGAAGTCACTGGGACGCAAGACTTGTGAAACTCTTCACGGGTTAAGTAGGAATCACCCAGTTTGTGCAGACTATTCTTGACTGTAGTTGCAGTCAATCGGCTTGTCCGGGTCTCGGGTGAGGTTGTAAGTCTTTCACCGTGGAATGCTCTAATACTTCTGTACTCTCTTGTTCATTAATTGATAGGCTGAGCGGATCCTCGTAGCAAAAGAAGATACTCGCCTTAACTCATCCACTTTCGCGGTGCTTGTCGGTACGGCTTTTTGCTCATGTAGTCTTTCCGCAGCTACTTGCGCATGGCTGGCTTTGCATCTTTCATGTGTTCCTCAATCCCGTTGACATATTGTGGGTTGTGTGCATTGAACTCCGTCTTGGGCAATAGGATCTCGAGGCTGTGGTAAGATTAACGAGTATCAATCGATTCAAGTTCTCATTTTCATCATCTGGGTTCTCTATTGCGATTGTCTGCATAGCGTGCGTGGGTGTACGACACTCTTGCTGTAGTTATGTCAATCGTCTGTCTCCTCTGCAGTGATTGGACCCGAACGAGCTCACCGTAGTACCTGATCCAGCCAGCAGTACTTGACGCGACATGTCTCGCACTCTGGACTACTTATCGACCACATACATGTAGTGAACGTCATTTTTGGGTCCTCTGTTGTGCACCAACGCACTAGCAATCTCTCAACTGGCGATAAAACAGTCGGGTTAATTCCGGTAATGCTTTCAGACAAGAAAGTTTCCAAGCGAAGAGGCAATCGCAACCCCGGAACCCAGTACTCAATGCGCAGTGCAGCAGGCGCTTGTTAGGAAGCGGAACGGCTGTACTTCCGCGTGAGGGAGGAGTAGACACCTGATCCACGTGCATGGAAACAATTGTTGCACTTCTGCCCAGTTCCCCGCTGATACAGCCGCGGAACGCCCTTCCGTTGGAGGGGTCGTCAGTACCGTTACATACACCTGGGCGGGCGGTGGTTATTCCCCAGATTTAGGGCTGAGACACGAGGATACCCTCACAGAGCTGGGTTGGGCGGCCAGTTGCGTATAATCCGACTAGCCAATGTACGGTACAGACTATACAATAGGCTTGCGGATTCACGTCCGCTCGCGACTAGACAGGGGCTATTTGTCGGTGTAGGGGGCTGAATACGACGGGTGCTGACTCGCTGCAGCCGGTGAAAAACGCCGTAGAGGACAGCTCGACGTAGAGCAAGGTTCCCTACTCTCCTTTGCTGACTCTAAATGATCATGAGTGTGCCCACGGCATGCGGGAAGGTTTGTGGAATCGCAAGAACCGTCATAATATTTCGTATGAGTAGATGATACTACACAGCTCTTGATCGAACAAGGATAGCATCGCGCGCGGTTTTTCTTGTCGGCGGGGGGGGGCGGGCAACAGGCGTTCGCCACCGGGCCCTGTGGGCGCCAGTCCGGTATCGTGTTCGTTTGTGGAAGTTAGAGGCTGCTTGTATGTTCTGCCAAGCATATCTCAATTTCTCAATTACACATAAAAGAAAAAGACTCTGGGTCAAAGTTGGGAAAGACAACTGACCTCCTTCGCAGGGATCGGTTGTTGGGAAGGATGGATGATGAGAAGAGAGAAGGCTGGTGGAGGTTGGAAGATGGGAGAAGAAACAAAGAAGATGAAATATTGGAAGAGATGTACGTTAATTCTCAATGGAGTAGGATGAATCACAATGCCATAGTCAGTGAATCCCAGGCTCGGAGAATTTGATACAAGCTGGAAAGAAAGTAGACAATGGATCAATAGGATCAGTGAATCAAGACAGTAAATTCAATTGATAGCTCTTCTGCAACAAATGATAAGATAAGTGAATAAGACCTTAGATTAATAATGTCTAGTCAATTTTGCTATGTGGAACAAGGAACAAATCTCTCACTTTCCTCCTACTCTCATGCTCCGACTTTTCCCACCTCTCTTCCCAACATACATCCTTCTTTCCTCTCTCCAACTCCTCCAACCCATGATATAAGCTTCAAACTCTGGCATCTAGTCAGACTGCTATTTATGCTGTGCTGAAAAAAACATGTTATTTTAAAGGCTGAGATTATATTCCACTGTCCATGATACCTATGCAAAAGTATGTTACTAAATGATGTGCTCGCAGCTATCCTCGATGACATCGACCAGCCGCCGCTCATCAGACTTCGATATTACGAAGGCTTTCTTTGAACATTAAGCCACATACCAGCAGTTGGCGTTTGAGAAAAACCCTGTCACATTAAGGCACAACAGCCACCTGTGACTGGACATTTATCCACATCATCCTGAGGCATACATCCTTCCAAACACACACCCGTCTTGTCGCTTCCAAGGGTGTATTCGAATATCAAGCGAGCATGTTGAAGAAGGAATCAATAATCCCCCTTGCCTCTGGGGTGAAAGACCTTATTGCGCCGCTCCGCTACCTTACTAGTTCAACAGGCAAGTTGCACCTGTCTATGAAAGTCGTGCAGGCTCACATACACATTCCTCGCCAACTATGAAGAAACAATCTTCTTGAAGCAGGGAATGCCTACCTTCCTCCACTAGAGTACAGCACTCTACTATACATCTCGGAGGTCATTCGAGGTCCGATCCATACGACCCTCAAAATATGACTTCAAGACAAGCGTCTTCCATTTAGCAGGATATATGATTTGAGATGCCGAGAGCCTTGGCGTTCGTTTGAAATGTTGCTACATCATTCCAGACCTCTCCAGACCCGCCAAGATCATCCCGCCATCGACCACCTGCCCCCTTCAGCCTCGAACATCACCATAGCGCACGAGTTCAAGATCCACAATAAACCCTTATTTCTAAGTCAGAACGGGCAGTGAGCGTGAGCGGCACATCAAGCTATAAGCGGTGGCTATTCCGCATCGAACCATACCGGCCAGACCCGCCGACGCGTGGCCTCGATAAACCTCAATAGTGCAGCTACAATAAACACAACAAAAGACCAGCTGTCAGGAGAACAAAGCCGTTGCAGACCCGGGGATTCATCTTCAAAGGCAAGGACGCATGCCTCGATTGCCAACAAGGGCCGGGGCGGATTGGAAGAACTGTGTTGCAATGGACGCAGAGAACCTTGAGGACCGCATGGTCACCCAGCTGGCTTGCGCAGATTGCATTACGAAAGCCGGCAAGGGTTGGTTACACATTCCGCGTCCTGTCTGGATGGCCGAAAAGATAAAGACGAAGCGCGAGTGTAAAGCGCAGAATTGGAAGCGGCAGAGGTAACCGGAACTTTTTGAAAGAAGACTACAGGTTTTCACCCAAATATCGGGTTGAAACCACAGATATACATTGGAGGCGAAAAGGAGTATAGAATGCATTCAAATTTACTTTCTTTTATTCATCTCTCATAGCACGCAGGGAATCCTTCAATTGTCTATCATATCGAATAGATTAATCTAACTAAAGGGACCAAACAACCGGCTTCATATACCTTGAGACCAGCAACCAAGCCCTGAAAAATGGCACAGCCTATTTTAATCACTCAGCCAAGACAAACATGTCCCCATGCCAGCCATATGCCCTAGTCAGCCGACGACCAATCCGCCGAGCGGCGGTATAGGACAACTTTCCGTGAGGGTGTGGTTCATGGAACTGGATACTTCGGTCAAAGTTCATGTCGGTGAGCTGGAACTGCCAGACAGAGCCGTAGAGTTTGATGCTCGCGAAACCGATCGAACTGATGGCATGAAGAAAGTCAGTCCAACGCATCTCACCCGGCGTCGCCGTAACCTCTGGGTCATGAAACAAACCCCGAAAGACCTTGAGGGAGCGCGCATCCACGGCGAACTTCGGCTGGATCTCTGCACCGATGGGTTCCGGGAGCGCTTCAGCGTCGTGGTCCTCCTGTGTGGAGACGGGCCGTGCTGTTCCGCGAGTCTTGACCTTGATCTTTGGTGGCTGAGCTGTGCTATTGTCGTCGGCACTGCTTGTCGATAGGCCCTTGGAGGGGGTCGGTGCTACAGTCTCAAACGAGGGGTACGGATCGATACCCTCGTTCTTTGGCCGCGGCGCGAGTTGCGGCTGATGTCGAGGTGAGGGCTCCTCCCATTCTGGTGTCCGGTGCAGACTTCGCGACTGGGAGGGAAAGACCTTTTGCGATACAGTGCCTTGCACCCTGTCCCCTATAACCCTGTCAATCACCTCCCAGAAAGCATCCAGCCTGGCCTCCGCCTGCCGCAGTGTTTTCACGTGCTCCTTGGTTCGGCGCTTGTCGATCGGATATGCGAATTTTCCTCCAGACGGGTCTCCTAGAGCGACGGCACGACTGGCGACTATCGTCACAGGAAGCGCTTCATCGATCCCGGCAACGATCCGATACCATGGGCTTGTTACCTTGTCGTAGTCTGCCTCGAACTTCCGCTTTTGTGCCATGCCACCCTGAACCCAGGTTCGGGCCCATGGCTGATACAGTTCCAATTGCTTGAGGCACTGCGCAAGGATCGAGAGGTCGCCGATGACGCCTACCAGAAAGGGGGTGATCATACCTCGTGCACCTGGCTCATTGTCGAGCAGGCGTTCGAGCTCATCCATGAGCAACGGCACACCGGTCAGTACCAACACCATCCCGTTATCGAACGCCTTGCCAAGCAGCCAGAGCAACTTCTTCTCCACTGCCGTGGGTTTGACCCCAGGTCTTTCTTCGACTTTTAATTGTGAAGAGAGCGGATCGGATGGTGGTGCGCGCATGAAGAATCGACGGAAGGGCGGGGAGGGACGGAAGGTCATTCGGAGCAGTTTCAGTGGATCGTGGACTGCCTTGCCCAGATCGTGGCGAAACCGCAGCAAAGCCGTCAAGAACTCCTCGGGCAGTTTCTGAGATGGTGGAATCTGGCTTGCATATTTGTGCTGCAGGGATACCAGAGCCCGAGCTTGCTGGCTCAGCTCGTTAAAGGTCTCGACTTTCAAGAAGGCGTCGCAAACCACGCACGCCAAAACCCGCGCCCAGATTATGTTCTTCCGGTTGCCCTTTAGATTGGGATGGTCGCGGCCCTGCAGATCCTTCAGCATTTCGGGGGTATGTTCAGCCATATCGAGCACGACGCTGGCGAAATAGTCGGGGTCTTCGCGCAGGGCCCATTGGTGGTCTTCCGCCGCGGAGGTGCGGGCTGCAAGGAGCGACGCGATGCGACTAAGGTCGAGTTGTGCAGGCACACGATCGGGAGCTTCTGCGGCCATCAATCTTAGAGATTCAAAGCCGCTTAGCTCAGTCTCTGATTGGGTTTGTGGCGGCGGAAGGATGGGGAACGAGTCGAAGTTGTCCACGGGAATATCTGAAAGTAGTTGGCGGCAGCACTGCACGAGAAAGGTCAGTAATCTCGCTTGAGCTTCTAAAACCAAAAGGCCTTCCCCCGGCATGAATTGCTTGAGTGACCAGGACATAAACTCTTTATCATTATCATCATGACAGATGACAAGCTCGCCATACTGGCGATTGTTGTCAACGAACCCGTTCAGAGCCATCTGATGATTACGCAGGGTGTCCAGATCAAGCGCCCGGCTCACCAGCCCAAACTGCATCGCGTCAATATCTGCCGCCGCAAAGCTTGACGGTGGATTACGGCCTCTGGAGTTGAGAAGCAACAACAGGGCTTTGGGGCTTACCAGGTCCTCCTGATTGATATATGGCCACCTAAAGCAGTCACGGCACCGCGGGGCCCTCGCTCGTTTAGGGTTATACGCCCCTTTACGCCAGGTATCAAGGTCGGGACGATGAACGGCAGGCATACCTGGCCAAGTCTCGAGCAGGACTTTGAGTCTCTGCTGACGTGTTCGCTTTAACCATCTCTTCGAGATAGTGGCCTCGTGGCGCTCCAGTATCTTGTGCAAGGTGTCATAAGAGGTATAGATCGTCTCGGATCTCTCTTCGGCTTCTTGTCGTATCTCGCTTTCGGATCTAGCCGTCGATTTCGGTCCTTTGTTAGAGCAAGCCACAGTCAAGGTCGCCATTAGCGCTGTGGCATCACCCCAGTCAAGGTTGGAATGGGCGCCATCGGCAGCCAGGTCGGGCTCAAGTAGATGGTCTAGTTGTTCGTTCGCGAAGGAATCCATTTTCGAAGACCGATATTAACTTTCTTCCTGGATATTAACAAACTGGGTTTTGTGAGATTCGAGTTCTAATTGGCCTTCCTATGGATCTTTATATAGCAAACGAGAACGTGCGACCGCCTGCCCAGTTGCCTGGTACTGCCGCATTCCCGAATGATGATATTCACATATATTGGGAATCAGCATGAACATTTCACCACATAAGCGGAAGTTCACACACAAATCACGAAGTGAATGAACCATACTTCTATGTTCCTTTCTCTGGACAATCATGTTGCTAAAACATTTCGTTCTACATTCTTTGTGACTTACTCTTTCAACACCCCTGTTCCGATTCTGCCCGTTTTCTGCTCTATCCCGACGATGAAGCCGTCTTATAGCATGGTGATACGGGCTCTCTCAGCGGCTGTTCCACATACCAAACATCAAGTTGTGGAGTACAGAGAAGACTAGCTAGCTCGGTACATGGACGATCACTGTGACCGCTACGGCTTTGTTACTATTTCCAGAGGACCTGGTTTGTGAAGCGTATCGGTGACAAACACTTCGCCATGTCGCCTCCGATCACCGGTAAGGTTCACTCCTCTGCTACCGAAGTCTCCCTCAGAGACTGCGTTCTGGCAAGCTCTGAGGGCGGTTGGTGCTACTGGAAGCCTGTACAACTAAATTCCCGGTCATGATCTGCGGAGCTCCTGAACTATCCCGATTCACAGCCTTTTCAATAGGTTTCTTTTGAACAGACGCTCCGGGCAACTTGGTATTCAAATTATTGGAATGGAAGTCAATGGATTCCACGTCTGTTGGCACACTTCAAACGGATCCAGAAGAACATATTGTCCTATCTTTGAAGGCACGATAGGCTAAATTTGACAGCCCATGATCAGAACAACCCAGCTGATACCCATCGAAGTTCAGATCTGGCTCGACGATCATATTAAGTGTGATAATTGTCACCGACATTCGGTGCGAGACTTATAGGAGCAGTACCGTTTTACGCTGGTCACTCACCACATTGGAGAGAATGTCCGAAAGTCCAACAAATGGTACGTTTATCCAGCTGAGCATTATTGGAATAGCATGGGTTGCCAACCTCGATGATCACCCCGTCTTTATATTCAGAAACGTCGCGGCTGGTCATGATGATGGCATGATCTCTACCGGCACTATACATCCCAACCACCATAACCCTCAAATCATGGTCTTGATACTGTATCGCGCGGGATGACGCAGCCATGGAATGGCTACCAGAGTACAAGACCTAGACAGGGCGAAGCGAAATCAGCTGGCTTTCGATGTGACCCGCAGTCCGGAAGTGGGGGCTGCACATAATCTGTGGGCGATTGTCTGGCCCTACAAAGGCGGGCCGGAGCAGAATCGGGGTAAAGCGCCATCGCGAAGTAGCAGATGCACCCTGCTCAAACCGGGGCCGGGGGAACTGAGTATATGCGGAAGATTAACCAGTATATCAACTCCTTCGGACCGAAGATAATCGGTACGGCCAAGAACGGATCAACCAGGTGGGATGAACATTACATTTCAAAAGAGGGGTTGGACCGTAAATCCCGATGATGAAAATGAGAACTTAGATCGCCTCACCGTTGATAAGAGCATCCAGCCCCTGGCAGATCGTCCAGTGAAGTCAGGATTGTTTGATCCTAGTCCACCATTCTTTCTTACCATGAAAGAAGGCATGGAAAATGCCAACGCGACGTACGCGAAATTGTCAGCAAGCCATCTGTATGCTCAAGGGCTGCTAAGACGACAAAGGGTTCCTAACGACACGATTGACGGTGAGTAAATTCCTCGGCTTTGGAATTTCTTGTTGACTCTAAGGTCAAAAGATCAGGAGATTGGCGACGAACCACCAGACAAACCTAGTAGTCAGCCGCTGCCCCCACAAGAAGTGATACGGCAGGATGAGAGCTATCCTTTCGCGAGAGTAGTTCCAGACTTTCTTCGCACAGCACTGTGCCGTCAATAACGAACTTCGAACCCTCATCAACTCAAATAACTCGAACAGAGTGAATAACGCTTCTGTTAAAGAAGTAAAGCAGAAGATAGCAACATCGTACGCAGGATATCAGATGCGGCTGCCACCAGGCCTAGCTGAGAGGTTCGGAGATTAAGAATACTTTTCATCTCCTGAATGTACTGAGAACAACTCTTTCATGTCAGGTCGGTTCAAAGGCAGAGCTTTACGCGAGATTAGCTATTTGTCGGCTAAATTCTACATTAGCCAAGCATATGTTAACGACGATAGCTGCCACGGACTGAAAGAGTCACAATGATAGCTCATAATGATATGCCGGATGTGCTTTGCGGCCTGTTGCATTGAAAACAAAGGCGCGCATGGATCGTCAAAATTATCGGTGCGTTTCTTTCGTCGTGGTCAGTGTAGTTCTTTGTCCCATGCATTGAGGCTTAGATTCAGTTTATAGAGCGATATGCAAGAAGTGCTAAACTACATTGTGCTAATAGCTTTGATGTCAGGGGGAGTCAGAGTGACAGGCCGTGCTCACGGGGGATTCTTGGTTACCCGCCCTAACTGGCGACGACCTCATGCATCCATCACGGGTCTTCTCTGAGGACATAATGACATCGCGAGAAAAAGAAAGTGAACAACGTCTTCAATCTGTACATAAAAATTGCGCAAGTCTGGGGTAATTCCCAGTGAGTCACAATGGGAGTGTGCTGGAGTCAGCAACGTCTTCTTGCTCCATCGCTGGTGTTCCATCTTTCTTCCATCTATTCATCAGCTCTATCTATTTACCAACTCCAGAATCCATCAACTTCCTCATCCATCAACTCCATCTACTGATCAACTCCATCATCTATCAAAACCAGCATCCACCACGCACAGCCCTCTCCACCCTGATCCCCAAACGCAACAAATTCATCCCCTCCACTTCCCCAGCTTCCACCCACCACCGAAAATGTGTGCCCCCGTCTTCCCCGATCTCTTCGAACACGAAGAGGACATCGACCAGGACGAAGCCATTCGCACCGGCGAAGTCATCAACCAAGCGACCCCGCCGCTACGGACGTGGAGGAAAGGCACTGCTCTACCTATTTTCTACCGGCATGGCCATGAAAGTGATGAGGATTACAGTGATACGGACTCAGACACCTTGAATGACCTTGAGGAAGCAGAAACCGGCGATAACCATGTGGATGCCGAAACCGGAGATGGCCAGGGTGAAGGGCAGAGCCAACATGATGGTTATCGAGATGGCTCGACAGGAGGAGTGTATCTCACCAGATATCCGGTGCAGGTTGTGGGGCTGACTTTTTCCGTGGGTGGTCGGGTGGTGTTTTTGCTTCAACTGAGATGTGTTAGGTACGGCCGCGATGAGGTTGAGGATGAACCAAGGGAGGAATGTGAAGATGCTGATGGACAAGAGGGAGAATATGAAGATCATGAAGATGACGAAGGAGATGAAGGAGATGACGAATATGAAGAAGACGAAGAGGAATACGGCGGCGGCGGCGGCGACGATGACGACGGCGACGGCGACTACCCCAGTGACAGCGACTCTGACCACCATCAACACCTATATGGGGAAGACGAATATGTGTGCATCCTCCCCGACTGCCCCGAGAGACTTCTTATCATTCAAGAACGATTAGAAACCCGCCGGGACTTCTTCCGGGACGCGATGATGATAATGCATGGGAAATATGCGCACTTGTTGGATGTGTCCGAGATGGGGGACGATGCGCAGGGATATTTTCGTCAGTGGCATTTCCCATTCCCCAAGTTCAGAATCAAAGAATACTAACAGATGGGTATAACAGCCACTGAAAAGCCGTGGGAGAGTGAAGAGGCGAGACTGGAGTGGGAAGGGTTCTTGAACCGGGTGCCCCAGTTGGTTTGCTGTGATGCAGGTAAGTCTTCGCTGCCCTCTTTTCCCCTCCCTGACATACATATTTCAATGTCAACCGGACTTTGGTCATATGCTGATTCTACACAGACAACAATCTACCTTGCAGCATAGACGATATCAATGACTTCTACGCCCTACGGGCATGGATGTTGGAACTGCTGCCCTGGGTGGTTGAGTCACCCCCTTTGGCTATAAGGTTAGCCTCTTGAGTGCTCGACTCTTGAGAACTGTTGCGCAGTATCAGTCGCGATTGGTGGCCACTCTGGAGGGCGAGATGGTCTAGCCTGAGCTGGTTGGGTACAGATACAGAGGATGGGGACTACTCCAGCTTCTCCCGGTGTGCGACAGGCGCACTCGGGAATGAGAGCATGTCATGCCTATGGATGTATGAGGTTTTGTCTGGCGAGAGAGGGTAAGAGCAAGGGACTATTGCTTAGTGAACTCCTGACCAATTGAATATACTTACTGCGTGATTGTATGCTTTTGAGTTTGGGGTCTTCTGTACCGTGCAAAAAGCAATCCTATAATCCCCAATGGTGGGTCCTGTATCCGCTCCCAACCCATGTGGGTCGCAACGGGAATCGAACGCCCTTTGCAGAGGACAAGTGACAGGCACCACAGAACAAAAAGAAAAATGTAAAGCCCAACGCGGGGGTTGAACCCGCAACCTTGAGATTAAGAGTCTCACGCTCTGCCGATTGAGCTAGCCGGGCTGGTTGGTGAGTGATGCTTGTGTTTAATATAATATACACCTTGTAATTACAGACAGCGGTGTGCATACCCGCACATTCCAGACGCACTTGGTCCAACCGCTAGCATCGATTCCGTTGTATAGGACTGTCAATTGATGTTGCTGGTCACCGGTATAACTTACTATCTCCTGTTGAGTAGTGTTCCTCTGCTTGCTGTATCTGCAGTAGGTGGGTAGGCCATGAACTGAGGGGTAAACATCTTGTGTTGTGTTCCAAGTGAAGGTTGCCCGCTTTGTTTACCGAAGATATATTCACCACGCCTTGTACCTAGACCCATCTTCTGCCCAACGCCCCCCATTTCTTTTTTTAAGTAAAACTATCTTCCCACCGCGCTCAACTCACCCTTGCCACTTGACTTATTGACATCACACCCGACAGAGTATTACTCCATCGACGTGTCTCCTTCATCATCCTGCTACACCAACCTCTCTGCCCACTAAGCTCTATCGCCAGAGACTTATCTCACTGACGCAGCAGCGAAGCAATCCAGACGGTCATCCTCATGACAGAGCCCAGCATGGCAGCCTCTCAGGCACCCGAGCTGAAAAATATCATGAAGGAGATGCGTGCTCTCCTCGACCGCCTCGATGCTCTCGAGGACATAAACACCACCAACGACGCCAAGGACGCTACTATCCACGGCACCGACAGCGAGACCCTGATTGACTACACCCAGCCAGTGAAAGAAAGAGGTAGGAATCTCCCATTCCTCACTCCGAGGTACTGGGCGATAACTGACTCAGAGACCATAGATCACGGCAGGTCCCAGAGTCTCCTTGAACGATGTCTTGGAGTGGTTCAACCTGAGGAGCGCGACCTACAACCACGAGCGGGCTACGGTCTTCACGCCGGAGAAATTCCCAAAAATGTTGTGTGAGTTCTAGAGCTCTCCCCTGTGTCGTCAACCAGATCGGTACAACGAGCCTCTGGCAAGAAAGAAGACCCCTCGTAGCTGACCATCAAACCATCATGATATTGTGTCCAGGGGAAAACATGCGAGCGACCCGTGGGGTGGAGAAAAGCCAAATCACACGGTCTATGATGGAGCTTCAGGTGGACCGGTTTATTATCCCGGCGCTCCTCCAAGCTTGCGGTATCACCGGTACCGGCTTCATCTTTGCGGACGAAGTCGCGCCGTCGAAGAGAAAGGAACAGCCACGGTTCTTCAGCGCGGCGGCCCCAGAGCCTGCTGATACTGTTACTGGTTTTCTTCTGAATCGTCGCCCTCTTCCGCAAAGCTCGCGATTCGCCTCCTTCATGACACGCCGATGACTGCCACAGTCGAACAATCCGGACCCGCAGGCACCCAGAGGCTGCGTATGTGCGCCACGCCCATGCTTCAAATGACCCACCTCGCCGACAAGGAGGAAACCAGTCCCTTTTTCTTAATGACCGCCAGACCGGACCGGGGAGAGGCCGCGAAGGCCGACTTCACCATGGCCCTGGCGATTGCGGACCACAACAACAAGCTCAAGGGAAAGAACCGTATCCTATACGGCATGCTGGTCGCCGCAGACATTGTTACTTTTGCAGAAGTGTCTGAGGACGTCATATCCTACGGCCCTGAGGTCGAATTTGCCAAGGAAGAGGACGTAGTCAGGGTCTGCAAGCACGTGGCCGAACTTCTTACCAGAGTTGCACTGCTTGGTACCTTGCTTAGCTCCTAGTACTGCAAGTAGTTCTGAGTGAGGTGAATTCCCACATGTAATCACCTTAGCTCTTCCGATGTCAACAAACGGACAGTTTTTTTTTTTTTTTTTTTTTTTTTTTTTTTTTTTTTTTTTTTTTTTTTTTTTCATGGGGGGGGGGCGGGGGGGGGGGGGGGGGGGGACTAGCGAATGCCGTTCATGCCACTGATGCATTGCGACCACATGACGCGCTTTGCCGGCCACTGTATCTATCTATAGGGCTGATAATTGACATACTCCCCTTCCAGAACATATAAAAAAGCTTCTCTGTAAAGCTAACACAAACACCCACACTATGGTGGGGCTTCCTCGTGCCCATTTGCAACCGCCCCAAATGTCGGCGCCGGCCTTCAGACGCCACCAAACCACCTCCCTTAAAGAGATTCTCTTATAGAGAACCCCGATATGAGAGCTTTCAGCCTCTAAGAATCCTAACATCACTGATCTAAGAAAAGGCTCAAAGACTTATCTGCGACTTACGTGATTAAGGAGGACTTTAAGGGGACTTGAAGAGGTCCTCGGGGGGTCAGGGTATCATCGAACTAAGAAATATACAGTCTCTGTACAACAGGCGACCCGAGCGGCAGATTACCTACTATTAGTACCTAGTGTACCGTACTATATAGTAGTCAAAAAGCTTGGGAGATTTTTTAAGCACTAATCAGCACAGCCAATTCCTCGTCCCCTGATGGCTAGACTTTTTTTTGTCAGGCTCAGCACTTAACATTCTTCGTGATATCGGAACTCTAAATCAGATCCTCAGCACTCAAAGCTTATTAGTAGTATTCTACTACATTAAAGGTATCCTCAAGTAAGCTTCGCCTCAGCTGCTTTCAGCACTTATATAGACTCCCTGTCATGTGCATATGAAGTCTGTTCAGCCTCCCTTCGCCGAAACTGCACCATCGGCCCATCCCTGATACTAATATAACTATCCCACAGCCCAAAGACCTCCCTCTCCTGCTCCACCACTTTATCATCACCACCACCACTACCACCAGAACACCCCACAACCACCCCCGTCCGATCCCCCTCCACCAACCGCAAATCAAACAACCACACCGTCCTCGCAATAACCAAATACAACTCCAACAACGCAAAGTTCTTCCCGGCACAACTCGTTGTCCCGGCCGAAAACGGCAGACAACTCGCCTTTGCCCTCGCCACGTCCTCCGCGGTGACGCCCGCTGCGGGATCCACGATCCACCGCTCGGGATGGTAGAGGTCCGGATCCGGGAAACAGTCCGCGTTGCGATAGAAGCTCCAGTGCGCGACGCCGACGGTCGTGCCCTCCGGGATGAACTCGCCGGCGATGGTGATTCCGCCCGACAGAACAGTGCGGGGCAGCTCTGACGAGCCGGCCGGGGTGATGCGCATGGCCTCGTCGACGCAGGCGCGGAGGTACGGACACCCGGAGAGGAGGGTGGGGCCGCCCCGGATTGTATCCACTGAAGGGAAGGTGGACCGGATTTCGGCGACGAGCTTGTGGTAGGCGTGCGGCGTGCGGACGATGTAGAAGAAGAATCCGGCCATGATCACGGAGGTGGTGTCGGAGCCGGCGATTGTCAGCATGATGGCTTCCGCTTCGAGGGCCGCGCGCGTGTAGCCGGGGAGGCCGGTGGCCGGGTCTTTGGCGCGGAGCAGGTAGTGCAGCATATCTGGCCGGGTTTGCCCCTGGGCTTCGAGCTCGAGGCGCTGGGCGAGGGATTCGTCGACAAAGTTGTAGAGGAAGCGCACGTTGGGGGGTGTGATTTTGCTTAGCACCCAGTCGAGGCCGCGGGGTTTGAGCCAGACGAGAGCGTTGAGCCAGGGGCAGTGGCCCAGCTGTTTGGATTCAATACATTAGCTATAGTGTCAATACGTCATACCGTAATGTAAACGTACCGGGTATAGTATGCGCAGGAAGAAAGCGATGATGTGGGGAATCTGGCGATGCTCATTGTCCCCGGGTTCTTTCGTGTTCACAGCTCGCCCGAAGCAGAGATCACACAGTACATCCAAGACCAAGTAATCGCATACTTCCGACATCTTTCGAGGTCGCGACCATTCCGTGCCTTTTTCGTCGACGAGAAGCTCACACCAACGGGCCACGTGCGACTCCAGCAGCGGCTCCATCGAGCGGAGGGATTTATCAGAAAACACCGTGTTCAGCACTCGTCGTTTGCGAGCATGCAGAGCGGGGTCGGTGCCCGTAAGAGTACTCTGATCATTTCTGTGCCGTGTCATCATGTCATAGAACTGAGATCGCTTGACATTAGCTCTGGCGTTGAAGATGTCGCGATAGGCCTCGGGTGTCTTGAAGAGCAGCCCATCGGGGCGGAAGCGAACCGCATCGCCATAGATTTCATGGTTGCGGGCAATCCAAAGGTGTCGTTTCCCGGTAAGCGACCAGTAAAAGTCAGGCAAGGTCGATATCCTTGCAAAGAACGGTCCCGGAAATTTCGCCAAAGGGCTGAAGTATAGGTTGTACAAAACAAAGCCCACTGTCTGTTTAGAGGCGTCAGGATCCGGCGCTGGAGGAGCGGCAAAGGGGCCAATCGGAGGAGTCAACTAACATAGCAGAATAATAGGCTGGTGGTTCCCAGAATCCAGTGATCTGACACTACATTTGCCAGACCAGCGACGAACATGTTTGCGCACACTGTGTTTGCCGTCCGATGTTGCTCGGAGCTGACGCGAAGTCAATTTTATACGTTGACTCCCTTGCCGACAGGTCAGATTGGGCCCCCACAGGAATTCAGCCAGACACGAGGCCTTTGCATATCCGCCACTTCTTCAGCTGGGAGAAATTCTTTGTGGCGCAAAAATGTCTTGGCGAACACCTATGGGGTTCGTATCTGAGGGGCGGGCGTCGGCTATTCCGGCCAACCTTGGGCAGCTGATCCTCCCCGGCCGCTTGCAACCCTATTTTTGCTTTTTAGTCTGCAGAGATGTGGGGTCCCTTCAGCTTAGCCGCAAACATTGTACAAGCAAAGTCGGTCCAGACTTTCGGACTTTCAATCACCAGGCCGAATATAAAGCATGCACATTGCCGCAATGAGCATGTCATTGGAAAGCAATGTTCTGCAGCGATTGACACCCCCCCGCCATCATGCCGCTGTTGAGATCAGACCAATCTGGCGTCAGATCAGAGTGCCGTTCACTGTACAACCAGATATGGCATGAACGCTCACCGACGCTTGAATTGGCGCAGTCTGCACTGATGCAACCTTCACCGCTGGCACTGACTCTGGAGGAACGAACGCGACTCACATATCAAAGAGCAAGAGCGTTGGCGGATGCACATAGTACTACTCACCCCCCGAGGCCGCCATATTGGAGCAACGTGACTGACTGAAATAGAGTTGACGGTGAAGGATGTGGCGTACTTGACCCCGAGTTTCTGGAAGCTACACACGGACATGATCGGTGCTATGGACGGTGGCGCGGTCACCCTGATTAGCATCCAGTATAACCTTTTCGTCGGCACGGTCGCTCCGTTCGCTGCAACAAGGCCTGACCTGGCAGTGATTGTGCAGCAGGCGATGACATTCGATATCTCGTGCGTGCCCCACCCTCTTGTCTTCAATTGATCTTTGGATTTAGTCAACTCATCGGCCGCTCTTAGTGCACAATTCATGCTTACCGAGGTCGGGCATGGCTTGGACGCACGGAATCTCGAAACCACAGCGACTCTACTTTCAAATGGTGGCTTTGAGCTGCATACACCGTCAAAGGCCGCTGCCAAGTGAACAACCCTGAGCCAAGCCTCGCCCGAGTTAGTACTAAGACCTGCACGCAGATGCATGCCACCGTCTACCCCTCGCAACGGCCTCCCCACTATCGCTGTGGTCATTGCCCGACTGATAGTCGAGGGCGAGGACAGAGGAGTCCGTCCATTCCTTGTTCCCCTTTCAGACGGTACTCAGATGTGCACGGGTATCACCTCAAAGTACGTACCCGATGGAATACCCCCGATCTTTGATACTCACCAAGGACCTCGCAGGGCCCTCCCACCCCGAACGGGCGCCCAACCCATAGACCACGCCTTGACCTACTTCAACCGCGTGCAGCTGTCCTCGTCCGCTTTGCTGGGTGATCTCGAAAAGTCGCGAAGCGAACGCGATGATTTCCTGGCGACTATCCACCGTGTATCGGTAGGGACGCTTTTCCTTTCCAGTGGGTGCATCCCACTTCTGAAAATTGCCCTCTACAACGCCAGCAAATTTAGCTTCCGACGGAAGATCCTCGGCCACGATGGGCACCCCATGCCTGTCATTAATTTTCGCACGCAACACCTCCCCATCCTGCACGCCATTGCACGAGTCCATGTCCTGCAGGCTTTCCTTATCCAGGCGGCAGTGGGATTCCGGGACCCGAAGGTCGATCCGCGCGTACGTCACGCAATCGCAACAGCGTTCAAAGCAGTGGCTATCCACGACTTCCAGACCAGCATAAAAGCCCTGAACGAAGGTTGCGGCTGGCACGGATACTATGAGCGCAACCAGATTCTTCAAGCCGAAGTAAGCAGAGCCGTCATTTTTAGCTCGATCAAATTGTCTAACCTTATTTCTCCAGCTGGAGTTTCGTGCTGTGGGAACAGCTGAAGGCGATATCAGAGTTCTTGCCATCCGTATGTCCAATCCCCTATGGTTGATGACCACCAGCTGATTATCTCATGAAACAGGCCTAGCAAGCGAGCTCTTGATCGGCCGTTACCAGATCCCACCACCTGAAGACCCCGAAAGTCTTCTAGCACAGCATGAAGCAGGCTTGTTCGCGGAGGCGAAGGAATATCTCGATCTCATCGGCGGGATCCATCGCAGCGAAGCATTTAACCGGACCATCCTTCCCCTAGCCCTTCCATTGATCCAGGCCGTAGGGTATCGGATGGCGATGGAAGCCGCAATCCAAGCTGACATCGACCCCAGGCTGCGGTCCCTATATCAAGCTGGAGTAATCAAGGAAGACTCCGCTTGGTTTAGTGAGCAGGGGGGTCTCAGCCGGAAGGAGCAGCGGCATATGGAGTCTCAAGCGGCAGATGCAGTGCTTCCAGAATTAGAAGAGTTGGTGGAGGGGACGCGAGCGCAGGTGTATTGCACTGCACCCATGACATCAGATACCTTGTGGGACAACTTTGTCGAAGAGTTGGAGACTTTCTCTGGCAACGCAGTGTGGCCAAAACATGCCCCATAGTTCCTTAAGAGTTCCTCAAAGAGAGGTGGATTCGTTAGTCGTGATATCAGCCTGATCTTATACTAATATTCTTGGAGTATATTGAGTCATCCACCCTCATCCGTCCTAAAATGACAAAGTCCCGGAACCTTTGACTGTTGTAAGACGAATACTTTCCCGACCCACCGCCGTCATCTTCCAACAAACCAATCGCGTAGACATCCCTTCCAGCGACACGTTCCTCATTGATGATGCGGACAGCACCCAGGGTTTGTGCGATCGGAAAGCTTCCCTCTTCAAGGATCGCGAGGTCAACGCACTTTTGCAGCCAATCCTGTACTTGCAATCCGCATGTGAGATCATCACACTTGAGGATGCAAGCCAGAAGTAAGCTCGCAATACCGATAGAATAGGTATTTCTGCTAGCACACTCGATAATATCCAAGCCTGCGACAGTACGAAGCAGGATGGTCATCCAGGATGTAGTGACGGCTTGGTGCTTTCGTGGCCGAGTTTCTTGGTCTTCGTCGGACTCTACTCTAGGATAGAGTACTGCTGTGCATTGCATAATCCGCGCTGCACTGTAGTATGCATAGTTGACTGCTGCCTCGTAGGAATGAAATAACAGTGGAAATTCGATCTCAGAAAAACGGCCATGCGGAGGTTGGGGCAGCACATCAAAGGGGAGCCGAGACGGATCGAGGCGAGAATGCCACTCGTCAAGCTTTTGCCCTTCTGCCTCCAATGATGACATGCATTCGTCGACGGTGCAGGCAGCCAGGCTTCGCGCACAGGTTTCTGATAAGACCTGAAGAGTGGCGATCGTGTTCAGCCGGTGCGACTCGCACAGAATGGATACAAGCAGAGTTTTCTGAGCATCAATTGTCCGCAGCACCTGCGTCAATTGCGGTGAAACAGAGAGCGACCTTTGGCTGAGTTGGAGAGCAAACGTGGTGAAGTACATTCTGCGCCACCACATATGGAGCCTTGATGCAAGCCAGGCGGCAATGAGTTCCTTGCCAAGTGCGTCTTTAGATAGGTGTGGAAGCTGCAGATCAATTATCTGGGCAATTCCCTGGCAATGCCATCCGAACCCTCGGAAGTTTCCCATAGCTGTCTCCATGAAGCAGAAGAGCACCAGTATGGCCAAGGTTGTCAATGGCGACGATGCAGCCTTTGCTTGTAAGGTTCTTGCAGTTTCGCCAACCGCAAAACTGTAGTACCGCTGGCTGGATAGTTGATGAGTACGATTGGGCAAGATGATTAGTCTGCCCTGATTTGTGTGGCCCTCCGGAGAGCGTCGGCTGACGTTGCAGGATGCCAAGGCAAGCAGGGAGTGTTTTAAAACATTATCTGTGTGAAGGATGGAGTTGATGCCGTGGAAGAGACGGCCCAGAGCATCGATGCATGAGCTTTCCCAGTAGTTCAGGTAGAAGTATTCACTTTCGACGATTCTGAAATCAATCACAGTGTCGATGTGCAGGAAAGACTCAGCCGAGGCAAGTCTTCGCAACTCATCTACATCTCGGTCAGGATCTTCTTGGGTTTGTGCTTTGCAGACGCTCAACGGGACCACCTGTTCCGACTTGCGGGTTGCTCCGCTAGCTTCGTATACCCGCAAACTGGATGGTGAAGTAGACTTGTAGAATGGCTGCCATCGCACATGCTGAAGGGGCTTCGATACAGCTCTGTGCACAGAGGCAGTTCGATTGTTGAAGCTGAAGCTTGGTGACACTTGTTCGCAGGCCTTGCCTGCCCGGGTACATGCCCCGCATGATGGCTTAGTTTCATCACACTACGGTGATCAGTGAGGAGAACGAGTCAAGCAATTGTAAGGACGAACTTTGACACGGCGCTGGCGACATAGCTTGCAGCCTGTACGCGAGCGGACTATGCTGGTCTTCTTCGGTCGAGGCGGTGCGGGTCTGTACATCGTACCATCTGACCGGAAGACTGACTGGATGGTGCTTGTACCTCCTGTCAAGAGCCACACTGACGCTAAGAAGGGTTATTCCGATGTAGTTGAGACAATGACAAAGAATCCTCCTATGCAGTGCACTATTGAAGGGAGCGATGAAGTGCCGGTGAGTAGAAGGCAGCTGGACCGAAGATCGGAGCCGAGGCGAATGTCGAATGACTAAGCCGAATCCACCTTCCCGATTCAGTGCGCGGGAGCGAACTATCTCTCGGCTGCCGCCTTCCAGCCTATCCTCTGCCAACTCCCCTCACATAATCGTACATACGAGTACTTCCTTGTTCCGTACATCGCTCAAGGACTGTTGAGAGTAGTGGGGTATGTCCTAATATGTCTGCCTGAAGCTTTCAAGATGAGTTGACAATGTTCACTGGCAGGGGCAGATGATTGATGTATTATCTCCATCCCGACCAGCCAATGTTGCTTAACCGCGGTGACCCACCTACCAGATTCGGTGTACGGAAGCGCGAGCGGAGCTGATATTGAGGTTATAAAACAGCAGACAATCTCTCCTCAAACCCACATGAGTCTGCCTCATTCCTCATCAGCACACTCATACAGAATGGCCATCACCTCGTTCCCCGCAAGACCCTCCCCCTCCACTGCGGAGCTCAAGCAATTCTTTGTCGGCAAAGACATCAACGACGTGCCCAAACCGGCCGTCGTGCTGGACGTGGCCATCATCAAGAAACACTGCCAGGCCATGCTGGACGCAGCCACAGCGCTGAACGTTGGATTCCGCGCCCACGTCAAGACCCACAAAGTCAGACACATCCCTCCCATACCATCCCCCACACCACACCACAACTAATTGACCTCCTGAAGACCCCACAAGCCACCCGCCTCCAGGTAGGCGAGTCGAGCCAAGAGGTCAACCTGGTCATCTCCACGGTCCTCGAGGGCGAGATGCTCGTGCCCCTGCTCCAAGAATTCCAGCGCGCCGGGCGTTCCGTCAACGTGCTGTACGGCATCCCCCTCGTGCCGTCGCAGGTGCCCCGTCTCGCCGCACTCGCCCGCCTACTAGGCGAGAAGAGCATCTCCGTCATGATCGACCACCCGGACCAGGTCGATCTCCTCGCAACCTTCCGTGAGGTCTCCGGCCACGCCGCCTGCATATTCCTGAAGGTGGACTCCGGGTACCACCGCGCGGGGCTTCCGCCGAACAAGCTCAACAAAAACGGGCTGCTGGAGAAGGTCGCGGCCGCGGAGGAGCAGGGCCACGCGTCGCTTCTAGGGTTGTACTCCCACAACAGCTTGAGCTATTCGGGATCTACGCCAGAAGAGTTGATGGCATATCTGAATGAGGAGATTTCCAGCTGCAGGGAAGCGCTGAAACAGAACCTCCAGCTGCTCCCGACCGACCGGGAGTTGGTCATCAGCGTCGGCGCGACGCCGCAGGTGGTTTCCTCGCAGCACCTGTTGCATGAATCCCTCAGTCCCGGAGCCCAGGCGCTGAGGAACCTCCTCCACGGCCCAGACCCCGACGTCAACGCGAAGGTGAAGGTTGAGCTTCATGCGGGCGTGTATCCGTTTCTCGATATGCAGCAGCTGGGGACCAATGTGCACAAGACACGGGATGCCGAGAGCGAGATCGGCATCTCCGTCATCGCTGAAGTGTGCAGCGTCTACAACAATGGGGAGCGTTCGCAACCTGAAGCGCTGGTCGCGGCAGGCTCCTTGGCTCTGGGGAGAGAGCCGGCCGCCTCGTATCCCGGGTGGGGGCTTATCGGTGCTTGGAGACGGGAACCGGGCGCTTCCCGGCTCCTTGTGCAGCGCATCAGCCAGGAGCACGCTATCGTTGCTTGGGAGGATGAAAGCGACCAGTCAAAGATCCCTCTCAAGCTCGGCCAGTCTGTGAAGATCTTCCCCAATCATGCGTGTATCACCGGTGCCCTGTATGGGTGGTATTTGATTGTAGATTCCAGTGAAGATGGCGATGCATCTAGGATTATTGACGTATGGCCGAGAATCAATGGCTGGTAAAGATATATTCAAATCAAGCATTTTTTCCTTTCCTTCCACAAAGCTTGCCATGATCCATTCACCTATAGACTGCGTACTGTACTTAACTGGAATCTATCGAACCGTACTAGGTACTGTACCATTCCCGAGTCGATACAAAATCCCCACCGCGGTCCCGGCCCCAGCGGCCAATCAACATCACCAGAATGGGCGAATTCCCCCCACAGTCTTCTCTTATCATCACAACCTCCGCTACCTACTCTTCCCCATCACACTACACCTTTCAGCCCGGAGCGATCCATGACTAGTCCCTTAGACCCCTATTTCTCTCACACGACTAACTTCTCGGGGCTTCTAGAATACAACACGAAAGTCACCTCAAATGCCGGCGACTAAACGGCTACGCACCGAGCCCATCGTGCGGGTCCGGACGGGGTGCTGGGCCTGCCGACGGCGCAAGAAGAAGTGCGACGAGGCGAAACCCGTCTGCGGGGGCTGCGTGCGCAACAGGCTGACCTGCCAATGGCCATCGAGTGTGCTGGGGGTCCCCAGCGCGACTACGCTTACTGCCTGGACTGCCGCTACGCCCACCACTACATTCTGCCCCGAGAGCCATGCGCAACCACGCCCAGAGCATATCGCCCGAACGCAGACCCGCGTGTCCAGCTCTCCTGAGACACCCTCATCATCGTCGTCACCACCACCACCACCAGCACTATCATCGTCAGCATCCCCCGACTCCGTACTATCTCAGGAGGAGACCCCGCGCGAGATGGAGCTGCTCGAGGATGAGAACAGCAATTCCAACACCACCTCAGGCTTCACTACCACCGCCTCACAATCTACCGCTACAGACCCCCCGCCCACTCCAGACCGCACAGCCGCGACAACAGCACTCACAACAGTAGGCCACGCGCTCCCGCGCGCGATGTCGATGATGCCCAACCACGGGCTGGACGCGTACCAGCTGCTGAGCCACTACATGGCGACGACGGCGGACTGCATGGCCAACGGGTCGACGCCGATCAACCCATTCCTGGTGCAGATCGTGCCGCTGGCGTTTAGCAGCGACCTGCTGCTGCAGCTGGTGCTGACGCAGAGCGCGGCGCACCGGGCGTTCCGGCGGCTGAACGACTCGGACGAGGTGGCGCAGAGCCACTACACGAAAGCGCTGCAGCTGTTCCGGAAAGGGGTGACTGAGTTCATCGACGGGCAGGAGTCCAACCCGCTGATTCTGACGGTGGGGGCGCTGGTGATGTGCTTCACTGAGGTATGGCATGCACCACTCTTGATTTACTAGTACAGTACAGTACAGTACAGGTACACGTTTTCTCTCTCTAAATGAGCCCTGTTTGGTTAATGCCCCGGATATGTAGACGGCGAAAGGCGACATGAACGGCACCATCTTCGACCACCTCTCCGCCGCGCACTCCCTGCTGATCCGGCTGCTGGGCCACCACCACCACCACGCGGCCGATGCGGCCATCCCCAGAGACCTCAGGGATTTTGTGATCGAGTACTACACCTACACGGCGGCGGTGAGCATGATCTCCATCGACGCCCGGGTCAGCCAGCAGGTGCTCCTGAACTTCGACCTGGAGCAGAGCGCCCGCCAGCTGCTGGAGGTCGGGTACGTGGGGAATCTGTGCGGGTGCTGGCTGGAGTTGCTGTTGCTGATCCCCTGTATCTTCGACCTCGGGCGGCACTGGATGATGCTGCCTCCGACGGATGATCCGGATAGTGGGGAGCAGCCGGCCATCGTGCCAACGGCCGACGAGATCGCCATGTATGGGTCGCTGCAGGCGCAGATCATGCGGTGGGCGCCGCTCGCGTCCGTCTCGCCCGAGGTGTTTCTGGCGGGCCGGATCTTCCAGCAGGCGATGCTGCTCTACCTGTACACGGCGCTGGGCGGGCCCCGGCACTTCGCGCGGTCGAAGACGGGGATGCATCAGATGCTGGTCGAGACGGCCATCGCCGAGGCCATGTCGTATCTGACGCAGCTGTCGGCGACCGCCCGCATCAACTCCGGGCTCTGCTGGCCCATCGCCGTCGTCGGATCCTGTCTGTCCCACCCGGACCACCAGGAGAACCTGCGACAGCGGTTGACGACGATGGTGTCTACGTTCGGGCTGGGGAATATGCACCGCACGAAGCTACTCCTCGAGCACATGTGGCAGATGCCGCTGGAGGAGGCGGGGCCCTGGAACATCTGTCGAGCGATGGAGCAGAATCAAATCTGGATATCGTTTGCATAAACAAGGAAAGACTACCGTCTACCGTCCACGGCTTCTCGATTCTAAATATACACTAGTTTCATGACTCATCGCAGCATCCCTCCTCCACAAGACCAGCTTGGAAAAGCGCAAGCGGGAATCCTGGTTCTAAGAGGACTGGTTCTTGGGGGCCTCAGTGGCGGGACCCTCCGGGGTAACATAGGCCTTGGTGAGACCGCCGTCCACCACAAAGTCCGCGGCATTGACGAAGCTGCTCTCGTCGCTGGCCAGGAAGATGACCGCGTGGGCCTGCTCGATGGCCTCGCCGAAGCGACCGGTGGGGAAGTGGACCTCGCGGCGGAAGCGCTTCTCCTTGTCATCGCCAAGCCAGTCCTGCAACAGGGGGGTGCTAGTGCCATTGTCAGCCCAAGACGCTCCACCAATCTCAATCCGCACATCAAGGAGACACTCACTTCAAAGGAGCCGGACACAGCGAGTTGAATCGGAATCCTGCACATCAAACCAGCCACCGTCAGCAATCCACCCCTCACCACACGGGAAACCACATACCTTCTCTCGCATGCACGATCGCCAACTCGCGGGTCATGGCCAACACGGCGCCCTTGCTCGCCGTGTAGGCCAACTGCGGCGTGGCGGCGCCGACCAGCGCCACCATGCTGGCCGTGTTGATGACGCTGCCCTTCTTCTTGCCGTGCTTGCGCAGACTCTTGACGGCGTGCTTGCACCCGAACCACACGCCCTTCACGTTGATATTCATGGTCAGGTCCCAGATGTTCTCGGGGGTCTGCTCGCTGTCGCCGTCCTGGGCGTGCATGATGCCGGCGTTGTTGAACATGACGTCGACGCCGCCCCAGGCGTCGAGGTGGGCGACGGCGGCCTCGATCTCGCTCTCCTTGGACACATCGACGGTGCGGGTCTCGACGCGGCCGTCGTGCTGGGGCACGACCTCGCGCACCTTGGCGAGGGCCTTCTCGAGCCCCGGACCGCTGACGTCAGTCATCAGGACGGACGCGCCCTCGCGGAGCATGAGGATCGTGGTTTCGAGGCCGATGCCGCTGTGTTCCGGATCATCGGTCAGCTTGTCTTTGTCTTTGCTCTTGGAGCGATCCCATCTCGAGTATATCGTCCCAGCAAAAGAGGGGTGGAAGGGGGGACAACATACCCCGCCGCACCGGTAACGATAGCATTCTTGCCAGCAAGTCGTCCAACCATTGTGTCTGTCCTTCGATTAATCCTTCTTTTGATTCAGTAGCGTAAATCCAAGTCCTTGATTGTGTGATTGAACCACCGATTATCCGCAGATGTTGGACCCCCGAAGTGAAAGTGCAGGATGAGTTTGCGCGTAGAAGACAGAAGTGATGGGAAAGAAGAGACCCCGACCGACGACCGCTTTAATATGGCCTGCCCTCCCCCTCGCCGCGGCCAAAGCTACTACCCTTCCAACCTTTCCCCACCAAGTTACCCCCCACCCCACCTTCACCTTCACCGCCCGGCAACCGCGCTTCGGGGTGTTCCACGTGTTCGCTGCGGCGCTGCCAGAGACGAATGGACACGTGATTCGCTCTTCCAGGGCATGGACTCACCGGACCAGAGGAAATTCTTCGGTAAAATGCTATTATTTTATCTTTACCAAAGCATGATTCTTATCGCTTGGATGATTGATTAGGACAGGGACCGGATAACTTACTGTACTGTAAGTTACCTCGGATGGAGGGGTAAAAATAAAATGCTGAGCTTGTTACTCTAACTGTGTACGATAAGCGATAAGTTAAGCATGCGATACGACACGGGAAGTCGGGTCCGTGCCCCGGGCCCCTATGCTTTGCTTTGCCGGGTGAGCGCGGTCCGGGACCGCGCGGCGGGCGGTTGGGAGCTTCAAGTTACCTAGCTAGTAGTTAGCTTAGCTTAGCTTAGCTTAGCTTATCGGGTGCTTTGCCGGGTGTTGCTCGGAGGATAGGATAGGTTGGGGTTGGTTGTCAGGGGGGCATTTTCTTGCAGTAAGTAGTTGGTGAGGGTTGGTTCGGAGGGGGAGGGAGCTCTTGAGGATGATTGATGGTTTATATTGTGAATTAAGGCTGTTTAATTGGTGGGTGAGGAGGATGAGGCAAGGCAAGGGAGGAGGGAGTTCGAGTGCCGGGGATCCATGTGACTGCTTCGGTCTACAAGGGGAAACTCTTCCAGCGTACGAGGGGATTTGTTTGTAGCAGTTGTGCTGAACTATGGGGATATTCTTGCAAGGGCTAGGGGACCAGAAGTACGAGGTGAGAAAATGGACATACTGCTCAAGTGCGATTTACTAACAGCACCCAGTCTATTTCATCGACCACACATAACTCATTAGAACGCATCAACCGCCCCAGTTTACTCCTCCTTGATATGGAAACTCTTCATCTTGTAGAACCCATCGTAAGCCTTAGGGCCCAGCGTGAACCCCAGACCCGAATTCTTCCATCCGATCCACGCCAGATCCTGTTCCCAAAATGTTAGCACATACGTTTCTTGCAGATGGATTCCCCAAACATACCGGACTGGGATAATCGCAACGGTTCAAATACACCGTGCCCGCCTCGACATCGTCAATCAACTCCTCGCCCCTCTTGATATCCTTGGTCCAGATGCTCGCCGTCAGACCGTAGTCGCTATCGTTCATCAGGTCGACCGCCTCCTCGTCCGAGGAGACCTTCATGATCGGGAGCACCGGGCCAAACGTCTCGTGCTTCATGACCTGCATGTCGTGCGTGGCATTGATCAACACCGTCGGTGCCAGGTAGTTCCCCTCCGCGGGTAGGTTCTGGAATGTGGGGTTCGACGGCGTCACGTCCACCGCGCCCTTGGACAGGGCATCCGTGATGTGCGACTGGATGTTCTTGACGGCGAGGCTGGAGATCACGGGGCCAGTCGTCGTGGATTGGTTGTGGGGATCGCCGACTTTGTAACTGTAGATTCAAACAAAATATTAGCCATCGTAATTGGGGATTGTTTGAGGGGTTCAACGAGGAAAGGGGCCCTACCCAGCTAGTTCCTTCTTCACCTCCTCCACAAACGCATCGTGCACGTCCGCGTGCACGTACACCCGCTCGATGGCGCAGCAGCTCTGGCCCGAGTTGAACACCGCCCCGTCGACGATGTTGGCGGCCACGGAGGCCAGGTCGGCGTCGGGCCGCACGTACGCCGGGTCGTTGCCGCCCAGCTCGAGGTTCACCGGCACCAAACGGCGGGCGGTGGCCTCGCGGATGCGCAGCCCCCCTAGCGTCGAGCCGACAAAGGAGATGAGCTTGATCTGGGGCAGTTGGGCGATCTCGTCGAGCACGTCCGCGGAGCCGCAGTGGGCGACCTGCAGCACGTGGTCTGGCAGACCGGCCTGGGCGAAATAGGAGGCGAGCCGTTCGCCGAAGATGGGGGTCTGCGGGGAGGGCCGGAGGATGACGGTGTTTCCGCTCAGCAGGGCGGGGAGGAGGGCGTTGACGGTGATGAGGTACGGGTACTACCAAGCTTAGCAACGGCAAGAGACTCGGCAAAAACTGATTTGCCACTGACAGGAACAGGGGCAAGGTAACTTACATTCCAGGCGGTCGAGATCAGAACAGGACCAACGGGTTCCTTCTTGATGAAACGCCGGAATCCGTTCTCGGGGGTGCCGGGGAGGTTCTTCAGGCTCTCTTCGGCGATGTTGAGCAGGTAGTCGGCGCGCTTGCGGAAGGTGTCGATTTCCTTGCCGGTGTAGGCGATCGGGCGGCCCATTTGAGTCGTCAGTTCGGCGGCCAGCGTGTCTCGGTCGGCGACGATGAGATCCAGCGCTTTCACGACGATCTCCTTCCGTTGGGCGAGGGTCGTTTTCTTGTATGTGCGGAATGCATCTTGGGACGCTTGGACGATTTTCTGGGCCTCTTCGAGAGAGGTGCCGGGGTGCTCGAAGATGACCTTGTTCGTCGAGGGGGAAAGGGTACGGATCTGGTTCGTCATCTTGGATATGTTGCGGGTGCGTCTCAGTCTGTAATAGCGACAATCGACCTGGATGATGAAATTGGGATGGGGGTTGGGAAATCGGTTAGTGGCAGCTGGGATGAAGAGTTCAAGGTTGTTATAATCGGACGATAAGAGGTGTGGGAGGGGCAAAGTGGGCACGCATGCGATTGGCGCGCTCCATCGGCGGAGGCGCGGTCTGGCGGTGGGGCTCGACGTAAGGATGCATCGATGTGGCGGGGAGGGAGAGAACACAATGAAATCATTAGGCATGCTACTCAGGGCTAAAGTAAATGGTTGAGTTCTACTACGATAAGCAATTCTTTCAAATCAATCCAACATCCCCAACGCAAATCGGGTCATCGTTTCCGCAACAAACACCCCGTCATGCGGCTTATCAACCCGCGACATGCCGTCCTTGTAGAAGCCTTCCTCGAACACACCGCGCTCATAGCGTATCTTGAGAATCGAGCTGACCATGAAATCGTTATACTCTGGGTGGCCTTGAACAGTCAGGACCTTTTTCGGGATATATAAACCCTGGATACCACAGATCAGACTGCTACCCAGGTTGACACATCCCGGCGGAACTTCGAAGACGACATCACGGTGCATCATCTGCAAAGACTGTAGATCATCAGTACCTGATTTTCCGGTGGGGCAATCCAGCCGACATACAATCTCATTCTTCTCAAAAAGCTTCCTCCCTGCACTGGTCAAGTAGAACGGCTCGACGGCCACCTCCCATCCAGAGACACTGGGGCCAACGCGTGCCCCCAGAGCCCGCGCAATGATCTGGTGGCCGAAGCAGATTCCGAGCATGGGTTTGTTGTGCACCGTATAGCAATCTCGGACGAAGCGGACCAGCGTGAGTATCCAGGGCTCATCTTTGTAAGAGTCGTGTTCTAAGCCGTGTCAGAGCACTGTCTTCTGAATAGTAGTTGGCTTGCCTTACTGCTGCCGGTCAAGAGCACGACGTCGAAGTCTTCGGGTTTGGGGTACTCGGCAAATGGTAGTACAACGTTGGTCTTGGTCAACTGCAGTTTCACAGGTGTCTC